GACCAGACTAAACCTTATCTGCTAAAAGAGAACCCAAACCCTATTGTTGAAACCTTAACCCTAAGCTCTATACCGTAAACCCTAAACCCTAAACCCTAAACCAAACCTATACCATAAACCGTAAAAAATAAACTATAAACAATAAAAAACTATAATTATTTAATGGGTCTTCGGCCCATGGGCCCTCGGTGGGTAGCCCTAACTAAGGTTGCAAGTCTTATATGTTAGGACTTGATAGTGTGTAAGACTTGATAGTGTGTTTAATTTGATGTAAGACAAAATATTCCAATCCTTCACAAATTGAAAACCATAACCCTAAACCCTAAAACTTAAACTATAAATTGGTGTAATCAGTTTATGGTGGTTGGGTTATTTTGGGCCGCCGTTAAACATTAGTTTAATGATGGATATTGGTTTGCGAAGGAAGAATACTAGTTCATTTCAACAATGATGCAAAGTAATATCAACACAACATAAAATAATATCGACTGAACACAAATAAATATCCACACAAACAAACATACATAAATATCAAAGGGGGCCCATCAATTTTCGTACTCTTTCCACTCCTATCCATTCTCCCGCCCAAACTCAAGCTGGGCCAACCAGCCCACCACGCCACTTGCTCGGATCCGCCACCATCGCATGCTGGGCCGACTTCTACACGTTGGCCCACCTACAGCTCACTTAAGTGAGCCACCACCACACCGCCTCTCCTCTCCGTTGGATGAAACATGGGCCGACGTGGCCCAAAATCCTGCCCTGTTAGTATCTGCTAACACTTTGAGCAGTTAGCAGATTAACTTCTGCGTAATTTCAAATCGCTCGACTAGTCTTGTCCCGCGCCGCCGCCTGATTCTTCCATGGCAGTTCTAACCCCGAAACCTAAGTACAACATCATTAGGAATAATCTCAACATGATTCGAGTCGGAGCGCCGCCGCCGCCAGTTAAATTGCGGAGGCGAATTAGATGGTGTAGGGAGAGGGTGGATTACGGTGGCGACAATGAGTTTAGAAGAATGCCCGCCGCTGCATTTTCGTCGGACGAGGGAGGAAGATTGCTCTCGGAAGGAAGGTGAAAGGAAGGTGCGCCTGGTTTTTATTGTGTGGTTGGGGTTAGTGATAAGTGGATGATAGGGTTAATGAAGGGAATCTGACATTTTTAATTTTTTTACTTCTTTTGTTCAAAAATTAAATTTAAAAAATAAATAGTAATAGATGGGAAATTAGAAAACATTTAATTGAAATTTGCAGTGACATGGTGCGTTGACCAATGGTCAACGCGTTTGACTGTCCAAGTTAACGATGAAACATCGAATTTGGCCAATCTAGTTATTTTGATGTATAATTTGGACAGGATGTTATAGATTGGAAAAATTAGTCAAGAGGTTTATTTTGATACAAATATATTAAACCAATAATTAACGGACATGATTCTTCACGCGTTAGATGCGTGCACGCTCTACCCGCCCTTCCATTATATCATGCATTGGCTCCCTTTTGTTTACCACCTTATCGCAGAGAGAGGATCTTTAATACTCCGGGACAGGTTCCTTCCAATAATTGCCTAAGTTAGGGTTTGAACCTCTGTCCCTCTTCGATCCCAAAATCCGCTTCTGCTTTCGTCTCTCAATCAAACCCTAACCGGCTACCGTCAATTCGATCCAGCCATGTCTTCCAAGCAAGGTGAATTTTCTTTTCCTCCTGTTGTTCCGTTCTGCGATGGCTCGTTTGGTTAGGTTTTGGTTCTTCAAATTGGGATGTAATTTCATAACGTTCAATTGCTTGATTCCGTTCTCGATTCGTGGGAATGCTTTTGATTTTCGAGATCTACTTTCTCTGTGTTTTACAGGTGGAAAAGCAAAGCCCTTGAAGCAGCCTAAGTCCGACAAGAAGGAATACGATGATGTAATTCTCTTCTTTCCTTTAGGCTGTAGCCTTTGATTCTCCTTTCCTTCACAGAAATTATGTTTATGCTTGAGTTCGATCGAAAGGACAGGGAATTGATTTGTTGTGGTCTTTAGCTTTGAATCGGAATTGGCTTATGGGTGCTGTAATCCAGATTCCCCTTTTTGGGCTGGGACTTGGCATGAGCACGGTTTGGAGTGCTCTTTTCTAAAAGGAGTGGTAGTCAGAGTTAGGGATCTAATTTGTATCATGCATTCTCGTATTGGTTGATCAGACTTAAGAATGCCCGGGACGGGGATTTTGGTTTGCCAGGGCTTTCAATCCATAGACAGTTAGGTTCTTTTGTGCTTTCCTGTATAGCCTATATTGCTTTGACAAAGTTAGGAATTTCCCCCCTTTTAGCTATGATTGTTTGCTCTCATAATCTAATCGATAAGGTTGAAAGGGTGAATTGTTTCATTCATGGTCATTCTGAATTATAAGGTTGCTGCTTTATATAGGCATTCTGCATTACTCCGATTGGAAAGTAGTGGATGGAAGTCTGTATTTGCATGATTTTCTGCAATTGATGCACCTACACAATCTCTTTCTCTCTTATAGTGCATGTCGAGCCTTCTGTTCCCTTTTGCCACATGTTTATGCCATTTTTATTTCCTTGTCTGCAGGTTGACAAGGCATTCCTTCAGAAAAAGAAGGAAGAGGAGAAGGTAAGCTTCAATGTTCTGGAATAATTCTTATCTCGTATCGATCGTTGTGTAGAAATTGGGTGTTGAAAGTGTCTTTGATTAATTACAGGCTCTCAAGGACCTGAAAGCCAAGGCACAGAAGGGAGCTGTGGGAGGTGCTGGCCTCAAAAAGAGCGGGAAGAAATGAAGGGTGTGTACTGAAAGACAGAATCAGGGGAATGCACTTGAACTGTGTTTAGGTCCAAACTAAAGTATATTTCTTATGACATCTTTTGTGGTTTATTGTGGCGATGGTCTGAGAACCTTTGTACTTTGCTAATTGCGATGACGGTCAAGTTTCATGCTATGCTTGTGTTGGAGCTCGACTCTGTTGTTCTGCTTCACCTAGTAAACCTCATGTTTGTGGGCATTTAACATCTGCATCTGGTCTCAAAATTTGATCACATAGATGGTGGTTCCCTTTATGAATTGTGGGTGCTTGTTGCTTAGGCTATTCTTCTGCTGTTTTCGCTTCGCTGGGGACCTAGGGCTGAAAATTGCCCGACCCACCCCTGACCCTGTCTGATCCGCCCCTGAATGGTCAAGATGTATAACTGACATGCCCTGACCCTGTTTCTTTCATGACCCTGTCTGACCCTTTAGGGTTGGGGCGGGTCAGGAAGGGTCGGGTCAGTGGGTCGACCCTAATAAATAGACTACTTTTCTAAACATTACAATTTGATACCCGAATTTATTTTTTCTTACATTTTAGTACCTAAAATTTATTTTTTTACAAATAAGTTCCTAAAATTTGATGGTAAAATTACATTTTGGTACCCAAATTTTTTTATTTTTACAATTTAGTACCTAAACTTATAAAATTTTACAAATAGGTCCAACATGTTTGTATAATGCTAAGGGTCATAGGGTCAAAAAGTGACCCGACCCTAAATTGACCCAACCCTATCCGACCCTGACCCGACCCTAAATTGACTCTATAGACAAACTGACCCAGCCCGACCCTGAGGGTCGGAGCGGGTCAGGGCGGATCAGTGGGTTTTAAGGGTCAAACTTACACCCCTACTGGGATTGATAATACTAACTAGTTACTTGCAAATTGAATTGGAGTTAATATGGGCGAGATTAACTGTTCCAGGATCCAAGGTGCAATCGTGAAAAATATTTCCGACTCGACTTAGGTTTTCAGTTGTTATTCTATTTGTCAAAAGGCTTGCACAAAGCGGCATCACAAATGTATGCTAATTTAGTTAGTAGTTCATAATCGGCTGTCTGAGTACGTAGATAGCTCTTTCGAGAATGCTTTGATGAGGGGAGGTTTTCCGTAGCTGCAATCATTATTCTAAGGGTTATAGGTATAATATGCTCCTCTACTATGATGTTTTATCAAACATGCTCCTCTACTATTTTTTTTACATCAAACATGTCCCTGCAACTTGGAAAAATTATCAAACATACCATTCAGTTGAAATTTCCATTGAAAAAATTGTCAATCATGGTTGAATCGAGATTTAGACGACCTGACATCGATAAATGGGAGGGCAAATATCAGTTTTGACCCTTGTTTTATTTCTCTAGGTCTCGTCAAAGTGAAATTATTAGAATTATTTGGCTATACAGAAGAACAAAAAAAAACTCTAAAGTGAAATTATTAGGGATATTTTAGATATTTGGGTCGCCCAAACCAAAGTTCGGTCTTGGTTAATGGTTTTTGGATGAAAATTTTAACAAAAGGGCATGTTTGATTAGTTTTTCAAAGTACAAGGGCGTGTTTGATATAAAAAATAGTAGAGGTGCCTGTTTGATAAAACGTCATAGTAGAGGGGCATATTATACCTATAACCCTTATTCTAATACAACTTTGTTAGGGTCGATTCAGAAATAGGATGTTCTCTTTCGACTGGAATGAGTGATTATTCGAGAATGTGACCTGCCCATACTTATTCTTCATTTGTTATGCTTTTGTTTAATGAAGCGGTTGAGTCGAACTATTTTCTAGACGAGAATCAGCTAATTATATAATGCATGCATTTTGAAAATACAAGAATTCTAATAATCATGTCTTACAAATGATCCAAAGCTTATTTTTGGACACATCAGTAGCAACAATAACGCTAGGAAGTTTTTGGATGAAGGGATTGAATAATGGATGTGTGTAAACTCCATCGAGTGACAAAAATTAATTCCAACACGCAGTTGAAAAAATACGAGAAATTAGATTGATAGAATTCACAAATTTTCAATTCTTTCATCGAAATTCTCTGTAAAAAGGTAATATTTATCAATCTCAAGACAAGTTAAATACAAAGTTTTCTCTAGAATTATCTATCAAAACAACAATATTTCAATGATTCCAGATGTTTAAATTTTATTGATTTGAATTTCACCCATCTCAATATTATACGAGAACTCTAACTTCTTCATCCAATTAATGAGAAATATTTGGAAATTTCAGTAATGAAAAAAATTGTATCATTACTATCCGCTTGTAATTGCAAGAGAAAATCGTATCATTAAAATCGTAACTTAGCAAACCACATTTCGATTTCCCTGCATTTGCATGCTATTCTGGCCATTATGTGTGCAACTTAAGTTTTCTTTCTTCCCCAAAATCTCCACACCACGTTACCTTTTTTTTTTTTGTTGCAATGTCCAGCAAAGATGAATCTCCTTGATTTAGTTTATCAATTAGGGTTTTGCAATCCGTATTGAAGTTTAAAAGGGGATTTAGTCGACCGATGTCAGTTCACACCACTTTTTGCTTCATTGAATTTAGCCAGTTCCACCATTCCAAGCTTGCTCCTTAACATCTGAACTGTTTCCAGCTTCAATGTTTTGATCATCACATCTGCAATCTACTCATGTGTACTAGAGTGTTCTAACTCCAGCACTCCTTCATATGCAAGCTCTACAAGAAAGTGAAAATAAACATTGATATGCTTACTCATGCCATGAAGCATGTTACGATACGAACCATTCATAATATATAATTTAGTGCTTTCTGGACTCATCTATTTTTAGTAGGTTTATTAATTAGTTCAATTTCGTATTATTTGGGATATTATGATTGTTTAATTGTCTTAGTAGGGTTTGGATTGTTTTGTAGTAATTGTTTATGATTTGGTTATTGTTTCTTTATGAGAGAAGTAGTCATGTTTTAGATAAGAGAAATTAGATGTTCTATGCCTATAAGTATGTACTCACTCTTTCGTTAAATGATATGATAAGATTGGAATTTGGAACCCAAGTAGCTTTATAGTTTTAGTCATCCCATCCTTTATTTCTCTTCCTTCTATTTCCAGGTTAACAATTGGTATCAGTAGAGCCTGGTTCCGCACAACAACGGAATCCAGGTTACCTAGCACCTCGTCGCCATGGTCAACAAGCCTGCCAAAGCTTGAACAACGACGAGCACCGAGGAGATTGAGCCAGGAGCCCTGCTTCATGCCCAAGCCACGGAGGAACGCCTCAAATCCCTAGATGCAGGATCAATGATCTGACTAATGTCGTAAACAATTATTAATCCCAGACTTTGGAGCAAATCGCAGCGCTAGCGAAACTTCTCAAGACCCATGTTGCTGTTGGAAGAAGGCATGAATCCGAATTGCTGAAGGAATCCGTGCTGCACAAGGAGAAGGTGTTTGTGGCACGAAGGAGGCTGAAGTTCAATTTAAGTTAAAGTTGTGTCATTTTGGTGTTTTACAGTTTAGTCACTAGAGTCTGTGTTTATGTCTGTTAGAGTCTGTTCCTGGTTTAGAGTTGCAGTTGAGTCTGGACTTTCAGTTAGCTAGTTTACAGGAACGTGGAGTCAATCTCAGTTAGTGGGAAGCCTAGATTGAAGGCTGAATCATTGTACTTATAGTTCACAATGTTCAGCTCAATAAAATTTGTCAGTTTACAATACATTTGAGCTCACATTGTGGTATTAGAGCCGAAAGTGAAGTGTAACCAGATTTGCAAAATGTGTGAAGCTAGAAGAGTCAGTTGGTGTCAAGCACAGAGAGATAGAGAGTGAGTGAGATCATTTGGTTTCTGGGTTGGGAAACACCTCAGGAAGCTCTGAATCCGTCGGAAGTTGCGGAGATGGAGGGACTATAGGTTGCATCGTTTGCTAAGCACGGAGCTCTAAATCCGGCGAAGGTAGAGACCTTGAGGAAGTCGGTAGCTGAAGTTGCCCAATTAGTCGGCTGGGATGCTGGGAATAGGTATGAATTTTCGAGGATGGTTATAATTTGAATTGAATGGTGACTGGTCCGGGTTGAATGGAATGTGTATGAATGGTTTAATTATTCTATTTGAACTGGGTGCTCTGGAAACTTACTGGACTTCAGGGGCGGAGCCAGGATTGGGCGATCGGGGGGGGGGGGGGGGGGGGGGGGGGGGTGGTGGAGTTAGCTAGTACATTATCGTCGAAAGTAAACAAATGATAAGAAAATTATTAAGAAAATAATAATATTATTATTAATTAATAGTATAATAATAATAATATAAGACTTTATTTTATATTAAAAATTCACTCAAATTAGAATTTAAAACAAATTTTCTAAATTCTATGTTTAACAAATTATTAAAAGTAAAATACTTATAAAACATACTATAAAAATTATAAGATTGCTCTTTGTCAAATAAAAAGTTACATAATCAATCATCTAACCAAGAGAATCATTAAGAATATAAATTTAAAAGTTGAAGAAATTAATTAAACTATATTTTAATTTTAAAGAAATTAAAATTGACCTATATATGATAATTATTAACTTATTAAATTGCTCTTTGGTCAAATTAAACTACTGTACATTAAACTTCCATGTTCTAAAATGTAAAAAAGGGAGGTGCACTGGGCTCGAACCCGGCCACTGAATGTAACAGACGTGAATCCTTCCGCTGAGCCACCCAAATATTGATGTCACAATTTTGCACACAAATTTACTTATATTATTAGGTGTATACGTAATTTTCAAATTTCTATCGAACTTAACACGTGATTTCAAAATTCTCGGGGGGGCCGGGGCCACCCCGAAGAACAACATAGCTCCGCCCCTGCTGGACTTTCATTGGAAATCAGTGCATGATATCCATCCCTCTACACTCTCTTGCTCCAGAAGTGAATGGTGGTAGTTAAGGGGTCGGCGAGGAACCTCACCGAAGCGACGCGGCAGAGGATGGAGGCCGGGATTTTGGTGGCAGCGGGGAAGGGAAATCGACAGGAAACTGGCCTCGTGGGAAATGGTAGACTTTAGTGTTTTTGGTTGGGTGAGTATAGAATTAGGGTTTTTGGTTGAGTGAGTATAAAATTAGGTTTTTCGGTTGGGTTTTCAGTTTAATTGGGTTTGGTCATTAATTTTTTATTAATTTTTTAAATGATGTGGTGTGCTGACTGGACAAAAGTAACAGTTTTTTGAATGGAGATGGACGGAATTACCTTTTTGTTATTAGTCAAAACATATGTTACTGAAACGTGCAAAATTAAAGATTTATGACCGTTTTGTACAAAGTGAATAGTTTTGTGACCATTTATGATAATTACCCCTATATTCAGATACCCAAATGACGAATGGAACTATCAACATGCCCATCTCTTTGAGATCGTACTCATGAGAAGCCGAAGACCCGGACGCATCAACAAAAGTAAAAGAAGGGACAAAGACAAAATTTTATCAGCCGAAAATTTCGAGTACAAGTAAGACGGAGAGTGGTCGACGAACGGTCAAAAGAGATGCACGTGCAGTAGTAACAATCTAATACCATATTTATCAATCTTCATCACAATGCAATATACAAAGGCACAAACTCCATTCTCTTACCTTTTCCGTTGAGAAAATATTGCTAGCAAAAAGAAGAAAAAAAAACGACAGTAACAAATGGACCAGCTCAAGCTCCCCAAGCCAGCACTCCTCGCAGCAACAACAATCACCTTGTTGTTCTCCTCCATCATTTCCCCCACGTACGCCACCGACGAATCCCCATCCCCCGGGGCCCCAGAATGGCTGCAGGCCGCGTCGCACGACTCCTTCACGTTCACCTCCGTCGCCTTCTTCATCACCCCGAAGTACGACCCCAAGGCGACGGAGGAGTCCGTGAAAAACAACCAGACCATCAGGGACCTCTGCGCCATGACCGACGACGCAAACGAGTGCCTCGATTTCTTGGGGAACACGCCAAGGTCGGACCCTGCATTCGTCATCAAGGCTGACCTCAAGGTCCTCAAGACCCTCATCAACGAAGGGTCCTACATCGCCATCAGGGAAGGGTCCAAGGACCCTTCCGCCAACTCGGACACAAAGAAGGGCCTCGACGCCTGCCTTGACGACTACGACACAGCCTCCAAGAGCCTCGACGAGGCCATGGGGGCCATCGGGGTGTGCGTCAGGGACGACGGGACCGCGGGCCCCAAGGAGTGCCCCAAGGAGACAGTCGCGAAGCTGACCACCGTGCTTAGTGCGGCCGTGGGGAATTTTGGCGCGTGCGACAAGGCGTTGAATATCGCGAGTGGGAGGGGCAGGTTGTGGGTGATGGATGTCAATGACGCCATGGTCGAGGCATCGAAAGCGATACTCGCAGTTGCTAATAAACTAGATTCGTAATTTAATCTCATTGAAATCTCTCTATACATTATTAACGATCGACGTTTTTTTGAACGTTTTTGTTACTTCCTGGTATATATACATGTAATAGGCAGTTGAGGAGGATGGATTTTTTCCTTCGAAAATGTTATGGGGATGATTGCAAATTATTTTTATTGATCTCGATGTCCGTAGCTGTGGCATTAAAAAAAGGTTAATACCTTATTTTGGCCTCAACTATAACGGGTAATTAGCATAAAAGGTCACAAATCTATTCGCTTTGTACAAAATGGTCACAAACCTTTTATTTTGCACGTTTTAGTAACATACGTTTTAGGTCACATTTCACAAAATGGTCTCAAACGTATGTTACTAAAACATGCAAAATAAAAGATTTGTGACCATTTTGTACAAAACGAATAGGTTTGTAACCTTTTATGCTAATTACCCCAACTATAACCATATAATCAACTTTGGCACGTGATTTCAGAAATTAACATCCTGGCTTCAAGCCCTCAACTAACGGTCAACGGTATTGACCGTCTTGACCGTCCAAATTGACGATCAAACAATGTGTCTGGCCAATTAATTCTATATATTGCATAGTTGATGCCAGGATGCTAATTTCTGAAATCACGTGTTAAAGTTGATTATATGGTTATAGTTGAGGCCAAAATATGGTATTAAAAAAAATAGAAGTAGGGAAATATGGCCAATTAATTCTACCTATCTCACTCACAACCAATGTTTTCAAAATCGGAAAGAATGTGGAAGCCGAAAAGTTAGTAGTTGATGGTTTAATGATTAATCGTTATAGAACCATTGGTTAATTATTGATCGAACAATTCATGTGCTATAATATGAAAGATATTTATAATACACAAGTTTAGGAGTGAATTTATCATTGTATTATATATATAATACACAAATTTAGGAGTGAATTTATCATCAACCATAAAAAAAATTTAAAATCCATATCCATCAACAAAATGTTCTAACAAATCATTCAAACTATTTCAAAGAAATCATAATTTTTTTAATTAAATTCAATTCAACAATAAGAGCGATAACCCATAGTGAACTAGGTAAATGCGACAAGGAGGCGGAAAAATGAAAGAAAGAAAGCATAAATAAAGTTTGTGATAGAAGTTGGATGGTCTTACTTTACGTCAACATATTTTTTTCTTAATCTTTTCGTTAGTATATTTTTTCCCTTTTAAGTTGGATGGCACATTTCTTAGGATTCATATTATGTATTGCAATAAGGGCTACACGATTTGTTTCATTTATTCATTGTATATATGACAATGTTTGTTGTTATATTTGGTAATTCTGATCATGCGTTAAGTACTTTCTTCTATCTCGTATGGTAGAATTTTTTTATCTCCATATATGAGCTATTTTGGTTGTATTGTTTTACAGGAGGATCTCTTATTCGCTTTCGCATTTGGAAGCTCGATGTTTATTACTCTCAAACGGGTTGTTCGCGGGGAAGTGCTCTTCTCTTCCTCCCTATCTGAGTCAGTTTCGTGTCCTTTTCCTCTCCGAAGTTTCATAGAGCTGCCCACCTCGTGGCAAATCAACCTCGCTCATCGGGAGTCCGGTTGCATACAGACTATCATTCTTTATTATTATTATCTATCTTGTATTTGTGTTGTCCAGCCATGCTATGGGGGATATATTGGTTTTAAAAGAATAGTGAACTACTGGATTAGTTAAAATGGGGTGGTTCATCTGGTTTAATGTCAAACCGTCAAAAATAGTTCAGTCCATCTCTAATGGTCCAATCAAATGATTCAAAATACTATTGTAACTGGTTTAGTAGTTCTACTAACCCAACAATTGATTTGTTTTGGTTCTTATAACAGTGTCCACAACTCATTTATATCAACATGTTATGTGTAGGAGTAGTTATGGTGATTAAGGAGGGTGCTTAGACAAATCACTAAGCCTCTTTCATCTACCCTTAGATCAACCTTAATAGATCTAATGGTCCAGTTAAATGAATAGATAATTTATTAATGACAAGGGCACTTATGCCATTATGAAAAGTTAATTATTTATTTGTTTTCTATTTTTCCTGCCAGACGTATTTTAATATTTGACAAGTTAATATTTTTTCACGCACTTTTGTTCGTTCACTTTTTTATTCACTTTCCTTGGTATGGTAATGGGGTGAGTTTGGGCGGATAGTACTGAATCTGTGCTCTACCCCGGCTCATAGGCAAGTGATCTCCTCGGTCCCATGCTCAAGGACGAGTCGCCAAAAACTTATCCATTCTTTGCTTTTACGGATTGGGTAATGCTCGCCCTGATCCGTTCATCTTTGACAAACACAGATTGTAAATCTGTAACAACATTCTCATAATCATTCAAGCAAATGTTCTCGAAATAAACTTGTAAACTAAAGCCAATTCTGAACCACACTCATCCCAACAAAAAAAAGCATCTCTCAAGAAGCTCAAATGTTTAAGAATTTATAAACAAAATACTACAGCATTCTTTGATACACCCATAAGAATTATCCATCTAGTTATCATAAGTTTGCAGCAAATTACAGATTTCATTAGCACTCAGTAAGCTTAAATTCCCTTCAATCTTCATGCAAATTGCAGCAACAACATTATTCACTCGCAACTTGCAAGCCTTCTCATAGCCTTTGGAATAAAACACAACAGAACCCACGGCAGCCAGAAAACAAAACAGAAAAGACCCAATTAAGGCCCCAATCCAAAGACGAAAGGGGAAGGAACACCCACAAAAAGTAGACAAGGGAAACAGGGCAAAACAGCCTGCCCTGAAGAAAGAGACTAAACACGAAATAGAGCAACATCTGATAGAAAGCCAGCCAAGCTGCCAGGGAGGCGTCAGACCAGACCGAGGAAAGGTCAAAACAGATGGTCGCTGAGCCAGCCAGCCCCCTGGACCTTGGTAGTATTCCCTGCTGCCAAAGGGAGCGATCTTCTGAGTATTTATTTCACCTCAATAAGGGTCTGCCTGCCACCAGCTTTCTCTGTGAACCTCATATTTCTCCAAGCATTGCAATTTTGAAAGAGTCAAAATCCATGATGCCAAAGACCACCATTCTTCCCGTCGGCTTTGCATAAGCCCTAACTGACCAGATGGGTTTTAATACCCTCCGCGACTCCATTCCAAAGAAAATGTGTATCGAGCTTCTCAGTATTAATTCTTAGAAACAGCCTTTGGAGCTCGGAGGAGAGAGCAATTGAACACATGCTGACTGACTCGATAGATAGGCAAACCTTGATGAGCGTGCGTGAGCCTGCCACCAAAGGAAAGAAAATGACCGTTCCAGCCTTCCAACCGCTGTTGCGTTTTAGAAACTAAACTACCGGGTCCCAAACAGAAATTGAGTTAGGCTTCCCACCAATAGGAAATCCAAGATACTTATTAGGGTCTTTGCACCATTTGCAGTAAAAAATGTCAAAGCAAAAAACTGCGGTTCTGAGACATCACCAATCGTAAACATCACCGAGTTCTTAAGATTTATTCTTAGACCCGTAATCGCTTGGAAACATACAATAGTAGCCAATAAATTAAGAACCTGCTCATGGAAGGACTCAATTGGATTCCACCTTTCTAACAAATTAAAACTAGTAATCTATAATTTAGGGAATTCCTACAATGCCTTGAAGTAAGGTAACTTGATTTTTTTTACCTGCTATAGTAGGTTTCACAGGTTGCATTACGTAAAACACAACATGTGTTACGTAATGATTACGTAACGTATGTGCATTTTCCGTAACAGTTGTAAAATCTCATAACGGAAGTCTTACGTAATGGAGGCTTCTTTTACGTAATGAATATTAACCTTGCGTTACGCAAAGTGTGAAGGTATTACGGAAGTCTTACGTAACACTTCTGATTTAACTGTTACGTAAGAAACAACTGTCATTACGGAAGCCTTACGTAATTGAGGCTTCTTTTACGTAATGAATATTAACCTTGCGTTACGTAAAGTGTGAAGGTATTACGGAAGCCTTACGTAACGCTTCTGATTTAACTGTTATGTGAGAAACAACTGTCATTACGGAAGCCTTACGTAATGGATATGTATTTTACGTAACAATTTTAAAATGTAATTACGGAAGCCTTACGTAATTGGGGCTTCTTTTACGTAATGGGTATTAACCTTGCGTTACGTAAAGTGTGAAGGTATTACGGAAGCCTTCCGTAACGCTTATGATTTAACTGTTACGTAAGAAACAACTGTCATTACGGAAGCCTTATGTAATGGATGTATATAGACAAATATATAGGGCATATCTCAACGTGTAGAACCAAAACTAAATACCTTTTTTGTTGAAGCATCCATAGCATCAATCTTATCATTGTCGGCTTCTTCATTTAAACGTGTAGACCCATCTTCTTGCTTCTCCTAAACATCGTGAATTTAAATTTATTACAACTTCATCTGGGACAAATGCATCATATAAACTCAATAAATAATTAACAAATTCATAAGCTTAATACCATTTTCTTTCTTGTTTGTTTTTCACCGTCAACCTGTGAAGAAATACCTTCACCCATCATACTCATTTGTAAGCTATATTGAGTAGAACGAATATCAATTAAAACATACTTTAAAGCTTAACGTAAAAAGAACATAACACTTAATGGACAACAGTCAACAAAGCTCTCTTCATCGAGAACTCCACGCTTGTTGTCTTTCTTTTCACTGGTATGATGCACCTAATGGATCACGAGAAGGTCAGCGAATACCTTATACAGTTGATGTAGACGGAAGGACTCAATGTTCAGTTATACCTACATAACTTCCTTTTATTTTCCACCATATCATAATTTGAATCTTAAGAGGAGTCTAAGCAAGCAAGGTGATCAAAAACTGAACCAAAGTAAAGATCAGCTTCCCAAACCACATTCTGTTCCAACTCCCACGCAAATGCCAACCATTAAAAGTGTGAAGAATCACACATAACAGAAAGCCACGACATTTTGTATCAAAGAATGGAAAGAGTCTTCCGTTCGCTGTGTCCGTGACCGTGAGTTCGGATATTTTGATAAGCAATCTACTACAACAGGTAACCCACAGCTATTTCCAGTGCTACCTGAAGCACACACTTAAACCGATCAAGGAAGTAACCTAAAAATGCAACCTTTAGAGCTGGGTCACAATGATTCTTCCTGTGCAATTTGTCTCTATGCGCATGAACTCATTCGTCAAAGATCATTCTGATGTAATGTCCGAGCTCATCATGCGAAAGCAATTTAAGTATTTAACGGTCAAAGTTCAATCCTTTATTAACGTTTTCCAAGTTCCAATATTCAAAGTCTCCAAAACACAGACCATCCAAGATAAAGAAAAAGACAGAAAGGACAAAAACCATTATATCAACTTCAAAGCCTTCAAACTAATCGCCACCTTCAGCTCGTCTCAACACAGCTCCACGAACACCCCTCCGCCGTCTATAGTCGCCGAAGTCTGTGATAGTCGCACGGGTTCCCCTGCCGCAGCGAGAAGTGTGAGGAGATCGTCGATTACAAAAAGCAATTGAAGGAGAAGGACAAACAACTGGGGAACTGAAGACTCAATTGATATCGAAGGAGCTTAGATCTGGAGTTGGCGAAGAGGGATCTGGAGAAGTACCGCAACTGGTGCTGCGATTTCAGATAGGAGTACCGCGACGCGATTTTAGCTTCCGAGGCGCCGGCGAAGACCCGGCAGAGGCAGGTGAAGGCTGCGAGGCCGAGTTCGTGTCCCTGTCTCCGCCGACGGTAGCGATCGGTTCCGTGCGGTGTCGGGTCCGTCGTTGAAGGAGGAGGCGGTGGGTGCTGCTGGCGGCTGACGGAACAGAGAGATCCCGCAAGTCGGCGGATAAGCAATCTGAGGATTGGGAAAATCTAATTTTAATGCATAAACAATTTGACCGACTCCTAATTGGCATGGAAAACCTAGCTTTCAAACCGACGATCTCTTCCCTTAGAAATCCGGCTACATTTTCGGCGGCCAGGCGTAACCGGTACAACCGGTTTCCCATCTGCGCGTGTGTTTTTTTTTTTTTAAGCATCAATGGTTGTATTGGCCTGTTGTCAATTTTAATGGCTCAGATTTGTGGAAAAACAAAAGCAAGTCACCTAACTTAAAAAAAGTACAAGGTACTGTAGGAGGTCCCATCTTGATATCTACCCAGCCCCAAAAAATCAGTTCCAATAAAAGCATTAGTAAGAAACAACCCTTCTTTCATGCAGCAGCAACACTCACTTGCAAACATCTCCTACCCTCTAGAACAACGCAAACACTGCAATTGAAAAGAAAATAATCATAAACTAATGCATTTAAGAGCAATTATATAAACGTAAAAACATAACAAATAACCAAATATTGCTGCAAATGATATGTAAAATGTCATTCAACCAAATACCTAAGGATCATTCTCAGTCTCTCCAAATAGCAGGTGTGTTGTGTATAATTCCATTTTCCAAGTAAGAATCCAACTCTGACTTAGTAGGCTTCTTTTTTCTTCTAAAAGCATATGGAGCAAATGTGCTTGTTGTTCTTGCTCTTGAACTGTTCACTTGAATCCCATCATTTTCTTTTTCTTGCTCTCTTTCCTTCTCTTCATATTCTTCAACTAACTTATGACATATACCAACAAGCTTCTCCATCTCCCTCTCACTTTCCCCACCATAATTCTCAGGAAAGTAGCAATCCATTACATCAGTTTTATACCTTGGATCAAGTATAGCTGCTACCCCATTAAAGAATGTACCTCATACCAACACTTGTCATACTTTTCCAACATATTCATAGCCATAATTTCAATGGTTTCAATTCCACAAACACAACACTGTCCGAAAACGATATTAATTTCACAAACTACTTCAAAACATAAGTTGGTAGTCAGATATTTAGTGCCAGAACAAAGTTCAGTGGCACTATAAAATTTTTTATGCCTAGTACAAATCTCTTTTGTCAAATTCCAAATAGACGCAATAGGCAAGCATTTGTACTTTCGATCCTGATTTCTTAAGAGATTAAAAACTTCTTTATACCCCAAAGCAGTATTCAACATCAAATAAGTTGAATTCCATCTAGTGTCATGGTCAAGTACAAGCTTCTTACCACCTTGATTACGAATTAGACGTGTAGCCTCAAGTTGGCTGATAGTCTCCACCAATATTTTCCATCTCTTTGGCGTTCCAACCAGAAATGAACACTCTTTCTAATTCTGTCAATGCCATCTCCAATCACCTTAAGACCTTCTTTGACAATCAAGTTCAATATATGTGCGCAACACTTCATATGAATCATACTTCCATTGTCCAAGATAGACTTATCTAAAGGAAGCTTTTCGAGCAGTCGACTCATCATTGCATCATTAGTCAAGCAGTTATCAACTGTGACAGCTGATAGTCAATGGCCAAGGTTCCAATCAAGTAAACAATCAAGCATAACCTCACAAAGGACTTTTGTTGCCAATACGAAGAGGTAAGGGGGCCCCTTCCTAAGTCCTTTCTTAGTCGAGAAGAATCCAAATAAACTCCCCTAAATTGTAATGCTAAAGCTAGCTATCACAAGACAAGTCATTTGGTGGGAGATTTCACTCAACCAAGTAAACAATCAAGCATAAACTCACAAAGGACTTCTATTGCCAATATGAAGAGGCAAGGGGGAAAGGGGGTTCCCCTGCCTAAGTCCTTTATTAGTCAAGAAGAATCCAAATAAACTCCCCTGAATTGTAATGCTAAAGCTAGCTGTCTTAAGACAAGTCATTTGGTGGGAAATTTCATTATATCCATTGCACAACCTAAAAACTTCAATTGACCACCTTGATTGTGCTCCTAAAAGTGATCACTCTTTATGATGTAATTTTTAACTATTTCTTGAATCATGAGTAGTAGAGGTGCCAATAGTATCCAAATGCATGAATCAAATCCAATCCATCCACTAAAATATTAAATTAATTCAATTTATTTAAATTCATTCCATTTGATCCAAATCCAATTGAATTGGTAGATTCATGGATCAAAATGACAAATTCCAGTTTAGTACTTCAAATTTATTTTTTTAAATGGAAATATATCATTGAAAACCTAAAAATTTTCATGATGACATTTTAGTACCTAAACGTTTCAAAATTTAATAATGATCAAAGACTTGGATGTCATTTGGATCCAGTGGAGTAGCCAGGGATTTATTTAAGGGAGTGCCATAAAAAAAATTACATACACGTTCTCATAGTTCATATTGTGAAATTATTCTAAAACTATATGAATCGACCAAACTATCAAGGTTTCACATTAAATGTATCAAACAAAACAACTGTTGGGTCTAGTATTACCCCACCTAATACAGGCCCAAGCCCACCACAAAGCGTCTCGCCTTAGGCCCAAGCCCATTCTAGGGTCCACTACACCGGGACGCGTCCAGTCCACCCGGGGGCGTCTTTTACCTGAAGGCGTCCATCACCGTGAGGTGTCCATCGACGGGAGGCGTCCAATCTACCAGGGGCGTCCATTACAATAGGAGGCACCCACCACTGGGAGGCGTCCACTGGATGCCTCCGACTCCTATATAAGGAGGACAAACCCTCCAAGCAAAGGGACCTCTCTCCCTTCCCACATTTTACCACTTATGGTTCTCTCTCTAAATCCTATCTCTCTCTACATTCCGATATCATTATCTTATATCCTATTCTAACTTGGGCGTCGGAGTGTAGATCTCGGGGGCCGCCCCCAGCTCTCCACATAATTCTTGCACTCCCGAGGAGATCAGACGATGGAGTCTGGATCAAGGTTCCACACTAATCACCCGACACTAATCTGAGTCAAACATTTTGACACCCACCATGGGGCCTGATTTAGGATTCGTCTCGTTTTGTTTCTGAATGAGGAGAAGAAATCGATTCTGCGCCCATCCGCTACCAGCCTACCACCTACAACACCGCGTCCAAAATTCCACGGAAGTCACTGGATCAAAAAAGAAAAGGTTATTGCTCCCCCTCAACCCGTCGAAAGCAGCGACGTTCCTCCTTTTTTCATTTTTTCTTTTTCCCTGGCGACGACCACCACCATGAATCTGTCCTACCTCAACGAGTTACAACGATAAGATTCTTTGGGAAATGATTCACCAAGGAAGACCGATAGCAGCTGAAGAAAGTGAAAATCGGAAACCACGGTCAGATCCCGGCGACTCCAGCCAACAGAGTTGTGCCGCAGTTCTGAAGATAGCAAGAAGAAACCCACGGCACCTGCCGCCATACTCTTCATCAATACCTTCGACGTCACTCCCAAAAAGTAAACTCCTCTGCTATAGCAGATCTGCAAAATCAATCAAGAAAGGATAGTTGTCCTTGTCACACTTTCTCTCTCTTCCAGTTGTGGCAGGCGGACGAGGTTATCGAGGTAGACGTCAAACACCTCAGGATGCAAGACGCCAATAAAAAACGATGAAGCCCAACCATTTGGTCCTCTCTTTCGCAACCAGATTATCCAGCTTTCATAAGCCCGCCTAGGCGGAACGCCGAGCATAAACCAGAGAGCGCCCAAAAATCGGAGATGCAAGGCAATAGGCGAAACCGTTCAAGGAAGGAGAATCATTCTCGTGAAAATCGAGCGCCGGAAAGTCAATGAAGAACGCCTCAAATGGCCAAAGAACTCTTTTTGGGAACAAGCAGCAGCGTACAACAACGCCTAGAAAGGAAAGCTTCTCGCAAAAGAAAAAAAATCGAAGGCGCAGATAGCTTAAGAGGAAGAGCGACCCTCGGTCAGCAAAAAGGAAAAGAAATAGAGCATCCTTGCTCTATCACCATCAAATACTCATTTGGGCCATGACCCGCATACGCATCTCAAAGCCCACGGTTTGCTTACAGAAACCCTAGTGCAATCTCCATGATCGCTTCCAACTACCCATCAAACTCCCAGCCCGCTTCGCAAGCACAACCCGATTCAACCTCGAGGCCCACATACCATCATCAAGAACAGCTTAGCTCTCGATCGCTTTCGCGTAGCCCGCAATGCGGGCCCAACCATCTGCCAGCCAACGACGACCCGGGCATTCCACGCCCGATGACCGCCTCAGACTTTAAACCAGGCCCAGTACAGCGGCCCATCCCATGACGAGTGAAGATTTATTCCAAAAATAATAAAGGAACGCGTCCGACAAGGTTCGAACCCAGGTCAAAACCTTTGCAAAGCTGAGGCGCATACCACAACATTACAAGACCGTCTTGAGAATCTGGACGCGACTTCTATTACTTAGACCTCTTCCTAGCTGTATTCTACAACTTATTCCCGAGCTAAGTTCTCCCTTTCAAGATATATCTTATATCATGTGTCGTGAAGATGCTTATTTAAAATCATGCTAGATAAAGTATATCTCATATGTCATGTCATGCCATAAAGATAATCATTTCCACTATACTATGACATATTTCACGCATGCTATTTTTATGTTTGTGCTCTAAAAATATGGGGCTCTAGTCGCTCACATCTTTCGCGGATATAAAACCGCTTCCTGAGCAATGCTTCCCCTCTACGTAGAAGCTCGATTCTGCTTCCCATTAGGCGCGACATCGGTATAGCTAGAAACACGATCCCGCCTCCTAGCAGGCGTGGCATCTTCAAAACACAAACGCCGCCTTGAGTTAAAACTCTCAAGTCGTGGGGGCCGCCCTCCCTAGCACATAGCTAACGCTTAATATTCAGCCAACAACTCACGCTTAACATGCACACAAGCTCATGCCCATCTCGCGATCCAACAGCTTAACGCATACAACTCATAGTTACGGCCTACATATTAGCACGCTCGGCAATGGGCTAGTGGGGAAATCTCAAACAACTTAAGAGCTCTAACTCAAGACCTCGAATGCTAAACAAAGAAGCAAAGACGATGACCGCACAAGGGGCAAACCGCATCGTGGGGACTAGCAAGGGTCCAGTCCACTCGGGGGCGTCCATCACCGGGAGGCATCCTGTCATCTGAAGGAGTCTATCACCGGGAGGCGTCTCGTCCACCCGGAGGCGTCCATCATTGGGGGCATCCATCACCGAGCAATGATCGCACAAGGGACAAAACCGCATCGTGCAAACTCGCAAGTAAGGCAAGTTAATACACCTTAACGCATTATTTTACTCCTTCCATTCTTACAGAATACAAGAAGCAAAGGGGCAAATGTCGAGTCTAGTATTAACCCTCCTAATACGGGCCCAAGCCCACCACAAAGCGTCTCACCTTGGGCCCAAGCCCATTCTAGGGTCCAGTACACCGGGATGCGTCCAGTCCACTGGGGGCGTCCTTTACCCGAAGGCGTCCATCACCTTGAGGCGTCCATCGATGGGAGGCGTCCAGTCTACCGGGGGCGTCCATTACAACGGGAGGGGCCCACCACCGGGAGGCATCCACTGGATGCCTCCGACTCCTATATAAGGAGGACAGACCCTCCAAGCAAAGAGACCTCTCTCCCTTCCCATATTTTACCACTTATGGTTCTCTCTCTAAACCCTATCTCTCTACATTCCTCGATCATTATCTTATATCCTATTCTAATTTGGGTGTCGAAGTGTAGATACCGGGGGCTGCCCCCGAGGAGATCAGACGATGGAGTCTGGATCAAGGTTCCACACTAATCACCCGACACTAATCCGGGTCAAACAACAACCATTCACAATTTGAGTTCACTTGATGCGAATGAAGGTCAATTGTTTTTTTGCATAAAATGTTATCAACTTGTGCATTGAAAATGACAGTAGCAAATCAAATCTATTTTCACAAGCAAATACATTGACGGAAACTAATTTTCTCTTTCGACTACTGTTATCATAAAAATTTAATGATTTTATCTAATAATTTGCACTCTTATCTATCTTGATCAAGTAGAATGTATAAATTAATTTTATTTACAAATTAATTTATATAGTTTATTGTTGTTTAACAATAAAAGATTTAACGATTGACGTTAAAATTTAGGATTTAAATATCATTGCTAACATACTAATAATATTATTATTTGTGCTTTTCTCCAAATCTAAGGGGGTGTCATGGAACCCCCTTAGTAACCTCTACCTCGGTTCTTGTTTGGATCCATGAATCATTCCACTATTTCATCAATTCAGTCCACAAATCCATGAATGTAATCAATTTTTTTTTTTTTTATGAATAAGCATTGTATTCATCAAGAAAGGATGACAAATTATCATCCTAACTGGAACCTCAAAAGTCAAAACCAACCCTGAACGTACATCACCTTTACAAGACAGCTCTACCACTAAAGTCATTACCTATACTACAGTACAGTTGCCAGTTACCTACACTACAGTTTTCACAACTAAACAAAATACAAATTTCTCAAATTACAAAAGTATCTATGTCTCCCATCAAAATAGCAGAAGCAACAGAAGGGATCCCACAATGTAGAAGCCTAAGGGGTTCCTTGAATTTATTGAAGTGCTTACTTTCTAAGAGAGCTTGATTAGCATATAATCTTCTACAACGTTCTCACCACAACTCGCTAACCATCATAGTCCATAACAACCTTCCTCTCGTTGTAGTAAGGCTACCAGAACTGCTAGATCAAGTTAATCATTCCAATCACCACCTATCAGATCAGAGGAATAAAATACAGCCTGCATAACCTTGCAAGAATAAGGAAAATCAAAGACCATGTGATCTCTACATTCAGGGGAGCCTTTGCATAGGGGGCAGATGTTGATCACAGAAGGATTTCACCTCTGTACTTTGTTTGGAGTATGTATCATATTTTGAATAATCAGCCATACAACCACCTTGTCTTCGGGGTGCATAGAGATTGCCAAAGCAACTTACTCCAAGGAACATTCCTTCTCTTGATTTGTATAACCTCCCAAACCTTCTTTACAGAGAACTTTACCATAGCACTACCATTGCACCGAACTCCATCAGCCCTGACCTGCATCTTGCCTTCAGCCAATCTGCTAGCTTTTAAAACCTTTCGCCATGCCCAAGAACAATTGATATCAGAAGATATATCCCAGATCGAAGTGTATTGTAGCTGGTAGCTTTTCACCCAATTATTCCAAAGAGAGGAAGAGTTAGAGAGGATAGACCATAAGTGCCTAATAAGGCAGGCTGAGTTCCATCTTCTGAGGTCCTTAAAGCCAATGCCTCCTTCATCTTTAGGAAGAATAATTTCCCACTTTATCTTTGCTCTTTTCCCTTCCTCTTCATAGCTCCACAAGTAATCATAACAAACCCACTCAATCATTTTAATCACTTTCACTGGAATTTGGATTATGTTCATCAAATATTGTGCTATGCTGGTAATGACAGAAGAAATCAATTGCAGCCTGCCAGCATAAGATAAAGACCTGGCACCCTAACCCCTAATTCTGCCTGTAATCTTTTCTACAAGTACTTTGCAATGCATAGAACTCAGCTTACCAGCCAGTAATGGAATTCCAAGATATCTCACAGGGAGACTCCATATCTGAAAACCAGTAGTTGAAGCAATTAACTCTTGAGTTGCAGAATTAATTCTGGCACAAAAAAATTCACTCTTTGAAGGGTTGCACTTTAAACCCGACGCCTCATAGAAAGCATCCAGTATCCTCTTAGTAATAGTAACAGCTTCACAGGTCCCCTTTGTGAAGATCAACGGGTTATCCCCGAAGCACAAATGTGAGAGGCCTATTCTATGTGTTTGAGGGTGACGAGGGAGAGTTTTAATGGAAAAGTCTCTATTTAACATACAAGAAAGGACTTCCATGAAGATTGTAAGGAGATAAGGGGATAGTGGATCCCCTTGTCTCAAGCCTTTTCTTGTTGGAAAATAACCACACAATCCCCATTAAAACACACTCAATCTAGTGCTTTTTAAGCATGATTTGATCCACTGAATAAACTGGACTGAGAATCCCATGGCCTCCATGACTGTCTCTAAAAAGTTCCCGTCAACACTATCAAAAGTTTTCATTAAATCTACCTTGAGAGCACATCTAAGAGATGTATTTTTCCTGTTATACAGCTTCAGCATTTCATGAGCCAACAATATATTGTGACTGATCATTCTCCCCCTATCAAAAGCTGATTGATTTAAGCAGATCACTAGGGGCAGGGCTTCTTTGATCCTATTTGAAATACATTTACAGAATATTGAAGTACAAGATAAGGCGATATTGTTTCATGTTTTCAGCATTTAAGGTCTTAGGTATAAGTGCAAGGTAGGTCGAGTTTACCTCTATCAATAAATGACCAGATCTGAAAAAGTCCTGAACAGCCAGCACCACCTCTTTGCCAACGAGGTCCCAATTAAGGTGATAAAATCCCGCTGTGAACCATCAGGTACAGGGGACTTATCTTTCTTCATTGAAAACAAAACATTGGTATTTTAACTTCATCCCCCGTAACTGGAGAGCACAACAAAGTTGCTGTCTCCGTGGGAAGTTTTTGCAGTAGTTACTTTGAGATCAACTCAGCATCTACCTTTCTTTACTTCAGTATTAACTGTTCCCAAAAGATTGCCATAGAATCTTACTGCTTCATTGCTCATAGCCTTGACATCAGTAAGTACATCCCCATCTTCAGTAACTAGCTTCTAAATAGTTGAGCGAGATTGTCTGATCTTCGACAGAATTGTGGAAAAATTTGGTGTTCAAAGTCACCATTTTGCACCCACAATTGTCTTGACTTTTTTCTATAAAAGATCTCCTCATCCTTGAGCAAAGTTAGAAGAGCTGCTTGACCATCTTGAACTGCATGGAATGTTCTGAAATTTCCATTTATAAAATTTCCAACTTCTTTTTACACGTTCTGAAATTTCCAAGTAAATTCTCTATTGAGGGCTTTAAGTCTTTTCTTGACCTCCTTCAGCTTCTTACAGATGATAAACATAGCAGTACCCTCAAACCTTGTGTTCCAAGCTTCCGCAACTATGTTTTTGTAATGAAAATATATGAAGGGCTTAGGAAGAACCTACATACCGCAGTGATTAGTTAAGACAGGCATCAACAGTTTTACCTAGGGCTGGCTATTTGGTCCGGGTTATTTGGTTTTATCCGAAACCGGACCGTATAACTCGGACCGAGATCGGACCGGGACCGGATAGTAAACAATTCAATCCAATCTTTGGGCTTATATTTGAGGTAAAAAACTATTCGGAACCGGATAAAAAACTGGATAAAGACCGGATAAGAGAGCTCAACACCCAAAACTTAAGGGTAATTAGCATAAACAGTCATAAACCTTTGCACTTAGTACAAAACTTAACCAACTCCTCACCCTTTTAGGCCTTAGGCCACTCAAATCCCCACAAGCTCAATATAAAATCAAGACCGAATTGAGACCGGACCGGATCAAAATCGAACTGTACCCAATCCAATCTTTAGTCCTTATATTTTCGAAAAAAAAAGACTAGACCTGATCAATTTGGGCCAATTTAACTGGATCGATCGGACGGTATAGGCCCTAGTTTTACCGCTTATTTTGGATAAGTAGGTTTAATGTTTACTTGCTTTGAATATTATGTAGCACCTCAAACCAAAGTAGTATCCAAATTCGGAGTTCTGTGGCCAGCAGAGCTGCAGAGGCAGTAATGGCGGTGGCCCCACCTCTCGAACCATGTGGAAAAATGAGTCAAGCTCCTCAAGTCTACGCCTCTGTTTCTTTCCGAACCAATATCTACGGTTTTCGCAGCTTTAATGCTCGAGAAATTTATATAACGAATCTGGCCAAGCACGATCAACACCAAACAAAGATAAAAAAAAAAAAAAAAAAGAAGAAGAAGATGAACTCGTTTGTGAAATTCGGAGATCCCGTCTTCTTCTCTTTCTTTCTCAGCTTCTTCCTCGCACTCTACTTATGTGCTCTGTTCTCAAACTGTGAAACAGACACGCTTACATCAGGCGAAGAGATGAAAGACGGGTACCACTTGGATTCAAGGTTTGGCGTTTTCAGGCTCGGCTTCTTCACCGCTAACGATGACAATCGTTACCTCGGAATCTGGTACAACATTCCCGACGACCAACGATACAGCCGTCAAAGTTACCTGCCTTACTCGGCTTCTTCTCCCGTCTGGGTCGGCAACACGAATTCCCCCATACTCGGCAAAACAGGGGCTCTCGTCATAGCAAGCGACGGAAACTTAAGGATCGTGAATGACAGCGGTGGCCAAATTGCTGCCGTGAACCCCCCTGTCCAAGGAGTTTCAGGTAAAACAAGTGCCATTTTGCTAGATTCCGGCAATTTTATCCTCCGGGAGCTGAATCCAGACGGGTCGGTGAAGCGGGAGCTGTGGCAGAGCTTCGATTATCCAACGGATACCCTCCTCCCGGGGATGAAATTGGGAGCCAATTCCCGAACCGGGCATGTCTGGTCTCTGAAACCATGGCTCAGGCAGACCGATTTCACTTTCAGGTTGGACCAAAACGGGACGACCAAGAACCAATTGGTGATATTATTCAAAGGACGGGTGTATTGGAGAAGTGGGAAGTGGCTGGATCAGATTTTCCCAGGTTTCAGTTTCAGGAATGTGTCGAATAACAACGATGGGGAAGAGCGGTATGTGGTGGTTTACAGTGTAGAAGGAGGAGAAGGAGAAGACAATGACGTTGCCTATCCAAGGATCACCATTACTAGCGATGGCAGTCTTATTGGTCAGGGTGCAACCAGATTAGTGGGCTGCGACTTGGAATCTGTAGGCGCTGAATGTTCCGGTGATGCTGAAACGCCCACTTGCGGTATTCCTTTATATCCGAACGACGCGAGTCTGACAGCACAAGGCTACCAAGACTTGCCGCCTGGTAGCCATGTGAGAGCGGGCCAATGTCGTCTGAATTGCTCCCGAAACTGCACTTGCTTAGCTTATCCGAGACAGAGTCGTGACGGGTCTGGGTGCCAGATGGGAATCAAATTTGCGTACTCAGCTTACTCATTAAGTCAACCCACAGGTAATCATTTTGCCAACTACTACACTTTCTTCATAAATATTCGACCTAATTACCTAAGCAAGAGTAACAAAATTTTATTGCTTGCACAGTTAACGGTTATGCCGTTAACGGTTTAACCGCTAACCGCACAGTTAATCGATTGTTAACCTTTACGAAAAATGCGGATCGTTTAATGAAAGTTGAAATTTTTTACTGGGTAACCAAGTCATAAACGATTAATCAATAAGGATTGTTAATTAACCATCTAAAATAGGTAAAACGCAACAGTCAACCATGGACACAATTTGCCCCTTATCACTCGGCCCTCACTGACTACAATCTCCTCGTCTTTCGAGCTTGAAGAAAAAACGTAAGCCGATCGATGAGTCTATTTCGCGAACCACGAATTACTGGGCATCGAGCATTGAATCCTCTCTGGTGGATTCTCATTAGATCGATGAGAGGATGATCGAGAGAGAGAAGCGACAGTGATCGGCCTCGATGTTCCTGCCACCGTCAACCCTCCTCCTCTATCTCTATTTTACTTGGACTTAGGAAGGGAGAAGTGAAAGAGATGGTGGCATCTAGGATTTAACGGTTCTAGAGTAAAAGAGAATAAAATGGTTGTTTTCTCATGTGTCAGAACAGAAGCGTGCAATCGATAATCCAAACCAATACGAACGAACACAAATTTAACGTGGTTTACTAACACAATGTGTGCTAGCTAATCCACGGGCAGGGGAGAGCAAATTTCACTAATTTGAGGAGAGTACAAGTTACAAACCAAATTCCAAACGGACAAACCAAACAAACTAACCTGACTGACCTTTACTACAGACTAGGGTGATGAAGAGTATTTATAGAACTATTCTCCTAATCCCAAACAGAAAACCAAATACCTTTTCCCAAACATACAAGGAAAATGCCAAAACAAAGTCCAAACACAAACCCAAACAAAAATAGGCCCAAAACACAAAACAAAACCAATTCAAATTCAAGTCATATTCTAACAATCTCCACCTTGACTTGAATTCTCTGTCAAATACGAGATGTACCAGACGCAACCAAAGTTGCCAGATGTACCAAACGCAACCAAAATTGCCAGATGTACCCAGACGCGATACATATCGCCAGACGTATCCAAATGCGATCGAAACCACCAAACTCAAACGCAATCAAGATTGCCAGACATATCCAAATGCGATTCATATCGCCAGACCAAACATGATGCAAATCGCCAAACTCAGGTACAGTCAAAATTGCCAGACGTACCAAACTTCTCCAAATCAGCTGTACCAGAATCTCCCCTACCTCCAGATGCCCCTAAGGGCGATCAACAAATCAAAACATGCAGCAAGTCAAACCCATGCTGGGACTTGCCATGCATAACCAACTTGGTGTTATTTCCATCGATAACACCAACATCAGATTTACTACCAACTCCAAACCTGCAACTCCAAATCGACTTCTCAATCTTTAAATCCAGAACAAACATCCTTGGTGATTGAAAACCCTGATCACCACCAAGGGCAACAAACATAATTCTCCCCAAACCACAAGCTTTCTTCAAGTTAAGACAAAATCTACAAATTGAATTGAAGAACCTATTCTACCACGAACCTTGTCAATTGCGCATCCGATCAACCAGGAGCGCGATCCAAAATCCGCCAAGACAGTTTCAAATAGCCAAAAGATCAACCGCGGCTCTGATATCACTTGTCAGAACAGAAGTGTGCAATCGATAATCCAAACCAACACGAATGAACACAAATTTAACGTGGTTTACTAACACAATGTGTGCTAGCTAATCCACGGGCAGGGGAGAACAAATTTCACTAATTTGAGTAGAGTACAGGTTATAAACCAAATTCCAAACGGACAAACCAAACAAACTAACCTGACTGGCCTTTACTACAGACTAGGGTGATGAAGAGTATTTACAGAACTCTTCTCCTAATTCCAAACAGAAAACCAAACACCTTTTCCCAAACATACAAGGAAAAGGCCAAAACAAAGTCCAAACACAAACCCAAACAAAATAGGCCCAAAACACAAAACAAAACCAATTCAAATTCAAGTCATATTCTAACATCATGTTTGTTGGTTCACCGAGTGAGTGGATTTGTTTTCTTATTTGCAAAGGAAAAAAGTGATAGGCGGATAGGCGAGAGTGAAGAGAATAAGAGAGTGTGCGAGTAGGCCTTTCTTCTACCCATCACTTTCCTTTTCCACATTCTCTAAAAAGACAATCATGCTCATTGCCTTTTGTCAAATCCACAAATCTACCACTTTCCTCTCTCTCAGGTGCGTAGGAGGTCAACCGCTAAAACAAGCGCTAAACACATCGACGGTTACCGGTTGACTACTAAGTTTAGGCGGGTAGGCTAATGATAATGAGTTTTTGGTTGGCGGATAATTGCTAACTGCATTATCGATTAACGGCTAACCGACCCAAATATCACCTATACATAGTGGTGGCCAATGAATTGGATTCATTTATTGGATTGGTAGATTGGATCCAAGTTAGGGGTGGGATTCGGCCACGATGTTTTTGGTTAAACCAAAAATTGGACTGAATAAATCTGTCAATTAGTACGATATTGTCCACTTTGGGCCAAGCCCGCACGGTTTTACTCTTGGGTGTCCTCCCCAAAAGTCCTCGTACTAATTGGGCTAGGTGGACACTTATATACAAGGGTCTCTTCCCTTGTGCCTGTAAGGATTTCCGATTCTTGTAATAGTAATGTTGATATTGTCTCACAACAATCCTCCCCTCAAGACAAGGACAACATCAGTAATACAAGGGAAGAGACCTTTGTATATAAGTGTCCACCTAGCCCAATTAGTATGAGGCCTTTTGGGGAGGACACCCAAGAGTAATACCATGCGGACATGGCCCAAAGCGGACAATATCGTACTAATAGACAAGTGGTATCAGAGTCTGGATTGTTATGGGACAATCCAAGTACCACAACGGTAATACAAGGGAAGGGACCCTTGTATATTAGTGTCCACCTAGCTCAATTAGTACGAGGCCTTTTGGGGAGGATACCCAAAGGTAAAACCGTGCGGGCTTGGCCCAAAGAGGACAATATCGTACTAATTGAGAAACCCGATTATAACAAGTGGTATTAGAGCCTGGTTCGGTTCGGGGCTGTGGACGTCAGTTCGGTTGACCCTCATTTGGTGACCTCGAGAGTTGAGATCTGGGTTTGTCTGGCGCGTCAAAGGAGACTCGCATTTGGGAAGAGCAGATTAAAGAGAGTTCTGCATATGGAAAAGTCCTTGTATCGAGAAGCCCATCGATTCATGGTGTCTGGCGGATCAAGATAATCGCTGAGGTGAGGACATGAAGTTCGTGGTCCTTGTCTTGAGGGGATGATAGTTATGGGACAATCCAAGTACTACATCGGTAATACAAGCGAAGGGACCCTTGTATGTTAGTGTCCACCTAGCCCAATTAGTACGAGGCCTTTTGGGGAGGACAACCAAAATTAAATCTGTGCGGGCTTTGTCCAAAGCGAACAATATCGTACTAATTGAGCTCTCCAGTTATGACAAAATCGATCACACAAAAAGTCAACTTCACTAAATCAGAACTATCTTTTACACCTAAATCAGAGTTTTTTCCCCGGTAATTAAGCGATCTTTTATAGCTCTATTTGATCAAAATGGCCAAATCTCGAAAACAATACAATGTCAATACAAAATAGAACTCACAAAGGGGAATCCCCAGAACTCAAACCTACCAGACTACCAAGCTCAGAAACTCAAAATACTTCATTATCATGTACTACTGAAGTAAAATCAGGACAACCAATACCAAAAAGCCTAACCTCTTCCTTTAAACCAGCAAGCAATTCACTGCTACTACGCCCACTACCACTAGCACCAAAAACTCGGAGACCAAAGTGCTCCTTTTTCATCTCTTGTGGACCAGATACATGCCTGGTGAAATCAACCTTACCAGGAGGTCGGCCAACCTTGCTGCAACCGACCCAGACCACCATCAAGAGCTGTAGCGGAGTAAGGGAAGTAAAAGAAAAGACGATCCCTAGTCTCCCTGACCCCACTGCATAGAACACAAAGATCCGATTCAATAACACCCCAATCAAAAAATTTATCTCGTGTTTTGATTCTGTCCAGAATAACTAACTAGACAATAAATCGATATTTCGATATAGTAAACCTGCTCCAAAGAAACTGAAACCAGGGCACTACCGGATGCTTCTCACAAATGGTTTTCCAGACAGTTTTGATAGAGTATCGTCCCATCTGTTGACCTTCTCAGTACACTCTTCCTTCCCCCTGCACTGTGAATCAAAATATAACCCAACCGCGCACTTTCAGCTTCAGCATATATTTCCACACCCAGGAACTTGTAGAACCTTCCTTTATTTCCCACAAAGAGCGACCATTAAGTCTATACCTAGTGACTCAAGCAACCCAAAAGCTCCCTCCATGCATCAGTATAAGCCAGATAAGTCTAGCAACATTCCACGTCACGAGATCTTTCAAGCCAAGACCCCGTCCTTTATGGAGAGAGCAATGCGGATCCAAGCCACTTTGCCCTCCCTGACCCTTCACCATACCATAAAAATTCGGAGCAGAGCTTTTGAATTTGCATGATAATCTTCTTAAGAATGATGAACACTGTCATCCAAAAATGCACAAGTGAGTAGAGAACCGAAGAAACCAGATGAATCCTTCCTACATAGGTAAGTTTAGAAGCTTTTCAGGAACGAATACGACTAGTAATCTTGTCGACTAAAACATCACCATCCTTGGCCAATAATTTCCCAACAAACAAAGGCAAGCCAAGATATCTAACTGCAATTTTCCTTCCTTGAACCCTGTATACCGGAGAGATACAACAATGTCTTCAGCCTTTTCTCCCCCAAAGAAAATTCAGTTTTCTTAGGGTTGCAAGACAGACCATACAACTGAGTGAACCTATCCAATACCCTTTTAACACACTCCAAAGCATAAACCGAGCCCTAAGTGACAATTAAAAGGTCGCCCGCAAAACAGAGTTGTGTCAAACCTAGTAAACGACACTGAGGATGATATGGTAGGTCTCTGTTCAGTGCTACCATGTCCAACATAGAGGAAGGAAGCTCTATAGCAATGGCAAACAGATATGGCGATAAGGGATCGCCCTGCCGGACCCTTTGCTTAGCCTCAAAATTGCCAAAAAAACACTGCTTTGGACCATAATGCTAAACGTAGCAGTAGAGATACACAATCTAATCCAGCCAATGAATTCAGTAGTAAATCTCATACACTTCATAATACAAAACAAGCAATCCCAAGAGACGAATCAAATGCTTTTTACAAATCCACCATGTTTGCACTACAAGAGGCAATCCTCTTTTTATGATAATTTTGCATTAACTCCTGAGCCATAAGTATATTATCAAGTGTACTTCTTCCCTTAATGAATGCCGATTGATTCATGCTTATCAAATTGGACAGGACAGTTTTCAATCTATTGGTAATGACTAATGACCTTAGAAACAATCTTATACAACACATTAATGTAGGCTATTGGTCTAAAGGCATTTAACGTCACTTCATTTGGTTTCTTGGAGCACAGGGTAAAAGACGTAGAGTTCATACCTTTAGGGAAGAAATCGTTAGTGAGAGCCTCCTTGACTCCTGCAATTACTGAGCTGCAAATAATCCCCCATCATTTCTAATAGAAATTGACAGTCCAGCCGTCAGGGTCCGGAGCTTTTGGAGGATCCATTTCAAACAAAGCTTCTTTGATATATTAATTGAAATAATTAAAAATACTCAAAATATACTTAATTTAACAAGTGTGTTATAATCAAAATAAATGCTTATACGGTGAGAAAAAATTATCATGCATTTTAACATGTAATTTCTTTCATACCTTTATATTATGTTTTTAAAAATTAATTAATTACATATCCAGAAACAATCTATGAAAATATGAATGTAAAAGTTCAAGAACTTGACTGAAGTTATTTGAAATTACAGGTTTTATAAGACATTGTAGAGAAATTAAAGGATTGAACTGGAAAAAAAACTGTTAAAATTGTAAAAAACTGCTATCTATAAGTGTCGACAACCCGCGACCTTGTAGCTGCAACTGGGGTGCTTCTCCGCTATATTGCAAACATGCGGCGTTAAAAATATTTCACTCGGATTCAATATACATTTTACATTACATTTATACGTAATTCTCGAAATTTCTTAGGTCTTTATACATAAGTTTCAAAATTCTCGAGGGGGTCGGGGGCCCCCGAGAGCCTACATAGCTCCTCCCCTGGAAACGGGTGGTATCCCACGAGAAATATCTAGGCTTTCCTACTACTATGGAGTGGGAGAAGAAAACAAAATTCACCTACCTTGTTGATAGGGAGGCTACTCTCAATTGTAGCAAAGGAGATTCTTATCAAATCCTTAGTTCAAGCTCAAACAATGTACCTAAGTCTATATTTCAAAGGATTATCTCCAAAGTTGTGAAACCCCTATCGAACCCCCGGTTGGACCTAGTCCGACCCAAGTCGAGCTTCAAAATGGCATCCAGAAAGCCCCCGGTTTGACAGCATCGACCGAGATTTTCATAGGAGCCGTTATCGGTAGCTGCCACAATAATTCTCACTCTGTCGTCTATTACTAAAAGAAAAAAAATGATCTTTGCTCTCTCCACTTTAATTTCAACACTACACAAAAAATGAATCAAACCATCTAAACTCTCTTCGCCCTAACAAATTTTAAAACTTTAAAAATACCATAGTAGTACCTTATAGTACGTGGTGGTATCATAATGTATTAAAATTAATCTACCTATATGCTATCATTTACGGTATGCGGCAACCATACGATATGTTATATTTTAAACTTACAATGTTGTCTAACAAAGCATAAATCTATAAAATAAAATTACAATACACGTACCATATGGTATGATGAGGTATGATTTATAGTGGGCCAAAATAAAACTTGTGGGTTGATATAGTATTTTGTATGCTGGTATCATATGGTATGATATAGTATATAATAGTGTTATAACAAGAAACAAATTTTGGATTAGAATACTGGTACCATATGGTATGACAGGGGTAGAGTTAGGATCCAGTGGGGGGGGGGGGGGGGGGGGGGGGGGGGGGAGGGGGGGAGGACTTTATTGTATAATATCCGTAAAAAAAATCTAAGAAAATATTTACATTGTGAGTCATAAGCTTCAAAGTTTAATTATCTAGACTCCAAAATTTAATTATCTAAATTAGAAAAATATTATAAGCTCCAAAATTTCATTATCTAGTTTGAACTTTGAAATTAAAAAGTATTTGAATAAGTACAAAAGTTAAGTGATCAGTCTTAATTTAAACAAAAATTCAACCAAATTAGGAAAACTAAAAACACAATGTTGTTGCCAGAGATTGAACATGGTACTGGGTATTCACAAATATCAGGTAGCTGCTTCATTACGTTAGACTAGATCCAGACATTGTTTTTCATTATTGCACGTTATTGTTATTCTACAATAGTTAACTTCTTTAGAATTTTCAAAATTTGCGATATTTTTACACGCGATCTCCAAAACTCTCGGGGGGCCGGGGCCCCCCAAGGCAGAAGGTAGCTCCGCCCCTGTGGTATGATGTGGTATTATGCTAATTAATAACTTCAACTGAAATTGAATGGTGACATTTTTATTAAACTTTAGTCACAATACTGGTACCACTATGGTAACATGTGTAACCATAAAAAATGGGTTAATACCTTAGTTTGGCCTGAACTATACACATACTTTCTACTTTGGCTCGTGGTATTGAAAATTGCTATTCTGGCCTGAACTATGTAGCAAACTTCCTCATTTGGCCCGGAGGCGGGTTTGACCGTCAAATTAGACGATCAAACCTGGTGACCGTTAGTCAATATCCACCTCACCTGCCACGTCAGCTTTGAGGACATTATTTTTTATTTTTTATTTTTGAATTTTATTTTCTTTCGATTAATAAAAATAATAAATCAAAAAATTAATTAAAAGAACGAGAAAGGGCCCATTTTTAGCAAATGAAAAGAAAACAAAATTCGGAAATAAAAAAAATATTTTTTATGTCATCAACGCTGACATGGTAGGTGAGGTGGACATTGACTAACGGTCAACAAGTTTGACCGTCTAATTTAACGGTCAAACCCGCCTCCAGGCCAAATGAGGAAGTTTGCTACATAGTTCAGGCTAGAATAGCAATTTCCAATACCACGGGCCAAAGTAGAAAATATGTGTATAGTTCGGGCCAAACTAAGGTATTAACCCTAAAAAAATATAGTTACCAAACAATACCACCATAGCATAGTGTGGTAATCTCAATATATATAATTAAGACTTTCTCCACTTTCATGCCCTTCGTTTCCTTCACAATACCACCATGGTACAGTATGGTAACCACAATATACATCCAACTAAGCAAACTTTATAAATGCTAGTCTTCTGCATCCTCTCCTTTCCTCCTTCGCAATCGAGAACACCAAAAGAAAAAAAAGGAAGATCAAAACCAAAAATCCACAAACAAATATTAAAACATAAACATTAACATAATAACATAAGATCATATGGAGACAATCATCTTTACTCTTTGGTGAAATGTGGTTATGAATGAAGGATGGGACGAGATTCTCAAAATTAAGATTAAGACTTGGGTATTTTTGTAGGAGTTAGGAAAGTGGTCGAGTAACCTGCTAACGTGTATTGAGAAGTCAGCTGGATCCACGGTTTGGTCCGGTAAACCCCGGTCTAGACCTGACCAAGACATCAAAACATCATATAATGCAGACCATGAACCAGACTAGACTAGACTAGACCAAAACATACTTAACGGTCTACAGTCCGGACCAAACTATGCGATCCGGTTTGGACCATGATTTTTCAAAGTGTCTAGTCTATTTTTGCAGCCCTAATCTATTACCCTAACCCCCTTAACCTTCAATTTTGAATCTCAATCCCAAACCCTAAATTATAAACTAAACCCTAATCCTATATCCCTCAATTCTAAATCCTTCAAATTAAAATAAATTTTGAATTAGTTTTTTTCCCCTTCAAATTCTTGTGTTTTTTGTTTATAACATCATAAGCAACGATTGGTACCGTATGGAACATGAATCAGATGCTCGAAAAGCCAATCATGAGGTTAACGCATTGAATGCACCAAAAAAGTTGGTGCACCGAATATGTCACCATATATATATATATACCTAACTATGAACTATTGCAGTTGATAGACGTCGTTGGCAGCTGTGGTTCATCATCGCAGGAGTTGTTCCGTTAGCACTCTTTCTTCTCTTGTTCTTGTCGTACCTTGGCTGGAAATGGAGAAGTCAGTTAGGTGCAATCGTAACCCATTTAACGAGGAGTGTCCGTGAATATTGGAAGCGTTGTGGGTCTTTCTTCGCAATGTGGAAGGAATACTATGTCCTGCTTCGGCTAACTAAGGCCATCGCAGATGCGGAGCAAGAGATTGTTGCAGGAGTTAGGGATGGCAGCTGAGGCAAAAGCCGATCTCGATAGCCAAGAAAACGGCAACAACAATGATTTCCAGCTATTCAGTTTCGAGCACATAGTTTCTGCTACAGGCAACTTCCACGCCGATAATAAGCTCGGACAGGGTGGCTTTGGACCTGTTTATAAGGTAAATATGGGCATATATGTGTTTCATTTAACTTTTGGTTGCCTGGTTTAGCAAATACCAACGAAAATCGCTGCTAGTACTCCTGCAACTTTCTAAACTCTTTAGCATCAAGTCAAAATCCTACTCGGAAAATTTTGCAGGGGAAGCTACCAAGTGGGCTAGAAGTGGCGATAAAGAGACTGTCAACGAGCTCGAGGCAGGGGCTAGTTGAGTTCAAGAACGAAGTAAGGTTCATTGCTAAACTGCAGCACGACAATCTGGTCAGGCTAGTTGGTTGCTGCATCGAGAATCGAGAGAAGATCCTCGTCTATGAATATCTGCCCAACAAAAGCCTTGATTTCTCGCTCTTTGGTAGTTCCATTAATTAACTTTTGCTTCTCCTCCCACACCTAGAATTTGACCTAAATTAGTTGCTTCTGATCGATTACCAGCTCCTACTGACGACAATGTTCTGGATTGGAAGAAAAGGTTCAACATTATCCAAGGGATAGCCCAAGGACTTCTATACCTCCACAAATATTCGAGGCTGAAGATCGTCCACAGAGATCTGAAGGCCAGCAATATCTTGCTCGACAGTGAGATGAACCCCAAGATATCGGATTTCGGGTTGGCCAGGATATTCCATCCCAATGAGACTAGAGCAATTACTGCACGTGTTGCTGGAACTTTGTAAGTTGGTGGTTTAATTTGTAGACTTCATTTTCATGTGATGCTTAAATTGAGTTCCTTGCAGACTGATGCTTGTTCTGTAGATTAAAAAAAAAAGTATAGGATGTTTGAATACTCTAAATTCCAATGCAATGGGTACATGTCTCCCGAGTATGCTATGGAGGGAGTTTTCTCGACAAAGTCGGACGTGTTCAGCTTTGGAGTTCTGTTGCTTGAAATTGTGAGCGGCAATAGGAACAATCACTTCCGTGGTGATCGTGAAGGCCCTTGCAGTCTCTTGACATGGGTGAGTTTTCCTAACCTTCATCACTCAATCATTGAAAAAACAAAAAAATTGTAGCAATATTGGAAAGTTTGTGACGAACAAAGTTTGTTGTGATAGGAAAATTTTTGGTGATGGATTTAGTTTATTTCTATACTCTAAATTTTCGCGGACATGGAGAGGTGATGAATTTGCGACAATTTCTCAGCTTTATGCGACGCGCTACGTCGTCGCAGAAGATTCGAGGATATTTGCGGCACAAACTTTTTCGTCGTAGAACAATTGCTAGATATTGCTGCCAAGTTATTTGGTCTCTAGATATATGGGAATATTTACCACTATTTCTTCTTGTCGCGGAAAGTTTAGATTACTTGCCGACGATGTATTTCGTTACAAGAACTGTAAAGGGGTACCCCACTTTCGTCGCAAAACCAATGCTCGATAATTTAAAACTACTTTTCTTCTTGATGTAGGCTTGGGAGCTATGGAGAGAAGGAAGAGGAACAGAGTTAGTGGATTCAGTCATAGGGATAGACGACAACAACAACAATAGCATCTGCCAGAACGAAGCAGTGAAGTGCATTCAGATAGGTCTGTTATCCGTGCAGGAGAATCCAAGGGATAGACCTTCAATGGTGAAAGTCGCCTCCATGATCTACAACAATGATTCAGTCCAATTGCCGTCTCCAAATCGTCCAGCATTTTATTACAGGATGAGCAGCTTGCAGGAGGTCGCGGAGATTATTGAAGAGCAGGAGGAGATTTGGACACCGAACCAGGTTACCATCACGGAAATGAATGGCAGGTAATCATCCGATCGACTTCGTGGGGATATTGAAACTAGAAAATTGACCCGCGCTCTGCGACGGGTTATCGAAAATAAATTGATCAGTTAAAAAAGTATATTCGTGTACTAACCGTAATCAACTTCTTAATCTCTTTAGACATTGTTGGATATGATCTTGAGTTAAATAACTAAACACTTATATTTATACAACATGAACATAGATTGAATAGTTGAATATATAATAATAGAGTTGGTATTTTCTAAATAATTATTGATCAGACCATATTGTACTTGGCTATATTTATGTTTTTTTTTTTTTATAATGGCGACATTTATTAATTAATGAAAGGCAAAAATAAGGAGAAATACAACGAAAAAGGGGAAGAACAGGTTCAAGAGGGAAGAACCTGATTTCCACACAGTACACATAGAAACGAGAAAAAGAAGAATTACAAAGAAGCAAAAAAAGGCTTAACGGACTGGAAACCGTTCCTGCCGAGGAAGAAAGAAGAGACAGCTAGACGGACAGAACCGTCCCTGCTGAAAAACACAAAACAGACAGCTAAAACACAAAAATTAAAGTAGAAACTCAGCAAGCCAAGAAGCAGCTTGCTCTTTGTCGATCTTATGATTAGCCGTAAGCCAATATTCAACCATCCTGACTGATTTCCTAGCAATGATCATGGCAGTAGAACCAGTATTTTTGAATAACCTCTAATTCCTCTGTAACCAAACTGACCAGAATATAGCATGAAGAATACTGACATTGAACCACTCATCAATGCTGCTGGGTGATAAGGAGGGTCTGTTGCCAATGACAGAAGAAACATCTCCTTGCAAGTTGCCAATGAAGTTCTTTTTACTCTTGATAATATTCCAAGCGTCTTGAATGTACTCGCATCTGGTGAAGAGATGATCTGCGTTTTCTTCTTCATTATAGCAAAGAGTGTAGCGGTTTGCAAGCTGTGTTCCTCTTCTCTTAATAACATCCATCGTGTAGATCTTTTTAAGCCAAAGAGTCCATATAAAGAAACAAATTTTGCTAAGGATGAAGGGCTTCCAAATAGTTGATGCATCAAAGTCTTGGAAGCCGTGGGGATTCTCATTTGTAAGCTGATCATAGGCTGAGCTAACGGAGAATCCATCTTCTGGTTTTGGTATCCAAATGATCCTGCAAGGACTGTTAGGAGCAAAATGCACATTTTCAGAATTTAAATAGATCAAAAGCCTTTCTCTTTCTCTCTCTGCTCCGCCTCTCAATCTAACTCTCAAATTAAGGTTCCAGGTTACCTCAGTATCAGTGAAGGAGGCAATGTCTGTGATCCGAGCAGCAGGTTCGATAGCAACAGCAACAACTCTTGGGTAGTCAACAGCGAGAATCGAGTTCGAAGTCCAGTTGTCATACCAGAAAGAGATATGGCCTCCACTTCCTGGTTCAATCTGAGTATATTTCCAGAAAAGATGATATTCCTTAGCAATATTAGCCCAAACAGAACTTGAAAATCCAGAGCTAATCTGAGCAGTCTGCCAATCGAACAGGATATTCGGATATTTCATATTGATTAATCCTCTCCACTAACTATTTTTCTCAGTAGCAAACTACCAAATCCACTTAACAAGTAAAGCAGAATTGAAGCACGCTAGGTCACATATTCCTAATCCCCCTTTAGCTTTAGAAGTCTTGCAAAGATCCCAATTCACAAGAGGCGATTTTCGACTGTCACTATTTCCATTCCAAATAAAGTTCCTCTGTATAGCTTCCATGTCCTCAATCACTTTTTTAGGAGCTTTAAGTAAAGAAAAGTAGTAAACAGGAAGGCTTGTGAGAGCAGATTTATTAAGAGTGACTCTTCCTCCTATTGATAAATACTTGCTTTTCCACCCTTCAAGCTTCTTCCTGAAATTAGCTATAACAGGCTCCCAAATAGATGCTGCATTTGGTTTAGCACCAAGAGGATACCCAAGGTACTTTGGAGGATTCGTGCTCCATTTGCATCCAAAAATATTAGCATAGAAACTCGGTTTTGGGACATCTCCTACAGTATAGCTAACTGATTTCTCAAGATTAATCTTAAGTCCTGTAACTGCTTGGAAACAGACAAGAGTGGACAAAATGCTGATAACTTGTTCATGTGAGACATCACAGAATATCAAAGTATCATCCGCAAATAGAAGATGTGTTACCTCACCTTGCAGAAGTCTCTCATTCATGAAAAAACCGTTGATTTTGTTTTCTGCTTTGAGCTTAGATAGCATGAATGATAGAACATCCATCACAAGGACAAAAAGTGCCGAGGAGATGGGATCTCCTTGACGAAGACCCTTAGACGCTGGGAAAAAACCAAAGGCTTCTTCATTAACCAGAACAGAGATGAGAGGGGAGCACACTGCCTTTTTCATCCAATCAATCCATAAATCAGGAAACCCAAACCTCCTCAGAATCTTAAAGAGACACTCCCAATGGACGTTGTCATAAGCCTTCTCTATGTCAAGTTTGAACATAGACCAGGTTTCCTGCTTCTTCTTCTGCTATCGACCAATTCATTGGCAATGAGACCTGCTTCTGATATTTGTCTCCCCTTAACAACAGCTTGTTGATGCACATACACCAAATCAGGGAGGATATCACTCAATCTTCTTGCTAAGACTTTGTTAATAAGTTTATTGAGACTTCCCATTAGTCCAATTGGCCTTAAGTCTTTGACATCCTCAACAACATCCTTCTTCGGGACCAGGCAGATAAAGGAATGTGAAGCTGTCTTTGGAAGTTGACAAGAATCATGGAAATCCGCAAAAGCATTAACAATGTCTGGTTTAATCATCATCCAACATCTCTTATAGAAGTCAAAAGTGAAACCATCAGGGTCTGGAGCCTTGGATCCATCACTGTCTTTAAGGGCTTCCCATATTTCAATTTCACTGAATGGTTGGCAGAGCTTTAAAATATCAACTTCCTTGATTATGTAATCGAAATATGTACATGGGAAAGGCCTGGAAGTGATCTGTTCTTTAAAAAGGTCCATGTATAAACCAAGAATACCAACTGCTACATCCTGAAAACCTTCATCCATGTGTCCTTGCACTCTAATACGATCTATAGAGCTGAATTTTTTCCTGTAGTTGGCAATACGATGGAAATACCTTGTATTGCTATCCCCTTTTTGAGTCCAAGTCTCCCTTGACTTTTGTCTCTAGCAACTTTCTTGCATATTTAAACAATGAGCAGGTTCCACTTTAAGCACACATCTTTCAACTGATTCATCGCTATCAAGAGGTCTGCTTTCTTCAATTATATCAATCTCATGAATCTTACTCAACAAGTCATCTACCCTCTTGTGAATGTTTCCAAAAACCTCTTTATTCCACGTTTTGAGTTTCTGTTTGATGACCTGCAGCTTCTTATACCAAAGAAAAGAGTATCCAGTACACTGTATGGGGATCTTCATCCATATATCTAAGCCTTCAAAAAACCTTTTATCTTCAAGCCACATGTTTTCAAAGCCCCAAGGCCTTTTAACTCTTCTGTCATCACCCCATCTTAAATGTAATGGATTGTGATCTGATTCTACACGATCAAGAGATGAAAGGGAGCAGTCCGGAAAAGTCGTATCAAATCTAGGAGACCAGGACCCTATCAATACGTGACAAAGAAGAGTTGTCCGAACCCCTACTCCAAGTGTAAAGACTACCTTTCATAGGAAGATCAAGTAGGAGATTACTATCAATGAAACCATTAAATTCATTCATGAGGTCGGTGTTGCTCCTTGCTCCTTGATAATCATCATGGCTTCGCACCAGATTGAAATCGCCCCCAATGCAAATAGGGGCATTAGTTTGTTGACAGTAGGCATGAAGCTCTTCCAAGAATGAGAGTTTTTAAGTTTTAACTTGAGGTCCATAAACAGAGATTAAATGCCCATAAGAAGAACTTGCCAAATCAAAAAACTCGATTGCAATAAACCAATTGCCCGCTCTGGAAGTAATTAATTGAGAGACCTGCTTATCCCAGTAAACCAGAATACCTCCTGAACTTGCCTTTGTTTCTTTGGAGATCCATCCCATATCTCTTCTTCCACTTATTCCCGCAACCACAGAATCATTGCACTCATCCCATTTGGTTTCAAAGAGTGAAACAATTTGAGGTCTGTGTTTCGCAATCAATCGCTTAATCCTTCCCCTTTTTTCAAAATCTTCTAATCCTCTAACATTCCAAAAAATGACTGAGACACCCATAAAATTAAGACTAAGAGGATCTATCTATCCTGCTAGCACTCTTCCTCGGACCTCTGTGTGGAGACAATTGGGGTCCGAGTCTGTGCTTTTCCATTTCAAGTCTGGAGCGAGGAGTTCTTACCTTTTTACAATGCATTCCTTTGCAGTTTCAATGATCACCCTTTCTGCTTTATCTTCACCTTCATCATTATCCAGGGAGAATATACGGCTCAAATTAACACTCGATTCAACCAAAGTCAGACAATCGAAGGGGTATGCTTCCACATTCCATTCGGCGACTTCGCTTTCCTTTGAGCATGAAGGCGAGGGAAGCTCATTCAGACCGAGAGCGGATGAATCGAGATGTCCCTGATCGAGATAGCAATCTGGGCTGAGAGGAACTTGAGATTGGAGTACGATACTGTCATCCATGGATAGATTATTTTGGTGCTCTGAATCGGAATGTTCTAAAGGGTGGCTATTTGAGGTGAGCAATTGATTGGCACAGGGAAGAAAAGGGAGGGAATCTATGGCTCTCGATGTTGAGTACTGGGGGACAAAGGAGACAACAACAGATTAGGTTTGGTTTGTGAAGCAGATTGATGGTTGATGGCAAGGCTGATTGACGGTTGATGAAAAAAGAGGGAACGGGAAAATGATTATGGGGAGGGGAGGCGACAAACAAGGAGTTGAAGAATCGAACTAAGCTCGACTTCTGAAACTTTTGGGGCTGGATTAGAGTGATACGGGCTGGGTCTGTTGCATAAGGAGCGTGTACGATGGACGATCCTGAAAAATCAGGCTGCAAGTATGGGCTCGAGGATGATGAGCTATTAGGCCCAATCCAAACAGGGCCATCTTTACGTATCCATACTCTTTTGAATGTTCTGCTAGTCTGTTCGGTTCTATCGCTATTCCTCGCGCTTTTAGTACAAAAAGTGTTGACCAATGGGTTGAAAGAGCTATCTTGAGATGATGTGCATTCCCATAATCGAGGACTACGACTCTTCGATTTCTGAATAGGTCGGGCACTGAAAGTAGCCTCGTCGGGAATTCTAGGGGTCGCCGGATGTGAAACAATTTTGATCATGAAACGTTCAAAGGCAAACATGATTGGGATCGACTGAGGAATCGTACCTCTGTTTTTAATTCTGATTCGAACAAACTGCAAGCTCCAAGATTCCCAGTTGATTTCTATGAACGATCCACAATAATTCCCAATAGCCTTCATCGAATTAATGCTTTTCAAATGAAGAGGGATGCCATATACGAGAATCCAGATATCCGACGAGTTGAGACATACTTCATGTTCTTTCCATTCAGAAACAGAGACTGTAAAATTCCTAAACTTGTAACCTCCGAGTCTTTTAATCCGTAGAGTTTGAGAGATGGATGGGCAAACAAGTAGCCAGCTTCCATCTCCCCTGTGTTCCAGTCCGTAATTGCTGTCAATAGACAAGAACTTCTTAGCCCAATCTCTGAATCCATGGATATCTTTAGACAATAAATATTCAGAGTTATCAGGAGACTGGAACTTGATGATTAGACATCTACCCAGCAATTCACGTCTGTCTTGATCACCCTCCGCTTCCACATCGATGTAACTCTCTTTGCCTTGTCCTATAATTCTGCATTTTCCAGCAGCATATAAGCCCCCACCCTTAACCACATCAGCATATGATAAGGCAAAAGCGTATATGCCAATTTCCTATCTCGTAGTAAAACCGGAAAGTCCGGGTATCGTCTCTCAGGGACTGGTACAACCTTAAGTTCTATCAATTTTATAGAGCAAACTATAGGTAAAAATGGTTTAATGAGACTAATTATCTAAAAGCAAAATAAACTAATTAAGCAAAGTAAAATGGTCGGGAGAAATTCAATGGAGAAAGCTCTGGGAGAAACACCGGGACTCACTACCTAACATATCCAAATTAATTCACATATTCCAATCAATTTAATCCATATCTCTACAGCCAGGATATCACTACTGTGCTAGCTATCCCTGTCGAGAATTACTACGTACTAAACAATTAAATCAAATCCTACTGTCGTAGCTCAATGACTTAATTATTTAGCTTGAAGATCGATATCCTATTTAAGACCGCATAGCACCTTATTTAATCCACTGCCGCTTCGATAAGTTACTATGTCACATGAAATAGGTTCAGTTATTAGGGTTTCACTGTCGCTAATAACCTAATTAACTACGATTCATTGTATTGGTGGCCAGTCAACACAAAGCATTAAGTAATTTCATGCAATAGAGATTGGAGGAAAAGAAATACGAATCAATCCATCAAATCAAGAAATAGCTACATCCTATGATGTTTCCCCCAGAAATCGGGGCTTAGTTCATGACGAAAATAAAACAAACAATCATGTTCATAATCATCATGTTACAAAGCAAAGCAAAAGAAAACAAATACTGATAATTGCTTCCCGCTGCTCTGCACTCGATCGCCGCAACAAGCTGCTCGCTAGTCGCACCGTACTCTGCTCGTCCAAGAGTTCCGCGCCGCCCATTCTCCTTTTTCCCAAAAGCAACTTCTCCTCGTTCCAAAAGAGCTTCCGTCCCAAAACAAGAGGTTTTCGTCTTTTTTTGTCCAAGAATAATAGATCCGCCCTGCCCTCTGATACCTTCCGCCCAAAAAGAATTCCAACCTCCAGCATTTTCTCGCCCCATTAATTATGGCTGCCAGCTCCTAGTCCAAGTAATAGGCCCGGCCCAGTCGAGTCACTTCCGGCCCGCTGCTCCTCCTAGCCTAGTGAATATTCCACAAGTGATTCGAGTCCGATTGATTGCTTGTGCAATTTTTTACTTTTCGAGATTTCTCCACATGTAACATATCAAACTCATGGCACTAGGCAGTAATGGTTTTTTCAACCATTCTCGGATTAGCGAGCCCTAAAATAGCATCAATCGACTTAAACATATCATGGGATAGTGATGACTCGATATTTGCACATGTTTTCCCCTTTGTTTCTTGATCGTTTGAGATTTAATTATCGTGTCTTTGGCCTATTTTACGCTAGGTTGTGTTCCTTTGTCACATTTCAGGTCCTAGCACATAAAGTGAAGCATAGGCGCAAGTTTCAAGTCAATCAGAGATCAATTGGCGATTCGGGAGAAGAAACTCGGGCATGACCTGAAGAAGAATGGATTTCTACCTCACTTTATGGAAAAATAATCATGCAAGCTTGTCATGAAAAGAAAGAGGACGATACTACGAGCGTCTGAGATCAAACGGCGACTGATTTGGAGTCCGGACGAGGGAGAAACGAAGCATTGAATATAGGGGAACCGGTTCGGCAGTAAAAACACGGGCGCGCCTAAATCAAAACACGGCCGTGTCCATATTTAGGCACGACCGTGTTTTGGCCGACGCGCGCGGGCGTGTTTTTAACACGGGGCAAAGCACGGGCGGGCAAAACCAAACACGGTCGTGCCCTCGACCGTGTTTTGCCCAGAATCGGGTTTTTTTTTACCCAAATTCGAGCCAAAGGAGAGGGAGAGCTGGGTTTTGGATCCCAAACACCCAAGGGACGAACCAAAGAGAGAGAAGGCGATTTGAGGGCATTCTTGGAGTGGAATTGGAGGATTTCTTTGCCTTGGAAGCTCGAGGAACAAGCCCGGACTTGAAGACTGATCATCTGAAGATTCTTACTGCCTCTCTCTTCTCTATGGAGTAACTTCCCTTTACTTAGGTTTTGAGGAACCCTAGCTATGTTTGTTTGATTGGATGATTGTATGATTACTCTGACTTGATAATCTTGAGTTCATATTCAATCTATGCATGTTTTCATGATTCAATTCTGCTTTAGTCGAGATTATTGATTCTGCTTTGATCCTATGAGAGCGAATACATGATTAGGTCAATAGAGCACCATAGATTGATAGTAGTGGATCGATTGCTTTAGTCGAGGGTTGATTCACTGCTTTGTATCGATTGAGAACCTCTTTCGATAGAGGGAGTCTAGTTCAGAACGCCTTGATCGGTTGTTCTAGAGAAGGATACGTCCCTCTAGGCAATTGACTCAAGAGGGCCTTGTTCCTTTAGTCGAGACTCAAGGTCTAGTCAAGGATTCTCCGCATTGTGAATGAAAGAGAAACAAGTTAGAAATCATCAATCATTAGTCTGGCTAGTGGCTAGGGGGAATCATACCTAAGTGAGTTCCCAACCTGTAATTAGATTAACTTTAACTGTAGTTTGCTAGAGTAGTTTTAGTTCTTTCATCTTAATATGGTTTGCTAAATAATAAACTGAAGCTGAGTAATAGTAACTCTAGAGACCCGTTGATTCGATATTTATCACTTGAGCCACTATACTGCAGTCCCTTCCATTGGTTACACTTGGCCATTGTTAGGTGTTGTGTCATAGCGAGTCAGATAGTCACATAAAATTCAAGAATCCGATATATTAAACATGATTATCAGCATACGATCTAGGAATAGATTGCCCTGGTGGTGGAGGAATAAGGGGTTTGTTGGACTTAAAGGAAGACCAGATGCGTTCCTGTAGTTCAACTGCATAAAATCTCTGAAGCAGATTTGTAAATTTTGCCCATCCGCCAACCGATGGTATCAGAATCTTTTGCACTCTTCCGTTCATCCTCTGTTCAGAAATCTGAAGCTGCTGGGTGTTATGCAAAAAGGCTTTCCCAACATGAATGATCCGTCTGCCACTTCTTAAAACTCAGTTTCGGGGAAAGAACCAATCTGTCATTGCGGCTGATTGGAGAAGACCTTGTAACCAAGAAATCTGAGTTTCGTCCATGAAAATGAACCATCTTTCTGTGAGTCTTGGGCTTGAATTCGATAAACTTGTCTTTCACCGTTGATCCTAGAAACGATAATGGTCTTCGAACCAAATCTCTCTTTCTGTTCACAAGAAACCTTCGAATTGCTGCTCCTGCTACTTCCTGCTGCATTAGACCTGCAAAACAAAAGACTGCCAGCCTCCCCTTCACTCACTGAAATTCTCTCTCCACGCACTCTCTCCCTCTCTCTAAGCGATTTCTCTCTCATGATTTTTCTTGATACTTCTTTGAACTTTGTACACTTACAAACCACAAGAAAATACAATCTTTACCCTTGATTTTGGTAGAATCTTTGTCAATTATTATTAGAATGATTAAACCACAAGCAACCAAAAATTACCAAAAAACGAGATTTACTGTTCATTACGAAAAAATCGCGTAGAACCGTTAACCAAAACTGGCCAGGCACTACTTTTACCAAAATACCCTTAGTAAACCGTTAACCAAAACTAGAATCAAAATTTCTTTGAAATTCAAATCATAATTTCTTGAAACGTTCTTATGGGGAAAACATAACATACTTAATAAATACACATCAAGTCTCGATCCTACTAAATACATAAGAATTTAATTCTTCGTAATAGAGTGTGTTGGAGCCTTGAACCTCGTCGTGACCAGATGTACTCTCCTTTAGTGTACTTCTGATGATCGTACGATATCTAAGTGCGGGCGTTGGCGTCGGTCCTAATCCTAGTTTCGTTCTTTACATAATACATAACATGATCCAACATGCATATTGAGTGCAAATGCTCATGCATTCAAACATTTACTTGACTTGGAAAAAGTTCATTGATAAGGTTTTCTTGATAAGAAGGGCCCCAAACTCGTGATAATCTTGATAAACTTAATAACTTCCTCGCAGTGGGAATGGAGTTTGATAAACTTGATAAGATCAACTTCCTCACAATGAGAAGGAAACCTGATAAGATTGATAACCTGATGATAAACTTCCTCACAATGGAAAGAAAAGTGGCCGTGTGCGTAAATCATATAAATGCGCAACTCAAATATACATAGCAAATAAGAGCATATCGTATAACTTAAGTAAAATGCATCATCAAATAACATGATAAATTATTCAGAATGTAATGCTAACTAGCCCATTAAATCAAACACCTTGTACTTGTGCCCTGCTGGACCTTGACCGCTTTCTCCTACTTCCTTCTTTAAATGACTCCACCAGCTCGAACTCGATGTAAACAGAACCCAAAAATGCTTGTAGTTAAATCACTTAGGCTCGTATAGATAACTAGGGATGGCAACAAAACCCGAACCCATGGGTACCCACCCGACCCAACCCGGTCAACGCGGGTAAAACCCGTGTTGACGGGTTTTGGGCCGGGTTCGGGTTTAAACCCGCTATACTATTCACCGGATTAGGTTGGGTTTGGGTTTAGGTAAACCCGCCCCATGGGTACCCGCCCACACATATAATTACTTTCCCGGTATATTTAATATTCAAAATAATATATCTTCTTTAAACAACTAATATTATTTATGTTTGTGGAGATATGTATAATTTGTTCTTTCTAATTTTTTAGAATGAAGTTGATATTATGGAGTTGAAAGTGAAGAAACTTATTTGACGAGGAAGAAGATTTCAATTAATCTTGTTGTTTATAGATGTTTATCTTTAATTTTGAACAATTTGTATTGATCATTTGCGGTTTGCTTGTATTTTCTAGATTGGTATTTTTTGTATGAATAATTTGTATGAGAAAATTGATGTTAAACTTTTATTTTGAAAGAAATTTGTTATTGTAAATTTTTTACCACAAAAACCCACGGGTACCCATGAACCCGCGGATACCCAGCGGGTTGGGTTTGAGTTTTTCAAACCCAACGGGTTTTACCCCGATTTTTTTTACAGATAAATCCAAGGAATTGGGTTTGGGTTTGACAAAACCCGCCCAACCCTAACCATTGCCATCCCTATAGATGACCATGCTTATTGCTCATTATTTCACACTTCCACTTAACTGCGTCCATCACTCATTTGAGGTAACCTTTAATCAAGACTAACCCTACATGAATTCACATGGGAACCTCTTACTTTATTAATAACTGTAGTATAGAGTTCGATCACTCACCGCAAAAAAGGATTCTGGCCCCGATCCCATCTTCTCGCTCCTTGGTGACTGGATCGGATTCCTAGCTACTACGGCAGCCTATCATCACCCACGATTAGGGCGGCAAATGAGCCGAGCTGAGCCGAGTTTTACCCAAGTTTGAGCTTGACTCGTTAACAAATGAGCTGAGCTCGAACCCGAGCCATTTATTAACGAGCCGAGTCGAGTTCGAGCTAGGCTTGTTTATATAAATTCTCAGATCGTATTTAATACATTCATTTTGTATGTCGTGTATGGTACATGTGATTGATGTAGCGATAAAAAAAATCAAATGTTCAACATTAATTAATCTTATATTATAATTTTTAGGTGTCATATTGTTTAGTTAATAAATTTTAACTAGTTCAAATCATGTTATTTCATAGTATCGAAACAATTTTATACATAATTTCTTTATAGAATTAAAAATAAGACATATTTTCTTACATGTTCAACATGTTAAACTTCACATGATGTGAGATATATAATTTAACAATCCTATGAATTATGAAAATCCAAATTAGATCGATTAGTCCATAAGTCAGTGATCAAGTTGGCCCTCAAAAGAACAATGTTGAGACATCTCATGAGCTCTAAATGAGCCAACTCACGAGTTGAGCTCAACAAGCCACCGAGTCAAGCTAGCTTGCGAGCTTCACGAGCTGAACAAAGCTAGGCTCCAGCTTGGCTTGTCAGTAAACGAGTCGAGTTTCGAACGAGCTTTTCCCGATTCGAGCATCGAGTTGCTCGCAAGTAGCTTGGCTCATTTGTAGCCCTACCCACGATCAATTCCATGATGGGCTGCCCCGGGCCACGACCCAGCCCTCCCTCAATCGAGAGCTAATATATCACTTGTAAATTTTTGATTTTTTGTGTTCGTTTCAGTGTTCGTCGTGTTATGGCCCAACCCTCTCCATCTCGCTACATTCGTAGTCAGACGCCCGACTCAACATGTGTTCATTGTTCAACCCTGGTTCATTGGTCGACGTCGTCAGCTCGGTATCTACAACTCTCCATCTCTTCAAGCCTGCACACCGACTAAGGTTTGTCGCCGATTCTTCCTGGAACCTATTTTTTTTACCCTCTCTTTTCCATTTGCGGCCGTCTGTGAATAACTTGCCCTCCCCCTCTTAATCCTAACTTCGTTTGCTCGTTATATATCCCACTGCATAGGCTATCCTTCCTACCCTACTAACGTTGCTGCTTGCTTCTCAGTTCTCGCATGAGAAGGGCAAGGGTATGAATGTACATGGGCGCTGGACCGTGTTTGGGCCGGCACGGCACGGGCACGCTTCACGCTCATTTATTTCGTGTCGTGCTTAGCAGGGCCCGTCAGTTTTCGTGTCGTGCCATACAAGCTCATTTGTTAACTTTGCTCATGTTGGTGGGAAGATTAGAAGCTAAACAACTTTCATTATTAGTTGCTCTATTTTAGTTTCAACACGATCACATGAACAAATTTCATAAATGACTTTGCTAACTTTTTAGTACATTTTAATTTCTCTTTATTCTTTTGGTTCCACCTCATCGCTAAACTATGTTATTTCAAGTTAAAGAAACTTTCTTTGCTTTTCACATGTATTTTATCATGTTGACTTTTTGCTTTTCACGTGTATTGCTACCGGTGGGACAACTATCAACAACGTGCAAAGTAAGTCTTTTATGTAGATTTATTTATTTTCCGGTTTTTGTATGTTTCGAGTTTTTACTCACCTGTTCTTACTAAACTAATCAGACATGTTCTCTTTGGGTTTTCGGGTTTGGACAAGACAAGGATAAGGGAGGAGCTGTTGCCGGTGTAGCTTTCCAAAGGCATCAGAGGTGACTAGGGTTAACCACTGCTTTCTAGGTAAGCTTGTTCTTTTTGAGTTTTGGTTTTGTTTATATTCTGAAATTGTCCTTTCTTTGATATGGTTCTGATATGTTTTCTGAAATTTTGCTTTCACCCAGACCTAGTGCAAGAGGAAGAAATCGTCATCGCTGATGAGGGAAGTGAACCCATTCCAAATTGCAGCCCAACAGCAAACTCCAAGAGGAGATACGCGGGATCAGCATGGAGAAGGAAGGTTGACTAGCTAGGGGATCGACCGGTACATGTAATTCATTCTTCTACCCTCTTTAGTTTCCAATTTGTGGGTAATTAGGTCTATGCTCAGTTTTATGAGTGGTTCCTAAGTAAACATAGTTTGGTACTGCTGTTCCTAATTATTCCTGCCCTAAAAGATCAGTTTCTAATAGAATGATGATCCACTTGATCATTACAAATTGGCTCTGCATTTTTTTGTGTGCATGCATATTAGAGTTTTGCACAACAAGTTGGGGGTAACGTAGTGAGAATCGTGATTTCATTTTTGTTACCCATAAGTTTTGTTGTTTTCTCCTAAATCCTATGCATTTTAGCGGGGATGACACTACTTAAAAGCTTGCTGCATACTGTTTTGCATCTCCAGCAGGCTGAGCTGTGTATTTCTGAGTTCTTAAATGACCAAGTCTTTGGGTATTGAGTGTCACACGGACAAATGTGTTGGAGATTGATTATTTAAGAACTAGACGTTGTATGGTTCTGTTTCGTTGGAGATACCTGGATTCATGATGACCGTCTAAAGCTAGATGGAAAAATGGTGACGATTAATCTCTGGACGATGCCTCTAAGTGCACAATCCGGGAGGTTATGCAGCCTTCCTCAATCCCTCAAAACTACTCTTAGGCTATCTCACTCGTTCGGATGGGAAGCATATGTGTGTTGAACTTGGTGTATTAATTGGGTACTACAACCTCAAATCTCTTATATACAAGTCACAAGTCCTACATTAAGTTTGAATAGTCACAGGCACATAAAAGTAATTTAGCCCATGTAAGTGAATAACAGATTATAGTTTGATAACTACCGGTTGGACCGATCAAATTCTTACCGTCGTCATATTTAATTATTTGGCTTTACTATTTTTGGTGCTGCGATTTTTGTCACCAAGCTGCTCTCTTTTCCTTTTGTGCCCCAAATTCAATGAGTTATCAGAATCCTAACTACAAGTAAGATAGAGGGAAGAGTTCAGTTTGCAACAACAGCAAAATTGTTGCATGTCAATTTCTAAAATTGTTTTAAGCAGATGGTGATCAACGGGAGCAGATCCGGTGAGTAACCATGAGTAACCCGTCCACATCAGCATGACATCAGCATCCTCTCTCTCCTGGAAAGCCTTTAATTTTCCCCTCTTTAATCTTTGACGGACGATTTCTCACTCATTTTAAGTCGAAATTTAATTTTTTTTGTACAGTTAGATCAGATTAATTGTGCTCTTCAAAATGATATCCACTTTAATATATTTTTCGAACAAAAAAAATTGAGTCATTTTTTACCAGTCTATACCATATGGTATTGACTAGTATTGAAATAAAAGCATACCTATGGTTTGAAAAAAGTACCATGGTGGTATGAACAAACCAAGACTGTAGGATGGTTGAATACATGATAGTAGAAATATATTAATTGTCATTTACGACTTTTAACATTGTATACCACCAGATACCACCCCGTACCAGGGTGGTATTGTATGGTATTGTGTGATATTTTTTGGTCCTGTAATTTGTTCACCTATAAATTTGTAGATCCAATAGATCATGATGAACTCGTCCCTTCTGCGCAAACGTTTTCAAAAACGAATTAAAAACGAAGAAGATACCATACAATACCACCCCGTACCAAGGTGGTATTGTGTGGTATTTTTTGGTCCTGTAATTTGTTCACCCAGAAATTTTTAGATCCAATATATCATGACGAACTCGTCCCTTCTGTGCAAACGTTTTCAAAAATGAATAAAAAATGAAGAAAATACCATATGGTATGTAGTTGGACCGAGAGGCCAGAATTTTTTGTTCTAAAATAATATTGAAAATTGATCTCATTTTGTAGAGCACGATGAACTCGTTCCACCTGTGCAAAAAAAATTAAAATCCGAGTTAAAAGGAAAAAGATATGAGCCGATTAAAAAAGCTAGAAAAAATAAAAATGATTTTTAATTCTCCATTCTTAGATCTGGATTTTCTAAATGAAGGGTCCAGATTTGGTTATTGATGGATGCATAACCCATGGTTATGCACCCTATCTTGAGCCGTGATCAACCCACAAAAAAATAAGAGTACGCATGTCTGGCCAGAAAAATTAGGAAATTCAAATACTGTATTCAAATCATCATATATAAGTTTGCCATTGAAAAGGGGAGCAGATCCGGTGAGTAATCTTGTGGTGAGTAACCATGAGTAACTCGTCCACATCAGCATGACACCAGCATCCTCTCTCTCCTCGAAAGCCTTTAATTTTCCCCTCTTTAATCTTTGACGGACGATTTCTCACTCATTTTAAGTTGAAATTTAATTTTTTTTGCACTGTTAGATCAGATTAATTGTGCTGTTCAAAATGATATCCAGTTTAATATATTTTTCGAACAAAAAAAATTGAGTCATTTTTTACCAGTCTATACCATATGGTATTGAAATAAAAGCATACCTATGGTTTGAAAAAAGTACCATGGTGGTATGAACAAACCAAGACTGTAGGATGGTTGAATACATGATAGTAGAAATATATTAATTATCATTTACGACTTTTAACATTGTATACCACAAGATACCACCCCGTACCAGGGTGGTATTGTATGGTATTGTGTGGTATTTTTTGATCCTGTAATTTGTTCACCCATAAATTTGTAGACCCAATAGATCATGATGAACTCGTCTCTTCTGTGCAAACGTTTTCAAAAACGAATTAAAAACGAAAAAGATACCATACAATACCACCCCGTACCGGGGTGGTATTGTATGGTATTGTGTGATATTTTTTGGTCATGTAATTTTTTCACCCATAAATTTGTAGATCCAATAGATCATGATGAACTCGTCCTTTCTGTGCAAACGTTTTCAAAAAACGAATTAAAAATGAAGAAAATACCATATGGTATGCAGTTGGTACCGAGAGGCCAGAATTTTTTGTTCTAAAAAAATATTGAAAATTGATCTCATTTTGTAGAGATCGATGAACTCGTTGCACCTATGCAAAAAAAAAAAAAAATTCCGAGTTAAAACGAAAAAGATATGAGCCGATTAAGAATGCTAGAAAAAATAAAAATGATCTTTAATTCTTCATCCTTGGATATGAATTTTCTAAATGAAGGATCTAGATTTGGTTATTGATGAATGCATAACCCGTGACATCAACGAGAGTACACCGGAGCCGGGGGCGCAACAAATTTCCTAGCCTCTTCTTGCTTGATGCAGCTCACGGCAGCAGCAGGTTTGGGGGCCGCGGCCTCTTGCTTCATACTAACGCCTTGTTCCTGCTTCCCGGCCGCTACAGCTTCCAACACCTTGGGGGTAGCCACATGGCTTGCACCAAAACCACTACTCTGCATCTTCGATTTCAAGTCCTCTTAGGTATAGCAACCAAATTAAAGCTGCTATATATTATTATATTAGACCTACTTTACTCACTTTCCTTTGGCCGATTAGCTAGCTTGTGTGTGCTTGGATAAAAGGATGGCGCAGATGCATCGAGTATTTATATAGAGATGGGAATGAAAGAGTTCTTGATGGGATGTTCATGCACTTAATTTGATCGGGGAAGCCTATGAGACGTTTTTTCTTAGGGGTGGCTAAGTTTGTGGGTTGGTTTGGTTCGTTGCACCATTATATTTCTCAGCAATTAATGCATACTTTGTTAAATATGCGCAATGAATGGATATCTGGATTCAACAAGCTAAGTTCGATTGATGCAATCTTTTACGAAGCAGAATTCGGTGCATGGAATCTATTAGCTTATTAATCCGCAAAAGTGTGGTCTTCATATAGTGAAGGAATTGATTTTCTGTAAATAATCCCCTCTCAGTATGACAAAAGCACGGTTTGGAGACGGAAGTATTATCCGTTATCCTACTCCAACTAGTTCGGTTTTTGTCCATATTTATATTTGTATAAGATTCAAGTATGGTAAATCAAAATCATACTCATTTTTAGGGTTTCGATTATTCATGAACATCAACGAATATTTTGTGAGTATGTATAATCACGTTTGTTTTTCTGTACCATTGCTTTGTGCTTTAGCTTGTAGCTTTTAGCTTGTTTTTCTGTACCATGCACAGATCAATCAAATATCTGCCAAAAACTCTTACTGGGAATACTTTATTGGGACGAGAATAAACTAAAGTATACATTAGTTCTTTAATGCAAATATTCATTTACGAGATTTTGTATCTTAATTTCTTATATATAATTAGGGCACTGATTGAGACCAAAACTGTCTCCGTTAGCTACAACACATCTCCTGGTTTACTAACTTATTCTACTTGCACCTTAAGTAGAACAACCATGATGTATAAAACATGAAAATGAATTTACTCCCACTGAACTTAAGATATACACAATCATCTCCAACATTAGTCTCTAAATCCGAATGAGCTAATAACATGATAAAAAAAAAATTGTGATATCAATAATGAAATGCTTATATGAGCCACATTGCCATTATATTCCCAAAAGAGTCTTTCAAATATACCAGAGAGAAATTATCTTTGAGTCAACGCTTTCTTTATGAGTAAAACCTTTAGAGACCAACATGCCTTATATCTCTTATTGACTTCACCACATGACATCAATCAACTTTTCATAACTATTCATGACTTGACTAATAAAAAATTTATAATAATAATTTTTAATAAAGGTTTACTCCATCTCAAGACACCTTGCACTCCATTAATATTTTATCTTTGGACAAAATATTAACTTGTAAGTGATGTCTTATGACACAATAATTAAATATTGATGATAAGAACATATGAAATAGTAAATCCACCTTTGGGTCAATTTAAAATTCACATGCTAACCGAATAATCATCACATATTTATTACTCTATGCGCACATATGGAACCTTAAATATTCACCCTTATTTGTTACTTTTTCTTTTCCCCCTTATTTGTTACTTTTCTCAAACATTATCGGTTAATACTATCTTCCCCCGTCAAATTTTCACCTTCTTTTTCATTCTCTCTTTTGTTTTCGTCCTTTTCATTAAACACGAATACGAGCATGGCACGAGCACGAATAGGCACGGCACGATTCGAATCGTGCTCGGGCCTTGTTCGGGCCTATCATAGTTAACAAATGGGATTGCATGGCACGACACAAAAACTGAAGGGCCGTGCCAAGCACGACACGAAATAAATGGGCCCGAAGCATGCTCGTGCCGTGCCGGCCCAAGCACGGCCTAGCGCCCATGTACAGGAAAGCTACGCGGGCTCACATCCATGCAATCGAGTCCTGTATCGTCAACCACAATGTCTATGTTACGTCGGTAGGGGGTTTAGATTTGAGATTAAACCTAAAGGGGGTCACAAGTCGCAACCGGGAAAGAGTTGATTGTCGTCAGGGGTCTTCATTCCAAATTCGACATCATTGTCATTGTCACCTTCTTCAAACGGTGGCAGTGGTTGAGGAGCTGGGAGAGGATTCGTGTTTTTAATTGACATATCATTAATTTAACGGTCGAATCAATATTTGTGTTTGCCACATCATCAAAAAATTAATGGAGTTAATGTAGTCTGACAGAGACTAGCGACCGGTGACTAACGGAGAAACGATTCATAAAGGTAGTGATAAATAAAAAAGAAAAGTAATTTGGATGACAAACGTGTAAGATTTATATAATTTGAGTGACCAAACATTTAATTTAGTCATTTCTCTTAGTCTTGATGATTTGTTATTTATGAATATTCACTTTTGCAATAATATATCTGTGATTAGTAATACAATGGTGGACAACATAAAGGAAATTTATTATCCATATATATTCATGGATACATGAAACTCAATCAAGTATGGTATGGTTTCAATTTAGTACTTTAGAATCTTTCATGGATATGCATATGGATGTCACATATGGAAGATGACATGGCGCCAACAAGGTGACAATAGGGTGGCTGCACATGTGGCATGTATGGAAGACTAGAAGCATAGAGATGCTTATAGGATTCTCCACCTAAATGAGAACTTAATGGTGCACTTATGAGTCACATAATGGGTGACATTTATAGAGTGCGTAATGGAGGGACTTAATGGGTGTATTGATGTATAGGGACATTATGAGGGGGCATTGATGCTTTGTATGAGGAGAGACCTATATAAGGAGCCATCTTCCTCACTTGTAACTCATTCCATTATTTTTTTAGAGTAATACACACTAGAGAGTTCTCCCATCTTGTTTATCTTTCTTGCTTTATTTAGTTGCTTGTGATTTTGAGAGAAGGCTGCCTACCATCTCTAACGAATTTGAGAGCTAGGGGTTGCACGACCGAGAGCAAGGCAGTGACAGGGAGCTCTTTCTCCCAAGTTTCCTAGCTTTCTGGAAGGTTGCGCCACTTGACCAAGCATTCCACGAAGCTTGGATGTACGCCACGGCGAGGGCTGACACGACGTGCCATGATCTCTTCGACTTGATGATCATGCGTTTTGGTGACGAGTGTTGGTGCTCGATGCGACTCTCTCTGCTGCTCATCCTCCTTGTCATAGTGGAAAGCCTTGAGTTGCCTCACATGAAAGACATGATGGATCTCTAACTGCAACGAAACCTCCACCTTGTACGCCACTTTGCCAATCCTCATCACGACCGCGAATGACCCTTCATAGCGGCGAAGCAATCCCATGTGCACATTCTTGAGATGCTTGAATTGATGAGGGTAGAACTTCACCATCACCATGTCTCCCTCTTCAAACTCCAAGTGACGCCTCTTCTTGTCCGCCCATTTTCTCATCTTCTTACTAGCGCGGGCTAGATAAGACTTGGCCACCCCCATCTTCTCGTGTCAACCTTTAGCAAACTTGTAGGTTGCCGGAGTGTTGCCTCTATATCCCGTTGCCACCGTTGTAGGCGTCAACGACTGTTTCCCCGTCGCCAACTCGAATGAACTCGTGTTGGTCGACTCGCTACGGTGTAAGTTGTAGGAAAAATTTGTCGTGTCCATCAACTTCACCCAATCTCGCTGGTTTGCACTCACATAGTACCTCTAGTGCACCTCCATCAAGCCATTCACCCGCTCCGTCTGTCTGTCGCTTTGCGCTTGAAATGTCTTCGAGAATTTCAAGTTGGAGCCCATGATCTTGAACAACTCTCGCCCAAATCGTCCCGTGAAGCGCCCATCTCTGTCGCACAAGATGTTGCTAGGAATGCCCCAATATTGACCACGTTCTTGAAGAATAGTCGAGCTACATCCTTTGCCGTCATGTATTTTGGCCCACAGATGAACACTGCATACTTCGAGAACCTTTCCACCACAACCATGATGGAACCGCATCCATCGAATTTGGGAAGTCCGATGATGAAGTCCATACTTACACTGTCCCATGGTCGTCGAGGTGTGGGCAAGGGCTCTAGAAATCCCGTCGGGCTTCTCTGCTCCATCATTTCTTCTTGGCACACAAGATAAGTCTTCACATACATCTCCACGTCGTCTCTCATACGCAGCCAAAAGTATGCTTCTTCGATGAGCGCTTGCGTCCTCTTGATGCCGGGATGGCCAGCCCACTCGGAATCATGGCACTTCTTCATGATCTCCTTCCTCAAGTTGACCCATCTTGGCAAGAACACACGCTCCCTCTTGGTCATTATGAACCCATCCTTCATCCAAAACCATCGAGTCTTCCCTTGCTCATTGTACTCCGCTATGGTTTGGCATATGGGTCATGGCCAAGGCCTTCAACGTTCAACTCCTTTAAAGGAAACACGGATTGGCTGATGCTCGCGGCTGCACTCTTGCGGCTAAGAGCATTTGCAACGGAGTTCAAACAAACTACCACTAAGACTAGTACAAGTGCTACCATCCTAGTAAACTACCACTACATCTTGTACCACTTGTACAATTGAATTAAACTACCACTATTAGGCTACAATTAAGGACACCTTGCCTGCGATGGCTTGCACGGAAGCAAGAAGGGACGACGTCGGAAGGATGTCCGGCGATGCAATGAAAAAAATACTAGTTAGGACTAAAATTAAAGCAGGACAACGCCTAGTCCTAGAAACATGGTCAACAGAGGGGGGGTAGCAGGGGGGAGATGCTGGAGAAAAGACAGAAGCGAGTAGTAAGGGCAGTAAGGGAAGAAGAATGGTTGTCAAAGAAATTACAATCGCCATGATGTGGGTCGACAAAAAAGAAGAAGTAAATGGAGAAATCGACCAGAATTACCTCTTAACCGGACAACCAAGTCTTCGACCTCAACCGAACGGGGGTGATGATGGAGGAAAATAAGCGTCGAGAAAGTTGATCGACGACGGTTGTTGGGTTTTTTGGGAGACGATGGATGGGGAAGGGTTTTTGGGCAGACAAATAATTTTTTTGCGGGTAAGGTGGCTGATTTCTCTCCCTAGTAAATCCTTTTTCCTTTTCAAAACCTGGATGACATCATAGGAGAGATTGGCGCGTGGATCCAGTGCGACACTCTCTTTTTTGCCCCTGATAATTATAGAACGCCAAATCGTAAGGAAGTGAATTGAAAGACTGGGAAGAGGGAAGCGAAACTCACAACCCCTAAGGGGGTTGTGGCGCTATCTCACCCCACTTGGACCCATAAGTACGGGAGGGTACTCTCTCTCATAAATTCCACGCACTCCATTGGCTAAATTACACCATTGGTCACTCGAATTACATAAATCTTTCACGTTTGCCACCCAAATTACTTTTCTTTCATATTAACCACTAACTTTACGATTCGTTTCACCGTTAGACACCCTCCGTCAGACTCCATTAACGCCGTCAGATTTTTGATGACGTGGCAAACGGAAGTGCTGACTGAGCCGTTAACTTAATGGCATCTCAATTTTAAAAATTAAAAAAAATACGCCTCAGAAAATGTGATTTCCCCTTCCCTTTAAAACATTCTCTTCTCTCTCATTCTCCATGTCATTTTCCCTTCCCCTTTTCTAATTTCCCGACATTTATTCCGATAAGATCTCCACTGAACGAAATCCACCCACCATCGCAGCTCCTCCGATCCCAATTGGGTAGCCTCCAATGATTTTTCTTCCTCCTCCACTATTAATCTTAATCATCCGGAGATTGATGGCCTCCTCGCAATCTATGCAGCGAGCGGCTACAAGGCCCATTCTGTCGATCTCCGCCAAGACGCCAAGCTCCGGACCCTTATTTTAATATATGATGGGGGTGTGGGACTGCAGATCTGAGATTTATATGGATTCAAGTGAGCGATGGGGCAGAACGACCAGGCGAACAATGGATCTCAGTCCGGGAGGCTGTACCGATAGATAGTTGAACTTAGATCTTATTAGAGATATCGGTGCAAGCGTGCATTGCTTAGTTGGCGATGCTTATCTTCGGGGGTTATTGGGCCTCAATTCAGAGCATCTTTAGATGTTTTCTCCATTCTTAGCGATGCGCTAGCGGCGGATTGAGAGACGAGTTCATAGAGACTACCTTTCTCTTGAGTCCTTGTGATAGACCGATAATTACACATATTTTCAACCCTATTCTTGAGCCGTTTGGGAGGTTGACTCTCGGGTTTTAAACTGATTTCACGCGAGGTTGTGTGTTTATGTCGTATTTCAGGACCCGGCGTTGGAATCGAGGCGAAGGAACGAGATTCGGGTCGAAAGGAGCAAGTGAGGCTTGAAGTGTGCTGGAGGAAGAAAATACCCGGCCATGACCGAAAATACCCGGCCGGGTATTATTCTGAGGAGGCCGGGTATTTGCTGTTTTGGCGTCTGAGAAACAGAGAGGGTCCCGGGCTGGAGGCACAAAATCCCCGACCGGGGATTATTGGATGAGACCGGGTATTTTTCCCCTGGGCAAAACGTGTGTTTCAACTATACCCGGTCGAGACCCAAAATACCCGACTGGGTATCGCGACAGGCCGCTGTTTTAAGGGAAAAGAAGGCTGAAAATCAAAAGATTCGAGTTTTAGAGAGACAGAGCGATTCCTAGAGAGAGAAAGCAACGAACAAGAGTTCCCAAGTGCCCTAGCTTGATCTTCATCACCATTGGAGCTTGGCTTGAGCTTGGAGAAGTGCCGATCAACGTCCAGGAGCAGGAATCCATCCTTCACAGTATGAATTCCGCGTCTGATTCTGCTTTTGCTTCTTTCTCCATGGAGTAGTTCTCCCATTCATCTGGGTATGGAGAACCCTAGATTTGTATGTTAGGTTTGATTGTATGAACCCAAGTACTGATTCTATGATTTGATTATATTCAATTGAGGTTGGAATGATTGAATGGCATGAATCCTGATCAAATTCCTGTTGTTTCTGCTTTAACCTAGAATGAGAATATCTGCCTAGGTTGATAGAGCATACTTGATTCAAGGTAGGGAGTTGGTGACTTTAGTCGAAGAGCCAACTCACTATTCTGTACCGAATTCACTTCGGTAGTGGAGGTTTTGTTCGTAGGGCCTCAATCTGTTTACTCCGGTGGAGGTTAGTCGCCCGCTAGAGACTCAGATTGAGAGGGTCTGGAGACCTTTAGTCGAGACTTCAGGCTGGTTAAGAACCTTCCGCAGTATAACTATCATAGAAACTGAACTTGGTAATTGCAATCCGGCTTAACTGCAGTCTAGGGGGAACCATATTCGGGTGACCTCTCTTAACCTGAATACAACCGTTTACTTGCTTTGTTTGTCTGTTAGTTTAGACCTGCACTAAAGTTTCATTGCTAGATAACAAGAATTCACTGAGTAGTCATCAAATCTAGGACCAGGGTTGACATTAAAACCCAAACCCACTATACTACGCTTTAGGAAGTGGTTTCACTTGGCCATTTTCTAGAGTGACAGTAGGAGTGAGTCAAGTTTTTGGCGCCTTTGCCGGGGACGGCTAGGTTGTTGAAGAAAAGTGATTTCTGTTACTTTAGCACTTTCGTTTTCGCATTGACTGTTTGTTCTTTCCCACTTGTGCCTTCACAGGTTTGCTTGCTTGATTGTGTGCAGGTAGTGCATGACCCGTAGCCAGTTGGGAGGTTTACTGCCGTTGAATCCGGAGATTGAACGCACCTGTCGCCAACTCAGGAGACAACAGCGAGCTAGACTAGCTACGGCGGAGCGCATAGACAGCCATTTGAGCAGCGAGTCCGAGGACGAATACGTGATGGAAGGAGAACACAACCCACCCCCGGGGAATCCTCTCCAGGTTCCCCCGGTGAATCATCTCTTGGGGAACAACCCCATACCTCAGGAAGATGGGGTTCATCATCACCCACCACCACCGGGTCCCACTTTGGAGTACTACTACACTCCACGGATTGCTGACATCTGCTCGGTCATCCTCTATCCACCCATTCCAGCAAACAACTTCGAGATCAAGTCATGCTAGATTCAACTCATTACATCCTCTATCCAGTTCCATGGCTTGAAGGATGAGGAGGCCAGGGTGCATCTTTCCCGTTTTCTGCAGCTGACGAACGGGTTCAAGCTGAATGGTGTCCCTGATGATGCAATCCGCCTTCATCTATTCCCCCATTCTCTGGCGTAGTATGCTAAGAGGTGGTTGGAGACCCAACCCCCATTGTCCATCACCTCTTGGGACGATCTGGCTGACAAGTTCGTGCACAGGTACTATCCGGCATCGAAGACTACAGAGATCCAACGGGAGATCACTCACTTCCGCCAAGAGCCAGATGAGTCACTTCGTGATGCATAGGAGCGGTACATGGGATATTTCTGGCAGTGTCCCCATCATGGCTTTAGTGATGCATTCACAGTGGGAAACTTCTACAGTGCTCTCTCTCCAGACAGCTAGAGGGTGATTGAGTCTTTATGCCCAGGAGGGGATATTCTCACTAAGACTCCACCCGAACTGAACCAGATGATCAATACATTGGCTGCTAGAGATCATTCCTACGGGCAGAGCAGCAGAGGCAGACATTCCTGGGACCGTGGTGTGCACGCCATGGAGACCAGATCCGGGCTTGAGCAGCAAGTAGCGGAGTTAGTGCAGACATTGAAGCAGCCCAACAGTCCTATTCCGGGCCGAGGTTTGGCTACACCTCCAGTAGCTCAATGTCAGTGGTGTGAGAGCCCGAATCATCTGGTGGAGGACTTCCAGGCTATGCGGGAGTCCTCTACACCCCAGGAGAAGTTGGCCTTCATTGCCAATGTGCGGCGCCTCGATCCATACAGTAACACATACAATGAGGGGTGGCGCCAGCATCCCAACTTCGCTTGGAGTAGTAACTCCACTAAACCGCCTGGTTTCTCAGAGCCAGCATGTGGTTTTCAGCAGAGGCAGCCCTTCCAGGCTAGGCAGGGGCCCCCACCACAGCAGCAGCCCTACCAGCCTAGGCAGGGGCAGCCATTCCAGCAGCCCCAGCGTCAGTATGCCGAGCCAGCAGCAGCTCCGAATCCCGATAATCAGATGGCCGAGCTGAAGAACATATTGGCGGCGTTCATGACCACCAGGCATGCGAATTTCGTGAGGGTGGACTAGAGCATAGCCTCCCTGGAGGCAGGATAGCGGAACCAGGGTGCCATCTTGCAAGATTTACAGAACCAAGTGGGTGTTATAGCTCGCCAAATTACTACCCGGGCCCCGGGGACTCTACCTGCCACCACCATACCCAATCCACGGGAGCCGCACCAGCAGTTGGATGCCATTTTTACCAGGAGCAGCAAGACCATCTCAGCTGATCCTGCCCCGGCCAGGCAGGAGGAACCACTACCTGCTTCAGCACTTCCAGCGGACGATGCAGAAGTGCGGGTGGAGAAGGAAGCCCCTGTTCCCAAGCCACAACCAATGGTTAAGGAGCATGTGCCCCAGCTTCCCTTCCCCACTCGCCTACACAAAGACAAGCTGGAGACTGAGTTTGCCAAGTTTATGGCAATGTTGAAGCACCTCAACATCAGCATACCGTTCGTGGAGGCACTGTCGAAGATGCCCAAGTATGCCAAGTTCATGAAAGACCTCCTCACCGACAAGAAGAAACTTGGGGATCTTTCGACAGTGATGCTCAGTGAGGAGTGTTCTGCTATCCTGTAGAACAAGCTGCCCGAAAAGCGCAAGGACCCAAAGAGTTTTACTATCCCTCTTACTATTGGCAGCATGCATGTAGGCAAGTCCTTGGCAGACCTAGGCGCTAGCATAAATGTCATGCCACATAAGTTGTATAAAAAGCTAGACCTAGGTGAACTTAGCCCTACTAGGATGAGCATTCAGCTAGCTGATCGTTCCATTGTGCATCCTAGGGGAATCATAGAGGATCTGCTGGTTAATGTAGGTGCATTCACATATCCTGTTGATTTTGTTATTCTTGATATACATGAGGATGTGGACGTGCCTTTGATTCTAGGGAGACCATTTCTTGCCACCGCCAAGGCACTAATTGATGTGCATGATGGTAAACTGATCCTGCGTGCTGGGAATAAACAGGCTACTTTCTCTGTGACTGAATTCGATCACTGTGCTATGATTGCTGTCACACCTGTGCATTCCTGTTCTGATAAGGTACACGAGTCTGTCGTGTATCCTTCTGCACCTCTCATTTTGCAGGAGCCTCCTATCATTCCTTCGCCGCCACTCCATCCAGTCTCGCCTCCGAACAAAAAGATCAAGGAGGAGTGGCGGCCGAAGCAGCAGGTTGCTAAGCCTGCACGGAAGAAGGTGGAGACCACTACGAGCTGGTTCCTCCTCCTGCACCACGACCACCCTGGCCATCCGAGTACTCACTCGCCTGCATCTTGCCGGATGGCCAGGTCGAGCTGACCAATGCTGGTGGTCGCACCTGTCGGGTGCACGGTCACCACCTGAAGCTGTACCTCAAGAGTGACGTGGATCCGCTCTTGGAGGCACCTGTGCCTGCACCCCGCTGAGTATCCACCATGGGCGTCCAGCTAAAAGACGGTAAAGAAGCGCTTGTGGGGAGGCAATCCCACCACGGTTTGACTTTCTTTCTTGTGTTTTGAGTCGGATTGTAAACCGGTTTTGTTTTGGTTTGTTTTCTTTTGTTTTGGATGATGTATTATTGGGCTGACCATTAGACCTGACGTATTGTGTTTGAGCTCTTTGGTTTCCTTTAGCTGTGTGACTGGTCCTCTCTCCAGTCCGCTTCACTCCGACTGGTCCGTTTCCAGTCTCCTGCAGTCCGTGCATACCGGTAACATCGTTCCCCTTTTCCTTCCCTCTTCTCCATTGAGGGCAATGTCGATCTTAAGTGTGGGGGGTATGTTTATCTTTGGACTGCATTAGATCTGTTTGTGTGCTTGGAGCCTAGTCCACTGTCCAAATTTTTAAATTTGAGGGCTCCAAGTACGTATTCCTTGCAATTGCCTGCTCAGTATGCTTTGAATTGACAGTCTTTATAGTAATATGCAACCTAGGGAGGTAGTGTAGCACTATGGAGGATGTTGATGCATTTAAGAAGTCTCATTGCTTCTTCATATTGTGTTTGTTGATTGAGTGAATTAGTGATCTTAGGACCCTTGAATTGTGTGGTGTTGTGGACTCTCTACCTGTCATAGACTCTTGTATCATGTTTTGAGTTTAACAGGTGCTCGAAAATGTGCTTTAAAATAATGTCTCCCGTGCGAATAGGGCGAAAGTGTGTAAGGGGAGACGGGAATTCGTTCCCAATTTCCACCTACTACCTCCAGCCCCCTTACATGTCTTTCCCCCGCACGAGGCTCGAGACATCCGCTCCTGGCATGGCCGGTAAGAGTCGGGCTCCTGCAAAACCTCTGCTAGGTGGGAGCCCCCATTTTCTGAAAAGCAGGTTGGGACCCTTGAAAAAAAAAAACAGAAAACAAGCAAAACAGAAAGAAAAGGGGTTCCAACCGTCTTCAAGAAGAAAATAGAGCACCTTAAAAAGGTGAGTCCATGATCTTTTGTTTTTGAGAGTCCATTCGTCCATGATTCATTTATCCTCTGCTCACTATTTGCCATGATGCCGACTCGAGACTAGCGTTCTCACCGAAGAAGCTATGAGATGACTTGTGCGTCGGTTGACCTCGTAAGCTGCTAAATGATCTAGGAAGTCCTCTACCTACGATCTGGGTTGTTTGTTGCTATAGAGGTCTGGAGAATTGCATTGGTTTGAGTTAGGTTTGCTTGGGGACAAGCAAATGGTTAAGTGTGGGGGAGTTTGATAGACAGATAATTACACATATTTTCACCCCTATTCTTGAGCCGTTTGGGTGGTTGACTCTCGGGTTTTAAGCCGATTTCACGCGAGGTTGTGTGTTTATGTCGTATTTCAGGACCCGGCATTGAGGCGAAGGAACGAGATTCGGGTCGAAAGGAGCAAGTGAGGCTTGAAGTGTGCTGGAGGAAGAAAATACCCGGCCATGACCAAAAATACCCGGCCGGGTATTATTATAGGAGGCCGGGTATTTGCTGTTTTGGCGTCTGAGAAACGGAGAGGGTCCCGGGCTGGAGGCACAAAATCCCCGACCGGGGATTATTGGATGAGACCGGGTATTTTTCCCTGGGCAAAACGTGCGTTTCAACTATACCCGGTCGAGACCCAAAATACCCGACCGGGTATTTCGACCGGGTATCGCGACTGGCAGCTGTTTTAAGGGAAAAGAAGGCTGAAAATCAAAAGATTCGAGTTTTAGAGAGACAGAGCGATTCCTAGAGAGAGAAAGCGACGAACAAGAGTTCCCAAAAGCCCTAGCTTGATCTTCATCACCATTGGAGCTTGGCTTGAGCTTGGAGAAGTGCCGATCAACGTCCAGGAGCAGGAATCCATTCTTCACTATATGAATTCCGCGTCTGATTCTGCTTTTGCTTCTTTCTCCATGGAGTAGTTCTCCCATTCATCTGGGTATGGAGAACCCTAGATTTGTATGTTAGGTTTGATTGTATGAACCAAAGTACTGATTCTATGATTGGATTATATTCAATTGAGGTTTGAATGATTGAATGGCATGAATCCTGATCAAATTCCTGTTGTTTCTGCTTTAACCTAGAATGAGAATATCTGCCTAGGTTGATAGAGCATCCTTGATTGAAGGTAGAGAGTTGGTGACTTTAGTCGAGGAGCCAACTCACTATTCTGTACCGAATTCACTTCGGTAGTGGAGGTTTTGTTCGTAGGGCCTCAATCTGTTTACTCCGGTGGAGGTTAGTCGCCCGCTAGAGACTCAGATTGAGAGGGTCTGGAGACCTTTAGTCGAGACTTCAGGCTGTTTAAGAACCTTCCGTAGTATAACTATCATAGAAACTGAACTTGGTAATTGCAATCCGGCTTAACTGCAGTCTAGGGGGAACCATATCCGGGTGACCTCTCTTAACCTGAATACAACCGTTTACTTGCTTTGTTTGTCTGTTAGTTTAGACCTGCACTAAAGTTTCATTCCTAGATAACAAGAATTCACTGAGTAGTCATCAAATCTAGGACCCGGGTTGACATTAAAACCCAAACCCGCTATACTACGCTTTAGGAAGTGGTTTCACTTGGCCATTTTCTAGAGTGACAGTAGGAGTGAGTCACCCTGCAACTGGAGAAGAGGGAGATGAGGATCTGGACAGCGTCATCCTTGGATAAATCGAAACCAGTGGCGGCTTCATCGACAGCGTAGTAGGTGGCGCGGATCGTCGTCTTGCTGTGCTCAAAAAGGACTCGAGCAAACTGGTGCTCGAGCGTCAGGGATTATATCAGTTGTGCCATGTTGGACGGTGGTGCGGGGGAGGCGACGGTGGCGAGATATATGCCGTTGGGAACCCCTTTGGTTACGAGAGGGGCCGGAAGTGTACCTTTGTTGCGGCGGCAAGTGAAATTCAATCCATGTTTAATTGGAAGGTTAGGGTGTCGATTGACATGGTGGTGGGTTAAAAAAATATAATATAAATTTTAATTCTTAATTGTTATTATTTTGTAATGGTTGTGATTGAGGTGGAAATGAAAAATAATTTATTACTTTTACTTTTTAGTGACACGTCATCAACTTAACGGTCAAAGATAATAGTTGACTGCCACCTAGGATGAATTTAACGGAGTCTGCCGGAACCTGACGGTCAGTGACTAATGATGAAACAAATTGTAAAGTAAGTGGCGAATAAGAAAGAAAAGTAATTTGGTGGCAAACGTGAAAGATTCATATAATTTGAGTGACCAAACGTGTAATTTAGCCCACTCCATTTCTAAGCCCCTTCAGTCAGAATTCATTCCAATATTATCGAAGCTCAAATTTTAGCCTCCCTAACTTTCTTATTTCATCATGAAGAAGGAAGATAGAGGAATGACGACAAAGAGCTCGAATTCTAAAACCATGATGACCTCCCTAGAGATATCCAATGTGAAAAGGAGGAGACTTCATATTTCCCTATGGCCAATAACTCTTCATGTTGTTCACATGGAATATGAGGGCTCCTTGAACTCAAGTTGGAGACTTCGTATTTCACCCGAATTATGTGGTTATCGTTAGTGGTGTACATGGGTCGGTTAGGTCATTTTTTAAGATCAGGTTGGCCGAAAATCCATCAATTATACAATAATTAAAATTTTATTTTAATAATTTATTATGAAAAGTAATACATATGACATTATATGATACAAAAAATGTAGTATATCAAAATGGGCATTCATACTAGACTTTGGTGCATAATGTACTAACACATGTCCGTTTAGATAATCTCGGGATGTAACCATCCAAACCTCCACCCAACCACAAGCTTTGGTTTTCAAAATTCAAATCCATACCAACCTATAAAATTGGATTTTCTTGAATATTACAACTGAATCGGTTTGGGTTGGACAAATGGTGCGATTATCGGTTTATTTTGTTTATCCCTAGTGAATTAATGACATGATTGATGATGCTTACTCATGGATTTTTGGCCTACTATTCCTACCCACTAGTGGAGAATTTATAGACATACACCTCATAGTGAGATCATCATACGAGCCAATAACCTCGATCACAAGGTCAATATGAATGAGAAGAAGGAAAATTCTTCTGTGGATATGAGAATTTCATGCACATATGCTATCACCTCGGAGATAAACAACCTCCATCAATAAGACTCAGGAGAACAAAGTTGTGTGCTAAAAAATATTAATAGAACCATTAAACAATAGTATAAAGGATTTTCCTTTTAATAATATTGAGTAGGAAACATACATAAATCAGTTAAATAGAAATATTGAAAACTATGAAAGTCTTGGAACCAGAAAAAAACAAGTACCATATGGTCATGGCGTTTAATTCAACATATAATAATAAATTGAAAAGAATTTAAAAATTGTGAGAGTATCCCTTGTATCACCCCTTGATAAAAGTAGTCCTTCGAAGTCCTAGAACTTAGATTGGAGTTGCCACACAACACTCTTGTCAACTTGGAATGCCTTGGCGAGGAGGTCAATATTTATGTCGGGTTTGGATCCAAAGATAGTATTGGCAATGGTGATGACTCCAGGGTTCTGGCTGCTTAATGCAGCTATAGCAACAGCATTTCCGTACCCAATATTGCGTTGGTAGTGGATCAACCCAACCGGAAAGACGAACACGTCTCCCTTCTTAAGAATCTTGGTGATGTGGCGATTCTCAGGGTTGGATGTCACGAATCCAACTTCGAGAGAGCCGTCGATCACGCTGAGGATCTCGGTAGCACGAGGGTGAGTATGGAGTGAGTTGATACCCCAGGGAGCATAGTCAATTCGAACCATTGAGATTCCAAGTGTGTTAAGTCCTGGAATCTGGGTCACCGAAACCGGAGTGACCCTGGAGCCCACTGCATTTGAGGTGTTGCCGGGAATGTGAAGCCCACTAAAAGCAAAATCGCTTGCTTGAACCATGGCAGGATCCTTACAAGCTAGGCCGTTCATTCGGGTGTTGCTGCTAGCATCTGCCACACAGAAATCCTGAAGGCTGGCGGGTTCGGCAGCCAATGACATACTTGCGCAAACAGCAAGAGCTACAAAGCCTAGAAAAGCAATCCGGTGAGCCATTGCGAATAAAGGAAAAGGCAAAGAATAGTAATGTACGAACTTTCTTTTTGGGTTCCAAGTTCCAACTATTGAGCAAGCAAGGACTGGGATTAATTGTTCGTGGTTGTGGTGGTGTGGGAGCATGCAATTACATATCCCGTTTATATAGAAATGGATTTCAAGGTGACCAAATCCTTGGAGGGTTAGTTAATTGGCCTTTGGCCAGGTCTACAGAGGCATCCGAAAGCTCTTTTGGCTTCTCTCTCACGCGTTTGCTATACGTCACCTTGTCCATTGTTTCTGAGCCGGCTTTGCATTAGGATACCTACAAGTGTCAACTGCACAGCTACACAGTGGTTCGAAATATTGGAATAGGTACACAGTGGTACTAATTCTAACAATAAGAACAACGAACCGGGAGGATATCTCAACATCATTATATTAACAACAAATATATATTGGATATAGCCTACCTGAAACAATAAGAATTAGCATGAAAGCACGCGCTGCGTGGCCTGTAGTGTTTTTACTAACTTGGAATTATAAATAAATAGTGTAAGTGATATTATCAACTTATCAGTTATCACATAATAGTTTTCAAAATAGTCGATTCTATCAACTAAATAAAAATGTGTTTTCAAAAGGTGAATAGACTATGTTAAAACGGAAATTCGACATTGTTTTATTTTTCTGTTGCGAGTTGGGTGGAAAGCGAACATAGTTTTTATAAAATTTACACCCGTACCAACCCGCCAGTGACAAAACCGGGTATAAGTGACTTGCGACCCAAAACTCGTCAACACTAGGTTCAACCCACTCTAACCGTATTGAATTAGGTTTGACACCCCTCCATAAATGACATTGTTTTGGTTTTTTGGGTGCGGGTATGATGGAAAGCAAACTGAGTTTTAAAAAAATCCACACAACTCAACACGAAAATCACAAAAGCAGGTAAAACTCAGTCCAGACCGAAACTCGTCAATACCACATTCAACATTCTTTGACTTGGTCGATTGTTTCGTTTTTTAGTTAGGTGTGGGTTTTTAATAAAATCAACACCGTACCCAAACCGTCATTTAGAAAAGCGGGTAAAACTAACTCGCGAGCTAAAACTCGTCCGTCTACACCAGGTTCACGAGCTAAAACTCATCTGCTTCATGTACAACTCTGCTCTCTCTTATGCAAGTGTACAAAGGTCTAAGTGGGCAAAGAGTCAATCTGGCCAAATCCGCAATAATGTTCAATCGGAATACCCTTCTGAATGCTGCACAATCAATGGGAACTCAACTGGGGGTTGGTAGTATCGGAGAGCAAGACTCATATCTTGGATTACCTTCCATCTTAGGAAGGTCTAAGAGAGATGCTTTTCTATTCATTAAGGATAAGTTCCGCCAGAAATTTGATGGTTGGAAGCAAAGGGCTCTATCCAAAGCAGGCAAGGATACACTTATAAGAACTTTTGCGACTAACTTACCTGACCATGGTATGTCATGCTTTAAATTTCCTAAATAAACCTGTCGACGATTGAACAGACAAGTAGTCAGATTTTGGTGGGGCTCCTCTTCAAATTCTGAACACCCTATCCATTGGGTCTCTTGGAGGGGAATATCTCAAAGAAAATTCCAGGGTGGTTTGAGATTTAGGGACTTTCAGGCGTTTAATCAAGTGCTCTTGGCGAAACAATTTTGGCTAATTTGGACTAATCCAGACTCTCTGTTAGGCCAAATCTAAAAAGGCGTTACTTTAGCTCTTCGTTCATTCTAAAGGCTCGGGTTGGGTCCATCCCATCATGGGGATGGCGTAGTCAACTTTATGAACGAAAGCTTCTCCTTCACGGATTACGTTGGCAAGTAGGAGATGGCCATGACATCAATGCTTTCTATGGCACTTGGATCCCAGCTCTGAAGCCAGAAGCCCGGTAATTAGGTTGGGTAACATTAACTCTGCGCCGCGAGTGTCTTTTTTTATAAGGGCGGGTATGGGGGGAATGGCATGTGCCGCGCCTTCACTATTATTTTAATTCCCAATCAGTTGGCCTTATTTGCAAGATGGCTCTGCCGCGGAAAGCTCAACCAGATACCAACATATGGCACTTCACAAAAAATGGTAAATATTCAGTTAAGACAGGTTATCACTTGGCTTTAGAAGGTATCGTGATTCCAAATAGAAAATCATTGGCTCATATTATTGATCCTCCTCCAAAACTCAGATTCTTCATCTGGCAATGTCTCAAAGTAGTTCTCCCTACAATAGTGGCTCTCAAATCCCGAGTGGTTAACTGCCTGCGTCGTTGGCCCGTTGACCTATTTGTTGGAGGTTCCAAGAAAGTATAAAACATTTATTCTTGCGTTTCCCCCTTGCCATCCAACTATGGTATTTTGTGGGATTAATTAATATACTGAATGCAACCCCAAGAATTAATTTCAGCTTGTGGTGGCGTCAAATTATGCTAGATGAGCAGTCATAAACCCATATTCTCTAGATAGTGTGCCTCTTGTGGAGAATATGAAAATCAAGAAATAAAGTTGTATTTGAAAATACCCAACCTCATATCAGTTCGTTAGCCCATCAATTCTCTTTCCAAATCTGCGAAGTGCTCTCTGCCCAGCCTTACCACCTCCCCTACCTCGTGCTCCTGTCTCTACTAGACCTCTTCTTTGAGAATGCCTGCCTCAAGACTTGTTATAGATTTTAGAGCAGTTCTGCGGACTGTCAACTGGGATGCTCATATATAGGTGGCACGTAAAGCCCTGTTGTTGTTCCGGCTAGAGTTAGTTTCTGTTGACTTTGTTGGTTATCAGTGGGATGTGAAGAGGTTGTGGGTAGTGGTTCTTTGTAACTATGTTCTTGATAATTCTCGGGGAAAAAAGACATTAAAACTAGTTTTTGACAGCATAGAGTTACTCTTATAAGTCACTAATTCATCTAGAAAAAAAATATTGTTTAATTCTTATTATGTTATGTATGCTCAAGAGTTTTAAAAGGCTCTCTCGGTGAATAATTTGGGTCCAAATTCAATTATATGCATCATTAAAATGGCGAGTTATGTGGTGCCATTTCAAGATTCGTGGCCCGTGCCGCCATATTTTCCACCTTCAAATTCATTTTATTCTCTATTGGCGTCGAATTGATTGCAGGTGGCCTCAAGTTTAGTAGACCTAATCGTCAAAAAGTGGCACGTGGGGTAGAGATTCTTAGGTAATAATCCATTTTATTCATGCTATGTATTATGTAGGCAGCCGCCGGAAAGAATTGTTAAATATAACAGAATTTGCACAAGCATTTTGCCGAATATCACTTGTAGAAAATAAACAAAAATATATTCAAACAATTCACTGGATCATCTTATGCTAGATTATCAAAGGTTTGTTGAAGATACCTGGATTCATGATGACCGTCTAAATCTAGATGAAGAAATGATGACGATCAATCTTCGAACGATGCCTATAACCGCACGACCCGGGAGGTTATGCAACCTTCCTCAACCAAGCTCCCTCAAACCCAGTCTTAGGCTATCTCACTCATTCTTATAGGAAGAATATGTGTGTGTTGAACTTGGTGCATTAATTGGGGACTACAATCTCAAATTCCTTATATACAAGTCACACCATGGCTCTCATAACACTATATGTGGACACGTATGTAGCTTTCCACACATTGAACTTACGGGGTCGTTTGCTTGTTGGATTTGGTTATAGGTGTCAATCGGGCAGGTTCGGGCTGGGTTCAATCGGGTTGCGGGTTAGTCGGGTTGCGGGTTCGTCGGTTCGGGTTCAATCGGGTTCGGGTTTAATCGGGTTGCGGGTTAGTCAGGTTGCGGGTTGATCTGGTTTGGGTTCAATCGGGTTACGGGCAAATCGGGTTTCGGACCGGGCGGATTGGGTTGCGGGTTGTTCGGGTCAACGTGTCGAATTACTTACTCGTTACCAACTTACACATTTTAATACACTAATTTAAAATATTTTTCACAGTTTTTAATAAATTTCTTTGTACTGTGTATATATACTTAATTAAGAAAAACTAGTCAAAATCACCACAACCGAAATTTGAAATCTCGCCTTCCCACCATAACTAAAATTGCGCCGCCCAAAATTTCATCATCACCCGCCCACTACAATTACACCAAAAACACAAAACCCTTCCCTCTACTTGCAAAAAATTGGGTGCCCAAAATTTCATCACACCCGCCCAAAACCAAAATTTTATCACACCCGCCCAAAATTACTTCTTAGTTCTTACCCTGTCATCTTTTCCAATAATAAAGTTTATTATTATAGACAAAAGGTCTTAGTTATTATTTATTATAAATATTAGCATTGTGCTGATTTTATATTTACTTTTTTTTTAATTTTGTTAAAGAAATTCATGTCATAATTTTTGTAATTAAAACCTTAATTTTAAGTGAATTTCAGATTTTGAACTTTCTTAACTAAATGTGAATGATTTTACTTAGGTTGAGAATGAAAAACTTTATTTGAAAACAATATATTTATTTTAATCAATTTATTTCTATCTCGTATATATATACTTAATTTTAAAAAAAAACGAGTCAAAATGTTAAATCAATTTGTATGACTTACAAACTTGTTATGTAATTAATCGTAATTGGTAAAGTACACTAGCTAATAGTAATGGTGATATCAATATTTACAACCAAAAGATACATTTAATTATTTATTTGATATTTTAGTATTATTTCAGTAGTGTAATTGGATTAAAGTATCTCATTTAGTATAACCATGCAAATGTGATATTTGGCGTGTGGTATTAGGCAAAAACAGAGTGATAAAAGAAGTTATTTTGAAATAATTCATTGCCCAAATAACTTCAGTAAACTGTTGCCAAACGAGTTATTTGTAAAATTGTTCGAATTATCTTGAAAATTGAACCATTAAAGATTAACTATCAAATCTAGTAAAATTATTGGGACTTCAATCATAACTTACTCAATAACATATATCATATACACTTAGCCTTACCCTCAATCGACAATATTAAGTTAGTATATGTTGTTGATTGTATACCCTAAATCATTAATACATTATACACTAACCACATACCCTATACCCTAACCATATGTCCTTATGAGTTGTGATTTTGCTAGTATAGTTAATTTAAAACTGAAATTCATACTTTGATTTTCAAAACATAGATAAAAAGTGATATTTGCTAATTGTTATACACTAACCATATATCTTATACTCTACATCATATACCTTGTACCCTAACCACGTACCACAAACATAAATTAAAAAGGGATCTCCTGTCGTTAAAGACATCAAATGACTTGAAGTGAACATATGTTAATAAAAAACTGAGAACCATCAAAACCATCAATATCTTATAATCTAACCATATACTCGCTAAACCATCTGTACCTTATACCATTTACCCTAACCAATATACTTTATAACCTAAACAACGAACCGTCAAAGACTACTTATCAAGTTTAGTATAATTGTTGTACTAATGGTTAATTTATTTATTAGCCCATAAACAAATACATACATACATACATACATACATATATATATATATATGGCGAGTTCTACGGTACCCTGGCTGAAATCCGGGGTACCGCGTACCTTGAGTATGAAAACACTATCTAGACCTTGAATTGACCGATCTTTCGGACATGATACTATACTCTAACACTTAAAGATCAAAATCTAGGTGTTAACTCTCCCAATCTTATACTCCAAGATCAATTTAATTAGAAATAATAATCGACGGTTATGATTCATCCAAATAAAGGCACAAAAAGGAATGCACCATCTTAGGGTTTATAGATTATGATTTAGATAATTATGACCTAGGGTTCACTCATTAAGGGTTAGGGTATAATATCAGACACCAAAATTCTGGTAATTCGAGGTCTAGATAGAGTTTCCATACTCGAGGTATGAGGTACCCCGGATTTCACCTGGGGTACCATAGAAGCCACCATATATATATATATATATATATATGGTGGCTTCTATGGTACCCCGGGTGAAATCCGAGGTACCGCATACCTTGAGTATGAAGACACTATCTAGACCTTGAATTGACCGATCTTTCGGACATGATACTATACTCTAACACTTAAAGATCAAAATCTAGGTGTTAACTCTCCCAAATTATACTCCAAGATCAATTTAATTAGAAATAATAATCAACGGTTATGATTCATCCAAATATAGGCACAACTAGGAATGCACCATCTTAGGGTTTATAGATTATGATTTAGATAATCATGACCTAGGGTTCACTCATTAAGGGTTAGGGTATAATATCAGACACAAAAATCCTGGTAATTCGAGGTCTAGATAGAGTTTCCATACTCGAGGTATGCGGTACCCCGGATTTCACCCGGGGTACCATAGAAGCCACCATATATATATATATATATATATATATAAGCCTTCAAAGCATATAAGAATAAATTGAACTAGTCATGCCCTCCATGTAAAAATTAAAGATTCATATTTCAAAGGCTAAAATTTTGAAAAACCAAAGAGTTGAAAACACCAAATTTATTTCATTCTTTCTTTTCACAAAAAAAAATACTAAAATTTCCCTCCTTTCTGTTCTCCTTTCATTAATTAGAAACACCCAATTTCCCTTATCTTTCGCTTCCATAAAATTGAAAAAACCAAATTTTCCTCTTCCTTCCTTCCACAAAAAGTTGAAAACTCAAAATTTCCCTCCTTATTTCTCTTTCATAATCAAAAGAACCAAACTTTCCCACTTCTTTCTATTCCCACAAATCAAAACCACCAAAATTTCCTTTGTTTCTTTTCTAAAAAATTCAAAGAACCAAATTTCCCTCTTCTTTCTCTTCCCAAAAAGTTGAATACACCAAAATTTTCCTCTTTATTTAACAAATCCATCATCAAATATATCATGCAAACATCAGACTCTTCAAATCCATAATCCAATAAATCCAACATAAATCCCAAGATTTTTATTGGCTAAAACCCTCATTTTTCAAATCCAACAAGCAAACGACCCATACATTAAGTTTGAATAGTCATGGACCACATAAAATTAATTTAGCCCATCTGAATGAATAACATATACAGTGTGTTTATCATGATTGTCAACCCGCCGATCGCCCGTGGATCAACCCATACTGACCTGGTGGAAAAAATAGGCTACAAACACCTAGTAGAAGATTCGCCCATTTTGGTAAAACCCGCGTTGGCCCGGTCAAAACCCGACAAACCCGAATGGTTGGCAATGATGTGAAAACCGGCCCGGACCGGCCGGTTAGCCCGGAAAAAACCGGACCCGGACATTGATCCGGTCCGGAAGCATAAAAACGGCAGAAAACTAGCGGTTTGCGTTTAGTCCATTTTTTGTTTACTTTTTCAATGGAAAAGAAAGACCGCCGCCTAGTTTATGCTTCCTTCAATTAAAAAGTTAAAAAAAAAAAACTAAATCAACGGGAAAAATAAATTGGGTACATTATAAATTTGAAAAGGAAAAGAAATCATCACATTCTATTTCTCCTGAGTTAGTAAATACTCTGTTTAATACACGTATATGTACCCGTACGTAGTTTATCCGTTTAAAACTTCCGTATCTGTATTATTGTTAAGCCGTTTCTTTTTTTACCGTTCATTTGATGGCTCCCGTATTAAACACGTTTAAAACCCGTATTGCACGTTTAATATCCGTATTTAATGAATCAAATTACGAACTTTACCATTATTTATATATTTATATTTAAAATAATAAATTTTATATATTTATGACAATTTACGTACTATTTAAACGTAACATTAGCATAGAAACGAAGTAAAATACCCGTACGTATTTTATACGTGACTTTCCCGTACCGTATTTTACTAACTATCCTGCCTAGCTGCCACCTATGTTTCCAATTTTAATTTTGAGATATTATCATAAACTAAGAAAAAATAGACAATAATCAATTTTGACTTTGCATTACTAGCTCCACCAAGTAGGTTAGTTCCGATTTATGTCCGGTTTTTAATACCGTTTAATCAACGATTATTCGATAACTCTTAAACCTCTCGTATATCCGGATCGATCTCCGGTTCGGTTTTGACAACACTGATGGTTGGCCCGTTAGCACGGGTTTCGGGTGGGAGAACGAGTTTCTTCATTGCGCCTACGCCTACGCCTCCCGCGCGACCCTTTCTTTTCTCTTTCCCCAATTCACCTAACCCTTAGGCCTAAACCCTATTTTCTTTTTCTTCATCCTTCTCGCAGAGCCCCACCCCAAGCAGTAGAGTTACTCCGGCGGCCCTTCACTTCCTTCCGTCTTCCATGACAGCGGCGCCTTCCGCCTCCTTCCACAGCATTAACTCCTTTCGAACTCCCCCACCCGCCGTGGGGCCTTGTCAGTCATTACTGATTAGCCGTGAGGCCTGATCGCCAGTAAATCGCCAAATGAATTGAAGGACCGTGTTACTAAATCTTATCGTTGCATTGTCGGCGGTGTTAGAACTCTCTTCAATCTGCTCTTGATCTGCTGGGTTATGTGTTGGGCATAGATATAACTACCACTAAAGCGTCTTTTCTTCACTGTTTACCACGAAAAGACAATCACTATTCACCTTTTTCATACTAATATGTATTACAAGTTCATGCCAGTGCGTGATTGCTCCATGGATTAGCAATTGAGCTGCTATCTTAGTAATTAAAGAATATTGTACTAGTGTGCACTAAGAAAATCACCAATTGGGTAAATCTTGTTGCTAGATTTTGCTAATAATTTGTTGATGTTTTAGGTGGAAATTTAGCATGATTTATGCACCCTGACTTCAAATAAACAGAAAACGATGTTACTCGGTTCACACCTCTTCAAACACTGTTCGAACGAGGATGTTCGATGCATACATCAAAGGATCTGACTACTTTTACCTCTACCCCTATGGAGATTCCTTGAGAGCTCAGCAACTACTGACTACAACTAACAGAAAAGCCTCGTTGGAGAATCCTTGGTGCTACTGCTACGGTTACTGTTCTCGAGAGAAAATATAAATTTTGACGAGACTGTTTGTGATTTCATTTGTCTGTGTCTCCTCCAGAACGTAGCTGCAAGTTTTGTTCTGTCTCTCCCTCTAACCATCTTCTCTCTTTTTCTCGAAATTAGCTCCACGTAGCATCCAGTAACTCCTCCGAGTGTCCTTTGCAAGTCAGCTGTTGCTTCTGGTAACCACATTTGACACATAATCATGTCACTGGATAATCAACCCTATATACCATGGATGAACAATTAGATGGTCACCATACACCAATAACATGGATGGTATCCATGTTGTTGCATGGCACCATCCACTTTAAGTTTGGATTGTGTCCATTATATTTGGGATGGTGTCCCTAATCTTGGATAGTACCATCCACCATAGGGTTTGGACGGTGTCCATGATGATGGACACTACCATACATAATAGGGTTTGGATGGTATCCATGATATTGGGAACTACCATCCATTATTGGATTTGGAAGGTATCCACGATATTGGACACTACCATCCATAATGAGATTTGAATGGTATCCATGATATTGGACACTACCATCCATAATGGGATTTGGATGGTATCCATGACGTTGGACCCATCCACCAAACCTACGACTCGACAAGATAAATGAACCATCCATGTACACATGGACCAACTGCTTAAAGTTGACAACCTGTTCATACATGTGATAATTAATGAAAATTATTTTGGTGTATACAAATGCCCCCCACAACTTAGTGCATAAGAAATTATGGACTAAGTTGTTGACACCAATTATACTAGATGCGCAACCACTTGAAACAAATATTGGCTTTATGTAGCCATGTCTTCAATTCATATAAAGAATGTAATTCCTTATTGGCTATGTAAATGAAACACACCGAAAGGGTGTCCCTTTCTGGAAACGGATCAGGTCAGTAACCTTATGGTGAGTAACCATGAGTAACCCATCCACATCAACATGACATCAGCAACCCTCTCTCTATTGGAAAGCCTTTAATTTTTCTCTCCTTAATTTTTAATGGACGATTTCTCATTCGTTTTAAGTCGAAATTTAATTTTTTTGCACAGTTAGATAAGATAATTGTGCTCTTCAAAATGATATCCACTTTGATATATTTTTCGAACAAAAAAAATTTGAGCAATTTTTTACTAGTCTATACCATATGGTATTGACTGGTATTGAAATAAGAGCATACCTATGGTTTGAAAAGCGTACCATTGTGATATGAACAAACCAAGACTGTAGGATGGTTGAATACATGATAGTAGAAGTATATTAACTGTCATTTACGACTTTTAACATTGTGTACCACAAGATACCACACCATACAAGGGCGGTATTGTATGGTATTGTGTGGTATTTTTTTGGTCATGTAATTTGTTCACCCAGAAATTTGTATATCCAATAGATCATGATGAAGTCGTCCCTGCAAATGTTTTCAAAAACGAATTAAAAACGAAGAAAATACCATATGGTATGCAGTTGGTACCGCGAGGCCAGAATTTTTTGTTCTAAAAAAATATTGAAAATTGATCTCATTTTCTAGAGCGTGATGAACTCGTTCCATCTGTGAAAAAAAAAACAAAAAAACAAAAATCCGAGTTAAAATGAAAAAGATATGAGCCGATTAAGGAAGATATGGAAAATAAAAATGGTATTTAATTCTTCATCCTTAGATCTGGATTTTCTAAATGAAGGATCCAGATTTGGTTATTGATGGATGCATAACCCATGGTTATGCAGCCTATCTTTCACCTCTCTTTCCAAGTCAGCTAATAATACAACTTTTAGCCAAATAACGTGGCATACCTCTTCCTTTTTTGATAAGGAACACAAATTCTTTTTCATATTGCACACATCCTCTTAACCCATATCCTACTAGTAAAAGGAAACTCATTCCTAGAAGGACACAACTAATTTTCTCCTCTATAAATTGAAAACTACCACCAACATAATTCACAACTCAAAATCTCACATACCTCCCAACAAGCTGCGATGCTTCCCAACAGTAAGAACTCGACCACTATGCGGCCTCAAATCACCAAACCAGGTAACCTCGTCTTCTCTTCTCTTTGCCTTCCGCCCCAATGCTTGTATACCTTTGGATTAATTGCTGGCAGCCCCATTTATTTCTTCCATGGACACTTAATTTGGAATCCATAATTTGTTCATGTACATGCAACCATTGTTGTTTTTTTTTTCTTTTATAAATACGTGGCCACTTTTACAAATTGAGATTAGCATAAGAAATATGTCTCATCATGTATTTTTGCTTGGGCCGACCTCCAATACTACTGTCCTCCGTGAATTTTCATGCATGCGTACAATTTTTTTTTTTTTTATAACTTGGCTGAATTTTGCGCATGGACAGCAGCTTCTTAATAATTGTTTAGCCAATAATGGCCACTTCTGAATTCTTGCAGCCAATATTGAGTAGCAACACGTTCCCTTTTCTCCTTTAACTCTGTGGATTTTGTGCATAGCCAAAACTTCTTGTACGCGTCACACCCCTTTGTTTGCTCAACTCATGTGTGACCATCCCACTTGACCATTTTGCACGTACGCCTGCTCCTTGCTCACTTGCATAATTTCTGCCGATTGTTGTTTGCTTGTAAATTTCATGAACACATTCATCCATTCTATGTCTGTTGGCTTGACTATTGAACAGCCTTTCAACCATGGTTTGTGTTCTTGCAGAACCAAAAGATCTTAAACCTCCATGGTGAACTGGTGGCGCTCCCTTAATGAAGATCCAGTGAGATTCACTCTTGATCCTTTTATGTTGAAAGAGAATGGAGAAGGGTGGCTAGGTCCAGCCATCTTCTCACCAGTTGCTAATCATGTGATCCCATATAACACATACCCAATGTCCCAATCACCAATCCTCCATCATCACGCACAACCATCCCCCTGGCCATTCTCCTTCTAGGCTTGGTGCTTCGGGTCCGCCGATAGGTTTCAACCGAACCTACAAATCACTATACCAGATAAATTATGTGTCTGGTAGACCCATTACTGATGTTGAGCGAGTGGCATACCTTCACTATTGGCTCTACAAGTTCATCGTATGCTCCTGCCAAAACCATCCAAAAATAGGTGTTGTCACCACATACAAGATAACACGTGGGGAATATGACAACCTTGTTGTGATGGTACTTTGCCGACTTTATCGTGGCATGCACACATTGGTGAATCAAATTAAAAAGGAGAAGAGATATCATGCACCGGGCCTCTCTGGATAATACAGCTTTGGTTGCACCCTTACTTCCCGATGATGCGCAACTCCTTGCCTCCTCCTCAAGAGCTCTCAAATGGCACCACCATCCTCACCTATGGGCACTACCTTGCATAAGCAACATGGAAGAGGAAAAACTTCCAGTTCTACTTCACCACACTCTATGACGCTAAAAAGGTAGTGACATTCACACCTTTCGAGACTTACACCTTTGGGCCATCATTGTTTACTCGTATATTCCCTAGTGCATCGCAAGGGAATGAGGCTTATGAAGATGCCTATTTCTGGCATGTAGAGCAGTGGTCTCGATGGATAGTGGCAAGGTATCTCTCTTTTGACTCCACCACAACATCAACTGTTAGTGTCGAGGTATACAATCCACATTTTGCAGCTCGTCAATTTGGCCTAGCGCATACTTGGCCAATGCCAGCGCCGTTCTCCTACAACCATTCACACTTTCACCAACGGTGACCCCTCAACCTAAAGGAAATTTTTGGGCTACGGGAGTGCCCCAACCTCTTGATCCCCAATGCTTTTAAGCACTCAAAGTTACGCCAGACCCCTCTTTTCATATTTGTGGTCCAAAAAGATGAACCAGCTCCACATGTTCACCAATGCCGCGAGCAATATTGTTCTACGTCTTATCCCACCCGGTCACATGGTTGACGTGAACCATGATGAAGAAAGTGCTGAGGAGGACGACTCGCCAAGGCCAATTAGTTGTCGATCAAAGCGCTTCATGTGTAAGTACCATCTCTTTCTTTGTAAATTCACTCTTTGCCTTTGTACTTACTAAACTACATATCATGACCACATCCTCCAATGTCAGCGAGGATCGACAACAACCTAACAAGCATGCAAGGCATTCCTCGATCTCACAGGTACTCCTATCCCCTTGCTTCTTATCATATATTTTTCCAACTTTTTGACTAAACCAACCAATCATGCGTGGTATGGATATGAGCAGACTGATGATAGTGAAGATTATGAGCAAGACCTGGATGATGGGATCATTGACGTTGAATCCATGGGTCTAGAGAGGGAAGACTTGGCTAACACCACCTTTGACACTCTTGATGAACATGGACCCAATCGTCCCCTTGTCCACCAGTCGACCTCAACCGCACCATCAACAAGCTTGACGCTCGCTTTGGCAAATATTGGAGAGAAAGGGCGTCCTCTCGCCTCAACTGGCCAAGTGACTAGCACACCACAAGCTACTGCTCCTCGCCAAAGTATCATTATGGCACCATCGACCTTTGGCACCAATGCGACTACTCCACTATTTACAACTCTCAACCTACCGACATCAACAAGAGCTCTCAATACACCACAAGCCACTGCTCCTCGGAATATTAATATGGCACCCCCAACCTTTGGCACCATCACATCCTTTCCAGCCTCAAGAGTTGTCGCCAACCTGGATTCTCAAAATAATAGGAGCACTAGCACAGTGGATGACGCCATGAGCAACAACTCCAACTCAGCTCATAACCTGGAAAGAACTCCTTCAAACAACCCTACAACAACCACTCAGAGTTCTAACCCAGTTGGCACCATGGCAACCAATAGAATCTCTTTCCATTCCACTAATCATACGACATGAGCTAACTCCATGACTTTTTTTTTCAGGACGTGCCAAGCTTGGCAGAAGCAGAGAAATTCTTTGCAAGTCTGAATGAGAATGGATCTAGTCTAGCCCTGCATTCCTTCAATATCCACTCACCAGCGCTCTTGCTACCATTGATCAATTCCTTTCTCTCCAAGTGGATGAAGGTGCTAACACTCCAGAAACCAACTGGCCTGATGCGGCCTTAAAGTTGTTGGAGATTGTTCACACCGATGAGATACCATAAGGACTTGACCTAAAAAACATGCAGTTGTTGCAACAAACCGGTTCAAAAGTTCGAGCATGTCTTTCAAGTGAACAAAAGCAAGGCAACAACAAAAGGAGTATGGGGAAAAGAAAGTAGCACTTCAAGACACCAACAAATCCCTTCAGGTCAACATGGAAAAATTCAACACCACATCCTCCGACCTTACTTCCTATGTGAAACAACATGAAGCTATACAACAAGGGATCTGCTCATGCCAAGCAAGGATAACCGAGTTACAGGAGGAGATGGCGAAGATGGCGAAGATGTAAAGGGAGGTGCAGTCTTTGCATAAAGACATGGACAATGGTCAAGCTCAACTTGCTCAACTGGAGGCGACCATCCCTGCCCTTTTGGCTGAGACCAAAGTTTTGGTTATGCAAAAGGCGACGTTGACTGATGATCGACTTGCGATCCACAAGTTAGAGGCCACTCAATTGCATCAAGCTGCAAGCAATGCCTTTATTCTCTTGCGAGCCAAGATATCCAACATCGCCAAACGTCTCAACGACTGATCACCTCTTGGATTCGAGTGACATCATTCATCCTTGTACCATACCATCATAGCTTTCTTTTGTTTAATTTTAGTTCTTTTGGAAGCCACGTCTTTGTATGGCTTCGAAATCTCGGATTTTTCTCACTTTGCATTGTCGGAAACATTGACCATACTTGGTCTTTATATTATGTCGGAATTATTTGGTTTGATAACTATCCCTTCTTTCTCAATCATGGATGGTACAATATATCCAAAAGGTGGCAAGGTAACCATGTTTTGGCCCTTCTGCTTCCTAGATAGAAAAACAAACCCCTTTTAATGGCCAATCCAGAAAATATTTATCCTGGCCATCTTACTCCTCATCCATGTTGCACATCTTAGAAACCATGTTAACTTTGACTAGGTATCCATGTGCACTAGGCCAACTTCTAAATCATTGACATTCCGTAACGTCACAAAGGGACGGTAAGTATGGCTTAAGGTACTTGCCATGAATTAAGCGCTCATGTTGTACACCATCCAAATCTTTCAATAAGTAAGACCATGGGGACGTACAACATGAAACGATAAAGGGCCCACGCCAATTAGGAGACCACTTACCAAATTTTTTATATTTTCACCAATTGGCAAATGCAACTTCCATACTAGCTCTCCTTCCTCGAACGACTTATGCTTTAACTTTTTGTTGTATGCCCTAGCCACTTTGGCCTTTTATACCTAGATGTTATCAAGAGCTTGATGTTATAGCTCATCAAGTTCGGACAACTCCAACATCATTGACTCATAATACTCGGAAGGAGTCAATTCGTGTTGCTTCATGTATCGTAGAGACTACCGTTATCTCCACCGGCAAAAAGGCCTCATGGCCATATGTCAAAGAGAAAGGAGTCACTCTCGTACTACTACGTGGTGACATTCTATAGGCCCACAGTGCCTCTAATAGCACCTCATGGCAATTCCTTGGATTGTCCTCAATCATTTTGGACAAGATCCCTTTTACCGCCTTATTGGATGATTCTGCTTGACCATTGGCTTTAGCATAATAAGGTGTGGAGTGGATGATCTTAATGGAAAACTCCATTACCTGTGCTCCAGTGAATATTGTCCCTTGATCGTTTGTTATAATGGCTGGCAAACCAAAATGATGAATAATGTGTTCGTTGATAAAAGAAATCACCCCCCCCCCCTGGTTCACCGTCTTTATTGTTTTTGCCTCTATCCACTTAGTAAAATAATCAGTAGCCACAATGATAAATGTATGTTGCTTAGATGATGGGGGATAAACTTGTCCAATTAGATCCATTTTCCAACCAAATAATGGTTAAGGCTTAACGATAGATCTCAAATTAATGGGCAGGTGCTCATTGCACTGGTCCATGACGTTGGCAAGCTTCACATCCCTTAGAAAATGTTGCACAATCAGGCCCAATAGTTGGCCAGTAGTATCTATATCGATGCAATATCCACCTCATGTATGGACCAGCTTGATGTGCTCCACATATTCCATCGTGGACCTCATCCATAGCTTGTAAAGTCTCTTTGCCCCCCCCCCCCCCCCAAACATTTGAGCAACAAACCATCCCTGCTTTTTTTGAACAGTGTCCCATCTAGTAAGACATAGTTCCTAGCCCGAAATTTGGTAGTATGGTCTGCATCCCCACTTGGATTTTGCAAGTATTTCACTAGAGGAGCACGCCAGTCATTGGCGTCATCTTCAATCACGCACACCTCAACAACTTGTTTCATCCTATCCCTCTAAGGGCTAATAGTTTGCATGAATATTTGATCTCTTCCTCCACTAACAAACTCTCTGAAGCCAGTTTCCAGCTGAGCCAGATAGTTGGCCTTGCCATTATCCATACGAGGAATAAACTTGATGGTCATATTATCAAAATAAGAGATCAACACTTTGACACGCTCAAGATACAACTCTAACAAATAGTTGGCAGATTGTTATTCACCAAGCACTTGGTATACTACCAGTTGGGAATCTCCCCTAATATTGACATTCTTTGCCTTTGATTGACCAGCATATCTAAACCAACATCCAAAGCTTCATACTCCTTCTCCTGAACGTGTCTATGAGCCGTCAAAGAACAACATCCAAGGCATCTCCTCAACCATCCCAACTTCTACTTGCTTTGTTGGCATACCCACACATGGATGGTCTGCCAAAAAATCTGCTAGGGCTGGACCCTTAACTGCCCATTGTGGCACATACTTCAAATTGAATTTGGACAATGCAAGTGTCCACTTACCAATCCTACCATGGATGATTGGCCGGGACAATGCCAAAAAGACTGCTTGCTCATTGCCAGAATCATTCTCTTGAGCCAACAGAATTGCTACAGATGTGTCTGTGACTGAAAGATGTGTCTGCGGGTTCACCAAACACCTTTTGATATCTTCAAGGCCTTTTTGGTGGTTGTGGCTACGGGTTTGTAGCTTGGTTATCTGCAATTGCGGACGGTGGCTTGGTTTGGAGCCGGGGCATAACAACAAGTTTGGTATGAAAACCCTAAGCTTGATTCTCTTTCATTCAATTCTCACCCTTTATAGGCAGATCAATGGAACAAGACAGACTAGCTCCACAAAGTTTGTTTGGTAGCTTGGTGAGGAAACAAAGTACTCTTGTGCAGAAAGTATCAAACATAATGGGAAAGCACGAACAATGACGTTCTACAGGAAAGAAGAAATCAAGTGGAAATGGTAATGTTCCATAGAGAGCTTCTCCTTGAGGGAAAACGATGTCGGCACGATCTTCTTCTTCCTCTTTAATAACCACTCTAGTACAAATCGGTCGAAGGAGAGGAGACTCATGTGTTGATAACTCTCAAATTATAGTGTTTATCACTTATCACATGTTATACATTTCTCCTTATATTCAACACATAAATAATGGTTCATATCAATGCATCTTTAGTACATTTTATCATATTTCGTATGGATTTCATAACTATTTGATCAATGTTCTTATAATAGACATAAGTCGTGTTTTAGTATTATTTTATTCCTTTTTTTTTGTGTTTCTCAAGGTCAAACACAATGAAGGAGGAATTGGGTTAGTCATTGGATAAAAAAGGAGGATCAAAGGGATAATCATCGAAAGATCAAGGAGTAATTCATCTATGAAAATGAAGCCAAATTAAGCCAAATGAAGGGAGGCCGTACAAGTTCCTTCATGTGAGCCCAAGTTGACACCATTAGAGAAATTTTGGCCCAAATAGACGAAGGAATTAGTGATGGGTCCAACCATCGTTGGGCCGCCAGACCCAACCATCAAGTATTTGCCAAAATCGACGGAGAGGTTACTTGTGGGCCAAGAAGCCCAATGGAGGGGAAAAAAATCCGTAGTGGTGACATCCAAAGGGTCATCCCTAAAGCTCAAGCCTATGCAATCTTCTCAAATATTCCTTACGTCGTTCCAAAGTCAAGGAAATCCAAGTTCAAGTCATACAAGGAAGCTTTTGGTCTAGTTTTAGGAGGAAAAGTTCTAAAACCTTCTTCTCCGAAGTACTATAAATAGAGGGTCAAGCTCTAGGATTCGACACACAGCAAAAAATAAACACAAACTTACTCTGTATAGACCCGAGTAAGGAGGCACTTGCCTTGACTGGAGATCAATTTAGCGTACATAGAATGTTGTAGTTAAGAGATGCGTCCATCATCAATGGTGGTACCATCCTTCTCTCTTATGTAATAATGCTAATTTAAATTCATTGTTAAAGATGTAAATTCTGTCGATGCTTTATGCATTTTCTTTCTATAGTTAAGTGAGATGCTTTGGTCATTAGATGCTTTAAGATCACTTCTAGATCGCTCTCCCTTTTTTGGAACGCCCCTATTATATTTTTCGCCGAAAACCCAACTCTCTTTCCTCTAGCTTAACAAAACAACCTTTTATACCTGATCACTGTCCCTCTCTTTTGGATCCTCCCTATTTCATCCCAACTGTGTGGTGATCGATAAAGGTGTACATGGGTCGGTTAGTTTTTTTTTAGCATTTTTTAACACTCATCCGATGACTCATGGGTTGAGTTATTGGTAAACCCAAACTCACCAATTAATTTTGGAGTCAAAATTTAGATCAGGTAGGATGAAAATTCATTGAAAATACGATAATTAAATTTTTTCTATTAAATTAAATTTTTACTTTAAATAATTTTATATGAAGAATGAACAAGAGATTGGTCTATTGGTAATACCACTAGTTTTGAACCTGCAGGTTTCAGGTTCGAGCACCTTTAGTAGTACTTAATCAAAAAATTAACATATATCACCCTTATAATAATAAAAAAATAATATGAAGAATAATACATATGACATTATATTAAACAAAAAATCAAGATATTATATTAAATTGTGCATTCATACTAGCCTTTGATGCATAATGTAATTATCACAGGTTAGTTTAAATAATCTTAGGTTGTAACCATCATCATAGACTAATACCTCATAGTGAGATCATCATCATACGAGCCAATAACCTCGATCACAAGGTCAGAATGAAGGAGAAGGAACATTCGTTTATGGATAGGAGAATTTTATCGCCCATATGCTATCACCTCGGAGATAAACAACCTCCATCAAAGATAAGAGAACATCATACGAGCCAATAACCTCGATCACAAGGTCAATATGAAGGAGAAGAAGGAACATTCTTTTATGGATAGGAGAATTATATGCCCATATGCTATCACCTCAGAGATAAACAACCTCCATCAAAGATAAGAGAACAAAGTTGTGTGCTAAAAAATATTAATAGAACCATTAAACAATAGTATAAAGGATTTTACTTTTAATAATATTGAGTAGGACACATACATAAATCAATTAAATAGAAATATTGAAAACTATGAAAGTCTTGGAACCAGAAAAAAAAAAAACAAGTACCATATGGTCATGGCGTTTAATTCGACATATAAAAGATAAATTGAAAAGAATTTTAAAATTGCGAGAGTATTTCTTGTATCACCCCTTGATCAAAGTAGTCCTTCGAAGTCCTAGAACTTAGTTTGGAGTTGCCACACAACACTCTTGTCAACTTGGAATGCCTTGGCGAGGAGGTCAATATTTATGTCGGGTTTGGATCCAAAGATAGTATTGGCGATGGTGATGACTCCAGGGTTCTGGCTGCTTAATGCAGCTATAGCAACAGCATTTCCGTACCCAATATTGCGTTGGTAGTGGATCAACCCAACCGGAAAGACGAACACGTCTCCCTTCTTAAGGATCTTGGTAATGTGGCGATTCTCAGGGTTCGATGTCACGAATCCAACTTCGAGAGAGCCGTCGATCACGGTTAGGATCTCGGTAGCACGAGGGTGAGTATGGAATGAGTTGATACCCCAGGGAGCATAGTCAATTCGAACCATTGAGATTCCAAGTGTGTTAAGTCCTGGAATTTGGGTCACCGAAACCGGAGTGACCCTGGAGCCCACTGCATTTGAGGTGTTGCCAGGAATGTGAAGCCCACTAAAAGCAAAATCGCTTGCTTGAACCATGGCAGGATCCTTACAGGCTAGGCCGTTCATTCGGGTGTTGCTGCTAGCATCTGCTACACAGAAATCCTGAAGGCTGGCGGGTTCGGCAGCCAATGACAGACTTGCGCAAACAGCAAGAGCTACAAAGCCTAGAAAAGCAATCCGGTGAGACATTGCGAATAAAGGAAAAGGCAAAGAATAGTAATGTACGAACTTTCTTTTTGGGTTCCAAGTTCCAACTATTGAGCAAGCAAGGACTGGGATTAATTGTTCGTGTTGTGGTGGTGTGGGAGCATGCAATTACATATCCCGTTTATATAGAAATGGATTTCAGCAAGGTGACCAAATCCTTGGAGGGTTAGTTAATTGGCCATTGGCCAGGTCTACAGAACCATCCGAAAGCTCTTTTGGCTTCTCTCTCACGCGTTTGCTATACGTCACCTTGTCCATTGTTTCTGAGCCGGCTTTGCATTAGGATACCTACAAGTGTCAACTGCACAGGTACCCAGAACGTGGTTCTAATTATTTTAATAAGTATGCTCTAACTATCAGAACAACAAACCGGGAGGATATCTCAACATCATTATACAACATATTTAGCTTAAATCCAAATTATATGCGACCAAAACGAAAAACCGGGAGGATATCTCAACACTATTTTGTTAAATAACAATATCATGATATATATATATATACACACGGTTGTATGACTTATTCTTATTACGTAACTAATATATAGACTTTGAATTGACAGGATTTTGGGACATGGTATTATACCCTAACCCTTAAATATTAAAATCTAGATCTTAATTCTACAAATTCATACATTAAGATCAATCTGGTTAGAAACAACAATAGAAGGTCATGTTTCGTCGAAATATATGAAAAAGGCTAAAGATTTAAATTCTATGATTTAGATAATTCAGACTTAGGGTTCACCCATCAAGGGGTCGGATATAGTTTTTTACTAACGGTATATGCTACCCTAGATTTAACCTTTATACGATAGGTACCCATGGTATATCCACATCCAAACTCCTAATATTCACTACCAACACTAATATATTGAAGCGAACTAGGTCGTGGCTGAGCGGTCGTACTGCTGGTTTTCAGCCTGGAGCCCCAAGTTCGTATCTCAGGGACGAGGCTCATTTTCCCATCCCCCCACTCCACTAGTAGCACCTTGTAACAGTTCTTTGTCAAAAAGAAGGAAAAAAAACTAATATATTGAACATGCTCCATTAAAATTTTCCTACTTTTCGACATTTTTAATAATGACATTTTGTATTCGTAGAGTATACCACACTACGACATTTTTTGTAATAATTCTTTGTACTTCACTTGGGGTATGGTATACTCATTCTGATTGTTAGTCAGTTCATGTCTGCTCCCCGTACAGCTCATATGGATGATGTGCACCGGATCTTACGTTACTTACAGGGAACCCGGAGTGTTGGTTTGTTTCTTCCTTCTACTAGTTCATTTGTGCTGCAGGCTTTTTCAGATTCTTATTATGCAGGCTGCATTGACACCTGTAGTTCTACTAGTGGATGGTGTGTCCGACTAGGTGACTCTTTTATCTCTTGGCGGTGTAAGAAACAGGATCGGGTTTCAAAATCATCCACAGAGGCTGAGTATAGAGCTATGTCAGAGGTTACTTCTGAGTTGGAGTGGCTCCGCTGGTTGCTTGGTGATCTTGGCAGTAGCGGACCCAGAAATTTCAACAAAGGTATTCAACAAAAATAATTAATTAATTTTTAATTCAAAATTTTCAAATCATAAAATACATCGATTTTTGTTTTTTGTGCAACCAACCACGATGTGTTTTAATATTTTGAAAGTTTTCTATTATACATTCATCACATATATTGCTACTCACACCTTTTTTAATGAACGTAACCAGACAAAACTGATCTCATCCAATTTCGAAGATCATTCTTGATAAATTTCATTACCAAAAAGGCCCTCTCCATACTTGTAGGTTCAAGAAGTAAAGTTAACACTAACTTCACAAGTATGTATACTACAAGATTAGTCATTAATCTTTCTTGTCTCAACCTTTTGCCTAGCTAGCTCATCAGTGGGTCACAGTCGGTTGGGCGAGAGTAAAAGGGTAGCAAGGAAGCCGGAAGTAAGGATTGCACACTAGAATTGAGATGTTTGTTCTCACAATAAAATAAATTGTTATTGGATACTTTATGAGTAAGGCGATTTCCGAGAAGAAATAAATAATTAATACTTATGAGTAAGACGATGAGGCGGAAAGGTTTAATTCTGAGAAGAAGAATTAATTAATACTTAAGAGATAAGGCATTTTAGTGTGTTTTATAGTATTGGTGCTATAAAACATTTACAGCCATTAGATCATGTCCAAAACATATCAGCCATTAGATCTTATTTAGATTATTAATATATTGTTTTATTTGTTTATGGTCAACCGGTACAACCGGTTGTACATGGAAAAAAGTTCGAAACCTATCTCTTATCCTTCTCCTCTCCGAGCAGATCTGAGACCCTCTTCTCACCGCCGACATCCATTCTTGCTGTCACCGGAAATGCAGTTACCGACTCCAACTCCAGAGGCAGCGAATCTCTTCCTTTGATCTCGCATCGTCTCTCTACTCTTTGACCATCCTGTACAAAAAATCGGAGCATTTTTTTTATTATGATCGGAGCCCCCTGCCTACGGCGACGAGGTTCTTACCTCGAGCAGCTACTCCCGTCCTAGCCCCGATTTGGTCCCGCTTACGGATTTCAGGCCGGCGGGGGCATGCCTGCCGGTGATTCTGAGTACGGATCCAGATATGGTGGGAGGACTGAGATCGGTGGCGGAGGCGGATATGGCAGGAGGATTGAGATCGAGTACGGATTTGGCAGCGATGGCGGCGGGAGGAATCTTTTTTTTGGGCTCATCGTGGAAGTTTATTTTGGGGCTTGATTTTTTTTTATGGCTTCCAATCCTCCATTCCAAGTGATGGAGGATCAAACCGACGAGGATTTCTTCGACAAATTAGTCGACGATGATTTCGAGCCTAACAGCTCCGATGCCGCCCAGGTGAGCAAATTTTCTGAGGGGAGTGATTCCGATGAGGCCAAGGCGTTTGCTAATCTGAGCATTGAGGACGTCAACGGTGGCGGCGAGGACGGTGGAGTTGTGGAGGAGGAGGTGAGAGATGATGGGAATGCTGGAATTTTTGCAGGAAATACATGGTCTACTCAGGCAGGGCATTACTGCTGATAAAATTTCATCTCAACTTTCACCATGGGCATCTGCTCTGTTTGAGTTTTTGCCAATATTTATCAAGAAGCAGGTGTGGATCCCTCTGAAAGATTTGGCATGGTTCACTGAATCAATGTGTGTGAAAATGAATCTAAAACTTTATTTTAACTGCGCAGCTGCTTCTTCACCCTGAATCTGATGACTCTGCTCAGCTGTCCCAGGTACTAAGTTTGAGGTTTTCGCTTAATAGTATACTACAAAATTATATATTTCTCAATTTTCAAACATTGTGTTTTTCTCAGATTGAGACAGAGAAACTCTTAGCACATCTTGTGGAGGTAGAAATGAACAAGCGCCAGGTATGCTGTTGGCTCAGTTTAATTAGTAATTAATTTTTGCATGATGACTCATACTCTTACTGAAGTGAAACTCAGATGTATCATTATCCATTTTATCCCAGTGATATTGGGAATGTAGGCCATGACTCTTCTTTTTCATTGTGCTTTGCAGTTATTGAACAATTCGTTTTAACTTTTTATGACATTTCTTTCCTTTGCAGAAAGAAGGCACATACAAGGGGAAGAAATTCAATGCCATCTGCCACTTTTTTGGTTATCAGGCTCGTGGATCTTTACCATCGAAGTTTGACTGTGACTATGCCTATGTACGACAAATGGGTTGATCATGTTCCTAAGTTTGTACAGTTAATAATTCACTCAGTTATTCATGTAAAACTGTCTTTTTGCAGGTTCTTGGCCATATCTGCTACCATATTCTTGCTGCTGGTCTAAATGGTTACATGGCAACTGTTACTAACCTTAAGAACCCTGTGAATAAATGGCGTTGTGCTGCTGCCCCAATCACAGTATAAATTTCTACTTTCATCTTCTTACTTGCTATCAGATTTTTGCTTGAAGCTGGCAACACCATAAGACTTGTATTTATTATGCTTGTGGTGGTATATCATACTAACTTCCACGAGCTGTGAAATTTTAGGCAATGTTGACAGTGAATCAATGGGCTCAAAGTCCCGGTGCACCTTCAATTGGAAAACCTGCTATTCATCCAGCTACTGTTGACTTGAATGGCAAGGCATATGGGTGAGTGTTTCCAACTAAATCTCTTCACCCCCCTTGTTTCTGTATTAAGCTGAAGACCTGGAAATAAGGATTATAACTTGGCTTCCACATCTGTGTTGGTTACAGGTTGTTGAGACAAAATGCAGTGAGATTTTTGCTGGATGATCTGTACAGAAACCCTGGACCGCTACAGTTTGACGGTCCAGGGGCAGATGCCAAAGCTGTGACTCTGTGCGTGGAAGACCAAGATTACATGGGCAGAATCAAGGCACTGCAGGAATACTTGGACAAGGTGAGTTGCTTAGATCACCCTTGTCTCCCAGTTTCTGTTCTGTCATTTTGTTTCCTAGTGCTCCTTTGTGTAAAGTCATGTGGAAGCGATAATCAACAGGTCATTGCAAAACCTGGTAATGAATGCTACTGAGTCAGAATATATCACACCTTTGCCCATTAGTCAAGTGATGGTTAGCTAATCGAGTAGGAGTGGCTTGTGGTCATTATGTATTTAGAGGTTTTAGAATTGACATCTTTTCTGTTGGTATCTATATTTTACAGGTTCGTACCATAGTGAAGCCAGGTTGTTCGCCTGAAGTTCTGAAGGCTGCTTTGAGTGTAATGGCTTCAGTGACAAAGGTTCTTACCACCATGTCATCAACTCCATCTAATGGCCTCATCACGCTGTAGAGAGACTGTCCTTCCTTGCGGTTCTGTTATGTAGTTCTCTTTTTCTGCATTTGGGATTGGAGTTTTGGAATTGACTGATTGGATGAACACACTTTTTTTTTTGTCTTTTCGTTTTTGAGAGATACAGAAACTTGTTTTTAATGTATTTAGATGATGCTAATGATGGATGATAAATGCAGCAGCTCCAGTCGAGATGAGTAGCGTTTTAATTCGATGTCCTGCCTTTGTGGGTCTAAAAGGAAATGAAGCTCTTGTTATAGTTGTTTATCTTAGCATTCAGATTCTGCATACTTGAAATGGTGATTAGGGTGAGTGTCTAGAAGGCAAAATAGAGATGATAGACGTATTAATAATTTAATTGGGACAATGCTTGTATTATATACTTCACTAATGTATGAATTTATAAAGGTATATATATATATATATATATATATATATATGGCGAGTTCTATGGTACCCTGGATAAAATTCGGGGTACCGCATACCTTGAGTATGAAAACACTATCTAGACCTTGAATTGACCGATATTTCGGACATGATACTATACTCTAACCCTTAAAGATCAAAATCTAGGTCTTAATTCTCCCAATCTTATACTCCAAGATCAATTTAATTAGAAATAACAATCGACGGTTATGATTCGTCCACATATAGGCACAAAAAGGAATGCACCATCTTAGGGTTTATAGATTATGATTTAGATAATTAGGACCTAGGGTTCACTCATTAAGGATTAGGGTATAGTATCATACCCAAAAATCCTGCTAATTCGAGGTCTAGATAGCGTTTCCATATTCAAGGTATGCGGTACCCCGGATTTCACCCGGGGTACCATAGAAGCCACCATATATATATATATATACTCTACACATAACACATACAACAGAATAATGATTGAAGAATTGAAGTAATGGAAGTCTAATATGTATTAGGGTGGCTATTTGGACCGGGACCGGATTAAAAATCGGAAACCGGACCGTATAACCCGGACCGAGATCAGACCGGGACCGGATAGTAAACAATCCAATCTAATCTTTGGGCTTAGATTTGAGGTAAAAAACCGGATAAAGACCGGATAAGAGAGCTCAACACCCAAAACTTAAGGGTAATTTGCATAAACGGTCACAAACCATTGCACTTAGTACAAAACTTAACCAACTCCTCACCCTTTAAGGCCTTAGGCCACTCAAATCCCACAATCTCAATGTAAAATCAATACTGAATTGAGACCGGACCGGATCAAGACCGGACTGTATCCAATCCAATCTTCGGTCCTTATATTTTCAAAAAGACCGGACTGGACCGGATCAATTTGGGCCAATTTAACCGGACCGAACCGTATAGCCACCCCTAATATGTATCTATCCCCTCATCTTGCTTTCGTTTTTCTCTGGTTTCTTCCTCTGGTCCTACTCAGTGAAGGGGATGGCGTAAAAAATATATGGTATGATACGGTATAATATTGTTTTTTTTTTTGCTACATTACTATTATCATCATCGTCGTTGTCATCGCGATCAAGAAGAGCTGACTAGCCACATGAAGCAGGTGGACCAAAGAGTGAGGGAGACAGAAGCCAAGGCATAAGTCCAGAGCATGATGACAGAACACTCCGACTCCCCTTCTCCAAACAACTGGGTGATGATGCCGATGTTCATAGCAGACACTCAAACGTTCCCACAGCTCATTCAGGTAAAATAACGGTTGTGGAATTAAGATGTACCTACACTTTCTAGAGTTGTACCTTTACACTAAACTTAAAGTTGTACCTACACTTTTCTAAAAATCTTCTATGGTACAATTCACAATTGTACCTATACACTATGGTACAACTTAATGTTGTACCTACACTTTCTAACAAATCCCTTTATGGTACAACTAAAAATTGTACCTATACTAATGGTACAACCTTAAGTTGTACCTACACTTTCTCAAAATTCTTTTATGTTACAACCCAAACTTGTACCTATACCATGGTACAACTTTAATTTGTACCTACACTTTCTAAAAATCCTTCTATGGTACAACCCAAACTTGTACCTATACCATGGTACAACTTTAAGTTGTACCTACACTTTCTAATAAATCCCTTTATGGTACAACTCAAAATTGTACCTATACTAATGGTACAACTAAAAGTTGTACCTACACTTTCTCCAAATCCTTCTATGGTACAACCCAAACTTGCACCTATACCATGGTACAACTTTAAGTTGTACCTACACTTTCTAACAAATCCCTTTATGGTACAGCTAAAAATTGTACCTATACTAATGGTACAACCTTAAGTTGTACCTACACTTTCTCAAAATTCTTTTATGGTACAACCCAAACTTGTACCTATACCATGGTACAACTTTAAGTTGTACCTACACTTTCTAACAAATCCTTTTATGATACAACTCAAAATTGTACCTATACTAATGGTACAACTTTAAATTGTACCTACACTTTCTAATAAATCTCTTTATGGTACAACTCAAAATTGTACCTATACTAATGGTACAACTCAAAATTGTACCTATACTAATGGTACAACCTTAAGTTGTACCTACACTTTCTCAAAATCCTTCTATGGCACAATCCAAACTTGTACCTATACCATGGTACAACTTTAAGTTGTACTTACACTTTCTAAAAATCCTTCTATGGTACAACCCAAACTTGTACCTATACCATGGTACATCTTTAAGTTGTACCTACACTTTCTAACAAATCCCTTTATGGTACAACTAAAAATTGTACCTATACTAATGGTACAACCTTAAGTTGTACCTACACTTTCTCAAAATTCTTTTATGATACAACCCAAACTTGTACCTATACCATGGTACAACTTTAAGTTGTACCTACACTTTCTAACAAATCCCTTTATGGTACAACTCAAAATTGTACCTATACTAATGGTACAAGTTTAAGTTGTACCTACACTTTGTGAAACAAATTCTTCAATGGTACAGCTGAAACTTGTACCTATACGATATGGTACAATTCTAATTTGTACCTACACTTGTATACATTGATTCATTATTTACAAGATTGCCATTAATGATGTGGGACCAGTCATTTAGTGGGTTTACCTCCTCAACAGGTCACCTTTTTTTTTTTTTTTATAGCATGGGTGCTATAGAGCACACTAGAAGGGCTCCTTAAGAGACTCGGGTTTGGAAAGGTTGATATGTCTAGGAATATGTTTGTTTGTATTCTTACAACAACAATTAAACTGAGGCTTAACGAAAATCTAATTTGAAATGGCAAGGCCTGTCAAATTAGGAAGGGTTCAATTACTACCAACAAGAATAATATTTTTACGTACAAATTTGGCCCAACTTTCTACGTAAGGTTTGTCAACTGACAAGGCTTCATAAGGAATGATACGAGTGCAATTAGGATTGCTACTATTCTTGTCCTTCATGATCGTACTAAACACATTGAGGTACATGTTCACTATATCCGCGATCTTGTTAATGATGGCACGATTCAAGTCTTTCATATCACGTCTGAGGATCAGATTGCTGATCTCCTTACTAAGGCCTTCACTGCTGCTTGTCACTCTTTTCTCACTGGCAAATTGATGATGCGAGATCTCCATCAATTTTGGGTAGGCTGCTGAAGTGATGGGCTTATGGGCCATGCACTCACTAACGTGCCGGCCCATGTACTCACGTGATTGTGTACGTAGGTCATGGACACTAACCCTAGGCCGATTCTCATCTTCCTCCTCACTGCTAGGGTTTGCTGAAATGATGTATATATATAACATGTACGTTATTCTTGAGATAAGAAGAAACACCAAACTGCCTTGTGCCGTGGATTAGTCTCGACAATCATACGTCGAGGATACCACGTAAATCATGTGTCTCTCCGTTTCGATTATATATGTGTCTCGCCTTTCTTTGACTATAATCTCAAGAGTTACACCACAAAGGGATGCAACTCTTGCCTAACAGACACAAACGTCTATATCCCATAGGTTTTACATAATTCAAACAATCAGAGTGCTTAGCTACTCATGGTTTTAGATAGTACTACCCGGATAGAAGAAAGAGTTGTCCTCATGGTGATTTCCTCGTCGATTTTCACTTCCAGTAATGTTTCCTCCTCTGTAGAGAACTTCTGCAGGTGCTTTTTGCTTTCTAACCCTAAGGGTAGCGTCCAAGGATGAAGTCTGCGGTTGCCTCCTCGAAAAGTTGTTTTCATACCCCTCTTCCAAAACGGTGCCCGTTTGGCTAGGAACGGAACTCTATGGTCAGTAATCATGAGTAACCTGTCTATATCAGCATGACATCAGTATCCTCTCTCTCCTGAAAAGTCTTTTATCTTTTCCCCTTCAATATTTAACGGACGATTTCTTTCTCGTTTTAAGTCGATTTTTTTTTTTGCACAGGTAAATCAGATTAAATTTGCTCTTTAAAATGATATCCACTTTGATATATTTTTAGTACAAAAAAATTGAATAATTTTTTACCAGTCATTATCATATGGTATGCTCCTATTTAATACCATATGGTAAGAAAGCGTACCAATATGGTAAGAAGGTTGAATACATGATAGTAGTAGTATACTAACTATCATTTACGAGTTTCATCATTGTTTACTACAAGTTACCACAAGTTACCACCCACATACCATAGAGGTAAAGTATGGTTATTTTTTATCCAGTATTTTTTTCACCTAGAAATTTATAGATCCAATAGATTATGATGAACTCGTTCCTTCTAAGCAAACGTTTTCAAAAACGACTTAAAAACAAAGAAGTTACCATATGATATGTAGTTGGTAAAAAAAAAAGTTTCTCGAAATATATTGAAAATTGATCTCGAAATCAGATTAAATGTGCTCTTTAAAATTATATCCACTTTGATATATTTTAAATCCGAGTTATAACGAAGAAGATAAGAGCCAATTAAGAAAACTAGGGAAAATAAAATGCCTTTAATTGACAACCCTTAGATCTGAATTTTCTGGACCCACTTAGATCTAAAGGTCTAGATTTACTTACTCATAGGTCAGTAACAATTGGTTACTAACCCTATCCTAAGCCCGAGCTGCTTGAAGGGCGAAATGACGCGTGTACTAACTTTTTGAGGTGCGCCTCTTTTACTTGTGTTTCAGCATTTTGGGGTCATTTGAGGGTTGGGGATGACAATTCATCACAAAGGTGGTGCATCCGCCGCTTCAAGTTCTGATCACATCTGATGAGCCTTACTGTCCCTAATGCACCTAAGTGGTCGACAGTGATGCTTTGACATGATAATGTTCGCATACTGCTCAAAAGCGCATCACACTTTTTTTTACAAAGGGGAATGCTTGTATTACTCTAAAAGATCGGCTACAAAAGGAGCAAACAGAGGAAGCTAGATCCAAAATAGAGGAGCCATCTGCAATAGGATGAAGCAAAATATGCTTGAGAGGAATAACATCAGAGAGCAAAGCACAAAGAGAAACAACCCAACAAGGGAGCTAACTCTAAAAAAGACCACAGCAAATCCATAAGTCCTCTTGATTCCAAAACAATCAGAGTAGAAACAAGCAAAGAATCATCTCATCCAACACAACTAAGGCCATGACGAATGAACTCAGCGACGCCATCAGCCGCCTCCTGGGAGCCGTTCAAAGACGACCCATCAAAGTGAATCTTGAAACTAAGATTACATGGCGGTGGAAAGGGATGTGAATCGGACTGCTCCAAGCTGAAAAGGCAAAGGAAACTGAGGTAGAGAAGACCATGACCAAGGAGAGCGAATGACCACAAAACTCCGGGGAACAGAAGCGCAACCCCGCGGCATCTGGAAAAGGCACCGCCACCCACAATCCGTCGAGCACCTGAAATACAGTTCCAAACCGCCAAGGGAAGGCAGAAAGGAAGATGGTGGATGGATTCACCAGAAACGATGAAACCACCAGATTGGAGGAAGGCCACCAATGCAGATCTGGAAGCGGCACCCAATCTGCATAATCCATATTCCAAAGACCAAGCCCAGATCTAGAAACAACTAAATCAGCCACAAAATAAATCCATCTCTATTGGAGAGGATTGATGAAAGAACCCACAAAGGGAACAGGGAAAGGGCACAAAGGGCTTGAAAGGAAGGAAAGGAAAGGAGAAAGACAGCCAACAGAAAGCTGAAATAGGAGGGGAAATCAAAACGGACTAGGAGGCTTGGGCCACCGCCGGACACCTAGAGGTGCTGGCGCCAGCCCTGAAACGAAGAAAAGGAGATTGGGTTTTATAAAGAAGGGAGAGTGAATTTGAATTAGAGAGAGAAAGTCCTGTGGTAGCTTGGTTCTGAAAGGAAAAAAAAGCTCATCACACTGATAAAAAAAACTGCAAGCACACTTTGAGCATTCGTTTAGCAAACTCAAGGTATTATGACAAAATTCAATGCACTTTTGGTCGTAATATGAGGGTATAAATTAGCATATTAATGTGTGATCAAATAACCCCACACATGAACTTTGCTTCTCCCTAAGCAAAGCTTAGTTCACAAACGTATATCTTAGTAGACATCTAAGATGAAATGTGACTACAGATCTTAGGTAGTGGGGCATAAGTAGCTTACAAGGTCAACCCTCGCACTCAGAGACCTTTGACGACGATAGTGATGATGTGTGAAATGTACTTTAAGGACGAAATAGTTTGTCTCCCACAAGATCGAGCCATTTCCTCAACTCGAGTCTTTCTAGGGACATGGGGTGCAACATATGTAGCTTGATTAAGAGTTTAAGCGAATCCCTACCATGTGGCAGTCTATTGAGGAAACTTTAGGTGATCTCTCTTCTCATGTTATATTGCCTAGCCTTTAGCACTTTTGTGAAAGTGGGTTTAAATTACCTTGTATTCTGGGAATGGGCAGCCTGATTAAGCAAGAGCAATTTTTGCACACCTAGCACTCCGATAGGGGCTTCTTCCAACTTATTTTCCTCTAGCGTGCAAAGGGTCATTGAAGTCAAGGTGTGTCGGAAGTTTTATCCAAGCCCTTGAAAGCACATCCTCAAGTGGCAGTCCTATCTACGGGAGAAATGTTTACTTGTATTAGAGAGGAACCAACATCATCTCGTAGTACTTCCCCACTGAAATTCAACTAGTATCTCTTCTAAAACCCATTTTTACAATGATAGGATACCTCACAATTAGCATTTTACCCCACACTTTAGTTGTTGTGACAACATCTTTTAGGTAGACTTGTTGTGAAGGGTAGGTTTTAGTTTGTAATAAGGAACATATTGCCTTTTTTTGCTGTTAAGAGAAAATGACTCAAGATTTGGAGTTTAAGAGCTCCAAAGGTAGTGAGATACACATATCCTTACGTTTTAAGATTGGTCAATGTCCCATGATGAGGACATCCTTCATATCACTACACGAGCCTCCCTAGATCACATATCACTAGCAAATCAAGGAATAAGAGTTTTTATTCTCTTTAGGAAGTGTGGCATTATTATACTTGAAAATCGTGCATTCGGGTGGCATGTGAAGAACATAAACACCAAACACTTGAATAGGACAATGACCTTATCGGCAATTCTATGTACTGTGATAGCACCGGTGCCGTCATTATCTCTGACCGGTTAAGATCATTGGGATTGAGATTTACTCTGTGGGTCTGGTTTAGTAGTTAAATAAAATAAAATAAAATATAAATTAAAAGGTTAAAAAGCAAAGAAAGGCAACTTCCTTTCTCTTCCAATCCTTTGTTCTCTGCTTGGTCATTCCGGCTTCCATTGTGATGTACGGCGACTCCATCGAAGTTGCATCGATAATCCACCGCAAATCAGCAATTGTTGTTGTCGTCGATCGAACCATCACCACAAAAATACGGAACCCTTTGTCACTGAAATTCACCATCGTCATCGGCCTCGTCGTCGCCATCTGGTTATCGCCAGAATAATCATCTTTGCCACTATTCGGCCATCACCCATGACGCGACCCCCGCCAGTCAAAATCACCATCAACATCTAGGGCGCGAAAAGATGATTATATCCAGATTCAACAATTTTGCCTAATCTTTCAGTTGTTCCCCTCTCTAATTCGTGCTCCTCCCCCTCGTTTTAATCACCGTCGATTTCAATTTCCCCATCCGATTTGCCATGACTACTCAAATCCCAAACCACCGTCGGCAAAAAACACGACCGTCATCAGCCCTGTTCTCGCTACCCAATCATTCCCAACATACTCTCTGCCGTGGCAATCGACACCATCATCGCCTTTGCGCTATTAGATCATTTTGTGTGTCTGTGTTCACCAACCCTTTCCGCCGGCGATCAAGAGAATACATATTGTGTATTTTCCGTTTTCCTTACGAAACTTTTCGGCAGGGTAGGGTCAGTGGCGGACCCATAAATTTTTCATAGGGGTGTCCTCTTTAAAAAATGAATTAAATAAAAATAAAAATAATTAATAAAAATAAAATTGTAAATATGAAAATATCTTACTCGTATCCATGATGTGCTTTCATATTCGAAAATAATTGTAGAATACACTTGGTGTCTATAGTGTTAAAAAAATTGTCTCTATATACACTACTAGACATTCATTCACGAACTTATCGCATATTCGATTTGTAAACTTGTTCTTGATGTAACCCAAAACTGAAAGACTCTTTCAACACTTGTCGTACAATCATAAAATCAATACAAATTAAGGGTAGTTTGAAATTAGTTTAATTGTTAGGTTTTTAAAATAATTAGAGATAGTGAATGCCATTTTACTATTACACATTGTTCAAAATCGAACAACAAATGAGTTTAGTTCAACGGAAATTAAGTTTATTAATAATAATAGTGTTCTATATTTGAATTATTCAACCTACCACTTATATTCCTATACACAAATGAGAATAGGATAATCATTTTTTTTAAATTTAAGGGGTGTCCCTCACTATCAATTATATTTTTTTGTCCATACGTAAATTACCACCGGGGTTGGATAATCGTTTTCCCAAAATTTAGGGGTGTCCGGGGACACCCCAAACCCCCCTGAGTCCGCCCCTGGGCAGGGTGCTTGGAACGAGAAGTAAAATAAGTTCAACCTACTCTGGTTAATTATTGGTTATCATCAATGGTTCTCATTAAACATTTTTAATCCAAACGGTTAACAAGCTAACGACACTAGTGCCGGCACGGTACTACAGACTTCGGGAGGAGTTACGGTGTTAATTGTACAATAGTTAGCACCGTCCTAACCAAGGGAAAAACTACTACTAATTTGAATTAGTAGTGATTTAGTTTAGATGTTGTATTGATTTTATAATAATCCGTAGTGATTTCATTACTTTTAGTAACGTTTTTTGCTAGTTAAGGGTTAGCACCTAATCCCATCCACAGACTTCGCCTGACCTTATTGAACAAGCGAACTATAAATGCAACAACCAACAGTTCAAACAGGCCATTACATCTAAAGTCAAAAAAACCAACCAATAGAATGAAAGATTTCAGTCACGAAAACGACAAAAGAAAGCAGCAAAAAGGGCACAAAACAAAGGGAGGGCAAGTGCCGACATTATAGCATCAACATTCTGCCTTATTCCATATATGAGTAGTTTCGTGTGGACGATATAGAGAAAACATATATGGAGTTCATGATGGCTAATAACTCTACATATATTTCACCCAAAGTTCCCGCGGGTTGATCCACGGGTCGACCCACTTTGACCTTGGCCCGATGAAAAAAATGGGTTGCACGCATCGGCCGGGTCGACCACTACAAGGTATCGGATTGGAGGTCAAATTGTGTCATTTTTTTTTTGTTTGAGAAATGTTCCTATTTTCCGATTTTTCTTTTCGCCTAACTCAATTTTTGGAATCCTTAGTTGAACATTTGAATATTGATTTTATATAAGTGTGTGTGAATTTTTACTACATATTGGATCTAAGTACGATATGTTACTTTGGTACAATCTTATATGTTATTACTCATATGTTAAATGAAATTTGGTATAATTTATCAGGATAAGTACATATAATGACTCTTTTCATATTTCCGGGCTAAAACGGGTGACCCATTAACCCTTAATTCACTAACTCGACCGGATCCGAGTCAACCCACGGGTCGACAATCTTCATTTCACCCCTACTTTATGGTGGCTGTGACATATAGGAGGTATACATGGTTCGTTTGGGTTGTTTTTTAGCATTTTATTAACACCCATCCACTTACACACAGATTGAGTTATGGTATATCCAAACTCACTTTCAATTTTTGAGTCATGATTTGGATCGGGTTGGATGAAATTCCATCCATTATACAATAACTAAATTTGTATTTCAATAATTTAATATGAAAGAATAATGCATATGATATTATATGAAACAAAAAATCAAGACATTATATGAAAATGCGTATTCATTCTAAACAAACACTATAATTAAAAAAAATTATTTCACTGAAGTGAACACTTCAATAAAGAAACGACTTTCTATTTCTCGATTTCACAATAGGAGCATGAGAAATGATATAACTCATATGTAGAATGTTACGTGGTGGAAGCGATCAGTTTGAGCCTGATTATCCATAAACCCAATGCGAGCTGACTTACCCTACGCATGTTGAGAATGACAATTGAAGCAAGACTTGTTGCTGACGAGTTTTGTATCGAGATAAAACACTATTGGTATCCAACCTAATTTAACTTGATAAAAATGACTTGAACCCGATGTTTACAAGCTTTCATGTAGGAGTGAGTTTTATTCGCTTTTGTAATTGGCGGGTCAAGTTAGTTGTGAATTTGTTACATACTCAGTTCAACCAGATCATAGAGAATTGAACATGATGTTGCCGAGTTTTGGATCATGAGGGAGTTTTATCCACTTTAGTCTTTGTTAATTTCTCGGGCGGGTGTGAGTTTTATACGCTTTTTAATACTCTGGTCGGGTCGGTTGTGAATTTGTTACAAACTCGGTTCAACCCGATCAAAGAGAGTTGAACATGATGTTGCCGAATTTTGGGTCTTGAGCTAGTTTTATTTGCTTTAATGTCTCTTTTTCTTTTTGGTTGAGAATGAACTTGAAAAAAAAAACAAAGCTAAAAGAATACAAACTAATCAATAGTGTTACGAGAGAAGATTTAACATAGAAATCATTTGCTCGACGACCCTTCTCGCCTTTTAAAGTTTATCGCTGCGTCGAGTACATGAAATTGTAGATGACAAGCTCTTTACTTTTGGATCGAAATTCAAACTATTAATCTTTAAAATATCATGTTCTCGCTCATACGCGAAGCGACAGCGAGCGGGTTTATGCTAGTATTAATTATATAAGACTTGATGCATAATATACTATAACGGGTGAGTTTGGATAATCTTGAGTTGTAATCATCCAAACACAGACACAATCATAGGGCTTTGGTTTCAAACTTTCAAAACTACACCAACCCATAAAATACGATTTTGTTGGATATTACAGGTGAGTCGGGTTGAACGGATGGGTCAATTTTTTGTTTATTTTGTTTATCCCTAGTGATTAAAATGAATGATAACGATGCTTACTCGTGGATTTTGGCCTACTATTCCTACCCACTAGTGGAGAATTTATAGACCAGGTCAAAATGAAAGAGAAGAATGAATATTGGTCTATGGATAAGAGAATTTCATGATTATGTATCACCTCCGAGATAAACAACCTCCATAAGAGATAAGAGAACAAAGTTGTGTGCTTAAAAAAAATATTACAATAGAAACATCAAAAAATATCATAAGGAATTTTACTTTGAATAATATTGAGTAGGACACATACATAAATCGATTAAATAGAAATATAGAAAACTACAATGAAAGTCTTGGATCCAGAAAAAAAAAAAAACAAATACCGAACGGTGATGGCGTTTAATTCAACATATCAAAAATAAATTGAAAAGAATTTTAATATTGTAGGAGTATCCCTTGTATCATCCCTCGTTTTTAGTAGTCCTTCGAGGTCCTAGAACTTAGCTTGGAGTTGCCATACAACACCCTTGTCAACTTGGAATGCCTTGGCGAGGAGGTCAGTAGATATGTCGGGTTGTGATCCAAAAACAGTATTGGCGATGGTGATGACTCCAGGGTTCTGGCTGCTTAATGCAGCTATAGCAACAGCATTTCCGTACCCAATATTGCGTTGGTAGTGGATCAACCCAACCGGAAAGACGAACACGTCTCCCTTCTTAAGAATCTTGGTAATGTGGCGATTCTCAGGATTGGATGTCACGAATCCAACTTCGAGAGAGCCTTCGATCACGGTGAGGATCTCGGTAGCACGAGGGTGAGTATGGAGCGAGTTGATACCCCAGGGAGCATAGTCAATTCGAACCATTGAGATTCCAAGGGTGTTAAGTCCAGGAATCTGGGTTACCGCAACCGGAGTGACCCTAGAGCCCACTGCATTCGAGGTGTTGCCAGGAATGTGAAGCCCACTAAATGCAAAATCACTTGCTTGAACCATGGCAGGATTCTTACAAGCCATGCCATTCATTCGGGTGTTGCCGCTAGCATCTGCCACACAGAAATCCTGAAGGTTGGCGGGATCGGCAGCCGATGATAGACTTGCGCAAACAGCAAGAGCTACGAAGCCTAGGAAAGCAATCCGGTGAGCCATTGCGCGCTGATTGGACTATGAAAAAGGCAAAGAATAGTAATGGATGAAGTTTGTTTCTGGTTGTACGTATAATTGTGCTGGTCTGGGACGTTTATATAGAAAATGGATTTCAAGGTGACCAAATCCTTGGAGGGTTAATTAATTGGCCATTGGCCAGGTCTCTCTCGCGCGTTTGCTTTACGTACCTTGTCCATTGTTTCTGAGCCGGCTTTACATAGGATACCTACAAGTGTCAACTACACAGTGGTTCTAGCTAATAATTTGAATAGGTATATTCTAACAATCAGAACAACAAACCGGGAGGATATCTCAACATCATTATAACAACATTAGCTTCAATCCAAACTATATGCGACCAAAACTAAATCCAAATTATAACATCATTATAACAACATTATCTTAACATCGTCACTTATGGTATGATGGACAAAAATACACATGAATTGGTACAAAAATCACTCAAGATTTACTTTGGTTTGAGTGATTTAGGGTTTAGGGATTTAGGGTAAGGGTTTAGATTTAAGAATTGAGGTTTGGGTTGGAATTCAAAATTTAAGATTAAGGGGTTAGGATAATGGATTGATTACTCTAAACCTTTAATTTGGAAAACAAATTCAACAACCCAAATTATAAACCCTTATCCCTCAAATTCAAGTAAAACATGAATGTTTTTTTTTTTGGGCAGTATACACTTCCATAGAAATAATTTTAACGTTTGTGACAGTTATAGCCACAACTTTCGAAATACACAAAATAGTCACTTTCGTCCATCCATTTAACGGTGTCACTTAATAATATGATTGGACTAACAGAAGTGCTAAGTTTGCGATCCACGTGTATTAACAAAAGAAAATACACTTTCATTGCCACAACTTTCACGTTTGTCACAGTTATGGCCACAACTTTTGAAATACACAAAATAACTACTTTTGTACATCCGATCCCTATAACGGTGTCACTTAACAGTATGAATGGAGAAGGAGGCATAATTTCCCGAATTGCCAATTCAGATCCCCAGTCAAGGAGAAGGCCTCGAACGCTTGGCGGGGTCGTAGAAAAACAACTAGAAAGAGGGAAAGAAGGCTGATGGGAAGAAGCTTACGACGACCGCCAAAGCTTCCCTTTCTACTCGCCGGGTCATCTCCTCCTCCACGAACGTACTCTCCTCCTGTTCCATAGCTCTCACTGAACCTAATCTCTACAACCGTGGCCAGAGATTCTAACTAGAATGCGTAGAGGAAGCAAACGACGGATTGCAGCTACCCCCAATATTTTGATCGCTAATCAAGAAGACCCCGTTTATCAGCTATATGGTTATTCACTTAATTAACACACTCCACTCCATTGACAGCCTCCTCTCCTCAATTGTGTTCACGAAAATCTGAAGGCAACAAGTGCACAGGCCCAGGGGTAACCAATATGTATGTAGTGCTGACCAAATTGAATTGAGTCATTCTACTTGGAATATGAAGATTCTTGCTTAATTGCTTTGGTTCATGATGCGGCTATGTTTGAAGGTAGACCAATGCAAACAACAGTACAACTTCAGAGCTTTTCTGCACATCAAGTAGTTGGGGCATTAATTAATAATGATTTGGAATTATTGCAAAATTTGTTTTTCCCCTCCCTCTCTGTTTCTCTCGTCTAATCCCCCTCTCCCCTAGAAAAAACAGAATCGAGCTCCAGAAGAATGAAACATGGCTTTCTCCTTCTCCGAGGAATCTCCGTTGCTTCGAGACACTGAAACTGCTTGACGGTGGCAGGAAGGCAGCGCATGCAGCAGGTCGCCATGTCCAGCGCTCAAATCAGATCTCATTCATTTCTCTTCGCTCCCCCTTTATAACTATACGACCTTAAATACCTAGATCCATTGCTTCAAATCAATCATGTGAATCCCCGAATCAGTGGCTTCATATCGATCCCATAGGATTCGAGCAATCCAAGAAGGTTAGTACTTAGTAGCATCTATTAACTTAGATTAGTATCCTCGAAATTCATGGTTGTTATCCTTCCTCCGTTGGAGAGTTACATCTCCATATTCGCCATTTTAGATTCGGGTGCGGAAGCGATGATAGACCCATTGAACCCACATTGGGTTTGAATCGTCATGGGCAATATTAAGTTAATTAATTTAGCCCATCTAAGTGAAAAACATACAGTGTGCTCCCACTTGGACCGATCAAATTCTTACCGCCGTCATATTCAATTTGGCGCGCTTTACTATTTTTGGTGCTACGTTTTTTGGTCACCAAGCTCCTCTCTTTTCCTTTTGTGGCCCAAATTCAGTGAGTTAACAGAATCCTAACAACAAGTAAGATAGAGGGAAGAGTTCAGTTTGCAACAATAGCAAAACGGGCCATAGTGTTCCACCTTTTATGGAATTCCAACCATTTCCAGTTTTTTCAATTTTCACGTTTCATGACTAATTCCTGCATGTGAATTTCTAAAATTGGCAGCATATGATCCTATTTAAAAATTGAAATACTTTATTCAAATCATCATATATAACATTCCCATTGAAAAGTAAAACCAAAACCAACGACCTTATCAACCAACCAAAAAGCAGATTCAAAAATTAAAATACTTTATTCATTGCATTATTTTACATGTTAAACATTAACATGATAATTCCCCCCCTCCAGCTTTCACAGACATGGTCGTGACATCAACCACCGATGCAACGAGAGTACACCGGAGCCTCTTCTTGCTTGATGCAGCTCATGGCAGCAGCAGGTTTGGGGGTCGCCGGAGCCACCATATATACCGCCGGGCGCCTCAGCCTCTTGCTTGATACTGACGCCTTGTTCCTGCTTCACGGCCGCCACAGCAGCTTCCACCACCTTGGGAGTAGCCACAGGGGTTGCAGCATAAAAACCACTACTCCTCTGCATCTTCAATTTCAAGTCTTAGGTATAGCAACCAAAGCTTTTATTATATATAGACCTACTTTTCTCACTTTTCTTTTGCATCGAGTATTTATATAGAGATGGCAATGAAAGGGTTCTTGGTGGATGTTCGTGCACAGCTATGTAACTTAATTCTATCGGGAGAAGCCTAGGAATTTGTAGATCCAATAGATCATGATGAACTCGTTCCTTCTATACAAAAATTTTGAAAAACAACTTAAAAACGAAGAAGATACCATATGGTATGCAGTTGGTAACGAAAGGAATGAAATATTTTTTCTAAAAAAATATTGAAAATGGATCTCATTTTTTAACGAGAGGAATGAAATTATTTATACTTTCATGAAACCAACCAAACCAAAATTGGTAACGAGAGGAATGAAATTATTTATACTTTCATGAAACCAACCAAACCAAAATTGGTAACGAGAGGAATGAAACTATTTATACGTTCATGAAACCAACCAAACCAAATTTATTTACAAAACCAAAACATTTTGGACAACTACTAGACTTTAGGATTACATACAATACCATGACAACCACCTCAAACTATGTACAGTTTAAGTGTTTTGTAAGAGAGCTGTTACTTCCTGATGAGTGGTAATGGTATTGATATGTATTTAGTATTTATGTTAACGGTTTGTTGTTAGCTAACTATATTAGGTGCAGAGATGAAGAATGATGTATTAACTCGAATGATAATAAAAATCATAAATGGTTAGTCTTATTATTATTATTTTGCTTATATATAATGATAGTAATAATATATGGTTATGTTTTATTCATTAACAGGATAATTGTTTTCATGTAATGTTATGTTATTTGGTTAATCTGATTATCCGATTAACCAAACCAATTAAACTTTGGTTTGGTTAATTTGGTTTTCGTATTAATTTGGAAGGTTTTGTTAAAACATTTTATTCAATGGTTAATGAACTTTAGGTTTAATTGGTTTGGTTATTAACACGGCAACCATTTGAACACCCTTACTTCATGCCATAACCAAGGGTTATGCACCCTAACTTGAGCCGGTCGGTTGGGTCATATTTTAGCATTTTTTTACCACTCATCCATTGACTCACGGGTTGAATTATGGTAAATCGAAACTCACCCATTAATTTTGTAGGCACGATTTTGATTGGGTTGGATGAAAATCCATCCATTATACGATAATTAAATTTGTATTTTTAATAATTTAATATGAAAAATAATACATGTGACATTATTTTTTAAAAAATTAAGATATTACTTTAAAATGTGCATTCATACGAGACCTTGATGCATAATGTACTATTACAGGTCCGATTAGATAGTCTCGGGTTCTAACCATAAAAACCCGCACCCAACCACAAGGATTTGATTTTATGAAATTCCACTTGTGATTGAGATGAATGATGATGATGCTTACTCATGGATTTTTGGCTTACTATTCCTACCCACTTGTGGATAATTTATAGACATACACACCTAATAGTGAGATTATCATACGAGGCAATAACCTCGATCACAAGGTCAATATTAAGGAGAAGAAGGGATATTGGTATATGGATAACATGATAAGAGATTTTCATGCCATATGTATCACCTCGGAGATAAACAACCTCCATCAGAGATAAGAGAACAAAGTTGTGTGCTTAAAAAAAATATAATAGAAACATCAAACAATATCATATAGGATTTTACTTTGAATAATATTGATTAGGACACATACATAAATCAATTAAACAAAAATATTGAAAACTATGAAAGTCTTAGAACCAGGAAAAAAATAAATACCATAAGGTCATGGCGTTTAATTAGACATATTGAAAATAAATTGAAAAGAATTTTAATATTGCAGAGTATCCCTTGTATCATTCCTTGTTTTTAGCATGGTCCATGAAATCGTATCGTACTGGCGGTTCAACCACAAAATACCAGTATCGGAGGCTAAACCGGTAGGCAGTATTTAACGGTACTAACGGTTGAACTACGGTTAAACCACGGTTTGGCTATAAAATACCCTACCGCTGACTTTTCCGGTACGGTTTCATGGACCATGGTTTTTAGTAGTCCTTAGAGGTCGTCCTAGAACATAGCTTGGAGTTGCCACACAACACTCTTGTCAACTTGGAATGCCTTGGCGAGGAGGTAAGTAGATATGTCGGGTTTGGATCCAAAAACAGTATTGGCGATGGTGATGACTCAAGGGTTCTGGCTAGCAACAGCATTTCCGTAGTCAATATTGCGTTGGTAGTGGATCAACCCAACCGGAAAGACGAACACGTCTCCCTTCTTAAAGGATCTTGGTAATGTGGCGATTCTTAGGATTGAATGTCACAAATCCAACTTCGAGAGAGCCTTCAATCACGGTGAGGATCTCGGTAGCACGAGGGTGAGTAAGGAGTGAGTTGATACCCCAGGGAGCATAGTCAATTCGAACAATTGAGATTCCAAGGGTGTTAGATTTCTTGGCCATATATTACTGTCTGTAATAAGGAGCAAGCTTGTCATATGTAACCAGGAAGGATAGAGAAAACCTTACATCTGGAATCTGAAGCAAAAGTGACTGACTGGTAGTGCTAGATTGCTTGGCCATATAACAGTGGTAGTCTTTGGCAAAACGAGTGGGTGGTTTAATGACCCTGCCTGATCTCCTAACTGGTAAAGTGTTGGGGGTGTTGTAATGAGGCAGAAGGAACAGAAGGAGTAGGGTCTAATGGAATGGGGGAAGGAATAGAAGGAGAGGAAGGAGAATCTGTTAGATGGATAGTGGATGTGCGAATGATTGGAGTAAGAGGGACTGGAGGGGAGTGAGGAAGGTCTGAATCATCAGGAAAAGTAGGAGAAGAGGTAGATGGTATAGGGAAAAAGAAATCAGGGTCATCTGCATCTGTGGTATGGGATGAAATGGATTCTGTGGATTTGAAAGGGAATTCTTATTCATAAAAAATGACATCTCGAGAAATGAAAATGTCATGAGAAGTGATATCATAGATTCTGTAACCTTTTATACCAGTAGGATATCCCAAGAACACTCCTTTTCTAGCTCTAAGTTGAAAATTGTGTATGTGATTGCCTAGGATGCTAGCATAACACAGGGTACCAAAAACCTTTGAATCAGTGAGATCTTGAGGTGTTTTATGGAGAGTTTCATAGGGTGTTTTGTTTTGAAGAACTGAAGAGGGGACCCTGTTGATTAGGAACACGACATATTTGATGCAGTCACCCCAAAAACTTGCTGGAAGGTCAGCATGAAACTTTAAGGCTCTAGCTTCTGCTAAAACATGCTGGTGTTTCCTTTCTACTTTGCTATTCTGTTGAGGGGTTTCAATGCATGACATTTCTTGAACAATGCATGTAGATTGAAAGAATTCTTCCATAAGGAATTCCTTTCCTTGGTCACTTCTTGTCCTTTTAATGACAAAATGAAATTTTCTCTGTATTGGATTACAGAAAGCAATTAACTTAGGTCTAGCATCAGATTTAAGTTGAAGCAAAATGATCCAAGTCATCCGAGAGAAATCATCCACTATTGTTAAGAAATATCTAAATCCATCGTAGGTAGGGACTGGATTAAGACCCCAAATGTCAACCTGAAGGAGTTCAAAAGCATACTAAGTTACAGATTGACTCAAAGGAAAAGGAAGTCTCATTTACTTAGAAAAGTGACAAAATTGGCTGAGATGTGGAATTTTAGAATGGAAAACATGTCATAGATGAAAATGCCACAAATCAGTGGAAGGAGAGCTTACTGGTGAGATGTATTTAGGTGAACTAGAAACTTCTAGATAGTATAAGTCATTGAGCAATCTAGCAGAACCAGTCACTCTCATCAGCTTCTGATCCTGTATAAGATAAAGGTTAGAGTGGAAAGTCAAGCTCAGTGAGTTTCTTGTGTTGAGTTTACTCACTGAAATCAAATTGAAGGTAAAGTTGGGAACATATAAAACATCTTGTAGATACATATTCTCATTCAAGGATGTGGTTCCACTGTGAGTTGCTTGAATCTGCTCTCCAGTTGGTAATGTTATAAAAACATCCCCGAGTGTGATAGTTCTCAAGGTAATCAAGTGAACACACAATGTGATTAGAGGCTCCTGTGTCAAGGATCCATCTGTCCCTTTTATGTGAAACGGAATTCATAACAGGCACAGTCAAGAAACATTTGAAAATGTTACCTCTGTTAGTCATAAAGGCTGTTGCAGCATGAGATTGTTGACCGTTCTGAGATACCATCAGACTCATGAGCTTCTCATATTCAGACCTGGTGAGCTTGATCTCTTCCTCCTGTTGTGGAATGGCTGCAGTGTTCACATAACCTCTACCTCTTCCATAGCTAGTGTTGGTGTTTCTGGAATCAAAATTTGGTGGAAAACCAATATTCTTGAAGCATTTATCCTCTATGCGAGGTGTGACCATGTTCCTTGCAGAATGTGGACTCTATCACTCTTGCAGAATGTGGACTCTATCACTCTTCCAGCAAACAGGCTGGTCACATCCTTAGTGAGTGTCTGCAACGCCCTCATCGACGTGCTCGTCCACTTCCTCCTAGGTCGAGCCCGGCGCCTGTTGCGTATGCTGCTACGGTTGTGGAGTCACTTCCTGGTTCCCCCTCTTCCGGCACGGCCGCTCGGGTTTCGAAGGTTGAGCTCACAAAGCTTATTCAGGCTGCACTTCAGAATGTGATGACTTATGCCTTCTCCGCTGGTTTCGCGTCAGATAACCTTCATCGTTGGCTCCTCGATTCTTCAGCTTTTAATCATATGACTAACAATTCTCGTTCTTTTTGTTCGATTAAACTCGTGTCACAACGACTGCAAGTTGCGAATGGTGATCTCCTTCTAGTTGCAGGCATTGGTCATGTGAATGAGCCTCATCTTCGTCTTAATAATGCTCTGCATGTTGAGCGTCTAGTGCCTAATTTGATATCCGTGGGACAGTTGGCTGAAGAGGGCTGTAAAATTCATGTTTAATGATCGTGGGTGTCTGGTGCAGGACTTGAGGACGGGGAGGGAGATAGGCCGGGGCATAAATCAGGAAGGGTGTATGTCATGGATGATCTTTCTTCCTTGGAGCAGCATTGCCGCGGGTCCTCTCCGAAGGAACATGCTGTAATGACCCGGAGTTGTTGGTGACAGCTGGAGACAGTTGGCGGAGAGTATAAATACCCAAAGGGAAAGGGTCTTAGTCATCTTTTTGGGGAATAAGTCAAACTTGAGTTTAGTATAGCTTTACTTTACCAATTCCTCTTTCGTTCCTCTGTAATTCTGCTTCTCTGTTTCGCTGGAATAAAACTACACGATCCTCCGCCCTTACAAATGCTGGTGGGACAGTCAAGGTCGTGGGTGCAATTACGAGTGATAAAGTTCATGCTCATGATGTTGATTTATTTTTCACTTCCTGTTACTTCAGTTCGAGATGATTCTTTGTATAGTAGTAGTCGGAATTCAGTTGATAGTCGGAATTCAGTTTGGGATTTATGGCACTGCCGTTTGGGCATCCAAATTCAGCTCGGTTATTACATATGTTTAAACAGAATTTATTGCCTGGGAAATTACATACTAGCTACTTTTCTACCCCATCCTGCATCAGCTGTGTTGAGGCTAAAGCCGCTCAACAGTTATTTGCTCCGAGTAATACTGTTTACCAGGCTCCGTTTGATCTCATCCATACTGATCTCTTGGGACCGTCACTGGTTCCATCCCGCAATGGTTTTCTGTATTTTGCATTGTTTATTGATCATCATACTAGCTTCACATGGATCTACTTTCTCCGCCATAAGTCCGAGCTCATCATCCATGCTGAAGATTTCATTCACATGTTCCAAACGCAAATTCAGAAAACTATTAAGATTGTGCGCTCGTACTCCGGTGGTGAATTCAGTAAACATGGACTTCTTGCCTTCTATCGTTCACAAGGTATTTTGAGTCAACAATCATGTCTCGGTGTTTCTTAGCAGAATGGTGTGGTCGAGCGCAAGAACCGACATATCGTGGAATTGATGCGCGCCCTACTATTTCGCCCTGGTGTCCCTGCTCATTTTTGGGTAGAAGCGGCGAATACGCTGGTCCATCTAATCAATAGGCAGATCAATCCTATCTTGGATAATTTGTCTCCGTTTCAGAAATTGTATTCCCGTCCACCTGACTATGGAGCTCTTTGTGTATTCGGGTGTCAGTGCTTTGTGCTTCTGCTTAAGCGGGAATGCCACAAGCTCAAGCCTAAAGCGACTCGCTGTGTTTTCTTGGGCTACAGTGATCGTCACAAAGGTTACATTTGTTATGATCTGGCTACACAGTGGCTTCACATTTCTTTTCATGTTGTCTTTATGGAGCATGTGATGTATTTTGCTCACTCAGGGGCCATGTCTCGTGATAAATTCCAGGAGAGTTTGTCATTTCTTGAGAACCTTGTTCTTAGGGAGTCAACGCAGGGAGGGAGTACTACGGGTGGAACTCCTCCTAACCCCGACTTCTCTACTGCTTCATCCTTGGAAGGGGAATCTTCCTCTTCAACGAATGCTTCCACGTCCTCCGATGAGGACTCTTCCTCTCCAACGCCTCACTCCGTTAAATCCTCAGCATCTGCCTCATATTCTTCTTCCTCGAGCTCCTCTTCAAGTGATAATGATGCGTAAGATGTAGGGGCTGCTGGTGCCCTTGAGCTTCGACGCTCCTCTAGTGCTACTAAAGGAAAGCCGCTTGTTTGCTATGATGACTTTGTCGGGTATGCCAAGAGTCCCATTCCTATTCCTTCTAATTACCGTAAAGCCTGTGGTATTCCAGAATGGACGGTCACTGCTCTTGAGGAGAACTAGACATGGGATGTCATTGATCGCACTCCTGATATGTCGGTAGTCGGGAGCAAATGGGTGTATAATATTAAGATGCATCTGGATGGCAGTCTTGAACGTTTTAAAGCCACGGTCGTGGCGCAAGGCTTTAGTCAGGAATATGGGATCGATTATGATGAGACGTTCGCCCCAGTTGCAAAGATGCAAACTGTTCGTTGTGCCCTAGCTCTCACTGCAATGCGTAATTGGCCTCTTGTACAATTGGATGTCAAGAATGCTTTTCTTCAGGGAGATATGAAAAAGACTATTTACATGGTTTGTCCCCCAGGGTACTCGAAGGGTGGTCCAGATAAGGTATGTTGTCCGAAGCGCTCATTGTATGGTCTCAAACAAGATCCCAGAGCTTGGTTTGAGAAATTTCATGATATAGTAATTCAGGCAGGGTTTATACATATCAGAATGATCCTTCACTATTTCTATGCACCACCTCTCACGGTATTACTGTCTTACTTCTATACGTGGATGACATGATCATCTCTGGTGACGATCAAGCAGGTATTCAGTCTCTTACTGCAGTTCTCCATCAAGATTTCAAACTCAAGGAACTTGGTGATGTCTCCTACTTCCTTGGCCTGGAAATTGAGCGCAGTGATCGTGGAATTTTCGTTAGACAGAAGAAGTATGTTAGGGATCAATTGTCTGAATATCAGTTTGATCATTGTAAACCATGTGCGACACCGATGGAGCAGAAACTGAAGTTTAGCAAGACGAGTGGAGACCTCCTTGATGATCAAACCCACTACCGAACTATTGTTGGGAGCCTTCGGTATCTTAGTTCGACACAACCTAATATTGCCAATGCAGTGCAGGTTGTGAGTCAATTTATGGGTATGGCTCGGACTCTGCACCATGATGTTGTTCACCGAATCTTGAGGTATCTACAAGGGTCACAAGATGTGGGTATGTTTTTCCCTAGCTGTGGTGATCCGGTTCTTGAAGCCTATGCAGACGCTGACTTTGCAGGTTGTGTGGATACACAGAGGTCAACGTCTGGCTGGTGTTCGATTTGGTTTTTCATTTGTTTCTTGGCGCTGCAAGAAACATGAGAGGGTGTCGAAATCTTCCATAGAGGAAGAATATCGGTCAATGTCGGAGGTCGATTCGGAGCTAGTTTGGCTGCACATATTACTTCTTGACTTGGTGGGGAAGTTCCAAATCCTTCTTTTACCCCACTCTCCATTCTACAACCTTTGTGTTTAGTTATTGTTTGCTAGGTTTTCGTCTATGGATTTTTGCACAAATTATCGCCTTTGTGTTTTGTTATTGTTTGCTAGGTTTCCGTCTATGGCTTTTTGCACAAATCATCGCATTTGTGTTATTATCATCGCCTTTGTGTTTAGTTATTGTTCACTAGGTTTTCGTCTATGACTTTTTGCACAAATCATCGCCTTTGTCCACCATTTTGTAGCTCATCTCGAAATACTATCGGAGCGATCCTAAGTTGTCCCCACCGTTTTCCATGGCCGCTACCACGAGTACTTTATCGGGACCGAGTTTCATCCTCTTTAGTGTTTTTCTCTCCTTTCTTCCTTTTTGTTGAGTCATCCAAACACATGGCTACCCTACCTTGAACATAAATCATCGTGAAATAATTTCGTCGGAATCCTAATTGTTACCTACCACCATTTCCCAAGGCCGCTACCAAGAGTTTTGTATCTGGACCGAGTTTCATCATCTCTAGTGTTTTTTTCTTTCTCTTTTTCCTTTTTGTTGAGCATGATCACAATTGAACCCAAATCCATGGGTATCCAACCTAATTCGTTCGGTCAAAGCGACTTGAAACAGACTTTAGCATTTATAAATTTTTCTTTTTTTCTTCTTTTGGTTGGGAAGACAATTGAACATGAATCTAAGGTTTTGACAAGTGTCATATTGTTAGCGAGCTTTATCCGCTTTTGTAGTTGGCAGGTTGGACCAAGTGTTAATTTGTTAAAAAAATTATTCAAAGCGAGTTGAACACATTGTTGACTAGTTTTAGATCGAAAGCGAGTTTTGTACACTTTGATATTTTTTTTATTTCTCATTTTCCTGTTCGTTGAGAATGACAATTGAACTCTGGCCCATCGTTGACGTGTTTCGTATCGAGAGCGAGTTTTATATGCTTATGTAATTGATAGGTTGGTAAACTGTGAATTTATTAAAACTGGGTAGACACTGTCAACGCGAGTTGAACGCAGTGTTGAGAATTTGGGGTCATGAGCGAGTTTTATCCGCTTTAATATTTTTTATCTTTTTTCTTTTGGTTGAAAATAAACGCATGGGTATACAAATTAATTCGCCCGACCAAAGCGACTTGAACCCGAATTTACAGGTTTTGGATGGGAGCGAGTTTTTTCTGTTTTTGTAATTGGCGTGTTGTGTTAGGTGTGAATTTGTTCAAAACTCGGTCTAATCAGGTCAAAGCAAGTTGAACTTGGTGTTGACGAGTTTTGAGTCGGTAGCGAGTTTTAGCTTTAGTGTTTTGCATTTCGCTTTTTTCTTTTGTTTGAGAAAGACAATTGAACTCAAATCCATGGGTATCCAACCTAATTTGACCCCATCAATGCGAGTTGAACCTCATCAAACCTACAATCAGTCCAAAAAAATTCATAAAGGAGAACCACGACCTCACACCCAAAAAAAAAAGCCAAAAGAGTGACAATTTTTCTAAAAATTATAAAATTGTCCTTACCATATATTATTATTTTTCTAAAAAATATAAGTTTCTTTCATTTGTATCATTATAACAAATAAATTGAAAAATAGTATTGTATAATATTAAATAAATCTAACGTGATTCATTTTAAATACTTTTTTATTTATAGACTTTTTATTCATATTTACGTTAAAAATCTTTTTTAGTCTTTTTTCATTAACTCTTATTTTAGAAAGTAATTCTAATAGTTTTTCAGCTAAACACTCCACAATTTTTTTTTAAAATACTTCTTGAAAAGATCTAAAGAAGTTGCTTTGTTATGCAAAAATTATAGTAGGATCAATTACTCGCCATACAAATTGAAGCGTCATGAAAGAAAATTAAACATAAATAATTTATTCGACGACTCTTCTACCTTATGCAAGTTCATCGACCATATGCTATTGTAAATAACAAAGCTATGAAAAGAGTGATTAAGAATGAAATGAGATTACTTTCACTTTTGCGTTAACATTAAAACTATTACTCTTTCAAATATTTATTTTTCTAATACGCGAAGCGATAGCGAACAAGCTTTTCCTAGTAGTTACGAAGAACAACTTTGTAATACTCCTTCATGCCAATGGGTTTTAGATGGCAACTCTTTCTACGGGTAGTCCAGTAACTCCGCAGCTATTTGTAGTTGCTGGGGAGCTAGGGAAGACTCTATTGCAAGTTATGTTAGCCAACGTTTGAACGAAAGGTGTGCTGAAAGTTGGCCTGCGTTGAGTTGCAACTTAGTTATGCTGCTAACAGAGCCTTTTGTTAGTATATACTAACAGGGACAGATTGGTGTCCATGTGGGCAAGCCAAGATCCGACGGGTGGGAACTATCGGTTTGGGTATGTGAGAGGAGGAGGACAGCTGACCGGTTTGGCTGGCTCATTCCCATGACCCAACTCAGAAAAGGGACCCACAAATTCAAAATTCAAAAATTTTTTTATTAGTCTCCTCCTTTCTCTCCATCACTTTTCAGTTTCATTCTCTCTCCTCAAAAATCTTTTTGTTTCCTCCTCCTTCCTCTCTCAATACGAACCAAAAATCCTCTTCATCGATGGCGGTGAGGAAGAAGACGACGACAACGGTATCCTCTCTCTCTCTCTGAAGGGGCAAGAAGCTTTTCAAAGGGAAATTTTTGATCAAAGAACAACTTCACAGACTAAGGTATGCTTCTTCTCCTTCCTTATTTGTTGATTTTGTTTGTGGATACGAAGTTAGGGTTTCATGGATTTTTTTTGTCGAGCTCGGGATTCTGGGTTTTGGTTGAGATCTGAGATTCGATTTGTAGATCTGGAATATTTGTTTCTTTCATAGTGGATAACAACTAGCATGCTTGGGATACTACTTTTTGAATATGTGGATATTGTTCTGTATTGTCCATATATTGAAAATACTATGTCTGGATATTTGTCCTCCATGGATATTTGTCTGCTTTTAAATGGATATTTCTCTATGCTTACAGGATATTTCTATGTGCTTCAGGGATTTTGCATAATGGAAGACGGGGAGAACTCATTGCGGCCAACCTCCTACTTTGGCACTATAACGCCCATGTAGTTGGGATTAGACTTGGGTATCTGTTTTTCGATTTGTTGATGATGTGGATTCTAGTATGTAATATAGGTTGTCCAGATATTAGTTATGTGATGTATTGATATTTTTTTCCCTCAATCAGGATATTACTCTGCCATGTTTGGGTATTAGTTCCCTGATATTTGTTCTGTGAGGTCTAGATAATTGTTAAATGATTACTTGGTACCGCTGTGTTTGGAATGAAACCCTAAGATAATATCTATGATTCATTAAAAAAAATATCCTCTAGTAAAAATGATAATATCCATTTCAGATAAAACAATATCCAAACATTATGAAATAATATCATTAAAGCCAAGACTAATATTAACTAATAAAACAACAAATACCCACACCAACCAGTTTAATATCCATCGCATAAAATACATGTTCATTAATCCAAACATCCATGTCGCCCAGACAAATACCCATTCACCACAAAACAAATATCCTTCCTTTCTCAAACAAATATCCGTGGCTCCCAGACTAACATCTATTCACACGAGAAATCATATCCTCCCTTAAACGAACAAATATCCTTGACATCCTTACTAATATTGCAACCACATAAGCTAATATCCGAAATCACAAACGGACTAATATCAGGGTCTGGAAGAAACTCACTCTCCTACTATTATTGTTTCATAGGCCTTCGGCCCATGGGCCCTCGGCGGGCAGCCCTAACTAAGGTTGCAAGCCTTATGTGCTAGACTTGATAGTGTGTTTAATTTCAAAACAAAAATACTGATTTAAAATAAAAATACAAACTAAAAAACTAATATTCAATCATCTGCCAACTAATATCACACTACCATTGGAAGATAAGAGAAAGAGGAGCTTGAGAAAGAATAAGAATTGGTGGACCCAGCTCTACCAATTCCCCCTTCCCTTCCTCTCCCAATTCCCGCCCAAAATTTTGGTGGACCCAGCTCACAAACTCAGCTTTTTAAACTGGCTCACGGTGGGTTCGGTTTGGGCAAAAAACCCACAATAGCTTACTTAAGTGAGCCCATAGCTCATCCCTTGGATCTCTAGGGCCTCCACGTGGGCCTCAATCCAACCATGTTAGTATCTGCTAACAAAAGACCTTGTTAGCTGTTTAACTTTTTCGGTTGAGTTGTGCTGGAAGAGCGTCAACCTACGTTCAATGCAGTTAAAAGCGCGATTCTACCTAGAAGCGGAAAATGGGTAAAATCGTAAAGCGTAGAATTAAAGCGTAAAACGTAAGTTTTTGACGCATACTGAAAAGAACTAAAAATATGTTAAGTACGACATATACTATGAAAAATATGAGTGCACAAAATTCAGATAAGTTAATAAATACTTGCAATTCATGTCTAAAGTAGCAACTTATAGCCTCTTAATTAATAATAAGTTCATAATTATAAGTCGTATAAAAAAGTCACCTTCCCCTCCATGCTAATGAATTTGAGAAGATCCTAGATAGTGAATTAGATTACTTTATTGAAGTTTTTAATGCATCCATGTATCTGGTATGTATCTTTTAATATCAGCGGTGATTTATTTTTAAAATTTACTTTATATAATTAATTTCATGAAAAGAAGACCCATTCAGTGAAGTAAAAACGTAAAGCGTTTTAGTGAACTAAAAGCGTAAAATCGTAAATTTTTAAGTTTTAAAGCGCAATTTAGTATGATTTTATACACTAAAGTTTTTACATAGAAACGAAAGTGTGTTGGTGACCTAGAAGCGTAAAACCGTAAGTTTTTAAGTTTTAAAGCGCGATTTTGACTGCATTGCCTACGTTCATTGTATTGGACGGTCTTGGCCAAACTTAGGTCACATAATTCACCGAGCAGGGGACGTCGCTCCCTCTTTAGAGTGGGGAAACACGAATTTGAGGGAATCCGTATATAATTCGCGAATTTCTACCTCTTGGAGCGCGATTTTTTCCAGAAAATTCGTGAATTTACTTCATAGTAAACAGAGGAGAAGAGAAAGTGTTGATGGTGGTAACTATTGATTTGACGAAGGAGAAGGTCGATGGCTAATTGAAGGAGGAAGCTGAAAAGATGCCTAAGCCTACCTCTGCATCTGAATAAGATCTATTAATTGCGAAGATTTTGAGCTTTGGGATGACTCTTGCCAGCGCACAATATTGCAATATGTATTTAGGTTACCGATTTCAAAACCCAGCATGCGGGGAGTCAGAGGAGTTCTCCTGTGTTTCGAAGACGAGAAGATTCGAGGTAGAAAATGGGGATTCGTTGGTCGGCAGAGGGAGTTGATCGAGAGAGCTGCTTTTGCTGCAATTGAGGCGGCGGGGGAGCTTACGTTTGCTCGTTTAGGGTTGACAGCTGGGTTTGGACTCCACTAGGTTCAATTAGTTGGGCCAATGCAAAGTCATTTCTATCAGCAGGTGTCCATGGTCCAATGGCCAATGCTTTAGTTAGTTGTGGTTGACATATCAACAAGGAAGTTTATAGTTTTAATTAGATACTTTGGTGATTAAACTCTTATTTTTTTTGTTTTACATACGATTTAACCATACAACCTTTTAATTAGTCTCATTTTTCTATGAGGTATGAGAATATTTTGTCCAAACCTGGTACTATTTTAAATAAAATAATATAATTTTAACGCTCTCTTGACGCTCTGAACTTATAATTTTAAGAATAGACGTTTTCACGCTCTCGCTCTCTCGCTCCATGAATCGGTAACCTAAGGCCAAACTCGAAATGTTAGCCTCGCTAGCTAGTAGCTAGAGCGAAGTCAAAGCTAAGGACCCTTTAATTGGTCACCCAAACTGAACTTTAGTAGCCAAATCGGTGTTGTGGCCAGAAGCTGCTAAAATGGCGGTGGCCCGCGTCTTGACTCTGAAGTCTGAACCAACTACGTGGGAAAAATAAGTCAAGCTCAAAGTCTCCCGTTCTTTTTTTTTTTCTTTTCGAACCGGAGTGTACGACTTCTGCAGCTCTAATCCGAGGGAGATTATTGCAACGAATCTGGGTAAGCTCGATGAACACAGACCAAATGATACCCATTGTGAAATTCGGGGATCCCTTATTCTTCTATCTGAGCTTCTTCATCTCTTCTCTCGCACTGTATTTATGTCCTCTGTTCTCAAACTGTCAAACAGACACACTCTTACAAGGGCAGGAACTGAAAGATGGGTATCACTTGGATTCAGCGTTCGGAACTTTCAGGCTGGGCTTCTTCACCGGTCCAGATTCCCACCGCTACCTCGGAATCTGGTACAACATTCCCAACTCTCAGCAGTACCGCCTCCGCGGCTTCCCTCCCTACTTTAGCACCTCCCCCAACGGAGACGAAGACGAGGGGCCAGCACCCGTCTGGGTCGGAAACGTGAACGTCCCAATCATTAGTAGAACAGGGGTTCTCACTGTAGCAAGTGACGGGAACTTGAAGATCGGAAATGGAAGAGGTGAGGAGATTGTTTCCCTGACCGCCGCCACCGGAATTTCAGGAAAGACAAGCGGTGTTTTGCTTGATTCCGGCAATTTTGTGCTTCGGGAGCTGAATCGAGATGGGTCGGTGAAGCGGGAACTGTGGCAGAGCTTCGATTACCCAACGGATACCCTTCTGCCAGGGATGAAATTGGGCGCCAATTTGCGAACTGGGCAGGTTTGGTCTCTGAAACCATGGCCGTTAGAGACCAATTTCACTTTTGGGTTGAACCCAAACGGGACGATCAAGAACCAATTGGCGATACTGTGGAACGGACGGGTGTATTGAAGAAGTGGGGTGGGGCTGAATCCGGTTTTCCGGGATTATAACTTCAGGTATGTCTCAAGTAATAATGGAGAAGACAGGTACATGGTTTACAAAGCGAGGGATGGTATTGCTTATCCTAGGATCACCATTACTAGCCCTGGCATTCTTAGTGGTCATGATCGCACCGCATTCGTGGGGTGTGACTGGAAATTTGAGAACGGTGGTGGATGTTTTGCTGGTGATGATACGCCCATTTGCGGTACAAGGATGTGGCCGTCCAGCTACGACTATCCGGCAGTACAAGCCTATATAGAGAAGTTTCGTCTCAAAGTCAGCCAAGTTGTTTTTAAATCATATAAACATTACAAATATTACAAACATGATAAACAAAAATGGCAAATCTTACAAACAATACAAAATAAATCGACCAACATTACAAAGACGTGGGAGGGAGGGGAAAAAATCCAACGGGACCCACTTTATTTTTTATTTTTTTAATTAATAAATAAAATAATTATGCAATTACCATCTTACTCTTCATTAAATGAGACTAATTGGAGCCATTAAATTATAATTTAAATGGAGGACTAAGACTGACTTACTCAAGTGACTAAGGTCCCATCATGTCCTTACTGCCAGCTAGGGCTGTTAATGAGCCGAGCCGAACCGAGCTTTGCCATAGTTCATGCTCGGCTCGTTAATATATTTCCAAGCTCGAGCTCGGCTCGTGTTCGTCACGAGCTTTAATATGCAAGCTCGAGCTCGGCTTGTTTATGAAAAGGAAAGCTCGAGCTCGATTCGAGCTCGGCTCGTTAAATAAGGTTAACGAGCCCAAAATCGAGTTAAGCTCATAAAATATTCATAATAACTCAAGATTTACCTAGAACTGGACACAAGATTTCATTCAAACTTGTAGTAAAGTCTAGCAAAATAAAACACAATATTTATCCCAATTTCAATACATAAATCCATGAATTATAATCCTTTCTTATGCCAAAATGTTAAATGAGCTTGTTCGCGAGCTTTTGAGCTGAACATGGTATGGCTCGAGTTCGGCTCGTTTAGTTAACGAGCTTGTTCGCGAGCCGGCTTGATTAAGACGAATGGAGTTTTGAACGAGTTTTTTCGAGTCGGACGCTGAGCCGTTCATGAGCGGCTTGGTTCATTAACAGCCCTACTGCCAGCACACAAGGAACGGAAACACTCACATTTCTTTTTCAATATCAATTTTAATACATGATGAAATAACATTAAAACCTCTCATTAATTCTTGCAATTATCCAATCATTATTTTAAAAATACTATCTATAGCCCCTAAGGGGTGTAAGTTTGACCTAAAGACCCACTGACCCGCCTCGAGGGTCGGGTTGGGTCAGATTGTCTACATGCTCAGTTTAGAGTCGGGTATTCTTTTGACCCTGTAAGGGTCGGGTCAACTTAGGCCGAGTCACTTTTTGACCCTGTGACTTATCAACAACTATGATTGCAATTATCCAATCATTATATTAAAAAACTAGTGATGTGAAATTCCTCATACCAATATATTGGACCTATTTGTTAACTTTTAAAAGTTTAGGTACTAAATTGTAAAGAAAAATTGGGTACCAAAACATAAATTTGCCACCAAATTTTATGGAATTATTTGTAAAAAAAATTAGGCACTACATTGTAACAAAAATAATTTTAGGTACCAAAATGTAATTATTAAAAATCAGTGAGTTGATTAATGCCGAACCACTGACTAGACTTTCCCCGACCATTTTTGACCCTTTAGGGGCATGACTACAGTCACGGCTAACTTCAACCTAACTCCACCACTGGGCGAATCAGTTATATATCTTGGCCCTTCATAAACGGGTCAATCAGGATGAGTAAGGGGCATTATTGACCCTTCCCTAATCAAAGGGACTAAACCCCCTCTCCTCCTTAGTGACATGATCTCATCTCTGGGGGCTCTCATCCCTTAAGCTAAGAAAACCATGCTACCATTAAAAATCCTTCCAAATAAGGTTTTACTCTGCCCGATTATGTCAGATTCGAACAGATATACTCATTGCAAATATTTTTGTAATCCTTGTGGAAACACTCTATTTCTTTTTTCTATATCAATTTTAATAAATGATGAAAGAAAATTAAAACCACTCATTAATTCATGAAATTATCCAATCATTAGATAAAAATACTATCTATGACCCCTTCCCTAATCAACTTACTAAAACCCCTCTTCTTAGACCACCCGGGATCGGTTAGCTTGACTACCCCTAAAGGGGTAGTGATTTTTGACACCCCCTTCATGATTGGCCAATTTTATTTCCAATCATTGGCAAGTATTAATTAAACTGGTTTTTTATTTTTTTTTAATCTTGTAATTTGGGGTCTCTCACCACATTGGAAAAGAGAAAGAATCTGGGGAAAAACGAAATCACCCCCATTAATTACATAATTAATTTCTCTCACTGGTACTTTAATTACACGTACCACTCCACTGGTACACGTACCACTCCACTGGTGCGAGCAATCCACAAGGTAGGTTAGAGTGAGAACAATACCAGTGCAATGATATTTTTCATAACAATGATAAACAATAACGGAGCAACAATGCAGTACCACTTCAATGATACAAATACCACTCCACTGGTACACGTACCACTCCACTGGTACACGTACCACTCCACTGGTGCGAGCAATCCACAAGGTAGGTCAGAGGCGATCCCAGGATGGCGGCAGCTGGAGATAGGAGGATGGTGGTGGGGGAAGGCGCTGGAGGGTTTTGGTCGTTTCAGAGTAGAGGAGGGTTCTGGTTAAAATGAAATCAAAATGGAAAGAGGGCCCAAATGGAGAGAGAAGGAGACGAAAGGAAGAAAAAAGGCAATTAATTGCACATTTGGGGGGGAGCTTTTTTCTGATTCCCCATATTCTTTCCCTTTCCAATGTGGGTGAGAGACCCCAAATTACAAGATTAAAAAAAATAAAAAACCAGTTTAATTAATACTTGCCAATGATTGAAAATAAAATTGGCCAATCATAAAGGGGGTGTTGAAAATCACTACCCCTTTAGGGGTTAGCATAGTATCCCACCCCTAGACCACCCACAACAAACAGTGGTCAAAGAGGGGAAAATGGAGAAAAGGGATGGGGAATCCCATAATAGGATAGGGAACAAAGGGAAAGAAGGAAAGGCTGGGGGGTTTATCCTCGAGAGTCGAGAGAAACGCCAAAAGAAGGATGAAGGGGAGAGAACTAGGCGTGCAGCTCGGTGGTGGTCCGCACGGGAGGGAAGGGGAGCTCCTGGTGGTGGATCTACCGCCAGTATATTTTTGTTCGTTTTCTTTTCTTTGGTTTTTTCATATTGATTAAGTGATTTATTAGAGGTTTTTTTTGTGTGTTTTGGCCAACGACCCCATTTTTCAACGACCAAATTTCTAACAATTATTTTTCCAACGACTAGTAATCTTTACTAAGGATACTTTAATTTTAGTGTGTTTGCTTTAAGTACTTTAAATATACCCTTGATGTATCGTTTATTTTTAATGTGTTAGTTTTAAGTACTTTGAATTTACCCTTGATGTATCCTTTATTTTAGTGTGTTTGCTTTAAGTAATTTCAGTTTACCCACACGGTTCATAAGAAGTATACGCTGCCTTTTGTATTCTGTTTCAACACTGAGTAATAATAAATTAGAACGCATGTCACTATTTAATTGGGGCGGTGCATAGCTTATGTGGTGAGGCGGGTGCACTCAAGAATTTCTCTTTTATTTTAGTGTGTTTGTTTTAAGTACTCCCAATTTTTTCTTGATGTATTCTTTTTAATTATGTTTTTAATCAATTATTAATGCAAAAACTTTCTTTATTAAGACACCAAAAATTGGAAAAATTTGATGAGTTAGGGTCTTCTATAAATTATTGTTACTTCGTTATTGATGGTGTCATATTTAATTAGTATTATAAAAAATTATGTCCAAATTAAATAAAATTATATCAAAATATTTGTGTTAATTAATTAGTACTATCTGCGTAAAAATAATGACCAAATAATCATAATGAAATTAATTGATTTTGAAAAAAAAATACCAAATACTCTTTTGCCTCCCGGCCATTGTGACCAAACTCTCGTTCCCCGAGCTCTCATCCCCTGAGGCTGTAAATAAAGGAGGCGTGTTATTTGCCGCCCGTGTCTTTACTATTTGCCACTAGTAAATTAAACTAAAATTACATTTTTACCCTCCACAATTTCTTTATATTCTATTCTTTGGTTTGGTTTTTTAAACTATCCACACTCATCGTAGCCTCACACCACCACCCGACCACCAACCCACAATCACCATAGCCGTAGTCACGGCCACCGGACGGCAGCCTAAGTCGCCGGCCACCAGAGGGCAGCCGTCAAACAGCATCGTCGGACCAGCGAATGAGGTAAACTCCTCCTGTAACTATTTTGCCCCGTCCGACGACGGCGAGCGGACCCTGTCCGACCGGCTCAGGCGGACCTAGTCCGATCCCGGCGAGCGGACAGTGACCGACGCCAGCGATATTTTTTATTTTTATATATATTTATGTTATTATTAATTCTAGAGCTAATAATTTAGATTTAATTTATTGCTTTTATTTTTATTTTACTCAGTTAATTCCGTATGTAGTTTTAATTAAGCGATTGTGTTTTGTTGTAGCGCTAATTAGTTTATTATGTTTAGATTTAATTCGTAGAGCTAATTTGGTTCGATAATTTATATTTAATTAAATTTCTTATCGTCAAATTATCGTTATTTTGTAGAGTTAATTAAATTATTGCATTTAGTTTAATTTTGTAGAGTCAATTGAAGCACAATTAATTTAATTAAGTGATTGTGTTTTGTTGTAGCGCTAATTAGTTTATTGTGTTTAGATTTAATTCGTAGAGCTAATTTGGTTTAATATTATATTTAATTAGATTTATTATTGTCAAATTATCGTTATTTTGTAGAGTTCATTAAATTATTGCATTTAGTTTAATTTTGTAGAGTTAATTGATTTTAGTATTAATTGATTCATTAGTTAGTTTAGTAGTGTTGAGTCATATAATTTGTATCTTTCTAACGAGTTGTAAAATCATAATTGCAGGTGGACATGGCTTACAATGTTGAACTAAATGGTGATTACACAAACTATTTTCTCAATGGCGTCCAATATGACAATTTCGAAGATGCTATAACAGTGACCAAAAACATCGCGATGTCTCTTGGGTTCTTTCTAATTAAGGGCTCGATGAAGCCACGTGAGTTGCGCAACAAAAGAGTATTGGGTATGTGTTATATGTATTGCGACAGATGCAGTAGGGAGAGGAAGTCATACAAGCCGGATCCTTCCAAGGAGAGTCGTGGCAATACAAGTTCAAAAGAGTCTAATTGCATGTTCAAGGTTAAAATCAAAGAACTACTTGTTGATCCAGATGCTCTTAGTGGATCTTCATTCTGGGAGATACAAGAAGTGAGGGAGCAAGAAACCGGTTTAAGGCGAGGGTATCACAATCATGAGAAGATGCTTTATCCGGAGGGCCACAGTCAAATGAAGAAATTCAGTCAGGAGGATAAAGAATCTCTGAAGCAGATGAGAGATGCTGGAGTACGTCCGTCGCAACAGAAGCAGACAATAAATATGCAGAAGGGTGACAAAGGGCATCACACCAAAAGGCAAATGTATAACCTCGGGTCCAAATCTAGGAAAGACGAGTTGGGCGAGATGAATGCAGTGCAGTATGCGTTGCAAGCAGCTGAACGTGAGGGTTATTATATAGAGGTTAAGAAGGAAGATAACGATGTGCTTACCCATCCTTTTTTTGCCCATCCAACTTCCATCTAGATGTTGAAGGCTTGGTCGTACGTGATTCTGATCGACTCAACGTATAAAACCAACGCGTATAAAATGCCGTGGGTGGAGGTCGTAGGTGCTACTCCCGTTGGGAAGAATTTCAACATATGTTGTGCTCTCATGAAGGAGGGGACAAAAGAGGCGTATCATTGGCTGTTGGAGTGCATAAAACAATTGCTTCATCCACGCGTGCCCACTGCCATCGTCACCGACCACGGAGGTGGACTACTTGCTACAGTTTCTTTGGTCTTCCCCCACACCCCGCATTTGCTATGTGTTTGGCACATCAACACTAATGTGCAGAAGAATTTTTTGGAAATATTTGGGAAGGATAGGATGGATTTGGTCAACGAGGCTTACGATCACGGTTGGTGTCTTATGCTTTATTATTGGTCCGAGCAAGGTATGTTGGCCGCATTTGGCCGCTTTAGGGCAAGATGGAGCAATTATGAACCACGTCTGTTGCAACTTGCAATACATACAGGGAGTATGGTTGCAACATCGAGAGAAGTGGGCAGTTTGTCATACCAAAAATGTGTTTCATCTAGGAAATACGAGCACAAACAGGGTTGAGTCGTCACATTCCGCATTGAAAACTTTCCTCCACAACTCGCGGGGGGTCTATGGACACTGTATGGAAAGGAAACCACCGCTACATTACTAACCAACTCGGGGAGGTTAGGATGATGTTGGAAAACTCTTGACAGAAAACCCTTTCACCTTCCGACGGTACACCCTTCACATACTTGACAAGGAAGGTCAGCATGTAGGCAATTATATTGATGAAGGAGGCTGAAGAAGATTTGGCGGCCCGTTTGAAAAAAAATGAGAACTCCCGATGTGCTTGTCATTTCTCTATGACACACGGCTTGAGGTGTGGATGTCAGGTTATGGATGGCAGAGCGCGAGACATAGAGATATACCCAGGTGATCTTCATATATATTGGCGGACACTGACATATGAGCATCCACCCAATGCCTAAGAGTACGTGCCCCACGAGGATGAGGCTAAATGTCACGTTCAGGAGTTGGTTAATGAGGCTGTACGTAGAGGACCAGAGGCAACAAAAAAAGCATTAAAGAACGTGTTTCGCGGACTCCATCCATCGGAAGACAACATTCACTAGCCAGAAGTGAACGAATTTAGAAGGGGACGACCGAACAAAAAATCAATTGAAAGAACTAAAGGGTGCTTTGATAAGATACTGCGTGGTAAGAAGAAAAACATGAAAAGAAGTCGGGAAGCACAACGTCGGGGTCTACAAGGTCGACCAATACCAAGTCCACGGGGACTCAGATAGACGAGTACCCGTCAAACGACCAGGCATTTGATGAGCGTGATGATCCCGAAGAAAACTACAAATACAACGGTCCTGATACAGGTACACATAAGAATTTCATAAGAATAGTTATTTATATGAATAGTTTATGTAGAATATGTGCTGATTATCTATTTCCTTCACAGATGTCCCTGGATCCAGCACCCATTCTGAATACGCACACTTGCATCTGCTTCCTGTCTTTGTTTCGGGACCTTGGCATTGCCTTCCACGACCCGGTGTCAGACGGTCATTGTGGGTTTCGTGCACTTAGATTTGCATTATATGGTAATCAAGATGTGTTCCCAGAGGTGAGGCGACTAATTGCTGAAGAACTCCGTCAGCACGATTGGCGATACGCTAACATGTACGAGTCGGATGTGGTTGCGGCAATCAGACGCATTGACATCGCTATTATAGCGCCAACGACATTTCGTTATTGGATGATGGGTGTGGATCTATTCGTATTTGCCACACTCTTTAACACCAACTACGTACAACTGTAGCATCGTGCCAGTGGACAACCTATCTGGGGCAACTGGTCCTAGAGGAGTCATTGTTGTGCATTTCGTCCAGGATCATTGGCTCAACCTCTCTTTCCCGGCGCACAGGATACCGATGCCCTCTATACATGACATGTGGGAGGGTGGTAGACAAGATAGTGTGCTTGGATGGGATACATATTTCGCGCCGTTTAGTCACAAATAAGTTGATAACAGAAGAAACGCGGTCCTTACTCTTATCTACGAACAATGTGGACCCAAGCAGCAAAAAAAGGTAACACTAAGCCTCTCTAAGTGGCGGACCAACCTCCTACAAATGAGCCAAAGTTGGCACACCCAACAAACCAAACCCTCTGTACCACTTAGACTCTCTGGCGACCTGTCCAACCTGCGCCCTGTGGTCCAAATCATCACGATCTAAGCCCAGTAATGCTCGCATGTCATCCTCCAGTGATCTCTTCTCCAACTGCCTCGGATCCGCTACCATCACCTCTCCCTCAACCGCAATGTTAAGAATGTGAGCCACGTCGTGAAGGAGGATCGTCATCTCTCCAAACGGCATGTGGAAGGTGTTGGTATTCGGCTTCCACCTCTCCACAAATGCCGAGATGAGAGCAGTGGCCAGCTCGCTCTGGAAGGTGATATCAACGAGGTGAGGAAGGCCTGATGTCTTTACGGCAGTCCTAGCGCGAGAATCTGCCATCTCATAAGGAGCTAGAACATGCTGAAGCGTCGAACTCCTGTCGTAGCAAGTGATCAACCCTCTATCAGCCTGTCCCGTGTAAAGATGGTGGGCAACATGCCCAAGAAAGCTACGGAGCAAACTCGGGTCTTTCGGCCTTCCAGCACACGGTCCTCTAAGCTCGCAGGCCTCTCCCACATCAGCATTACCACTCTGGCCCTCACCAGGCTGTGGAGCTCTGTAGAAACACCCTGCATGTTCTCTATAAATCCCAGTAACGACATGTGACGATTCGTTGGCGGCACCTCTATCTCTAATCGGACTGACTCGTGGAATGCGATCTTCAACAAAATCCGACTCATACTGCTCAGACTCGTCATCAATCTCGTCTGAAGGCTCAAACGGTGAAATGTGACTGGAACAAGGTCCACTACCAGTCATATTAGGCAACTGAAAATCAACCTGAGGAAAGCCGTCTGCCCTCATACTCATTGGTGTCACTAGCTGATGTGGTTGTGGCTGTCGCTCATGCTCTTCTTATTTCTCGTACTCATACTAATGTTACGCCCAAGGAATCTTTTCAATTTCTTTCGTGATCCTCTAGAATCACCAGCTGACGCCATCTCTAAACATAGTCAATAATTATCTTTTAATCTCTTATAATAAATTATTTGTTGAGCAATTTTTTCATAGTTAATTTTTATCATAGACTAATTATTATACATAGAACTTGTTATCTAATTAATTTAACTAGATAGTTATTTTACTAGATACGATACGTAGTTATTTAAATAATTATTACAACTTACCTAATTACTTAACTAAAACATGATAGATAATTATTTAAACTAACAATTATTTATAATTTATTTAATTCAATAATTATTTATATACTTATTATAATTAATTATATATTAACATAGTCAATAATTATCTATTAATCTCTTATAATAAATTATTTGTTGAGAAATTTGTTCATAGTTAATTTTTATCATAGACTAATTATGATACATACAACTTGTTATCTAACTAATTTAACTAGATAGTTATTTTACTAAATTAGATAGATAGTTATTTAAATAATTATTTCAACTTACTCAATTATTAAAGCAACACATTATAAAATTAACAATTATATACTAATTATTCAACTTACAATTATATACTAATTATTCAACTATCAATATTAAACTAATTAAGTTACTAACAATTGAATTTAAAATAAATCTAATAAATATTTAATCAGACTGGTCCAGTCAAACCCAATCAGACTGGTCCGATCAGGCCCAGCGGACGGGGCCCGACCAGGCCCAGCGGACGGGGCCCGACCAGACCCAGCGAACGGCATCTGACTAGTCGAGGCAGACGGCATCCGCTCTGGCGAGGCGTATGGAGGCTAGAAGACGAAGAAAAAAAATACCTGGAGACGGCGGCGACGACTGGAACAGCGGCGAGAGCGAGCTTGGGAGGTCGCGGCAAGATCAAGCTTGGGAGACTGAAATAGCAACAGCGAGAGGGAGCTTGGGACGGCGGCTATTGTGGTTTGGGTCGTCGGAGGCGGCGACTTCTGGGGTCTGGAACAGCGACGACGACGACTTCTGGGCGGCGGTGGTCTGGAAGGTTGGCAGGTGGCCGACATCGGCAAGAGGGAGGAGTTGGGAGGTGGGCGGCGAGCAGCAGGAGGTGAGGGGTTGAGAGGTGAGGAGTTGGGTTGGGGTAGATAGGTTTAGGATTTTAAAAAAGACCAAGAGCAAAATCATCATACTTTTTGTAACTATGGACGGCAAATAGTGAAGTTATTAGCGGCAAATAGCGATTCATCCGCCTCCTCTGAACTATGCAAAAAAAGTCTTCAGTTTCGTTGACTTTACTTTCTAAAGTGTACCACTTTTTGAAGCTTTAATCCTATGGAGATTCATCAATGATGTAACGAATTTGGGTGAGTCGATTAATACACAACTAAGCCAAAAGGAAAATGATCTCCATCACCACACTCGGACATCCCATCTTCTGCTTCTGTCTCAGCTTCCTCTTCACACTGTATATATGTCCTCTCTTCTCAAACGGTGAAACGGACACACTTCTACAAGGGCAGGAGCTGAAAGATGGTTACCACTTGGATTCAGCGTTTGGAGCTTTCAGGCTCGGATTCTTCACCGCTAGAGATAACAACCGCTACCTGGGCATATGGTACAACATGCCCGACAATCAACAGTACTACTACCACTCCTTCGATGACTACTATGAACGCCGAAACCCCGAATTACGGCATTCTCCCGTCTGGGTCAGCAACCCTGATTCCCCAATTCTCAACAAAACAGGGGTTCTTGTCCTTGCAAGCGATGGAAACTTGAAGATGGTAGATGGCAAAGGCGACCTAATCGTTACCGTGACTAGCATCACCCGCACCGCCGTCGAGGAAGGAGTTAAGACGAGCGCTGTTTTGCTGGATTCCGGCAATTTTGTGCTGCGGGAGCTGAACCCAGATGGGTCTGTAGAGCGGGAACTGTGGCAGAGCTTCGATTACCCTACGGATATCCTTCTCCCAGGAATGAAATTGGGGGCCAATTTCCGAACTGGGCACGTTTGGTCTCTAAAGCCATGGTTCGCTTCCCAAATTGGGTCCAGTTGGAGGCTGGAACCACCGGTCGAGAGGTCGAGCAGCTTCTTCACGTTCGAGTTGGAGATGAATAATAGTGATAATGGCGAATTGGTGATATTGTGGAAAGGACGGATGTATTGGAGAAGTGGGAAGGAGCTGAACCAGAGTTTCCGTGGTTTAAACGTCAGGTACGTGTGGAATGAGGAAGAGAGGTATATGGTTTACAGCGTGCAAGAAGGAGGTGGCGATCGTGTTGCTAATTATCCTAGGATAACCATTACTAGCTATGGCAGCCTTACTGGCACCATAGGAGTGCGATGCGACATGGAATTTCAGAAAGGCGTTGGATGTTTTGATGGCGATGATAATACGCCCATTTGCAGCGATGGCTATGCGTATCCCAGCAGTTTTGTGATAGAAGCGTACGAAGAATTGGCGGGCAGGGATGTGAAAGTGGGTGGTGATAGTCAATGTCGTCCCAATTGCTCCAAAAACTGCACTTGCTGGGGCTATGTGAGGCAGAATCGAGACGGGTCTGGGTGCCAGATGGTGCCCAAACTGGTCTACTCATTACATGAGTCCACAGGTCAGCATTTTGCCACAATTGGGACGACATTGACTATCACTTGTAATAGATATTGCAGAGCCTATAACTTGTTTGGCTGTTGCAGATCGGAGGCGGCTGCTATTGTTGATCATCGCAGGAGTTGTTCTTTCGGCAGTCTTGTTTATGTTGTTCTTGCTTTACCTTGGCTGGAAATGGAGAAATCATTTAGTAGCAATTGTTACCCACGTAATGGAAAGTGTCTGTGAATTTTGGAAGGTTTGTGGATCGTTGTTGGCAATGTGGAAGGAATATTACGTCCTGCTTCGGCTATCTAAGGCCACATCGGATGCAGAGAAAGAGATACTGTTACATGAGCTAGGGATGGCGGGTGACGCAAACCTTAACCCTAATAGCCTGGGTAACCATAATGATGATTTTCAATTGTTCAGTTTTGAGCACATTGCATATGCTACTAGCAACTTCCACCCTTCTAATAAGCTTGGACAAGGTGGCTTTGGACCTGTCTATAAGGTAACGAAATTAATTGTTTTCTTTATTTGATGTCAGGTGGATGACTTTCTTTGTGTGTGTACTTAACACGATGAATACCAACTGGTGCGAATTTTCGATGAAATTTTCAAAACATCATTGATAAAATGGCAATAGTATAGAGACCAGAAGCGGAAGTAATGCTTTAACTTGCTACCTCTTCACTCTTCAGCATTAAGTTAATCCTAGTTAAAATTTCCATCATCTTTAACTTGGAATCACAGCTCAAATGAGACCATTACTACTCTTGTACTACATTTCAATTCATAGTGCAGCACCCCTAAAAAATTTCAGGGGAAGCTGCCAAATGGGCTAGAGGTTGCTATAAAAAGACTTTCAACAAGCTCAAGGCAAGGACTAGCTGAGTTCAAGAATGAGGTAAGACTTATTGCCAAACTGCAGCACGACAATCTGGTCAGGCTGGTTGGTTGCTGTATAGAGAAAGCAGAGAAGATCCTGGTCTATGAATATTTGCCCAACAAAAGCCTTGATTTCTCACTTTTTGGTGAGTGCCTTGCCTCTTTCGTTAACCTATTATGTAATCATTGGTTTCAGAACTTTTACTTGCTCCCGTGCAGCTCCCACAGACCAGAATGCACTGGATTGGAAGAAAAGGTTAGACATTATTCAAGGGATAGCTCAAGGACTTCTTTACCTGCACAAATATTCAAGGCTGAAGATCGTCCACAGAGATCTGAAGGCTAGCAATATCTTACTCGACGGTGAGATGAACCCCAAGATATCGGACTTTGAGTTGGCCAAGATATTCCATCCGAACGAATCTCGAGCAATCACTGCACGGGTTGCTGGAACTTTGTACGTGGGTTTATAAAGTTTATGTGATACTTAGTCAATTGAATTCCTTGCATCTTAATTATGCTTATTCTGTAGAGCAAGACGATCGAAGTTTGAGAACTCTGAACTTTTGCAGTGGGTACATGTCTCCTGAGTATGCAATGGAAGGAGTTTTCTCGACGAAGTCAGACGTGTTCAGTTTTGGAGTTCTGTTGCTGGAAATTGTGAGCGGCAAGAGGAACAATCACTTTCATGCTGATCAGGAAGGCCCAAGCAGTCTCATTGCGTGGGTGAGATTAGCAATGAACGAGTCAATCAAGTGCTAGAATCTTGGAGCATAATAAGCCAATCAGGCCAATATATTGATAATTTGAAATTCTCTTGCACTTGATGCAGGCTTGGGAACTATGGAGAGAAGGAAGAGGAATAGAACTGGTGGATTCAGCCATGGCAATGGGCACTGACCACAGCAGCAGCAACATGGTCCATAATGAAGCACTGAAGTGTATTCAGATAGGTCTTTTGTGTATACAGGAGAACCCAAGGGATAGACCCTCCATGTTAGAGGTCGCCTCCATGATCTACAACAATGATTCATCCCAGTTGCCGTCTCCAAATCGGCCAGCATTTTATTATAAATTTCAGGAGGCTGCTGAGATTATTGAAGAGCAGGAGGAGAATTGGACAGTGAACCAGGTTACCATCACCGAAATGAACGCCAGGTAATCAAGCATCTCGTGGAGTCTCTTTCTAGTGAAAATTAAACAATCTTTTTAAGATCAAAATGACGGTCGCCAAAAAGGAACAAAATGGTTGCCAGCTTGTACCGAGGGTTTTATTGCTTTTTTTGCAACTACTAGTTGGTTGCGAATGCTCTCTTCTGGAAGTGCAATGTGGATGTATATTGATTACTCTTACACCTCAGTAAGGAAATTATGTACGAAAATCAAGCCCTTTTATATAGATCACTGACCGAACAGTTACGAACTAATCACTTAATCTTCTTGGCAACTTCCAACAAGATATTCGTCCCCTCAACAATGGCATCGTTGAGCTCCTTAATCCATGGCTTGGGGGCGATCCGGCGTCATTCAGGGCCTCCTCGCATGCGCTGAAGTTCGAAACAGCAGCGCTGAGCATGGAATTCACCTTGCTAACGTGCTTGGGGCTGCACTTCTTGTCCTTGTTGGCATCCTTGTCCTTGTCGCAGGCCTTGCACGCCTCCTTGACAGCGTCCAAGCTGGCGATGGCCTTGTCGTAGTTCTTGATGCACGTGTCCAGGCTCGACTTCATTTGGTCTGGAGAGGAAGGGTTCTTGAGCTCGTCTTTGCAGGCAATGTAGGTGGAGAGCGGATCTGGTGACTAAGGGGGGGTGCTTAGTCACTTGGCTAAGCCCCCCCTAGCCATTGGATGTAGAAGGATCAATCTAACGGTGAATATTAGGGAAGGGATTTTCAAATACTGGGAGGGGCAATTCTGGCATTAAAAAATTTTCATTAATTGCTTTTCATTTTTATTCTGGGAAGGGGAAAAAATATCCGCTCTCGTTCAAACTCCTCCCGCGAATCGGCCCGGCGGCGTCACAAACTCCTCCCGCGATCGACGAGGCGATTCCGGCGAGCGGCGGGGCGATTTTCCTCCCGCGATCGACGAGGCGATTCCGGCGATTGGCGGCGCAGGCGATTCCAACGACGAGGCGATTCCGGCGATTTTCCCCCGCGATCGACGACGGCGAGTTGCGATTCTCCTCCAGCTATCGGAGAAGGCGTTTTTCCAGCCAACGGCGAGGCGATTTTTTCTAGAGAACGGCGAGGCGATTTTCCAGCAACAGTGATCACCGAGGCAAATTTCTTTGCATGATGGATTCTGCTCCGATAACAAAGGATGAAGTGGTTGATGGAGCTAATGAACAAAAAACGGGAGAAACTGGAACTGAAACAGCAATGGATGTGGATGTAGATGTTCAGAAAACAACAGTACAACGTGAAATCAGTAATAAATCTTGTTTGTATTCTTAGTATGTTTTTCTTTTGATGTTTGTGTTCTTAGTATGTTTTTCTGCTCTGTTCTGTACATTTTGTATTGTAAGTCTTAATATATGATGATTGTTATGTTTGTACAAACAGTACAAACTTATGGTTTATGCAGTTTGTACGAAATATCGTATGTCTTTATAGCTTTAGTGCATCAGTTTGTATGGTTTAATTATGTTTGTAATGTTACTATGTTAGTATTGTTGCTGTTTATACTCTTAGTATGTTTTTCTTTGACAGTTTGTACTCTTAGTATGTTTTTCTGCTCTGTTCTGTTACTTTGTAATGTAGTTGTTCTGATATTGTAAACTGGTTGTTTCAGCAGATGATGAGATCAAAATATTACCAAGCAATGAAGAAACGTGGATGAACCTTCGCTTTGACACAAAAGATCATGGATTGCTGTGGTACAAATGCTATGCACATGATAAGGGATTTTCTGTTAGAGAAACAGGAGGGGTTAAGAGAACAAGCAATAACAAACCGTGTGAAGTTGTAAGATATTTTGGGGGTAGATGCAATAAGGAAGGTTGGCGAAAAGGTAGTGCAAATAATCCAGCAAATGACGACCATGTTGACCAACAACCTAGAAGCAGAATCACCAAAGAGGATAGATGGGATTGCAAAGCAGTGATACGCTTCCAGCTTGAAGACAGTTCCCAAAAATACTACATTTCAAGCTGGTTAGACGAGCATAATCATAAGATGATCCCACCATCATCAAGACAATTCATGAGATCAAATAGAACGATGAATGAAGTGCAAAAGTTCTTGATTGACATGTATCACAAAGCTGGAATATCGATACAATCATCATTTCAAGCATTATGCTTGGCTGCCGGAGGAAGAGAAAATGTTGGCTTCACACAAATGGACCACAAGAATTATATCCGTACTAAAAGGTGGGTTTTGCACATTTTATAATCTTTTTGATCTGTTTTATATTGTTTATACTATTTGATTTCTGTACTTTGTATGTTTTGGTAATATTCTTTGTACTGTTTGTATACTTTGTATGTTTTGTCTAATCCTTTGTACTGTTTGTATACTTGGGGGCTAAAAGGCAAAAAACAATGAAGTTTGGGGAGGCAACAATGATTTATCATCATTTCAAAAGTGAAGCTTCAATGGACCCAGCTTTCTTTTATGAGATCCAAGTTGACATCAATGAAGAAATTGCAAGTATTTTCTGGGCGGATGGACGCATGAGAATGGACTATTTCTATTTTGGTGACACCATCAGCTTTGACACAACATACCGCACCAACAAGAATGCTCGCCCATTAGGTACTACAATTTTTTTAATTTTCACTAACATGTATGTTTGTAATTATTTTCTTCCATATTTGTCATGATTCTGTTGCTGTTTGTATTCTTTGTATGTTTACTGTTGCTGTTTGTATTCTTAGTATGTTTTTCTGTTACAGTTTGTATTCTTTGTATGTTTACTGTTACAGTTTGTATTCTTTGTATGTTTACTGTTGCTGTTTGTATTCTTTGTATGTTTTCTGTTGCTGTTTGTATTTTTAGTATGTTCTTCTGTTAAAGTTTGTACTCTTAGTATGTTTACTGTTGCTGTTTGTATTCTTAGTATGTTTTTCTGTTAAAGTTTGTACTCTTAGTATGTTTACTGTTGCTGTTTGTATTCTTAGTATGTTTTTGCAATATGTCAGTTTTGTTAAACCTCATTACTAATTTTAAACAAAATTTTCATTTCAGCTTTATTTGTGGGCTTCAATAACTATAGAGAAACATGTGTTTTTGGTGCTGCCCTACTCTATGATGAGACATCAGCCACATTTGATTGGCTCTTCAAACAATTTCTCATTTGCATGAACGGGAAGGAACCGGGAGCTGTTTTTACCGATCAAGCGGCAGCAATTGCTGCTGGTATTAGGACAGCATTGCCGCACACTTATCATGGGTTGTGCACATTCCATATAACAATGAATGCAAAGAGTAATGGGTTGTGGTGGTCACCATTTTTGGAAGAGCTTTCCTTCTTGATGTATGATTTGGAGACGGAGGATGAATTCGACTATTATTGGAAGAAAATGCTTGAGAATTGCTTCAATGAAGAAGAAGAAGGGAAGAAATTAACAAGTAAGATTGAGGCATGGCTGCAAAACCTCCACAAAGTGAGAAGTAAATGGTCATCGGCATGGCTGAAAGATCATTTTGCATGTGGAATGAGAAGCTCACAACTCAGCGAGAGTTGCAACAGCCATTTGCGTAAGTATCTCCAGTCGAAACTTACTTTGTGGGAGTTTTTTATACAATTCAACAACCTTCTTGAAGCCAAAAGACATAAGGAGTTGAGAAATGACTATGAAGCATTGAACACTATTCCATACTTGGTTTTCACAAACAGTGAGGTTCTTCAACAGTTTGTTACCAAATATACACAAAATATATTTGGGAACATGCAAGATGAATACTCCAAGTCAATCAAATACCATATACGACCAAACAACTCCAAGGATATAGATGGAATGTTTGCATATGAGCTTCACAAACTAGATCAGCAAAGAAATCCTATTGATAAGAGGATTGTTATGGTTGACTTTGTGGAGCGTAAGCTGATTTGCTCATGCAAGATGTTCGAGAAGTGTGGATGGCTTTGTCGCCATGTGTTGCGCGCAATAGATCACCTCGGCTATGGAGGACACCCAGAAATCTTGAATATTCACACACGCTACATATTAAAGAGGTGGACATATGATGCAAAATCTGGAGATTTCACACTACCGGCAGTACAAGATACAGCAGAGAGGGTGTACTGTTCAAGGGTGAAACAACTTACTGGATCCATGAATTTGCTTGCAACACGCACTTGTATGGATGATGACATATACAAGATGCTTGAGGAAGGAATGCAAGCATTGAAGATTCGTGCTGAATCCATGATGCCTGCCATGAAGTTTGGCCAGCCTAGCACAAGCACAGGTATGAAACACTACCTTTAATTTGGTGCAGGTTTGAGGTTTGTAATGATATCACTTACTGTTTGTATCCTTAGTATGTTTTTTCATAACAGTTAGTATTCTTTTAGTTGATATTCATATCAATGACTGTTAGTAATGATATTAGATAAAGTTTGTATTGTTAATATATTTTTTCTGGTCTGTTTCTTTGTAGGATAAGTTTGGCTACAAAAACTTACTATTGTTGTTAAATCCTTTGTTTTTTCCCTATTCTAGAAGCAGAATTGAATCCAGCAAGTTCAGAGAGTGAACCGCATTGGGCGAAAGCATTAAAAGTCAGGACTGATCCATTTAAATCAAGGACAAGGAGGAAGAATCGAATTGAAATCATTCGAGAAAGGAGAAGACAAACAAAGTTACAAGAAAGGGCAGCGGAAGGAAAGTAAATACATGATACCTGCCATGAAAGTAAATACAAGCAGCAGGTTTGTAATGATATCACTTACTGTTTGTACCCTTAGTATGTTTTTTCATAACAGTTAGTATTCTTTTAGTTGATATTCATATAAATGACTATTAGTAATGATATTAGTTAAAATTTGTATTGTTTGTATATTTTTCTGTTATATACAAAAACTGACTACTGCTGTTTAATCCTATTGTAGAAGTGGAAACAAAGTTACAAGGACAAGGAGGAAGATTCGTACTGAAATCATTCAAGAAAGGAGAAGACAAACAATGTTACAAGAAAGGGCGGATGACAGAATATAAATACATAGACAGAACTACTTGCCATATCATATATTACTTGATAGATACATAGATAAATTTGAGTGATTGCATAGATGCATAGATAAAGTGAATAATTGCCACATCAAACAATTCATTTCTTGCATTCTTTTTCAATTCACATTTGTATGTTTCTCATGCTTATTCTATGTTAGACAGAAACATTACGAAATAGGATACAAAAAATTACGAACCACAACAACAACACCAACAGCCACCATAACACCAACAGCCACACTACTGTTCATAAGGTCACCGCATTACAAAACATGAGAATAGAAAATGGTACTAGTGCATACTGTCATGGATTACCACCAAAAAAAAACACTATTGGTTCCATATTCCATCATTTGTCAAGCGAAAACCCAGTACTAGAACTCCCTAATGACAACAACAATTCTTCACTAAAAGACACATTCATCCTCAATTGCTCGATCATCAAATTCCTTGATCCATTCAACAAAGTCAGCATAGCATTAATCTTCCGGTTGTAAATATAGGTTGGAGAAGACCATTTTTCCCTCATCATCTTTGTAGCCACACCTTCCCATTCTTCACAGTAGTTTAAACAGATAATGCCAGCACTAGTGAAATCATCATATGGAATTGTGATCCTTCGCCATTTGAAGTCATTATCAAAGTCATACTTTCCTGGCATGATGTGCTGAATGTAAGATGTTGCATACTGGACGACCAGCTCTCCAACCCTCCTAAACCGATCTAGAAAATGCTTAGAAGGAGAGCTGTCAAGGTACTCGAAACGACGATCCTTCAAGTTAACACAATATACCATGAAATGATCATCCATAGAACATGGGAAAAGCCACTGCACATGAAGAAGAAACAAAGAAGAATCATAAACAGTACAATCATACAAAGCAGAATTGTACAAAGTGTACAAAGTATACAAAAAATATGAAACAGAAGCACAAAGTGTACAAACAATATGGAACAGAAGCACAAAGTGTACAAAGTGTACAAAAAATATGAAACAGAAGCACAAAGTGTACAAAAAATATGAAACAGAATCACAAAGTGTACAAAAGGATGAAATATTCCAACTTACATATTGGCATGTCTTGAAAGATGCACCATCTTGCAATGGGTATTTTCTGACATAAGATTTCATGACCTTCAAATATTTAGGTTCCATTTTGTCATTCACAACCTTGGACTAGGTACAATCAAAGACAAAAAAAACTTGCATTAATATGGCTAATAGATACTAAATGACATACAACAACATGTGAAAATTAACTCACCGCAAAGTCAGTTGGAAAAGACCATCTACCAATAAATCCATTCTCACAAGAAGAAGAACGGTTGAAATTCTCAATATAGCAATCAAGAAATTTTATTGATAGAACAATCTTGTCACATGTCGTTTGGGTATCCTTCCTTGACAAGCGATACTCACCTTCACCCATGTCGAAAAGAATTTCATTCCTATAAATGTATACAAACAGTTTATATTAAATTCACTAACCGAAGAAGAAAAGTACAAACTGATATATAAATGTATACAAACAGTATGAAATGAAACTTACACAGGAAATCTGTCACTCCAAGCATATTGAATAAGTTTTTCTTCATACAATAGTTGGCTACTAGTCCGAAGTGGAGCTACCTTCTCTACCTTCTTGGAGGTAGGTTTTTTCTTTTTTTGCCGAATAGGAATAGGTGCTTTCATGGAAGGAGGTTTACGCTTTTTATTACCAGTAGTATATGGTGTCCTCTTTAAATTGGATGGCTTGAGCTCCCTTTTCGAGCGTCTTTGATTAACGAAATCAACATTCGACCCAGAATCTAACAAAATAGAGACAACACAAACAAAACAGACAAACATTACAAACAGCAGCAGAAAAAGTAACTAAGTGTACAAACATTACAAACAGCAGCAGAAAAGGTAACTAAGTGTACAAACATTACAAACAGCAGTAGAAAAAGTAACTAAGTGTACAAAAAGATTAAAACTGCAGTAAACGAGACTAAAGGACAGCACCAACTACAAACATAACGATTACCTTCGACGCCATTCTTGTTCTCATCTTCACCATTTGACTCATCTTCAGCGTTATCAATAGAAATATCATCACAATCATCTTCAATCCCAACCTCATCGTTATCATCACTATTCGACTCGTCTTCTCACAACCAAAACAACAAAGACGAAACAATATAGCACATTACAAAAGACATAAAGACATAGAACTAGATAATTAATAAACCATAAGATCTAGTTTGCAATCCACAAGTAGTGTGCACACGCAACATGTGTACAAATAGTACGACAAAGAGTACAAACCATACAAACCAATCATAAAGTGCATATTTAAAAGATGTACTACAAATTTAAATAACCACCATCATTAACTAATCAAGCTTGTCACCCCGCTCACCATCAGCACCTGCCTCCACAGATTGTGCAATCTGTAAAACAACTTCCATACTATCCTTAAGTGGCAGCTCCTCGGAAACTGCTGGCTGCTTTTGAAGTGTTGAATCAAAGGGCTGCGAAACTGCTGGATCACGAGTAACTCCATCCTTCTCCACTGCTGGCTGCTGCATCACAAGTGCTGACGTCTTCTGGAACTCAGCTGGCTGCTGCTGCACAACTACTGGAGTCTTCTGGAGCTCAACTGGCTGCTGAGGAAGTGCTGGAGCACTAGCACTTCCACTCTTCTCCACTGCTGGCTGCTGCTGCACAACTGCTGGAGTCTTCTGGAGCTCAACAGACTGCTGAGGAAGTGCTGGAGCACTAGGACTTCCACTCTTCTCCACTGCTGGCTGCTGCGGCACAACTGCTGGAGTCTTCTGGAGCTCAACTGGCTGCTGAGGAAGTGCTGGAGCACGAGCACTTCCAATCTTCTCCACTGCTGGCTTCTTCAGATTTAATAGAGCTACATCATCATCAGTTTCCTCCTCACTCCTATCTCCATCATCATCATCGTCACCACTCCGATCACCATCATCGCTCCCTTCACCATCACTACCACTCCCACTTCCATTCCCATTCCCACTCCCACTCCCACTCCCACTCTCACTCTGATACCCGCCTTCACTCTCACTCTCTACATTATCAGTTCTTGTAGCTTTCTCAACAACTTCAGCACCTTCAGAAACATTTGTTGTAACTTTCTCAACAAATTCAACACCTTCAGAATCAGTGTGCACCTCGATATCAGCTAGGTATAGGTGACACTGATTTATCTGTCTTCGGTACAACTTACCTTGCTGTTCCAACTCACATAATGCACTTTGTAACCTTCTCCTAATCAACTTAACCTACAACAAAACAAATAAAAGAAAACACAAACATAAGTTAGATAATGTACACAAATAATACAAACAGTACAAAGTAATAGACAAAAACATACAAAGTGTACAAACAGTGCAAAAAAGATACAAAGTATACAAACAGTACAAAGGATGAGACAAAAACATACAAAGTGTACAAACAGTGCAAAAAGATACAAAGTATACATACAGTACAAAGTAATAGACAAAAACATACAAAGTGTACAAACAGTGCAAAAAAGATACAAAGTATACATACAGTACAAAGGATGAGACAAAAACATACAAAGTGTACAAACAGTGCAAACAATACAAACTATACAGACAGTACAGAGGATGAGACAAAAACATACAAAGTGTACAAACAATGCAAACAGTACAAAGTATACAGACAGTATAAACACTACAGAAACATATCATAAAGCATATAAAGCATATGAACAGACAGTATAAACTATACAAACTTACCTCTTGAACAGTTTTGCCATCCAAATTCAAATCGAAATCTGGAAATTCATCTCCAATATCAGAACCCTTCTCACCTCGAGCAACCTCAAAACCACTAATACTCTGAGCCATCTTCGGACGAGTAGTAGAAGAAACGGGTGCATCCCTTAGAACAAACACCTTACCATATTCCTTCCCAAACTTCTTCTCCATTTCTGCCTTCCTTTGCTTCAAATTTCTCGAACTCCACAACTGACAGGTTGGCACCAGATTACTAACACAGCAGCTGGCCTCTTCCTCATTCACAGTTGTCCTATCGAGGAAACAAACAAGCAAGAAATGCATATCTCCCTCAACCCAACTGTGACCCTGACTTGATGTCACCTTCTCACAAATTAGACGATACACATAACCGCACCAATCATAGTCACAAAAATACTTAACCATTCCTTGAGAAAGAAAAGTCAAGTATTCTGTTGTCACCGTCCTAGATGTAACAGATTCGAAAAGGCGGCAAAAAATCATCAGCACGTACATATTCACCCACCTAGAATCAGACTTCTCCGCTCCCATACAAGCCCTCAAATTCTCAAAACCAACAGTACCCTTCCCAGTTTTACTGAAACCATAATCTTTACCAAGGTTAGAATTCACCTTTGATGTTTTCTGCAAACACACAGCATTTGGTCCCCTTGGAAGACCATAAATTCTGTAAACATCCTCTTTCGTAATACAAATCTTCTTTCCATCATCCAAGTGGATACAGTTATTCTCCCCATCCCACCTTGAAATAATGAACTTAATAAGTTCATTATCCAGATTCTTCATCTTCAGCGAAAAGACAAAATCCAAGCCCATCTGCTTAATTAATTGCACCCTGCCAAGAGATAAAGGAGGCAGCACATGACTCATAACCTCTTTCGGGCTGCATCGATAATTCAAGGCAGCTTCATTCCCTCCCCCCGGAGCTCGCTTCTGCCTTTTTGCACGAACTGCTGCCTTCTGCTTCTCTCCAGCAGCAACCTTTCTTTTCCTTCTACCTGTATCAGAAAGCTGAACTGCCTTCCCCTTATTCTTAAGATTCTCCCCCTTCCGCTTGGTTTTAGTAACTTCAGCTTCAGCAACATGGGTACTTGACCCTCCCACCTCTGAACCTTCTACCATCCTTACTTAACAGCTACAAAAGCAACAACAGAACAAGTCAACCAACAAATACAACAAACCATACGAAACAGAGTAATAAACTGTACAAACCGCACAAAGTGTACAAACTATATGAACATGAGAAACAAAGTGTACAAACTGTATGAACATGAGAAACAAAGTGCACAAACTGTACAAACTATATGAACATAAGAAACAAAGTGTACAAACTGTATGAACATGGGAAACAAAGTGCACAAACTGTACAAACTATATGAACATAAGAAACAAAGTGTACAAACTGTATGAACATGAGAAACAAAGTGCACAAACTGTATGAACCATGAAGAATACAAACAGAGGTATGAAAACACACAAACATTACTAAACAATCAATACAAGGAAACCCAGAAAGTATACAACCAACCCATTCCAACAATACAAACCAGAAATCAACCCACAATTAAAAATGTGATTCTGACCTAGCATCAAAATCGGTTACCAGAAATCAACCCACAATTAAAAATGTGATTCTGACCTAGCATCAAAATTGGTTAGGGTTTTAAAGAATTGTCGAAATAAGAAATGCGGGTTTGACTTACCCAAATAATCGCCGGCGTCGGCGCAGACGGAGAAGCGAGAAGAAAGCCTGCCGAGTTGAGCCCGACACACCGCCGACGCAAAAGGGGAAAAATGTCGATGGAAACCGTCGTCGGAGTCGCTGAAACAGAGAGTGGGTGACTCTCGATGGAAATCGCCGGACGAGGAAGACCGCCGACGCAAAGGAACACAGCTCGAAAAAGGAAACCGCCGGATGAAAGCCGCTGTCCCGCTGAAACAACCGCCGACGAAGCCGCTGAAACAGAGAGCGACGCGCCGCGCCGAACGAGGAAGACTCTCGATGGAAACCGCCGCGCCGGACGAGGAAGAACGCCGACGCCGGACGAGGAAGACTCTAGACGAAAATGGCGATTCTGAGAAAATGGGGGAAACGGAGAAGAAGAAGTCTCTCTCCCGTGAAAATGGTTGGTGATTCTCTCTCCTCTCCCACGAACAGGTTTTATTCTGACATAAAAAACGAATTTTTTTAAAATAAAACCTAAATGACCAAAACGCCCACGTCCCTACTGCTAGGCTATTCCACCGTCAGATCTAAAATATAATCAACGGTTGAGAGAGGCTTAGTCTGATGACTAAGGCCCTCCCCCTTATTCACCAGATCCTGGCCCATGTAGGTGCCTTCCTCCACAAGGCTCTTGAGGACACGTAGGTTGGACTTGACCATGTGGGCCGGATCGGCATTCGGGCTGTTGGCCAAGAACTCCTCGCACCTCGACGGGTTCTCCATTGAGGCGCAGATTTCTTTTCTCTCGGCGGTCACCGTGTTCTTGTCCTTGGGCTGCTTGTCGCCATTGTCGTTGGAGGATGGTGATGAGGACGAGGAGGATTATTTTTCAGCCATTTTGCGGGAGGTGTGGATGGGAAATGATCAAAATGGAACTGGTCGTCATCGTCAGAGTTGGATGGGGATGGAGCTGGGAATGGGGTGTCGGAAATTTGGGCCGCCATTGGGGTTGGGATGAGGGAAGAGGTGAGGATGGTGACAGCCATGATCGTGATTAGAGTTGGTGGTTGTGGCTTCTTCATTGTGACCTCCATGTTTTTTATTCCCTTTTACGTTTCTTGTTGTGGAGAATATGTTGCGGTTTCCATATGGGTTGAAACAGTTAGGTGTGTGTGTTGATCTTTGATTGCAACCTGCAATTGATGCATGGTGAACGGTTATTTGTGGTGAATGACTATGGAAAAGTGGTGGGTCTTGGTGTTGCAATTGATTTGATTAGGACTGACAAATCAAAGATAAGTTTCTTTTCTTCGTTTCTTAACGACTAAACCTTATTCAGCGCATGAGAAATATTCGACTAGACGACTAGTTGAGATTCCCAAAACAAAGCCAGAAAGAGAAGCACCACCGAAGCTCGGATCACCACGATCATCAGAGACATCGAGTGCAACGGAAATGATCAGGGCCACGAATACGAGTGTGCGATACCTAATAAAGGTTTGAAGAGCCAACAGTTCCCGGCTAAGGTTCATGTTCCTGGCTTGCAAGATGCAAGACTGAGCATTACAGCAGCTGCTAAACAGGCGAGCTAGCGAACCTCAAGGAGAGATGGCAGCTGATGCTATTGCTAATGGATACCGAATTCAGAAACCCGATTATCCCGCCAAAAACACCCCACAATTACATTCAAACGGCAGCAAATGTATGTGTGCAGGGGCTGACGACGCAGCGAAAACCATAAGGGTGCAATCAGCTTGAGCATGGCCTCTTTAGATGCCAAAGACATCCAACACCGAAAGCCAGATGTGGCTGTTGAACGAATTCAATAATAACGAAAGGCAAAATACACTTGTATAGCCATAACTTTCACACTTTTGACAAATATAGCCATTTCTATTCGAAAACCACAAATAACCCAAAAAACTGAGGGTAGTGTGACAAATCTAGCCAAATCCGTTAGAAACTTTAACACCGGTGGATTAGTCAGGATGCATGTGGTTCGCCATTGGAAGGGAGAGTGAAGGGGATGATAAAAGCTGTGGTTTTCGAAGTTAGGGATTCGGGTTTATTGCCGATTGGGGCGATGAACGGAAGGAGGAAGGGGTTATAGGAGGAAGATCGGAAAAGGTAGAAGGAATCCACCGGCGGGTTGTCGTGGGTTATCGGGGGGGGGGGGGGGGGGTTGTCAGTGGTTATTGGGGGTTGTCGTGGTCGGAAGAAGAAAGGTTAAGGGGGAAAGAAAAAAAAAACTGAAGGGATAAGGTTGAGTCGCGACTGGTGGTGGGCAGCTGATCAGTTTAATTTTTTTTTTTTTAAGTCTGATTGCCACGTCGGAAAGTGGGGTAACTCAGTTGCCAACTCAGCGCAAACCGTTAGTACAGTCACTCCGTCTGCTAACACCGTTACCAAAATGGACGGAACTGGTTATTTGTGGTTTTCGAATAGAAATGGCTATATTTGTCAAAAATGTGAAAGTTATGGCTATACAGGTGTATTTTGCCATAACGAAATGTAGCCTGTTACGGCTGTTGCACCACAAATGGCTAGCCAAGGTAGCAGCATGAGTTCCAATGTCTAGTGCACCAAGAAGGTAAACCAAATGAGCACACGAGGTTCAACATTTCGACTTCGACACGGAAGGAAAATATGGCAAAGAAATTAATGCTGATAATAAACAACCATGTATAATGCAATGCTTAGAGCGAAGAACATCAACTTGCAAAATACACAACAAAAAAGGCATCGTCCGAAGTCATCAAAACCAAAATGGGCATCAATCATGACCAACTCTATCGGCAACCTAACATGAATAGAGAGTTGCTCCAAAATTCTCAAACTTGGTTTATTACATCCAAGAAACCGAACTAAAAGTAATATATTTTGGAAAAACAAGGAAACAACATAAGAGGTAAGGTAAAAAAACAGCTCAGAAGATAGTTTTACTCACTCAGTTTCCATCATTTCCTATCTATACACCCTGCCTGAAGTCATTCTTACTCTGAAACTCCGCCTCTCACAGTTCAGGCTGGGCTGAAAACTCACTGGGAACCCGGTGCTAGTTTGCCATCTCGATTACCGTATTTGAGAGGATGAACATATCAAGCCAGAAGCATCTGCCCCAACAACAGCAAGACCGCAAACTGCACATATCTGCCCCTCTTGGGCAGGAACAAAACGGGCAGAACAGTATGGGCAAGAAACATCCTTTTGTCCTCTGTATATGGGAATATACGTAGCACCGCAGACCACAAACGGATTCCTGAAATCATAGCTCAGCTGAGTAGCATCTGTCATGTTCCTCTCAGAAGCTGCCAGCACTTGCCTCGCAGTCTTTGCATGATTCTCAACTGGTGGGTTAGTCTCCAAGAGCCGCCTGGCAAAGTTAGCAGCTGTAGCAAAGTTCTTAGCTTTGTAGCAAACCGTCATTGCATTCAGCAAGGCAAGTCTCAAGTGAGGGGTTTGAAGATTGCAATGTGTGAAGTAGGCAGCAAGCTCCTGTTGACGAACTGGGTCATCCTTCATTTCCCTCCTCTTGAGTTCCATCTGTAGCCCCTGAACATATTCCTTCACAATTATAATCAGCTCTTTGACTTCATCAACCTCCCTCCTACTCTCCACAACAATGAGAGGAATTGTGTGAAGAATGGTGAGGAAGAGCTTCAGAGCCTCAGTAAATTTCCCAGCTGTGGTGGCTTTATAACCAGCCTTCAACTTCTCTTCCAACTCAGCAAAATTAAATATCAGCGCTGGAGCGCCTCTCACATTGGGGCTTGCAGACTCGTTCCATCGTTCAACCGCCAGTGCTACCACTGCAGTTGCTGACATAGCACGTAAGTAAGACTGACTTCCAGTGTAAAGATCAAGGAACATAGATTTCAACGGAGCAAAATTTTTTATTCCAATTTGCCTATGGAGCAATCTCATAGCCGTATCGAAATTGCCTGCTGCCACATGCTCAGCAGCAAGTGACGACTTTTGAGTCCATATGTGACTGACAGGCATTCCGGGAGTTGGAGCCACAAAAACAGAAGATCGAGCAGTGACAGAGGCTTTTGGTGTATCAGCCTCTTGAGGCAGATCCAAATCTTCAAGATCCCAACCACCTTCCTCCTCATTATCTTCAGCTGCCTCGCCATCCTCCAATGCAGCTGTGCCATCACCATTTTGTATACCATCAGCATCAACCATTTCCAGCTCCTCACCCCAATCACCCTCAGCAGCTTCTTCTTCATCATCATCCATTCTGGCTGTATTTTCCAGACCCCCTTCAAATATACCTTTCATAACTCTCAGTAGAGGCCAATCACCAGAACAGGTGATGGGGGTTGGAGGCGTGAGAAGAGAAGGAACTTTACCCTCAGGCAAAGATGGAATGTTATCTCCTAATTCAGCTGCTAGGCGCTCAGCTAACTCCTCCAGGCCATGCACTTTAGCTGTGATGTACGCTAGGGGTGTTTGGCCAGCAGTCTCCAGGATCTTCACGCGCTCCTCAATGTCACCCAAGTAGAGAGCATTGTGAAACTGACCCATGACATCGTTCTTGACCTCAGCAATTTTCAGCATTTTTGAAAGTTTCTCTAGATTCCCCGTTATCAGATACAAGAAAGACAACCTCTCGAAATTCTTAGTTCTCTGATAGGCATATTCAACAATACCAGCATTTCCCTGGCGAAGGGCCTCAACTCCAAGCCTGTACCAATGGTCTTTCTCATCAATTTCCTTAGCTGAAGCAACAGCAATCTGTATGTTCCCACTCTCCAGAGCCAAATTGAATCGGGTCCTTTCATCCTTGACGAAATGCAAAGCAACTTCAGGGAATCCCTTCTGCTGCAGATAAGCAATCATGGCCTGACCACACAGCTGTGAGTTCCTAATCATGCTCATAACATGATCATATCTCTTCTTGAACAGAGAAAGTTTGAACATGTACTCAGTGGCATCAATGGCAATAGCCCTGTTCTTGCCATCTCTATCCAGACAAAAGATGGTATTTCCAGAGACCTTAGTAATGTATAGTGGGACTTCAAGGGTTTTGATTATACCACTGTCTCCATTCGGAAGGCAATATTTGAAGTGGTTTAGAGTAGAGTATATGAAAACACCGTTGTCATCCCAGGCTCCACTCTTTACACGAATTGTTTCATGAAGGGTGCATTGATGCACAAGCTTTTTGTTTGCGATGACTATTGCATGCTTGCTCAATAAGGCAACAGTTTCCATGTCATTAGACCAAACAACATACTTCACAAAAGGTGTAGGAAGCTCTCCAATCACAAGCCTCTGCTGAAGATCAAATATGACCACTCTATCCTCAGCTCTGCAAAGCACGTTACCAGTCCCAGCATAAAAAATTGCATCTGTTGCAATTGGAAGACCGCTCTTTTTAACCACCTCATTCTTTAGGTTCTTGACTAACACTTGATTGGTGCTTTTGTCGAGCACGGCAAATCTATTACGGGCAATGAAGACAGCTGAACCCCCTGCCCCTCTCTTTGCTTCCTGTACAGTATCGCCCCTTGAAAAGCTATCCTTTGGAGTGATATACAACTCATAGGACCCCCCATCTACATCTGAACACAACAGAACTGCATTTTCTGTAGGACTGTAAGAAAGAGTTCTTGGACTCTGATTCAAGCTTGTGGTACCAGGTCGCCTGATGGGAATGACCTGGTTTTCCTTCTGACTGGAATACTCGAAAAACCGCAGAAACCGATCCTTTGCATAAAACAGAGAGTCACCGCTCACAGCAAAAGCAGGCCTTTCTCTTTCCAACTTGAACACAATCATGCCACTGTCATGACCAGCAGCAAGAAGATTCATCTCCGGGTGAGCTGCAAGGATCCAGAACCGGTCATGCTCACGACGGAAAGTTTGAAGCCCAGTTCTCTTCGTTACATCCCAAACTCGAATACTTTTGTCCTCTGAATTAGAGACGATGATATCTTGCTTGGCATGGAACATAACACTTGAAACATTGTTCATGTGTCCCCTCAGAGTGTCGACTTCCCATGCCTTTGTATCTGAAAGAGGAAAAATATGTCACTTCCAGAGCAGTTTGAGTCATTAATAAGCGAAAGCAGTTAACCTATATAAGAAACTTGCATCACAAATCATTCTCAAATTTTGTGGAAAGTGTATCCAAATGAATAATAAAAAAGCAACAAAAAAAGGCATGTAAAATAACCTCCAAAAAGATATCTAATATCATGGCCCTATTGAAGAACTGTTTACGTACAAACTATAAGTAGCCATCAACAACACAGCTTACCATTCATACGCCACAACTTCACTTGACGATCATCTGCTCCAGAGACAATCAAGGGCAGTGTCGGATGGAACGAAGCCCAGTTTACTCCACGGTCATGACCTTCCAGGACGTACTTAACAACTGCATCAATACCACCGAAAAGATCTCCATTCAACTGACCTAAACGCATGATATCATCAGCAGGAGACACAGTCTTCTTTCTCAATGCAGCAGTGTCCCAAACACGGACAGTCTGGTCCAGAGAAGCTGACACAACAAGATCTTCTTTAGGATGGAATGAGGCACACATAACATAATGATTATGGCCTGTCAGCACAGAGATGCAAGTACGAGACTGCCAGTTCCATATGCGGATAGTCTGATCGTCGCTTGCACTCACAATCCATGGATTTTCATGATGAAACTGCACCGTACGGATGTAATCCAGGTGACCCAACAGAGTAAAGAGACACCTATGCAGCTTGTAATTCCAAACCTTAATCTTGTAATCATCACCTGAAGAGGAATCATTTGAAAAGCCAGCAATCAATCAATAAGAAAGCATAGATACAATGTGACTAGAGTAAACTTAACCACCAACTATCTTTTATTACTGCCAAAACCAGCACCATGGCCACAAGTTGATGGTCCAATTTACAGATTTACTCGTTCTTAGTAACACACAAACACAGTGTGTATAAGAGGGACGGAAAGAAATATTAGATGGTTATATCTAGGCATGTGTAGAAGAAACATAGATCCACGTTCACATTGACTGCATTTCCAGTAAAGACTGTAACTTCAGACAATAAGAGGAAAAGAGGGTACCTCCTGAGACAAACAGAGGTTGAGATCTGTGGAAATCAACCCCTCGAACCGGGCCATCATGCTCATCAAACCGGTCAATCAGAGTGCCCATTCGATAGTCCCATAGCTGAATCACCCCGCTGTGAAGACTGGCCAATATCCATGGCCTCTTGCAATGGAAACTCAATCCCTTTACTCTGTTACTCTTCGTCTCGAATTTCGTCAGCATCTTTCCCTGACCAATGAAACAGAGAAGAAAACAAACAATCCAAGCTCCAGTCAGATCGAAATCACGCATTCAATTATACCTCTAGCCAATCTAAGAAACGCATCAATCGATTCACCCACCCCCCAATTCTCAGATTCAGATACCGAGAAAACACACGAATTGCACACGTTCCCAATCCAGCGTCGAGAATTCGCTCCAATTAAACATGAACTCACATGAATGGGAAACAGTACAACCGAATCCAACTAACTTGGATCCACAAGAATCCATGGCATTAACACCGTAATTAACCGATTTACAGAAGAAAGGACGAGGAATTTACCTTAGATCTGAGCAGTACAAGAAGAGATCGCGAGAAGGACAAGAATCACAGCCACAACCAAAAAAAAGTGTGCGCCGGCGAACAAGAGCTCCAGAGCCTGTATACTAGATGGTGAGAATGTGATTACGTTGACTGTTTTAGAGGGAGGAAAGCCGTGAGATCAACGGAGTGAAAGAGAGAAGAAGGGAGAAAACATGAAGACGAAGGGAAAAAAGAGCAGAGAGACGCAAATTTGTATTCCAGTCCAGTGGCTCTATCTCTCTCTGCTCTCTAGATCTGGGCCGAGAAGAGAGCGACGAGGTTATTGTGGATTCAATTACAGAATTGGTCATTCAACTTCGGGGCTCTGAATCAAATTATCACTATACTTTTGTGTTTAACGACTATGTCATTAAACTTAATGTTAACTAACCAAAAAGGACTTCTAATTTATGTCCATGGCTCTTAAGTTTTCCATAAAAAAAATGGTCATATGAAGCTTTCTGACGAATCACTCCCAAATATATTTGCTTCGGAACAAAACAATTAGAATTAGATTTGATCAACTGGAATGTGTATACATCAACAACAAAAATGACGATGTCAGAGAATAAATACGACAAAAAAGAGGAGTTTTTAAGAAAAGGAAGGAATAAGAATGGTGTGAGTTTTAAGCTTATTTGTAGTTTGGTCTGGATTGAAGTTTTATTATTATTATTATTTTGTGTGGAAAGGTCTGGATTGAAGTTATTTGCATCATAATGAGAACTTTGTATATTACTTACAATGTTAATTTCGATGAGTTGATAGGTTAATCCAAATACTTTGGACACTTACCCTCTATTTTTTACACTTTGTTTTCGAAAGATGGAAGGAAAATTTGGAAGGGAGGGAAAGTTTGGAAAGGAAGAAAAATGTTGTTATATGGAGGAAAGTGGTAAGGAAAAAGTATATTGGAAAGTATGTAAATTAATTTAATGTTGTGAGATGTTATTTCCATTACTTATGAATAGTTGATCAAATTTATTTTTTCTTGATAATTGGTTCACTGTGACAAAAAAATCTCGTTCATTTTAACTCGATTTAAATTTTTTATTCACTATTAATCCAAATTACAAGGATTTTACGCTTTAAAACTTAGAAATTTATGATTTACGTTTCTAGGTCACCAAAATGCGTCTACGTATAATCGCACTTTTCAGTTATAATGTAGTCAAAATCACGCTTAAAACTTAAAAGCTTATGATTTTGCACTTCTATGTCCCTGAAATACTTTTATGTACAATTGCGCTTTTGACTGCATTGCACGGATCTATGTTGCTATTCATGTCAAATTATATAACTACTTTTACGTCTCAGATAATAGTTTTATGTATAACATGGTGTAAAAAAGTGTTGCATAATGTTGCATCCACCGTCTGAAGTATATGAAGTTTATAATATACATCATAAATACACATTGTATACGTCTTTCTAATTCATCTATCTATATTAATATCCAAAATATTTTCTCACAACCAATTATCACAAATGAAAAGAAGTGACAAAGAAAAAGGACAAAAGTGACAGAAAAATAAAACAAGCAACATGCTTTCTTCCTACTTTCTCTCCAAATTGGAGGACACACTTCTGCAGTGTGTTTTCCATCCCAATTCTGTCCCCCTCATTCCATCCCCTCCTAAAAAAACAACGGAAAGTTCATTGGGAACTGCATTTTCCATAGCAACTTTCCCTCCCCGCTATTTTCCTCCCTTCTTGAACAAAGGGTAAGGGGGGAAAGAGAGAGGGAAGGAAACTCAGGAAAAAAAAAAGTGGTGGAGTCTAATATTTTCCCCTGTTTTTTTAAGAGTTCAACAGTGGCTAAGGGGGAATTGGGAAGGAAAGTTTATTGTATAACCCTCACTCCCAAATCGGAGAGAAAAGGCTCGCGTTGGTGGGATGTTTTTCTTTTTTTAATTAAAAGTTAGTAATAACAATTGGGCTTCTTCTACTTATTTATTTTGTTAGAAATAAAAGCTAGCAGAGATCTTGGCGTAAGGCTATTAGTTAGCAAGTTTACTTTTATTTTATTTCCTTTCTAACGTGATGCTTGTTTATTTAGGATAGATAATTAATTGGTATATAATCATGAGCATTGAGGTTGATATTTTTTACATGAATGGCCACGTAATTGAGCACTAGAGGGGTGACATAGTAAGCTCTCTAAAAAAAGAATGGGGAGCGCTCTCCCCTCTCTCCTTCGCCTTGTGCGATGGATCTGACAGCTTTTGGTCACCATGGTGATCTCAATCTTCTTGTGTTGCCTGCGCAATCAACGACAGCCACAACACCGAAAGACAAGCAGACCCGGTTTTAATCCCTATCTTGGCAAAGATGTGGAATCAGCAGGGGATAGCGAGTCGCGACCCTCTCCCAAGTGCAGACATCGCGAGATGGTATATTCCTATGGGCGGCTTTCATAGACAATCGGAGAACAATTCAAAGAATCGGTAAACGTAAGCTTGGGCTTGTCCTGGCTGAATGTAATGTGGAGAATGAAAAAATGTGAAGCGTCGATGATTCGCAAAAGTGATCGTCTGGTCTTTTAAGATCCCTACAATGGAAGATTTTGAATTGGAGGAGCTGGTATTCAAAAAAACCAATATGGTTGTCAATGATGTAACGACAATCGGGAATGCCTCTCTTCCTTCGTTGTCTGAGGGTTGCTCAGATACTCCTTCTGAAGGCGAGTTTAACCGGCGGCCGGAGTGTGATACGCTCGTCGATGACCGAATTTCCACCATCGATGGTTGTTGGATCAGAAATCCTTCCAACCGACGGAAGGTTGTTAGGGGAATATCTCCGCTTGATATGGTCTCCGAGACTAATGGGATTTTTAAAATTAATTATCAATTCCCGTTATCTTGGCAATAGAGTTCTATTCCAAGGCGAACTCTGACACCCCCTAAACCGCGTGGGAATGGGAAACCCTAGATGTGAGACAACCCGTCTCTTATTTAAGACACTCGAAACTGGCTCTGTAACTCTGCGCATAGCTTCTCTTCGAGTTATGCAGAAGACACGAGCAGTTCCCGACGTTGTCGTTCCCAGGCTCCCATCCCACGTAGGTACTGATACGGTTTCTTTTCTCCTCCCTCGATCCTTTAAGCTGCTTGCTGGCCCTCTGCTACGATCCAAACCTGGGGGATCGAGTGAGAATAGGGCAGATAACTCGGCTGTCGCCCCTAGCCATGGCAACGTAGCTTGCATGGGATGGGTGTGGAAGCAGACGATTGGGAGCTTTGAGACATTAATTAATAAATTGAATCCTCTTTAGCATATTCAAAATATGGCGCACGTGACCTCGGACGAGGTGGTTCAATTTTCAATGGAAGAAGTCCAATCGACGAAGTATCGTGTTTCTCACTCATTGCTTGGTCGGGTCTTCACTACTAATAGGATCTCTACTACGGAGTTGAGGGAAGCGGTGCTCACGTCTTGGCTCAAACAAGGGTGTCTCAAGGTTGTCTTGGCAAAGCATGGATTGGTCGAGCTCATGCTCCCTAGCGAAGAGGCTAGGATCTGGGTGCTTAAACGCACCCCATGGGTTATTAATGATCAAATCCTCCATCTTCGTCCATGGACACCAGAGATCACCAAACAAATTTTTTGATGACCTTGCAATTGCCCCATTCCAGGTCCAATTGTGGGATGTTAAAGAAGACTGTTGCACACCGCAGTTTGGGAGATAAATGGTGAATACTACTATCGGCAAAGTGCTGGAATCGGGTGTTTTTGCCTGTCATGATACTAGGTGTTGGTTCGTGAAGACAGTTGATCCTGCGCCTGTTGGGATACAACGTCGCTAGAGCCCGCGCGGTTTCAAGCTGGCAAGTTCGCCTAAGGTCCTGCTAGGCCGAGAGGCTCGACCATCCCATGCACAGAACGAGCAACCCGACAGGGGTAACACTCCCATGCGACACACTGATCGACGGACGTGGGATGATGGGAATATGCAGGGACGCTATGCCAGCATCATAATCAGGACATTGGTGTGTCTGACTCCCCTGAACTTATCTTTGATGCGACTGCCGAGCAGCTGCTTGCGAAGCATAAGGCCAAGAACATCGCATCTGCTGAAGTCCGTTATCGAAAGTTGATCTTGGATGAATCAGACGATGATGACACCCCGCCAATCCTCACAAGTGGGGGACCTGATGCAAATCAAGAGGGGAAGGAGAGGGGCCGAAAACTAGTGAAATTGGGAGAGATGAAGTCGGCAGTTGAAAAATCCAAGTAACGAGTTGTTCCCCGCCTAGCTCGTAAGAAAACGGCTGCTGCTCCGCACCGGCCCGAGAAGGTGGGATCAGACCGGGTTTCTGCGGATCCGAATCGTTCTGGGGGGAAAAGGGTAACTGCAAGGGGAAATGTGATGAGCCTGATCAGGGGGTGGAGAATACCGTGGTGGCTTGCCTAGTGGCCGAGAAGGGCAAATCGATAGTGTATGCGCAGGCCTCGAATGCACGTGTGGTTTCTTATGGATCTCAGTCAGATGAGGATGAGCTCCACTTTGAAATTAAGAGGAGGAGTCCGCCTATTGCTCAGGAACGACACGTTCAACCAGGTCAGGTGAAGCAGGTGGTGGCTGCTTTTGAGGCAAACTTGGTCATTAATGAAGAGAAGGATCATTTGGAAGCTGCGGAAGGGAAAATGATTATGAATCTTAACGAGTATGGTGCTAACCTTGAGCATGGGACCTGTAAGCGGTCGCTTCAAGAGTTATATGGGGGTTTTGCGGATAGTACCACCCCCAAGAAGCAGTTTGTGGAGGAACATGCGGAAACTGAATTAGTGGAGGAAGCCAGCAAGAGTGGCCCTAATCCGATAAATGAGGCTTATGGCCTGGAATGTGAGAGGAATTGGGCCATCACTCACATCCCAAACAGCTTTTAGTTTAGTTCGTTCGAATAAACCGGACCTTGTCTTCTTTTCAGAAACAAGATCGTCCCGGCGAGTAGTTTCCCGTCATTTGCGTGGGTTAGGGTTGTAGTTTGCTCAATTTTTTTTTGTTGATGTTGTTAATGGTTCTTGTGGTCTTGTAGTTTCCTGGTCCCCCGAAGTTGACGCTTCAGTGTTTTATCATTCTAGTTTTTGTATTGTTTCAAGGATTAATGAAAATGGTTCTTCGTATGTGGTGCTTTGTGTTTACTTGAGTTGTAATATCGCTCTGCGTGCGACTCAATTTACTCAACGTGATATTTGTGAGGGACTCCAATTCCCCTTTGTGATCATTGGTGATCTTAATGCCACCCTCAACGAGAGAGAAAAGGATGGTGGTAACCCGTGGAGTGCTTCCGAATCTATGGACCTCCGTAATCTGGTTCAAGATCTCAGGGTGCACGACCCAGGCTACCAGGGTGATCCTTTCACCTGGAAAAACAAATGTATGGGGTTGGCATGTATTCGCGAGAGGCTAGATAGGGCACTCTGTTCCCAAAGTTGGATGGATTGTTTCCCAGAAACTCTAGTGAAACATTTCACTGATCAAGGGTATGATCATCGGGCTTTACTTCTTTCTAATAAACCTTAGGTCCGAATGTTTCGCCCTCTGTTTCGGTTTGATGCCACATGGACAGAAAACCCTGAAGTCAAGGCTATGGTTTCGTACGTTTGGCAGGAGCCAATTCATGGTACTCCGATGTTCCAATTGTGGGAGCGACTAAAAAAGCTTCGCCATTTGCTCTATGACTGGAGCAGAGCGAGTACCACTAACTCCCTGCACAATATCCATACCTTGCAAAATGAAATTGACCCGATAAAATCTGTCCATTCGATTAATTGGCAGGAGGTGACTAGCCTGGAAACCGAATTAAATAGACAATGGGAGGCAGAGGAACTTTATTGGCAGCAAAAATCGTGTGTCTGGTGGTTGAAAAGAGGTAATAAGAATATGTCCTACTTCCACACGGTCACGCAAACTCGACGCAAAGTAAATTTATCTCGGGCCTGTTTAATGACGATGGTGATTGGATCACAGAGGAACAGGGAAGGCTGAAATTGCGACCAATTTCTACCAAACTCTCTTCTCCTCGGAATCTCAGGTATACAATATGGTTGCGAGAGTGGCTGACCTCCCCATTCCATCCAATGTTACCCCGGAAATGAATGCTAACCTAACTGCAGAGGTCCTCCCTGATGAGATTCGTAAAACGATCTTTGCGATGGGTTCAAAGCAGGCGCCAGGCTCGGATGGTTTCACGGGTAAATTCTTTAAAGCCTACTGGGGGATTTTTGGGGACTCAGTTGCAGCGGTTAGCTCATTCTTTGCTACAAGCAAGATGCTCCGAAGTTTCAATCACACATGGTTGACTCTAATCCCAAAAGTCGATCAGGTGGAATCAATGAGTCAACTTCGCCCCATTAGTCTATGCTAGTTTGTGTACAAAGTGATCACTAAAATTATGGCGGAGAGGCTTGCAGGGCTATTGCCTCTCATTATCTCAGAAGGGCAGAATGCCTTTATCTGGGAAAGACAGACTATGGATAATATCCTCATTGCGCATGAGTTAATGCACTATTTGAAAATCAAAACCCATGGAAAAAGGGATACATGGATCTAAAGGTTGACATGAAAAAGGCCTATGATAGAGTTGAATGGTCCTTTCTTCTTGCGATTTTGGAAAAGATGGGTTTTAACTCTGTCTGGCGAGGTTGGATACATGAATGCCTACAATGGACAACTTTCTCGGTTCTCCGTCTGGTTTCTTTGTGCCTTCCAGGGGTCTCCGACAGGGGGATCCTCTCTCTCCTCTACTCTTTGTTCTTTGCACGGAGGGGTTTGCTGCCTTAATTCATAAAGCCATCTCCGAGAAAAGGCTGAAGGGGTCAAGGTAGCTCCTCGGGCTCCCCGAATATCTTATTTGTTCTTTGCTGATGATTCTTATTTGTTCTTTCGTGGTTCTCTCCAGGAGTGTGAGAACCTGATAGGATTTCTTAATGAGTATGAGGAGCTTAGTGTCCATAGAGTGAATTTGGATAAATCTGCGGTTTGTTTCAGTAAAAACATTTATTTTCCAGATCAAGAGTTCTTGGCTGCAGTCCTTGGGGTGGGTGCGGTAGGGGTCCGGGATAAAATATTTTGGCCTCCCTACTTTGATAGCTCGTTCCAAGATGGCAACATTCCGCTATTTGGAGGAGAAGCTTTTAGAATGCTTACAAGGATGGAAACGAAGGACTTTGTCTTGGGTAGCTAAAGAAACTCTGATTAAATCTATTGGTTTAGCTCTGCCTCTCCATGTGATGTCCTGTTTTCGGCTTCCTCTGTCTCTTTGTCGCCTCCTGGACAATCATGTTGCTAGATTTTGGTGGGGGGGGGGGGGGGGTAGAGGACGGACACTCCAAGATTCGTTGGGCCTCCTGGCAAAATCTGTGCAGAAGTAAACATGAGGGGTGATGGGTTTTCGTCAGTTCGAACAGTTTAATTAAGCTTTATTGGCAAAAATAGGCTGGCGAATCCTAAATGAACCCCAGTCCCTCCTAGCCCAGATCTATAAAGGGAAGTACTTTCCGCAGGGATCTTTCCTCTCGGCTACGACTCGGTCCCGTCCGTCTTGGGGATGGCAGAGCATACTTTTTGGGCGCCAGTTGTTAACTAAGGGGTTACGATGGCAGACGACCCCTTTGCTTAATTCAAACTGGATCCCGCAACAACATTCTTTCCCCCTTGTGTATAACCCGCGGGTCCTGTCTAAGGGAGGGGATGTGACGGTCTCTGCAGTTCTCTGCCCAGGAGAATGGCGCTGGTGTGAAAATAAGCTTAGTCAGTGGTTTGAACCCCCAACATGCCAGGCAATTAAGGCTATGCCCCTCCCATGGCAAAATATTGAGGATCGTCTGGTCTGGCATGCCACCGCGGATGGTGTTTTTACTGTGAAGTCGGCTTACCACTTTGCGGTTTGCCTTGATCAACAGAATGGACGATGGCGGGCGCAGGCTAGCTGGATGGATAAGCCTAGTTGGATCTGGTTGTGGGAGGCTAACATTCCTCCGAAGTTGAAGGTGTTTGCTTGGCAAATCTTGAATAGAATTCTGCTGACGACTAAGGTGCTTATTGAGCGGAAAGTTGTGGTCCTACCCCATTGTCCTGTTTGTTGGGCTACATTGGAGACAATGGAACATTTGTTCCTTGACTGTCATGTGGCCAGGGCGCTGTGGACTCAGTCTGGTTTAGATTATCTTGGTGAAGGATTGCCTCGACATACATTCCCTCTCTTCCTGAAGAAGTTACTGTCTATCATACACCAACCCTCGCAATTTATGGCAGTGATTGTTGTCCTCTGGAGGATATGGAGATCTCGGAATTAGGTGGTCTTTGAAGGGAAACAGTTCGGGATTCCTGCTTTAGTGAGGCAGTACAATCAGCAGCTAGGGGAATGGCTTTGCTTGCCTAGTGATCCTCAACCCCTCCCTCTGGCTACTCATATGACTCCTACGGTGGACTTGGGTGGGTCAGGGGGGCCTGTGTGTCGGTGGGATGGGGCAGTTCGAAGGAGGTCTCACTCTGCGGGAGGGATGGTTATCCTCAATGAGGCGGGGGTGATCCTCTGGGCTACGGGGGTTCAGTTCCCTCTGATTGATGATCCAATGGTGGTAGAGCTACTTGCCCTTCGTGAGGCAGCCCGTTGGTGTTTGGTGCATGGATTTTTGGCAATGCGGTTTGAAGGTGACGCCAAGGTGGTCATCGATAAAATCCGTCGGGACGATGTGCGGGATAGTCGAGTAGGGGCTATTTTGGAGGAGATTGTGCAGATTTTGGCTTGAATCCGGGCTTCAGTGTGCGATTTGTAGGTCGGGGTGACAATAGGTTAGCTCATTTGGTAGCTAGTCGGGCCCTGTCTTTGTTCCCGTCTATGTGTCGTTATTTTGATTTTCAGACCTGGCTGCATTCCAGGATGTAACTATCGATTTGTTCCAATCGATACATGATTATTGTAAAAAAAAGTAATTGAGCACTGGAGTGATTTTATTTACATCATGTATAACATTGTTTTACGTGATAAATAAAATTGTTACGTAAGATGTAAAATTGTTACGAAAGAATAATTTGATTCGCTATTTAAAAGTAACGAAAATCATATCAATACATAATTAAACTATTTTACTATTATAATTATAATCAATAAAATAATATATCTATCACATTTCCCAATATACTTTTTCCCTCCTACTTTTTCATTTACTTTCCTCCATAAAACAACATTTTACTTTCTCCTCAATTCCCCCCTCTCATTTCCCTCACCTCCAATTTTTCCTTCCCCTCCATTTTCCTCCTTCCTTTGAGAACAGAGTGAAACACTCTTTAGGATAAGGGCAATTATTGTATGCAAAGTTTAAACCTAAAAATGTTTCTTTGTCAGTTAAGTTAAGGTTTGATATTCCTTAACAATTATAAATCTCTCTTATATATTATCGATGATTCGATATGAAGTTTGCCAAATTCAACATACATACTCTTTGGAATTCGACGTACTTGTTGAGATTTGTATTGCGCGGTTTTTTTTAATATATTTTCCTAATGTGTTACCGCTAGAGATATGTCTTTTTTTCAAGAAAAGTGATAGCTAAATTGTGATATTGGTTTTATCTATTTTATTTTCTTTATCATATTTAAGTAAAATAAAAGGTTTACCTAGTTAGGTAAGCCGGTCATTTTGTGTGCAGGTCGGGCGGGCTTTCTTTTTCTTTCAGTGATGTGAGGGATTTTTCCAGAAATATCACCTTTTAAAAAAAATTAAAAAAATAGCACCTATCTGAAAAAATTTACACTAATAGCACCCTTTTTAATGGACCACACCTTAGAGGTGCGTTTTATCTTTAAACTGCACCCTAAGGGTGCGTTTTATACATAAACCGCACCTTTAAGGTGCGTTCCCTATTTCTGGACCAAAACCGCATTTTGGCCAAAAGGTTTTAGGTCTAACCTACAGAAACTACTTGGCCGAGGTGCGGTTTTTGCCTGACCTATTAAAACCGTATCATGAAGATGCGGTTTGTTTCTCCCAAACAAAACCGCACCCTCATGGTGCGATTTTGCCATACAAACCGCAGCTTAGAGGTGCGGTTTTGGTCAATCAATTTCCGACATACCATGCAGACGTAACAGACGTGGGTCTGCATGGGCCTGCATGGCATACGAAAACCGCACCTCTAAGGTGCGATTTTCATCAGTAATTTTGCCTATAAAAGGCCTCCCGGACAACCACTTCTCTTCACACCTCTCCTTCTCCCTTTTCAATTTTCTATTGTAGCTCTATATTTCTTTAGTAGTTTTGCGATTAACGTTAACTCGTAAATTTATTTAGTATTACTTTTTATTGTTATTTTTTTTATTGCTATTATATTAACTGAACTACGGTTTTATCGCAGATGACATTCCAAAAGTTCACGCTTGGCTTACGGTGGAATGGTTACACGGAAGAGACCGGAAAGGGGGTCCCCTACGTAGGTGGCAATTTTCAGAAGATAAAGGTCGCTACCAGACCGCTGCTTGAAGACCTCCATCAAATGTGCACTAACGTTACTTGCATGGATGGCACGAGAAGAGTTGATCGTATGGTGTACCGATATCCAAACAGAGAAAGTGGGTCATTGTGGCATGAGGAATATCTGATAACCACTCAGGATGAGGTAGATGCCATGCTCGAATTCATGAGGTCCAACAATCTTTCCAAAGCCGAGATGTTCGTTTACACCGAGCCGGTCGTAGACATTGGAGGTCATTCTGGACACGGTCAAACATCTGGTATCCATGGTGGAGGTCAATTATATGGCGATCATCCCTACCAAAGTTACCATGATCCTCATTCATATTTTGAGTACCAAGAGCAAGGTGAAGGTCATCATCAATCTTTCACGTCATATGAAGAAGAAGTTCAACCGGACCTCCCCAACCAACCTCAGTACAACTTCCACTCAGGCAGCGGTAGTTTTCACAACTACCATTATGGAGCTGATGAAGGTGCCTTTCATGAGCTGGATCAGATGGAGGATGCCCTGCCAGCACCAGTCAGTGACCCCTCCGATGAAGAAGGAGAGAACAATGTCAGTGCAGACAGCTCCGACCCTCTTGAAGGTGTTGATGATTCAGGACCAGAGTCAGACTCAGCTAATGATGATGAGGTGGCTCGTGACTGTGTACCAGTCCCCTACTACAATCACATTCCAGACGACAATTGGATGGTCAACAGCGACATGGAGCCGCCAGAGGTCCCAATATGGGGTCCACTCACTGGGTTTATGAAGGGCCAACAATTTGGCTCGAAGAAGGAGGTGCGGCACGCCATTGAGAGAGAAGCAATGACTCGGCATTTTGAATGGCACACAACTCATAGGGAAAATTTACACGTTAATTATTATATATTAGTAAGGGTTTATTCCTTATAACTAAATTAATTAAATTAAATTATTTTACTTCAAGCAGAATTTTATTATCATAAAAAGACATTTCATATAATTAACATAATAGCATTCTAAATTAATAATAATTTAAAGAGATACATACATATTATCATAAAACAAACATCCTAAATTAATTAACATAATAACATTCTAAATGAATAATAATTTAAAGAGATATATACATATTATCGTAAAACAAACATACTAAATTAACTAAAATAAATGACATTGTTAATGAATAATAATTTAAAGAGAAACATACATATTCAAATGTTTGAAATTAATAAAATTCATTTTGTACACATCAAAATAAATCGTATTGGTTGTTTGGTAAATAATTTAATCGTGTTGGTTGTTTTAAATAATTTAATCGAATACAAAGCAACACTCGTTAGACTCTTAAAAGAGGTATACATCTTCTTAGAAACGCAGTCTTTTTGACAGAAAAGGGGGGATCCGAGGATCTCTTAATACCCGATTTTCCCAGGGAATGGGAGGATATGATAATCACTTAAAACACCATTTTCTTAGACGTGCATCTCTTTATAAAGAGTCGAAGTAAGTAGCGCTATGTATTTGATTAAATTATTGAAAGCAACCAACACGATTAAAAATTCAACATAAATTTATTTTATATTCCACTAAATACATTAACAAAATAAAAGAAGGACAAATGGTAAAGAATTGTATGTACCGGGTGAGCGTTCCAAACATCCCTTGACCGATGGTTGGGTTGGTCGTACAAGTCGGTTGGATCCAAAGGTCCTTGCTCGAGATAATACCGTTGGTTGTATATATCCACGTCCTCCCCAACCTACGAGAAAATAACAACGAGGTTAGTACATAGATTAATTAAAAAGCTTATAACAACAACAAAAATTAAACCAGAATAATGAGTACGTACCTCTTGAAATTCATCAACATAAACTCCCTCTCCTTGCCACCAATCGGCCATTTTTCGGCGCAATTCGCACAGAGCTTCGGCTCGGCGGGTTTTGAGGAAAAAACCTAAGAAATGTTTTCTGATGGCAGATCGGACTTAGCCGCAACCAACACACCACTATTTCCTAGGCTTTTGGAGGGGGAGGGTTTAGAGAGATAAATTGTAGAGAGAGAAGGAAGAATGGGTTGTGGTGTGAAGAAATGAGAGGGGAAGGGGGGGTATTTATACCCATCAGACCGCACCCTCCAGGGGCGGTAGGGTAATTTTGCCCAACGCAAAACCACTCCCTCCCAATGCGTTTTGCGCTTCCCTAGGGTTGACCGCATCTCGGGCGTGCGATCCATGATCCGTGGCGCGGATCGCTCCGCTAGCAAGCGTTCAGCCGCCCGATCGCCCCTCCATCCAACGGTCTTGAAGACCGTTCCGCAGCAGCATTAAATTGCACCGCCCTAGTGCATTTTGTAAGCTGGAACGCACCCCTATGGTCCGTTACAAAAAAATTGGTGCTATTTCTGTCAATTTTTTCATATGGGTGCTAGTTTTATAATTTTTTTATAGGTGCTATTATTGTCAAAATCCCGAGATGTGATTACCTCCCATTGATTGGCGAATTGATGCGCGTTGGACGTTAGGTTACTTAAGGAAGAAGACTATTAGATGAACCAAAACTACAAAATAGAGTAATTATTAATTAAACTAGTTACTCTTGTGGCGAAATAATTGATTATTGGATCTCATCCTGGGAAAAAAAATATTTGTGGATTTCATCACTATAAACCGAAAATTGTGCAAAAGGGATGGGTTCGTTCAGATGTACTTATGCTAGTGTTTCCAGGCGAGAAAACTCTTGTGCTTGATTTCAATCAATGCACCTGCTAGAAGGGGTTGGGGCTCCTAGCCTTGCCTCCATCACATTGCTTCTTACCACTACGACTCCTTGATAGCCCTGGAGACCTCATACTTAGCCTCCATGTTGCTCTCATCTTGGTACCACCCTCCATCTCGTCACCTTTTCATGATCATGTCTTGATGTGATGAGAACTTAGCCCATTTACCCACCAAGACTCCATACTTAGTCTTGGAAGGCTCGTCATTGCACCAACTTGTCATCATGGTATCACGCATGTCTTGCCAACTTGGTACCTTGTTGTCTCTCTAGCTTGATACCCACTGCTACCTAGCCAGCCCTACCGACCTGGTCTCCATACTTAGTTTTGGAATCTCAATAAGTTGGTACCTTGCACCTTGCTGGCTTGGTACCTCGTTAAGGGGCCATTAATCTTACCTTGGGACTAAGTCTCCATATGGCCCCCTAAGGGGCTCGACACCAAGTCCTTATCAAATTGACATCATTAGCTCAGCATCCTGGCCGACTAGCCCCCACCACCAAGATTTCATACTAAGTCTTGAGAATATAGGGATGGTCCATGATGACTTGGTACCTTGCCAGGTGGCCACCTCAACTCGCCACCTTGTCACCTCCTCATCAGGTTGGCACCCTGTCAGTTTGATGTTAATACTTTTTTTTTATGGTTAAGATGTTTATACTTAGTTTTCGAGAGATTTGGTAACTTGATACCATGTCTGTCTTGTATCATCTTGGTATCCAAACATAGCTTTTGTACGACTCTCTTAGTTTGTACCCCGGCTTGGTACCCTGTTCCCTGGCCACCAAGCCAGTCTAGCGGGCTTGGTATCCTCTTGGATCCATATTTAGCCAAATTTCATGTCTTGGTATCAAGCCCGCCTTGCTGACTTGGTACCCTCTTGGGTCCATACTTTTTTTTATAATGGCGATATAACTTTTATTGAATTTAAGAAACAGAGGAACAAAGAAATAAAAAAATACAAGTGATCCCAGGCAAGTAACCTCCTGCAGATTTCCCACTAAATCTCACAGGGGCCACCAGCATACAAAAGAGAACTAATCCCTTGCAATCAAACACTCATGTACAGCCCAGGCAACAAAGCCACAGATCAAAGAGGTTTGACGGCTCGTGACTGGGGGAAACCACAACCTCACTCCCTTTGAATCCATCAAGGTTAAACTGCACTGGAACACTACGCGGGTCCAAAAAGCACAATGTTGGGAAATAATATGCTCTTCATTGTGATCAACCATGTACCTGCATCAACAGCATCAACCTTTTTTGGAGCAGTAAGCCATGAATGAATTGCCCTACCAATCTTGTAGACTATCACGCGCTGTGGGATTTTCTCATCATTAAAGATTCGAGCGTCTCTCCAGCCAAACGGTCCAGCAGTAGGCGTGTAATGCTATTCTTGTGCACCATTGTTTAGAATTCTCTAGAGTTGACACTGGCCAGGTTCTCAGTGTTTCTGCAACGTCCGTCAAGTTGGCTCTGATGTCTCCAATGCCCACAAAATTTCTCAAGATGTTCCATATTTCCACCGAGAAGTTGCATTGGCAAAAGATGTGATCCACTGTTTCCTCATCAGCTTCGCAAAGGGCGCATCTATTGGCGAGGCACCACCCTTTCCTCTTCAAGTTATCTACTGTTGCAATTTTCTTATGATAAACCATCCACATAAAGATGCATACTTTGCTGGGTACAATCTGTTGCCAGATTACTTTATGAGGAAAATTTGCATCTTCTGGAAATCTCTCTTTTGCTAGTTGTTGAAACATAGACTTGACGCTAAAGTCGCTCGCAAGTGAAGGATTCCATCTAAGCCTTTCTGGACCTACAGCAAAAGAAGATGATGGCAGACTATCAAGTAAATTCATTAGATTGATTCTCTCCCGCTCGGCCCCTCCCCGAAGATTAAATTTTAAAGATAAATCCCAAGAAATTCTATTTCCGTCAAAATTAAGGATATCTGCGACTTTGGAGTTGGGGAGTTCAGCAGCGGCGGCCACCCTTGGGAACTCATCAGCTAGGCATCGACCCTCAATCCAAACATCGGACCAATACGAGGTCCAAATACCTCGTCCTTGCTCAACATGTGCAAAGCGCCAAAAAACTTCTTTCATTTTGGAAATCTGACTCCAAGGACTAGTACCTGCAGGGCCAATAAACTCTCATGGCATCCACTCTGATCTCATACAAGGGAACTTTACTTGCAGAAGTTCCCTCCACCATGTGTGTCTTTCATTGGAAAATCTCCACCACCACTTACACATAAGGGCAAGGTTCTATATCTCAATTTCATGCAACTGGTGCCCCAAGAGGGAGTCCCAAATAAGTTGTGGGGAGTGGTTCCCAACCACATCCAAGAATTTCCACTAACCTGGGCAAATTCTGTACCGCCCCAACAGGATGAATTTTGGTCTTCTGCAGGTTCACCTTCAAGCCCGTGATACTTTGGAAGCAAACCAATGCAGCCATAACGTTAAAAGCTTCTTCCTCGTTGGCCTCGCAGAATATGATTGCATCATCTGCGTAGAGAAGACGTGTTACTTCACCTTGTTGATTATTCTCATCCATACAAAAACCTGTTAAGTACCCGGCCTGATTAATTTTGTTGAGGATGTAAGATAAGATATCCATGCCCAAATTAAACAGAAACGGAGATAGCGAATCGCCTTGTTTGATTCCCCTCTCCATCTCAGAGAAACCTGCTGCCTCTCCATTGACAAGCACCGATAACTTTGTCGAAGATAGAAACCCTTGTATCCACTTCAAAAATCTTGGATGAAGCTGCATCGCTTTAAGCGATTTGAGTATGCATCCCCAACTGCATCGCTTTATCTCTTAGTACCAACTTCCAAGCCTACCTTGTCGGCTTGATACCTTCTTGGCTCCAAACTTAGCCAAATTTCATGTCTACCAAGCATGCATTGTTGGCTAGGTACCCCCTTGGTGTATTGGTATCAGGCCTGCCTTGCCAGCTTGGTACTCTGTCGCCTTGCTACCAAACTTGTCTTGTCGACTTAGTACCCTGTTGTCGGGTTACCTAGCTAGTCTTACCTTGGTATCCATACTGAGCCATATTTCATATCTCATTACCAAGCTTGTCTTGTTTGGTACCCTGTTGTCTTGCAACCAACCCTATCTTGTTAACCCGATATCCTCTTGGCTCTAGACTTAGCCAAATTTCATATTTTGGTACCAAGCTCGCTTTGCCAGCTTTGTACCCTATTGGCTTCATACTTAGCCAATTTTCATGTCGTGGTACCAAGCTATTATAAACGCGCTGCTACGGATCGGGAAATCGCTGGAATCGACAAAGCAAGAATACGAAAGCGAGAATCGAAAACACGACACACGATTTACGTGGTTCACTAACACGATGTGTGTTAGCTAGTCCACGGGCGAGAGAGAGCCAATTTCACTATATCGAGGAGATTCCAGATTACAGAGGAGGTGAGAAGTATTTATACTTCTCCATGTGGGTCTAAACCTAATCCAATCTGGCAAAGGAAACGGTTACAGACCAGGACCAGAACCCCGACTAATCCAGTCGTAGCGGCTCATAGTCTTATTCAAGTCACATCAACACAAGCCTTCTTTGTAGGCCTGGTACCCTATTGACTTTATACTTGGCCAAATTTCATGTCTTGGTACTATGCATGCCTTGCCAGCTTGGTACCCTCTTGGCTCCATACTTACCCAAATTTTATGTCTTGGTACCAAGCTTACCTTGTCAGCCTAGTACCCTCTTGGCTCCATACTTAGCCAATTTTCATGTTTTGGTACCAAGCATGCCTTGTCGGCTTGGTACCCTCTTGGCTCCATACGTAGCCAATTTTCATGTCTTGGTACCAAGCATGCCTTGTCGGCTTGTTACCCTCTTGGCTCCATACTTATCCAAATTTCATATCTTGATACCAGGCATGCATTGCTGGCCTGATACCCTTTTGGCTCCATACTTAGCCAAATTTCTTATCTTAGTACCAAGTCATGTCTTCCCGACTTTGCACCCTCTTGACTAACTACCAAGTCTGCTTTGTTTCCAAAATTCAGTTTTTTTTTAATCATATTTCATACCAACTTACTTGTTACAAGGGAAAGTTGACATCAATTATGGAGGCCATAGGAGCGATCGACTAACTAGGCCAGAGAGAAGGAGCTTAGCCACTTACGGCGACCTGTAGGCTAATGAAAATACATATTCCAAAGAATGAATTTCTAAGTCAAAATCAAATTAAGAATATTTTTTAATGCTAACTTAAATGAAGCAAAAATGAAAATAACTTCAACCGCGATGCATCTAAGTCCTTTCTTAATTAAATAACTTTTCCCTCAATGGATGTATAAAATCTGAGAAAGAGTGTACCGATCTTGTGGGTCAAAGTGGCAAGCCATTTCTTCAATGAGGAATAAGTTGACTCTACCCTATTGGTGCTCGTGTTACCAATATGAAAAACACGATTGGTATAGCAATGAGCCCACCTCCGCGCATATGGTATCCACTCACCTCTCAAGTAGTCCATCAATGATTCAATTGTACCCCAATGACCACTTTGCACCTCTAGCTGATGCCTTTGGAACTGTGCCTCTATTTTGGAATGCAAGACTCTCCCCCATGGACCTGCTACAAATGTCTCGGTTGTATCTTTACTCATCTTGAAATACATCATTTTGGCTTCAATGTTCCTCTTCTTGTGCCAAATGCATAACAAAAAAGCCGAAGATGGAAAGATATATCGCAAAAAGATACCCAATACTCCATCCTTATCCATGATGAATGCATATGGATATGGTATTCGATCACCAAGAAGAATCTTAAGTTGCATAAAAACCGATACATATTTCTCTTTCTTATCATTTGAAAACAAAGCAAACCCAATGTTGAAGTTCTTCTTCATTGGAGTAACACGAATCATCTTAATCAATGAATTCTTGTAATTGTTGGTTTTGTACATCGAGTCTCTCAAAATAACGAAATACCATGCAATCAACATCTAAATCGACTCATGACGGCAAAGGAAGAGATTGGTAACACGAAGCTCATTATCAAATTCACACTCAACCAAGTATCTAAGACATTAAGATTCTATCAATGTCCATTGCATAGGTTTCATGCCACCCAATTCATCAAGCCTAATCTTTGTTGTCTCATTATAAATCTGACTCATATTGTGGCGAGCATCGTACTTCATATTTATAAAACTCCTCATTTCCCTTATTTGATTATGTGTTGCCTCCATTTCCCTAATATCTCATTTTCCGCCTTTGAAAGAAAATCCTTAGCTTGCTTCCTTCATAATAAAGCTTAACTTTGTCATCGTGAAATCCTTTTGAAGGACCAGGATTAATTTTGTCCACAACACCAAAAATTCTCCACTTGTACTTGTCATCTGTTATGCGGACCATACTCCACTTGGAAATGACAACCTAACTTACTTGATTTTGATTTTTGCCCCTTCTTGTCTTCTCTGAATCCAGGGTTATGATTTGCTTCTATAGCCATGTTTGAAATTCATATATATATATATATACGCGACTTTTTTTTCTCCATGATTTTATTTGATCGATCCCACAACCAAGAAAACCTATTATGTTAGGAATCTCCTTTGTTGTTGTACAAGCTTTGTCGTGGGTATCATAAACATCATCGTTTATGAACAATGATGTGTAATCAACATTGTCACCCTCATCATCTCTATAACCTCCCTACAAAAAATATACAGTAAAAATATAACTATATCTATCATTGATCAAACATGTTAATTTGATGTTTCAATAAATAAACCTATCAAACAACAAAAGATGGAGTACTTAATTACCAAATCACTAATAACAAACCCTTGTTATTTGATGGTGGTTGCAAAACCGCAAAAGAGTATGTAACTTCTACAACTTTGTCCTCCCCTAAAAACCCCAACAAAACAATCACTTCTAGCAAACATTAATAGTAGAATAACTTTGGTAATTTTTCGTAAAAAAAAAATTGTTTGAAATCCCACATGATCTTATCGAGACATGTTCATAATCTGACCCAGTCGTCGACCGTACAGGGTGAAAAATCTGACTTGACCGTTATTCAGTTAGGTTGAAATTCTGATCCGGGTTAAAAACTCTTCCATACCATAGGGGGCGGATTTAGGACATGTCTAGCGGGACGGCGGGGCGGGCTTCTACCCGTTTGTTTCATGGCTGGGCCGAGATTTCAACTCGTCCGATTCATGGCCAGACCGAGTTTTGAACCCGTTAAGTTTGATTTTTCAGAAAAAATTCTAAAATCTTGCCTTCTTTTGGAGCACCTGACTACGATGGCTACCAAGATAGACTAAAGTTGTGACTCCAACGACCTCGAAGGAATCCGAACAATACTCAACGATGAAGAAGAGTGTTGTTGGTTTTTGTATTGTGTTGTGATGTGTTTTGATTTTAGTTTTTTTGTTGATTTTTGTGTTCTATAGGAAAGAAAGTGTTTCAAATGTGTTGGGTTTTAAGATTTAAGGCTTTTGAACACTATGGTAAGTAGCCCTTGGCAAATCAACCAAAGTAGATGGCCACGGAGCCTTTCTTCCATTTGAATCATCACACCAAAATTAGAGATTTAGTCTAGACGCACCTTCCATTTAAATATTTTTCGTTCTAGTGAACAAATTTTTTTTAAAAACAATATTACTTGCACAAAAAGGCATCTAAATTTATGGATCGAACTGTGAAGCATTTGTTTCGTAATTGGCAAGCAAATTTCCCCTGTTGGTCGCTCGTGTTACAAAGTAAACTAAAGAAGGAAATTCTGAAGCCGAACCATAGTAAAGTAGAGACTTGCTGTACACTCCTAGGTTATAGAATATATATATATATAAACAGCCCAAATTAATCTTGGTAGAATCTCTTGGTGATGTACCGATGTTTAAGTACGCCTAGGGCAGCTGATAATATCTAGAGCTCCAAATTGCTGTTAGCTGTCTGTCTGTCTGTCTGTCTCTACTTTCCTTTGGGACAAGAAGGGTTGGTGAGTTCTGTTCATTATATCATTCCTTCGCCTCAATTCCACTTACCCTCTCCCACGCTCTCCTACCTTCTCGATCGCCTCTTAACCCTTCTTTCGCTCTCACAACATACCTCGAAATTTCTAACCAACAAGCTAGGAAGCTCGCGCTCCATCGTCGTCAGATTACATGATATGGTACGTACGATTTACATATTTGCAATGTACAAGCACGATTATGTGTACAATTGGCTACTAGCGAGCTTATATGAGGGTGAGGATGGAGTAGACTAATAGTAGCATCAGATCACGTAACCTAGGCGCTCACGTTGGATGCAATGCACGAATTGGCATCCCTTTTTGTCTATGAATATCGACTTAGTTGGTCTCTCACCATGTCGTTCGATCTACAGAATTTGAGATTATGGCTTGGTTGCTTATGTAGTAAGTAGTAACGTTTCGTTCCTTTCTTTTGGCTTTGAAGTCTATTGCGGGGCCATTGGTGTTGAGGACACTAGCCAGAGGGGTAGAACCGCTGGTGTGCAGACCGGTTTGCTCCATCACGACGCTGCTGCACTACAGCCATTTGCTTCCGAGAAACCTGGACCGGTTGAGCCGCTTCGTCCGGCCCGAGTTGCTGGTTCGAGGCAACCCTTTGTTCCTCTTTATCATTAATCTCCTGCGCTGTTTCTGGTCCTAATATATGATTAGCGGAGGCGCCGAGATTTTATTAGTTGGCACCAGTTCTTAACAACGCTAATATAAAAGTTTTAACACCGTTTGCAGAATATCATCAATGTGTAGTATACTAATTCTTTTCCGTCCTATTAACAACCCAATCACCTGAAAAATCATCACAAAGAATCAAACCGAAGTGTGCAAATCCCTCTCTATCAACAGTCTTCACTTTTCAAGCAGCAACCGTCTCTCTTAACGACTCAAAATTCGGTTCCGTTATTACCATCCAATTTCGAAAGCAACTAAATGAGCAAAATAGTAAAGCCCAATTGATACAGGAAGCGAATGTGTACGAAGAAGAATAAAAAACATTTAAGCAGCAAATTATGAACTCATTCTGTAAGCTAACCTTGCCAATTCATCGATTCAGGCAGTTGATCAAAAGCTGGCCCAGAAGGATTATCATTGGTGACGAGAAGAGTTTTCATTACCGGATCTGAGAAGATGAACACAGCAAGCCGGAAGCATCAGCCCCAACAACAGCAAGATCACAGACTGCACATATCTTCGCCTCTTGGGCTGGAACAAACCGGGCAGAGCAATAAGGGCAAGAAACGTCCTTTTGTCCTCTGTATATGGGAACATAAGTAGCACCACACACCACAAACGGGTTCCGGAAATCGTAGCTCAGTTGAGTAGCATCCGTCATGTTCCTCTCCGAAGCCTGAAGCACTTGTCTGGCCGTCTTCGCTTGATTCTCAACCTGCGGGTTAGTCTCCAACAGACGCCTGGCAAAGTTAGCAGCAGTGACGAAGTTCTTGGCTTTGTAGCAGATAGTCATTGCATTGAGCAAGGCCAGTCTCAGATGAGGGGTTTGAAGGTTGCAATGTGTGAAGTAGGCGGCAAGTTCCTGCTGACGAACCGGGTCGCTCTTCATTTCCCTTCTCTTGAGTTCCATCTGTAGCCCCTGAACGTATTCCTTCACTATGATGATCAACTCTTTGACCTCATCGACCTCTCTCCTTGTCTCCACGACAATGAGAGGGATCGTATGAAGAATACCGATGAAGAGTTTCAGAGCTTCGGTGAACTTCCCAGCTGTGGTGGCTTTGTAACCAGCCTTGAGCTTCTCTTCCAACTGACTAAAACTGAATACGAGTGCTGGAGGTGCCCGTACGTTGGGGGCTCCCGACTCGTTCCACCGTTCAACAGCCAGCGATATGACAGAAGTAGCCGAGACCGCACGTAGATACGTCTGGCTTCCGGAGTGAAGATCGAGGAACATGGATTTCAACGGAGAGAAATTTTTTATTCCGAGTTGCCTATGGAGCAATCTCATAGCGGTGTCAAAATTGCCAGCTGCCACATGTTCAGCAGCAAGTGATGACTTCTGGATCCATATCTGGCTCACAGGCATTCCAGGAGATGGAGCCACGAAAACTGAAGAGCGAGTAGCGAGAGAAGCTCTAGGGGTATCTGCTTCTTGAGGAAGATCCAAGTCCTCAAGGTCCCATCCTCCTTCCTCATCATTGTCTCCTTCCGCTTCAGCGCCCTCCAAAACAGCAGTAACATCACCGTTCTGGAAGTCCTCCGCATCAACCATTTCAAGTTCCTCGCCCCAATCACCATCAGCCACTTCCTCATCATCCTCTGCTGTCCCTCTAGCCATATTCTCTAGGCCACCTTCGAATATACCTCTCATAACTCTCAGAAGAGGCCAATCACCAGAACATGATATGGGGGATGGAGGCATGAGAAGGGATGGCACTTTACCCTCTGGCAAAGATGGAATGTTATCTCCCAAATCAGCAGCTAGGCGCTCAGAGACTTCCTCCAGACCATGGACTTTAGCCGTGATATATGCCAGGGGGATATGACCAGTGTTTTCCAGTATCTTTACTCGCTCCTGGATGTCACCTAAGTACAGGGCGTTATGAAACTGGCCCATGACATCATTCTTGACCTCAGCAATTTTCAACATCTTTGACAGCTTGTCTAGGTTTCCAGTAATCAGATACAAGAAAGACAACCGCTCGAAATTCTTTGTTCGCTGATATGCATATTCAACGATACCTGCATTGCCCTGGCGAAGGGCTTCCACTCCGAGCCTGTACCAATGCTCTTTCTCGTCGATTTCCTTAGCTGAAGCAACAGCGATTTGGATGTTCCCGCTCTCAAGAGCCAAATTGAATCTCGTTCTTTCATCCTTGACAAAATGCAAAGCAACTTCAGGGAATCCCTTCTGCTGCAGATAAGCAATCATTGCCTGACCGCAAAGCTGCGAGTTTCTGATCATGCTCATGACGTGATCAAATCTCTTCTTCAGAAGAGAGAGTTTAAACATGTACTCTGTTGCATCAATGATCATAGCCCTATTCTTTCCATCCCTATCCAGGCAAAAGATTGTATTCCCAGAAATCTTAGTGATGTATATTGGGACCTCAAGGGTTTTGATTATGCCACTATCTCCATTCAGAAGGCAGTATTTCATATGATTTAGAGTAGAGTATATGAAAACACCATTGTCATCCCAGGCTCCACTCTTCACGCGGATTGTTTCATGAAGGGTGCATTGATGCGCAAGCTTCTTATTTGCAATAACAATAGCATGCTTGCTCAACAAGGCAACAGAATCCATTTCATTAGACCAAACGACGTACTTCACAAAAGGTGTAGGAAGCTCCCCAATTACAAGTCTCTGCTGAAGATCAAATATGACAACTCTATCTTCAGCCCTGCAAAGCACATTACCAGTTCCGGCATAGAAAATAGCATCTGTAGCAATGGGAAGGCCACTCTTTTTGACCACCTCATTCTTTAGGTTCTTGACCAACACTTGATTGGTACTTTTGTCAAGCACAGCAAACCTGTTTCTTGCAATGAATACAGCTGAACCCCCTCCACCTCTCTTTGCTTCCTGAACTGTATCGCCCCTGGACATGGTATCCTTGTGTACTATATACAGCTCATAAGACCCTCCATCCACATCTGAGCATAACAGAACCGCATTTTCAGTAGGGCTGTAAGAAAGAGTTCTCGGACTCTGATTCAAGCTGGTGCTACCAGGTCGCCTGATAGGAATCACCTGGGTTTCCCTCTGAGTGGAATACTCAAAAAACCTCAAAAACCGATCCTTTGTGTAAAACAGAGAGTCTCCACTCACAGCAAATGCAGGCCTTTCTCTCTCCAACTTGAACACTATCATGCCACTGTCATGGCCAGCAGCAAGAAGATTCATATCAGGGTGAGCTGCAAGAATCCAAAAGCGGTCATGCTCACGGCGAAAAGTCTGAAGTCCAGTTCTCTTAGTGACATCCCAAACTCGAATACTTTTATCCTCTGAATTAGATACGATTATATCTTGCTTGGCATGGAACATAACACTTGAAACATTGTTCATGTGTCCTCTCAAAGTGTCCACTTCCCATGCCTTTGTATCTGAAATGAATATAGAAGAAATAAAAAAATCATTCCCTAAGTAGCTCAAGGCCCTCCACAGGCATACCACATTAGATATTACAAATCTCATTGTATAAGCCATTTTCAGATTAAGGGTTGAGGAGTTAATATATACAAGATAAAACACAGAAGTACTCAATGCTACAGTAACTTCAACAACACGACATATCATTCAATTATAACCAAAAGAATAAACACAACATACCATTCATCCGCCACAACTTTACTTGGCGATCATCTGCTCCTGAGACAATCAAAGGAAGAGTAGGATGGAATGCAGCCCAATTCACTCCTCTGTCATGACCTTCCAAGACATACTTAACAACTGCATCAACACCACCAAAGAGATCTCCATTCAACTGACTCAAACGCAGGATATCATCAGCAGGAGATACAGTTTTCTTTCTCAGAGCAGCAGTGTCCCAGACACGGACAGTCTGATCCAGGGAAGCAGAAACAACAAGATCTTCTTTAGGGTGGAATGAAGCGCACATAACATAATGATTATGGCCTGTCAGCACTGAAATGCAAGTGCGAGACTGCCAATTCCAGATGCGAATCGTCTGATCATCACTGGCACTCACAATCCATGGGTACTCATGATGAAACTGCACCGTGCGGATGTAATCGAGGTGACCCAGAAGGGTAAAGAGACACCTATGCAGCTTATAGTTCCAAACTTTGATCTTGTAGTCATCGCCTGGAAAGAAATCATTTACATACACTCAAGCATTGGTCAAAGGTGAGAGAAAGAATGCAGAACAGCAACATGAGTCTGTGTTGAAACAATTCCATTATTGAAACAAGTTGGTGCCACTACATAATGGTCTAGTGCCTATCTTTTTAGATCGACTCTTCTCTTAGTACTCAATAGAGGTGAAGTGCATGAAGAGATGAAAAGAAATATCATGAAATACGAAGGCAGGCACTTACATCTAAAACAACAAGGAAAATTAAACATCAACTAGAATTCCCGTAGACTAAGAATAACTTTAGTAGAAGTGCTTAAAATATAACATGAAACAGCTAGCTAGATACAAATACAACAAATGAAACAAGTACGAACTAAAATAGGTAATTCAGGTAAGTAAAGTGCTTCTATTGTAGATCAAGAATAGTCCCAAAATTAAGAAGGCCTTCATCAAGGAATCCAGAGCCGCCAACCAAAATATGTTCACCACAACTTCTACTTAAGAATGAAATTATCATAGCTAACCTCATTCTCAAATTGTAGTAGCACAAATTTGACACCAAAGACTCAAACCTTCAATGCTTATTAATACATTAACCACTTGCCATCCCCTGGGCGAAAACTAACAGAAGAATCCATGAAATGACATATTCATTAAATCCAATCAATCATCTTATTGAAATTGAGTAACTATAGATGCATATTATTCCTGTTGAAGATTTCAGCAATACTACAACATTGACCAGCAAACTGAATGAACTTTCAATCAACATGAAACGAGATTGCCTACCTCCTGATACAAAAAGAGGCTGAGATTTGTGGAAATGGACGCCTCGCACGGGGCCATCATGCTCGTCGAAGCGATCAATCAGAGTCCCCATACGGTAGTCCCAGAGTTGGATCACACCACTGTGAAGACTGGCAAGAATCCATGGCCTCTTAGTGTGGAAACTCAGTCCCTTCACTCTGTTACTCTTTGTTTCGAATTTCGTCAACATCTCCTCCCAACCAAATCAAACAAATCTAAAAAGATAAAAAACACAAAAGCCACGGTGTTACTACGCTGATGCACAGCTGACAGCAGATCACAACCACGGAACAGAGGAGTTTACCAAAATTACACAATAGTGAATCAAATCATCAACCCATCCAGCACAAATTCTCCATTTCCAACCGAATTCACATGTATAACCTAATGAAAATTCCAGGTCACGCATTCAAATCCGAATGGAGCACCAATGCCGCACCGTACCACCGACCTCAGCCATGTCAAACGAAATTGAGGAATAGTAACACTACGCGAACGAGATTTACAGAGAGAGAGAGAGAGAGAGAGAGAGAGAGAGAGAGAGAGAGAGCGCAAGGGAAGTACCTTAGATCTGTTCTTCGGTATACATGCGGATCCACGAGAGAGGAGCAGAAAATGATCGCAGCCAAAACAGCAAAAGCCACAGGGAGAAAGCGAACAGAATGATGGGAATGGACGTATTGCTTTTAGTCTCGCTTCAGCGCAAGAGAGAAGCCGTGGATCAAGAATAGGACGAGAGATGCATTGAAGGAACGAAGAAGGGGGAGGAGTGCATAGGAAGGAAGGGGGGGAAAAATGCTTCCGTTTCAGTTCGTCGGTGTGTCCTTAGATCTATGCAGGATTATATGCCGGTACAGGGCGGGCCGCAGAGTGTTCCGATGTTTTTCTTCTTCGTGTGAGCTATCGTTTATAGTTTTTTTTTTTTTTTTTGGCTTAACGAGTAATTTAGGTGGACGATTGCGGGCTGGCTAAGGCTTTAATCGAGATGGGCTGAGGCTTTCATGTTGGAAGGCCCATCCAATCTACCGATTCGGTGGTGTCATTTACTGCGCCAGAATTAGCGATGGCAATGAGGCGGGGCAGGTACCTCAATTTCATGCCCCGTCTCACGTTATTATAGGTCGGGGCGGGGCGGGTCGACCTACTCTTACATGTTGTTAAAAAAAATATAAGTAAATTTTACTTTTTACAATAAAACGTAGGGAAAAACACTTTAAGAATGAAAAATATTGATAATTGAATGGATAATTGAGCCTAACAAGTTGAAAGATCGACTCTAACTAGTTGAAGAAAATTCAAAATAGGAGAAATATGTATAGATATTGTAAGAAATTGAGATAAAACGAGTCTAGAACGGGGCGGGTCGGGTCGGAAGTAGATACCCATGCCCCGCCCCACGCTATTGCGGGTCGGGTAATACCCGCCCCATCGCGGGTCAGGTCGGGTAATACCCGCGGGGCGGGTTGAAATTGCCATCACTAGCCAGAATATGTTGCCACAACAGCTGCTAGAAGTTGGAGATTGGGTCACTGATGTGTTGTTAATTCTTATAGAGTCTGATTCGAAGGTCGTTGATGGTTAATTCGGTTAGTTTATACGCGAAGGAAATAAAGTCTTAAGTCTCATATTAGCTTTCGAAATACAATCTCGTCTATTCATTTGAGATAGTTTGAGTATGGTAGGACACAAATTCTATTTGTTCCTCTACAATTTATACAAGCATGATTATCATTATCGTCTTATCATGTCTTAGTAAATAGTATAAGATCAATAATTAAAGATATTTCAATAAGTCGAGTTATTGGATCTAACTGATTCGTTATAATATTAATGTGTTTTTGAATTATTATCTTATTGTGCATGTTGAAATGTGGAGTAGAGGAGACTTGCAATGTTGCACATAAGTGTTAAAAGCATGTAGACTGTAGCGTGACTTTTGTTATGGTCTCTTAGAGAACTAAGGAAAATGATTGTTTTTAGCAACTTCAATGTTGCCCTAATGTTGAAATGATTCGTTCTATGTTGCTGAAATGCAGGATCCAGCGGAATTTTCGTGCGCGAAATCCCAATTTTTTATTCGACATTTGGAAGAAAATTGTAGACGAAGGAAAAAGTGGTTCGGGAAATAAATAATACACTACTAGAGGGCTATGCAAGGAAAGGAAGGCAAACAAACAAGTCCAACTTAGCAAGGAAGGCTGTGGTGGGGAATGGGATAGTGATATGTTGGCCTGGCCACAGCTGTGGGCTGTGGCTTAGTAAAGTTAAGCCTAGCACGATTGGTGCTACTGGAAAGCCAATCTTCCTTTTCTTTGCTGTTTCTTAATGGATAAAGCAAATAAAGAGGTTCGCCACCTGGGATTTTCGTTTTCCATGTGGCTTCGCCCTGGTTCTCAGCTACCTATTCTCAATGCTCAAGTCAGAGGCCTAATTCCCACTTGTTTAGTGGGTTTTGGTTTCTTCTCAAAATGTTCTTTCTCTGTGACAGTTGTTGGCTGCCATAAAAGATGCAACTATCTACTCCACAAAAAAGGTAAGGATTTATGTGTTAAGTTCGTTTCGCAAGATTTACAACATTTGTACAAGAAAGACCACCTTCAATTTTTCAAGGTCAATTCTGGCTAGCAAAGATCTATATGGAAGTTCAGAGTGCAGGCGGCCAAGTCCTTAAGTCTTTCTTTGCTGGCTCAATTTGACCAACTGCAACGGATGTTCACCCAAAATGTTAGAGTTATTACCCAAAAAAAAAAAAAATTACAACAATACCACACTTGAACTAAATTTTGTCAAAATACTAGATTTCGGGACCGATTCGCTTGATACACTAGCGGAACATAATGTGGTTTGCTCAAACATGAAACAATTAAAGTGGATACCCTAAATAAAAGCGAACCACTAGTTGTTCGATTGAAATTAAAGAGATCGTCTGGCTTGAGTTGGAGACATGCAATTGGTTCAGTCTGATTGACGCATATTGCTCCAGACAAGCGTGATGAACGACACGTGGCACCGGATCGCTCAGCTGAGAGGCGGAAGTTCCCGAGTGGAGAGAAGATGAATAGGACAGTTATTATATTAGGGTTTGAAGAAATATTGACTAAACTATCCTCCAATTAATTATACCTTATGATTAATATTTCAATCTAAAAAGGTTGTTATAATAGTAAGTAAGCATGGCCCTAACTGCTTATAGAGGTTAAGGCATACTCTCATTCCTCCAGAGGTGGAAATATGGGAATGAGATCAGATGCTAACTCACTCGAGCACTTCTACTATGGTTTAAAGCATTGATATTTTTAATGTACAACTTGAATTTGTACTATAACATTAAATGTACAAGTTCAGATTGTACCATAAAGGAATTTGTACCTTTATGTTATGGTACAACTTGTACAACTTTAAGTTGTACCATAAAATAAATGTACAAATTCAGGTTGTACCATAAATGGACTTGTACAAAAAAGTATAGGTACAACTTCAAGTTGTACCATAATTTTAAAAGTACAACTTTGAGTTATACAATAAAGGCAGAAAACTAAAGCACCAATGTTTTAAATCATAGTAAAATACTAAAATTCCTCAACCCACTAAAGGGTTATTAGAGGGATTACTATGTTTATAACGTTTAGTTTAAGAAGTCTATCCATGTTTGAGGGTTGTCAATTGACAAACCTTAGTTGAAATGTGACCAAATTAGTATGTTAAAATTCATATTATTGTGCAGTATTTGAAGTCTCTACCATTTGAGAGCCTTTCCAATTTCAAATTGAACTTTACATCAAAATAGGTCTGTTTGTTGTGATACCCAAATTAATTCCTAAATCCAAATAATTTTCCTTAATCAAGCATCTTGATTAATTCTCCTTTTGCACTTTGGAGGTTAAAAACTTCGGCTGATACCCCAAATTCCCCATTATAGTTTATCAAGAATACAAAAATCTTGTGCATATTTATATGAGCTCCATGGAGCGAGATCGACGGTGGAGTGGTTGAAGAAGGCTAGAGAAGGTGGGGAGGAAAGGTTTGTAGAGTGGAGTGTGTTGCTATGGTTTCTCTGGAAAGAGTGTAATGCTCAATTATTCAATGGACTGAAAACGGCGGAAGAGGAGATTGTGGTGAGGGCGAAGTACTTTTTGATGATTACCGTCAACATCAAGAGAAGGGATTGCCAGTCTAGCCACCTCCATGTGTGAAGAAGTGGCGCAAGCCGCCGAGAGGTCGAGTGATGGTTAACACAAACGTCGGGGTGCTACAAGAAGGAGGGATCAGCCTTGGGGTGGTGATGGGGACGAGAATGGGACATCTATCCTTGCAGTAGTGAAGATTGTACAGGGACAGTACACACCGGACATGGCTGAAGAGATGGCTTTGGAGATGGGGGCTCAGCTGGCACAACAATTTTACATCCAAAATCCAGTTATGGCGATAGATTGTTTGCAGCTGGGTTGACAAAGCAATCTCATTCCAGTTCGCAGATAGGGGTGGTTTGCAGAAAAATAAGAAGAATGGTGGAAAAGAGGCAAGGGAGTTTTTCTCATGTGTACAAGGAGGCAAATGAAGCTGCTCATACCATGACACATGCACGAACAAGATGGGATGAGCGGGTGGTTTGACTTGATAGACTGCTAATGTATTTAGTTGATCAGATTAAACTGGATGATGCAACAGCAAACTCTGATCAATGAATTGATTACAGGTTTCTGTAAAAAAAAAAAAAAAAAAAGAGTACAAAAATCTCAATTTTGGTGTGCAATCCTTCCTTTTGACTTCCTCCCTCGTCTTCTTTTATCGCCAACAGCCACATACGTTGACATGGCCATTTTCAACAATGAAATTCTTCAAAAACGATCATTGAAATCATATATGATACCTATATATTCTTTAAATTTTATTTTTATTTTTCAGTGTATATCCTTTGTGAAATTTCTAGGTCCGCCACATGAACCCGCCTCCATCATTCATCGCTCTTCCTCCCTCTCCTTCTCTCTTCATCCACATAACATCGCGCCATCGTCGCTTCATTCTTTCCACCAAGGGCTGGGCACATCAAACCGTCGTCCGCTCCGACAATGGCGTTTCAATATAATATATGAACATGTGTTGATTCAACCGTTTCGTACCGCTAAAGCTGCCTATTATTTAGAGTCCAACGCCTGTATTTTCGGTCCAGCCCGGGTTTCTAAAACATTGGTTAGCTCCATGGATGGAAATGGATCGGGTTGGGCCAGGACGAGTTATGTACAAAAAAAACCCCCCGAACTCATGGGTTTATCCACACAAAAAACCAGGGTAAAACCCACTAAATTTGCAAAACTCAAACCCAACCTAACTCGCTGGGTACCCATGAGTTTGTGTACAAAGATGCAATTACACTAATTTTCACTACTATTGTATACTACATACACACTAACTCAAAAAATCATTCATACTAATTGTTCAATATTAAAAATAAACATCAACAAACAATGTGATTAACTGAACGTGTGAGTAACTAGTTTAAAATTATAGTTAATTAGTTAAGAGTTTCGTGGGTCGTGGGGGGTATGGACTTGGGTGCGGGTAACCATGGATTGGATATGACTAAACCCAAACCCAATCCAATTCACAAAAAGTATAACGGGTTTAAACCCGAACACGACTCACAATCCGTCAAAACGAATTTTACCCGCATGGACCGAGTTGAATCGGGTAGCGTACCCAGCAGATTCAGGTTCTACTGTCATCCCTAATTAGCAATAATGGGAAAATATGCAATAATGCAAAAGTATATTTTCGGTTAAGGCCGTTGTGCATGCCAGCTAAGCTATATCTGCTAAACGGAACCAGCTAAGCTAGCTGAGCTACAAAAACGCCCACCGTATCCCCACCACACAATCAGTTAACTTGCGGCTTAAGTATCCAAATACAGTTAGCGGAATTTCATGTTCATCATAAGAATTCTTTTCACTGATAAATAATATTCCTTCCCCCACTTCCTTTTTCTTCTTCTCTCTCGCTTTTAAATCTAGACTTTGACCTTACATATTCTCCCAATACATCTGCACTAGAGCGCTAATAAATTACTTAGTTCAACGTACAAGTTAATTAAGATCCTTCATCCATCCCATGTAATTAAGGAATATAAGAATGGTGAGATGTAATTAGGTGAATTTCGATTAAAAAAGTTCTCTAGAGTACTACGAATTATCGTGTTCATGTAAACCGCTCAGAGTGACTTATCCTATATCCTGATAAAAAAAAAAAGGAAAATTATACAACTCGTCTATTAATTATATGCTTTGGCAGAGTGCTTTTGGAAGGGATTAGACAGTTAACTAATGTTTTCTACAAATCACGACAAATCAGAAAAGGAGGAATGAGTCAAAACAAATAAACAAGGCTGTCCAAGTCCTAGAAAGAAGTTGACCTGCTTCAATGAAACATGGAGCCACATTCTGTGCACAGAACAGAATGACCGAGATGATAGAAATGGTGACATTTCTTTCTTTCTTTCTTAGGCTTCTTGTTCTCGTCAAGTTGACTTCTTCCTTGCACTAATCATAATTTACTAATTACAGAACAATTAAGAAAGTCTCAAGAGAAAAATTAGGAACTCCCAAGAATATTAAGCTTTGTTTTCATAACTTGATCGGATGTTGATCTAAAGAAATTATTCGTTTACGGTTAACCGTTCAAAAGTTGATATAGAACCGTTGATAGAATCGTTTAACACGAAAGACATATATAATATACCAATTCAGAATTGAATGTATCACTAAATCATAAACAATTTTAAATACATATTTTTCATTACCGAAACTTATATCAAATCGTTCAAATGATTTAACGAAAGAATAAAAAACACTATTTTATTAAATATAAGTTAGTAATTATCGTGACAACTCGTAGTGGATCACATAAATTACAAAGAGACTGAAAAATGAAGAGCTTGAAGAATAAATAAAATTAGTAAATCAGGTTGGATGATCTTAATTTACTTTAAAATATTCTTTTTTTTAATTTTTAGTGGTTAAAATAGTGGACCAGTTAAGTAGGGATTGTTCACCTAATTTTTATGTCTAACCGTCAAAACTGTTCGGTCAATTTCTAACCGTCCAAACAAATAATGATAATCGCTATGGTAATTGATATGTAGTTCCAGCGGTCTAGTCTCTCATCCGTGTTCGATTTTTACAATACTGCTATTAATTAAGTATTAACATGTACAACACGCATAATTTGAATTTGTGAAGTATTGATCACCCCCTGAATTTTTTTTATAGTTATAATTGTTCATTCCCCTATAAATAAATAAAAATTGGTTGATCGGGTAAAGGTGATTGTGTCAATATACAGCTGGTAGATAACCGAATTGAATCCCAGTAATAGAACACAAATCCCGGGAAAAACTTAAAAACATGTAGAAAACACAAACTCGTAATTAAAAACACACAAAAAAAAAACATGCAAATAAAAACAGAATTCTTGTAATTTCTGGATCACCTTCTCATATATTCCTACACGCGAACCAGGAACTGAGAATTTTAGTTTTTAGAGGGGGAAGTTGAACCAAATCAAATGTATTTTTATTGGTTTTCGACTATAATATTATACCAACAATTCTTATTTTAGTTTTGGAATAAATTGGCACAAAAAAAAAAACAAAGAACAGAAAAGCCTGCTGAGCTTCCGCCGGGTTCTCTGCCTCTCACTGAACCACTGCAAATTCTATTTTGGTTCCCCCTCTGTAATTCCATCGTTTCATAAAAACCCAATTCTTTCTTTCTTTCTTTCTTTCTTTCTTTCTTCTGTTGGGTTAGTTTCTCTTCCCCCCGCGCTCCATTTGCGTTCTTCTCCTTCGCCTAAAGTTGCCAGCTTTCTTCCCGTCTGTTCCATTGCCAGCTCGCCCCCTTCACGGAATTGTTTTTATTCCTTTGATTTCTTGGGGTAAATAGCCAAAAATCCCTCTGCTTCTTAATCGTCTCTGCTCCTTTTCTTTGCTTCTTGGGTTTCTGAAACAGAGATTCCCGTTTTTACCTGCTCAATTGGGTTTCTCTGGGTATCTTTCTTTCCCTCTCGCTGTACGGTTAATCGGTTATATAATACGGAGGGGTGTGTTGTGTGTTCTTAGGAAACCCAGAGAGTGAAACGTCAATAGAGAACGGAAGAGAACGGAAAAGGGGAGGTGAAAGTTAGCCGAGGAATCTGTTTCGTCGTCGTTGTTGTCGCCATTTCGTTTCTGCCTCTGACTCGCTGGTCTGCGGATCCCTTTTATCCGGCTGGAAAAGGGTCTGCAGATCGGGAAAATGTTTGATAGCTTGACCAAATCCAAATTCTACACAAAATGGTGAGTTTCTTTTCACCGACTGGGTTTGGTTTAGAAAATTGCTCTGTTTTCTCTGTAATAACTCAACATGTTGGAAATTGTAGCAAGTCATTGACAAAAATGACCAAGGTGAGGCTGGACGCCACCAGGAAGAAGAAGAACGCCGTCGCCAAATACCTCAAGAACGACATCGCCGACCTTCTCAGGACTGGCCTTGATTCCAATGCTTATGGCAGAGTAAGCCAAATTTCCTTTTCATTCTCGTCTCTTTTTATCTGGGTTTCCTTCCGTTTCTTCTGGGTTGATTCGTTGATGGGTCTTCTTCAGGCTGATGGGCTAATAGTTGAGCAAAATATGATAGCTGCTTACAAGCTAATGGAAGAATTCTGCGAATGCATTTTAACCAATCTTGCATCATTGGACAAACAAAAGTAGGCACAAATTCGTAGGTTCTTCTATCCCATTTTGGCTGTTTTGTTTTTTGTCTGTTACTCAAGTTTGGGAATTTTGTTCGTATAGGGAATGCCCCAAGGAATGCAGAGAGGCTATACAATCTCTGATGTATGCTGCAGCATGGTTGGCAGAGTTCCCAGAACTCCGTGATCTTCGTTCTCTTTTCGCACAGAGATATGGTGATTATCTTGAATTGTTCCTTAACAAAGAGGTTTGTTAATTCATTCTCCCCTTTCATACTCTTGCCAAGTTTTGTCTTTCCTACGGAACATAATGTCCCAAAATGTTGCTCAACAGTTTTCTGAGCTGCTGAATCCAAGGCCTGCTTCTAAGGAGATGAAGCTTCAGCTGCTTCGTGACGTCGCACAAGAATTTTCAATCAAATGGGATTCGAAGTTCTTAGAACAGAAGCTCTTTAGACCTCCCCATTCTCCTTCTTTCCACAGACATGAAGGAGCTACCCATACTGCTCAAGACGTTGGCCATAAAGTGAAGAGCAACGATGCTCCTAGTCCTAGGAAAGACCAAGATATTCACCGTGAAAGCAAAAATAGGCATCGGGAGGACGGCAAGAGAAACAACCATGGATCGACAGCAACAGCAGAAGTTGCAAGTTCTCCTAGCAGGAAGGATGTGGTTGATGGTTATAGGCACAACAGGCCGCATATTAGCGAGAGTGAGAGCACCAGAGATCAAGATATACACCGTGAGCGCAAATATAAACACAAAGAGGTTGGCACGAGGGAAAGCCATGGTTCAGCAGCAGCAAAAGCAGAAGTTGCAGGTTCTCCTAGAAGGAAGGATGCGGTTGATGATAGGCACAACAGATTGCGTATTAACAGCCAGAGTGATAGCACCACAGACCAAGATAGCTCGAAGCAGCCTAGTTCAACCACAATTGGAACCTCTACTACTAGTGCTTCTGAGGAGGAAGTGGACAGCAGCAAGAAGCCCTACTACAGGTTTATCGCTCCACCTTATGTCAGGTCTCGGGTTGAGAAGAAGGAAGATGTCAAGATCGCTGAAGGGTCTCCAAATTCGACTTCTACAGCTGCTGGTGGTGGTGATAAAGAGAGTGATGCACAAACTACGAAGCCAAGATCGGTTCGAAGAAGGCAGCAGATGAAGCAGTTGGTTGTTGGTGATGACAGTGTGGAGAGTCCATTGAAGCTGCCACCAGGTAGGTCATATTTTGGCAGTGTTGATTCAAGTGATGGAGTTTTCGGGGGGAGCACTAATAAGGGGAGCCTGTGGAACTATGCAGAAGAGGAAGAAGAGGAGAGGAAGTTGGATGAATTGTTGATGAAGCACAGCAAGAAGAGGGCAAGTTATGAAATGGGTAGCAGCAACAACAACAATATGAAGAGTAATAATAAGCTGAAGCCTCTTTCATGGCGATCGAGGGATGAGAGTGGCAAGAATGGAGCTCCCGGTTCAGCACCACCGTTTTCTTCACTTGGCAAGTCAGCATCTTCTACCACTGCCGACGATTCAGCAGCTGCAGCAAGTAGTTCAAGCGGTGGGGGAATGGGAGGAAGGCATGGAAGGTCTCTATCGGCTGAGTCATCGGCAGATGTTTGTAAATCAAAACATGTGCACCCTAATCTACCTGACTATGATCTGCTGGCTGCTCGGATTGCAGCTTTCATGAGAAAGTGACGAAGAAACTTGCAAGGTTAAAATGAATGAAGATATTGGAGTTGTGCGTTTTTAGCTTACATTTACTACTAATTGCTGGAAAGAAGAACAAAATCAAGCATCTACTACAAAAGAAAAGTCGTCTTTTAGAAGTTTCCAGTTGTAGGGGAAGATAATTTGGTAGTTTGTTCTGGGTTTATGGTTGCTTTTCATTTGTTAATTTGTTGAACTCTATACTACACTGTAAACATGCATCATATTAAACACAGAATATATCAATGTTATATTGGTCATAACACTCTTGAACTTTCGATTAATTAGTTACATGAATGACACTGAAACATCTAGTCTAAGAGTTCCCACAATGCAGTAGGATCTAAAGTCAGGTCATGAGAGAACAGATCATCGACATTAAAATCGTCATACCCTTGTACCGTTGCTGAATTGGGAAGACCGAATGCTCGAGCTTGAAGATCCATTCCATCTCGGTTGCTCCTCGACATTGCGACTTGATTAAGCTCTCGACTCTGGTACGCTTGACGATTCATCTCATCTTGGTTGCTCATCGACATTGTAACTTGATGAACCTCTTGATTCTGATACGTAAATTCCCCAGCATTGGAAAGACCAAACCCTTGAGCTTGAAGATTCATCTCATCTTGGTTGCTCCTCAACATTTCAACTTGATGAAGCTCTGGATTCTGGTATGTAAATTCCCCAGCGTTGTTGACGAACGGTGCATTGTCAGACATCCCATTCCCAGTAGCAAAACCGGAATACAATTCTGCAGGTTCAGTTTCATGTTGGTGAGACCAAACCCACAAATCATTACTCTCCAAATTCGTCGAATTGTTGATTTCAGCGGGTCTCTGTTTCTGATTCCATGAACTAGACTCCCCTATGCCAGTAGTCCGCTCCAGTTTCGGCTCGACTAAATCCCTCAACTTGGATTCCGCTTTCTCCTTGGCCTTCCGCAATACATCCAGCATTGTCTTCAAATCGTCACCCCTGTTCGCCATCTCGTCTAGCTCTCTACTGAATTCGTCCCAACATAATGCTGTATCATCCCCTTTCTCCGATTTCATCACAGGGGTTTCATCAGCCTGAATATCCATCAACAATGACAACCCTTTAACCCTCTTCTCCTTCTCTCCTTCCCAAGCATTACTGCATCGCTCGCCGCCACCATGGATTGCGAGATCGAGGACGGAATCGACGGAAGGGTAGCCCACGGATTTAAATTTCTCCGTTTTGCTAGGATAAGAGGCGAAAACGGCTACCTTAGCATCGCAGAGCAAGCTGAGCTCGGCGACCTTTTTGAGCAGTCCTTTCCGCCTTTTCGAGCATGTAGTTGATCTCTGCACCGAATTCTCACGCTTCTCCATTGGAAGCTTCCTGGGTTTCCCTCCCATGCTTGCTTGAGAAAATTGCAATGCCAACTACCGAATGGATTCTCAGAGTAGCCGGAAAATGAATGCCCTGCCTTGCTTGCCGTCATGTTTTATATAGCCGCCGGAAAATGAAACAGGCAAAAAGCAAATTCCTGGGGTTTAAGCCTGTAAGGAAAAGTTTCCTCGTCTCCGGTGGAGACAGAAAGGATTTTTACATGTCCATATGTTGCGTTACGTAAAATAACTTAAAATATAATAGATATTTTTTTTATAATTTTTAACATATTGTAAAATTATATAACAGTTGTCAAGGTTATTAGAAAGCTTTCCGTAATGTAGGGTTATTTTGCATATAGAATATTAACATAGAATTACACGAAGTGTAAAGTCATTAGGGAAGTTTTATGTAATATAACATTGTGGATTTAATTGTTACATAAGAATTAACTATGATTAGTAATATTTACGTAATAGAATATCTTTTTACACAATGAGTATTAACTTCGCGTTACGTAAAGTGCTAAATGTCATTACGAAAGCCTTATGTAATACTTTCAATTTAACAGTTACGTAAGAAATCAGTCCTAGTGAATATAGGAATCTGAGATGGAAAAGTTTCCTTATATACTGTAGAGATAGGAACACTTAATGAGAAAATATTGGTTTATTTAATTGTCTTTTGTAGTCACGGGAAAATGAATAGAATACTGGTTTATTTAATGCTCTAGTCTCCAAGTCGAAGGACAAATGCTTTCTTTTTTATAGTGAAAGCCAATCATATGATACTCCTAGTAAATAGGAGAATTCGAGATCGAAAAGTTTCCTTGTATACTATATTTTCTGATACTCCTAATGAATATGGAAATCTGAGATGGAAAAGTTTCCTTATATACTGGTAACACATGAACACTTAATGAGAAAAAAAATGGTTTATTTAATGGTTTTATAACCGTCAAAAAATGAATAGAATACTAGTTTATTTAATGCTCATGTCTTCAAGTCGAAGGACAATCGCTTTCTTTTTTATAGTGAAGAGCCAACCATTTGATACTCCTAGTGAATCTGGGAATCTGAGATGGAAAAGTTTTCTTATATACTCAAGAGAGGAACACCTAATGAGAAAATATTGATTTATTTAATGGTCTTTTATAGCAGCTGGAATATGAATATAATACGAATTTATTTAATGCTCTTATCTCCCAGTCGAAAGACAAACACTTTCTTTTTTATAGTGAAGAGCCAATCTCTGATACTCCTAGTGAATCTGGGAATCTGAGATCGAAAAGTTTATGTGTATACTACAAAGAAACACTCGATGAGAGAATATTGTAATATTGAAGTCTGATCGAAAAGTTTCATGACTCCAAACTGCAGCATTTCAAAATTACTGGCTCTAGAGACATTCACGGAAGGCTAATTTCGTCTTTTCGTCCCGTCATTAATGAAGTACAGCGTTTCAGAAATCTTTTAAATTCATGTTTGCTTCCATTGGAGATCGTAACAGATAAGGGATTCCCTGACTTGGGCCTCAGATGGGCCAACATGGCAGCATGCAATGCGTTTTGTCATTTCCCTTACTTGGGCCTCATTCTGCCGTTGCCAATCCAAAATTGCAACCGAGCAGAGTTTCTGGAAAGATCAGTTTTCAGCCACTCCTCCGCTCGACCGACAACTAATCAACAAATCCGATTCAAATCCATCAAATTTCGTCATCACCGTTGGCACAAAAAGTTGTTTTTACCTATTTTGATATTTGTTTTCTGATTTAGATTGATTCAATTTATTATCTATATATTTTCATTACATAGAGTAAATTTGTACAGATTTTGTAAAATCATACGTGTTGCAGTGAAAAGTTAGGGATTAGATATTGAGTATTGAAACCATGGTTCAATCATTTCATATCACTTTTTCGGTCAGACCGTCGATACAGTAAAATTTTGTAAATACTGATTAAATCTTAAAATGTGGTAATTGTAGACACCACATTTTGTCCGAGATAATTGTTTTATTGAAAATAATTTTGTCACGTCATACTACAATTATATTTAAATAGAAGTTGAAGATAGTTTGGTTGAGACTAGCAGTTGCAAGTCAATATGAATCAACAATTATCAAATTTGCTCCTAGTCGATTCTAGGGCCTAATTAGTTAAGATAGGACCGGTTTAAGTTAAGATTAGCAGTGGCAAATCTTACATATAAATTCTCAATTGGATGGAAGAAATGACTTTAGTGCAAATTTTGTTGCTCGAGTTTGGATTTGAATTCGGTATTTGAAATGGGACAAATTGAATAGTGGAATGAGCTTTATTATCAAAGATTGTACAACTTGGGTAATGACCTCTAAATGAAGCAAGAATTATAATTAACTACAATAACTAATGCTAACTCTACAAAATTTGGGGCACCAATCAGATCAAGACTAGGCCTCTTTGCTATTTCTTTTGGGCCCAAAGCAAACCCAACCTGCAGAAAAAAAGAAGACCAGTCAGTTCTCAAGTGAGAGTCCAAGTCCATAGATTAAGCCCAAATCAAAATAATTCAAGACTAGACAGAGCCCAGTATCGGCCCAGAAAATTTATGACAGGCCCAGCCCAGACAAACGTCCAACAAACAGGCCCAGCTCGGCCCATCGAAATCGGACCATAACCGAACCGGCCTGGTTCGGCCTGACCACATCCCATCCACAGCCGACCTCAACACCAGGCACACTCTTCAAAGTCATATTAAAAAAATGGACGAATTATATAGCGACACGTGGCCCTTTGGTTTGCTTTAAATGAGCTCCTTGAGCTCTTTGTTGTAGGGGGGACGAATGGAAAAAAGGAGAGAAACATACAGAAAATTCTAAAAAAAACAAGAGACTAATCTTTTCATTACAACAACTGAGCCCAGATCTGAAGGGTGGAGCACAAAGAAGTGTTCTTGGAGCAGAATTCCCAATCAGGTTGGTACTTTTGACTCTGCTTTAATGTTGATAGATAGCATTTTAGCTCGTTTCATCCAGTCTTGATCATTATACAGTTGCAATATCCATCAACTTGTATTGAAGCAATTTAATTTACAAACACTTCTGCATTCTTTACGTTCAAGAACTGTATTTACTTGTAATAAGATCTGCTCATAGCCATAGCAATTCCAATTCGGCATTAAGCTTCTTTCAATTGAGTATTTATTTACTTCTCCTATCAATTCATAGACTATTTTAAAGTTATGTTATGCTTTCCATTTCCTTGCAAGCAAATAGCTAGCCAATAGTCGATTTATCATATACAAGCAAATAGACAGAGGTCTTTAGAAACAAGCAAATAGATCCGGAGCAATCCAGATCTAGATACAACAAAAACACCCTAAATATGATAAAATTTCAGATTTCAAACTGTTGCAAAATCAAAAGCCGAGGCAGTGATTTGTAATTATCATTACCAAAAATATCAATTTTAGAGCATGTTAATTACTTTCCCATTACAGGAAATTATTTTCTTAGCAAATTCTAGCATGTCATGAGTTCCTTCTAAAACCACCCACCAAACCACCAAGCATAAAAAAATTCGAGATCATCAAACATATACACAACATATATAAAAATCACAGATCTGTAAACCGATTTAAAACTCGCAATTTATCATTTTTTTTTTTAGTTTAAGTTCCATAATCACTTTAACCATAGTTCAGGACGTCCTTACCCAAATCTGTTCACTCCCAAAACCTACCAAAGAGCCGAAAAGTAGAAATCAGAGCCTCGAATAAACAAAGAAAAAACCAAATAGCAAAAAGAAAAAAACCTACTTAGGTTAAACCCTCGCCGCCGGCTCTGGCGCAGGCCGCGCAACCGGCGACCGCCGCCCTTCCCTTCCTTCCCTCGGCAGAGATCCGAAACATAAACAATAAAAAAACACCAAAGCTCAAACAGGTTAAATCTCTATCTAATGCATAAATCGAACTAAAAGAGACATGCATGTAGAAAAATCTTACCAGAGGGTAAGAGTCACCCCTCGTCGCCATCGTTTTGGTGAGGAAGGTCGGGTTGAGATACTAGGCGAACAGGCGAGAGTCCCGCCTCGGTTCGAGTCGATTTCCGGAAAAACAAAAGAAAACGAAAAGAAACTTAGTAGAATCCATTTGAAAATCAGAAAATAGAAAGAAAAAAGGCCATGCATGTCTCGATCTTACCTAGATCGAAACCTTCTAGGCTGATTTAACTCGACGCAAGCGGTCTCCTTGGCTAACCGAGAGAAAGAAAGAGAGAGGGGCGGCGGTTGAAAGTCGAAGAGCGTTGTTTTAGGTTTTGATTTTGGTTTTTCTCTGGAAGGGAAGGAAGAAGAAGAGGCTGGCGGCGGTGAAAACCCAGAGGGGTTTTTGGTTCGAAGAAAAGAAGATGAGGGCGGCGCTGTTTTTGCTAGGGTTCTAGCTTGCTCTCTGGAAGAGAGACGAGAGATGGAGAGGCAGAAAGGTTTGAGAGATGGAGAGATAGAGAGTGGCGGCCGTTTTTGGTCTGATTGGATTAGGGTTTCCATTTTCGATTTAAGAGACAAATTTATACCCACCCGAAAACGACTAAACTACCCCTAGGGTTTATGGTTTATTACTTGGCCTTGCCACCGCGTTTTTGGTTATTTACGAAAATACCCTTTCCCCTTCTCTGAAGTAAAACGAAGGATCTATAAAAATTTGTTGCAAGGGGGTTTCGAACCCGTGTCCTCGCGCTCGAACAACGCGTTTAGGACTGACGTTTCGGCCAGTTGGGCTGCTGGCCCATCATGCACTGGCTTAATCATCTTGTTTAATTTTATTCTTATAAAATCCTTAGTACGAAATGAATTGCGGATTAAATTTATCTCGTTTCTTTTCAATACGTCACAATACTTCCTAATAACTAAAATACTTGCATTTGTTGTCATAACCTCATAATAATCTAAATGAATTTTTAATAACAATATTATAATACGAAATTCACGATCAGTGGAACGTGATTACGATTAAATTTTCAAAGTCCAAACGAACTACGTGGACTTTGATCCCGTCTAACGGGTACGTAGGCAACCGATAAGGTTCGAGTCCAACTAATCAACTAACTTTATCTTTAAATTTTTACGTCAGTGGGCGATAATTAAATTACAACTAATACGACTCAATCATTAAATGGTCCAGTGGGACCCTAAAATTACAAAATTATTACTAAAATACACCCAACTCGCATAAAAACTTATCGACTTAAGTAGTACCGATTTAGGGCGTTGTGGGGGTGTTGCTTAACTTCCCCACACGTAACCGTACTCCCGAACCCAGAACTTTATTTTCGCAGACCAGATCTCGGTTCTGACCCTAAGGTTAGAGCCGATCCTAAGAGTGTTCGATCCACTCCAAGTAAGATCGATGGCGACTCCCAAAAACGCCGACGCGACGACGTTCGGACCCCCGGACGGGACGGTTGCGACAGTTGGCGACTCCGCTGGGGACTATTAGAGAGTCGAGCTACATAATTAAGTTTGATAAGTTTTTCTAACTTCCTATTACGTGTTGGGTGTTTACTTTATTATTTGCGCAATTATATTTTCGCAATTTAATTCTGCATTCATGCATAAAAGCTCTATACCCGAGCTATCCTATTAGAAACGGAAAAGGAGTACCGTGACATCCACAGTAGTGGTAGTCACGCAAAACTTTCTAACCAAGTTGAACTCGGATCCAAGGATGATCTCGAGGTATCTAGCCAGTTCGAAAGGGCTACGGCAGGATACAACTTGGGAACCAAATCCCTAGGAATTTCTCTGCCAGCATATAGTAAGCATAGAGGCCTCCCTAAACCGTCCAAAACAATCCCCAAAGACACCATGAAACCGTGTCGTTACGCCATTCGAAAGCCCTATGTCTACCTAATTAGGGTAATGATGTAATGATATGTGTTTGCTTATCCAGATGTATGTTTGATTACGATGTAATGATGTGCGTTTTATCTTTTACTCGTAAAACTGTGTGATTGCATTAATGAAAAACGTTTTGAAAATTCATAAACATTGTTCTCTCATAAGATTTTCATTCACCCATTCACAATTTTATCATAAGAAGCTTAAAAATGCATGCATGAGATGAAAAATGATTTTGCATTCATACATCATTGCATTTTTGCATAAGCATCATGCATAAATATAAAGAACAAAATTAATTTAACACTGTTGAGACAAAATCAGGTTTCCTTAAAATTGCTCGTCCACAAGGAAAAAGTCAGGACTTCAAGTACTTAACTAAATCCAAGCTCGAGTTCGTCATGGAAGTGTTCCAGAAAAAGTTAAGCGACATTGAAGGAAAGATAACCGGATTCGATGAAAAGCTAGCCGGGTTCGATGAAATGAAGGATCAACTGAATATGATAGTAAATATCTTATTAGCTAAAGGGAAAGGGGTAGTATCTAACGATGGAGAAATACACTCTGATGAAGAAGATCGCGATGGGAACATGAAAGGTGAAGCTTCTAGTGCCAAGATCCCCGTCATACCCTCAAAAGACGTATTTGAAAAGAAGAACATGGGATCTCCAATACATGATCGAGAGGAAGACAAATTGGAAGAAGCCATGGACGACGTCCTATTAAAAGAAAAATGGGAATACCTGGATGAAAGGGTGAGAGCAATTGAGGGGGTAGAATCCTATGGTTCTACAGATGCCAAACAATTGTGCCTAGTGCCAGACGTAATAATTCCCAATAAATTTAAAATTCCAGAGTTTGAAAAGTATGACGGTACCACGTGCCCCAGAAACCATCTGATCATGTATTGCAACAAAATGGCTAACCACATTAGAGACGACAAGCTCATGATACATTGCTTCCAGAATAGCCTAAGTGGTTCGGCGCTAAGATGGTATATGCAACTCGAAAGATCGAAGGTGAAGAGGTGGCAAGATTTAGCTGATGCGTTCATAAGACATTACAAGCACAACCAAGATCTAGCTCCTGACCGAGAAGATTTACGTAACATGGAAAAGCAAGAAAATGAATCTTTCCGTGAATATGCACAGAGGTGGCGAGGAAAGGCCGCAGATGTTCAACCCCCGTTGTCAGAAAAAGAAATGGTTTCGACCTTCTTCGAAACACTAAAGCCTCCATATTACAACAACATGGTAGGAATCACTACAACAAACTTTGCTGATTTGTTAGTAATTGGAGAACGAATAGAGAAGGGGATTAAGCTAGGAAAAATGGAAATCCCAGAAGCCTCTAAGAAACCGCACCAAGCCCGAAGGGGAGAAGGAGAAGTCAATTATACTCAAACAGAATCATCAAGAGGGAGAAGGTGGGATCATCAACCTCAGGCCAATCAAGCTCGTCCCCATGTTGCAAACCCTGCCATGATTAGACATCCAACTTTTTCTACTCAACGAACAATCCAAAGCCCGACACAAATCGCACCACCAAATAACCAAGACCAGAACAATCCCGGGAAATACAAAAAACCTCTCCAAATCGACCCTATCCCCATTACATACACCGAACTTCTCCCCCAACTAATTCAGAGTCACCTAATTTCCCCAATACCATGTGAGCCAATGAAACCTCCATATCCAAATTGGTACAGGTCAGATCAACACTGTGCTTACCACTCAGGAGTAGCGGGACACTCAACTGAAGATTGTCGAATGTTCAAGATCAAAGTCCAACAAATGATGAAAGCTGGTTGGTTAAAGTTTGAAGAAGATCCTAAATCCCCAGACGTCAGCAACAACCCACTGCCAACTCATGAGAATTAGTAGGCATGTTACAAGGCAAAGCTCGATTCAAGGATGATGTTGATCCTATCTAATAAATGAACTATCGAGATTATTGCCATAGCAAAATATGTATCACTTTTGCTTTTATCATCATAAATAAAAGGTCTCTCATGTTTCGACCTCTTTGGAGCATCAAGTGAACAGTGTCAATCTTTATTTAAGAGTTCGCATCAATGATTTGTTTGTATAACAAATGCCACTTCCAATCTTAAAAAAAAAAAAATTCTAAAAAAATGAAAGCCATCAAAATCCAGTTTTATTTTCAAGCTAAAGCCATGAGATTTTCATGCCAAAAAAAATGTGAGTACCCCACTGGTGCTGAGATTTGGGACACCCCACTGGTGTCAAGTGATTATAAACACCATGCTACTGTCAATAATTTGAACACCCACTGGTGTTAAGAGTGTACGTGTTTTGCTAAAATCGAGAGATAAACACCCTACTGGTGACCATGAATAGTCAAAAGGTGTAATGAGTATACGACATCATGCTACTTGTAGAATCTCGTCACCATTATAGTCGACTTTCACCACCAAATTGAGGCTCAGTTTACGTGAAGTCAAATAGCCAAACCCCGATGCACATGGAGCCAAACATTTCTATAATAGCAAGAAAACCCTCTCAGAGTCTCACGAGTGAAGCACTCATATATACAAACAAGCACATTGCGTCAGAATCCTCGCTTGTACGGAAAAAAGAATAGTCTATTCAACCTAGCCAACGAGAAGAGGCACCCACATTATCAATCATCAAGACAAACTCTCCACTTTTCGATACTACTCCTACCAAAGACAAATTCTAGATCAAGGAAAATGAGAAGCACATATGGGGGCATACCATAGCCAAGTAAGTCCCGCACGAAGAAAAAAGCTGGAAAAAAATAAATAAATATTTTGTGGGACTTACAAATTAGGTGCCCCTAATTAAGCATTTGAAGTATCAACCGCATGCATCAAGTCAAGGTCTTACAAGGAAAATATAATGACCTCAAGCCAAGACCTTCCATGATAAGAAAGCCTTTTCGGCCAAAATCACTTCGTCCCAGATATTCATCATTTTGAGAGCAAGTCAGAAGCTAAAGCTCCACCACAACCCACATTTAGAGGTCAAACAAAAACCTTGACAAGTCCATAACCAGATTACATTCGCAAAAACTTCAAAACCACGACTCTTGAAACCATAATCTCAAAGACAGGGGGCAAAGCCAGCCAAACACACATTCCCCCAAATATGCTCAAGACTGGCGACATTTTCAAACAAATCTTCGCCGAAAAAAGTCCGGGATAGTAGTAGTTCTCAACCTATCATGTCAATCCCATACATTGGGGGCAAAACCAGAATCCCTCTACAAGAAGCCTTAGGGGTAATACCAAAATCTGACTTATCTGTCACCCATCTGGATAAACCACACTTCAAGAGCAAGAAGCCTCTTTTATGGGAGATCAAAACGTCTGCGATGAACCATATGGTGATCTTCTAAATCAATTGCATCAAGGGCTTCCACATTAAGTAAATCTTCACAAGAAACGCAGTTGGCCACCAACATAAAATGAGACATCTCAAGGTGACCAGAATCTTAATGGTAGCTGAAATGTCGTACACTCAAATCACCTATAGGAATTAGTGGTGAGCGGAACCAAAAGTGGAAGTGAGAGCGAGCAAAATCAAAAGCAAGAGTGAGAGTGAGGGCTTACTGATATTCTCATGGCTTGACTTACACTTCTTTTATTGAAAAAATCAAATTTGACCACATGGCAACTACCACGCAAAAACGATTTTATCCAATTTGCACACACTTCACAAAGCAAAGTCTTAATATGGCTTTCATTATTAATTCTCCAATAAACATTTTCAAACATTGTTGCATTCATCTTAAGTCAAGATTGATAAAGTCACTCTTTGTTCTGGAGAATAGAAAGTGAGCAACAGATCTTTGGGGGGCAAAAACGGTGCAGTATGGAAGAAGGGGAAGTCTGAGTACCCAAGAATCAGATTATTCAACTTCACTCATGAGCTGATGAAGAAATCTCAAAGGGATTTGAGAACATTCAAATCTCATTAAACCAACCATCCAACTTATTATCCTTAAACTTCAGGGTCAGAAGGAGAGGGGACCAATATACTGCACATACCAAGAGATGCACAACTCTGAAATATGTGGGTCCAAACTTGACCGACAAGAAGAACAGAGATAAAACACATCATTACCTTAGCTCACAAAGTATATCTTCGCGCAACTACCACCAAGAAGATATACCTCAGGACAACAAGTTCAAAATCGCTTCAGCATTAGCACGAACTATGGATCAAGTTGATCGAAAGGGATTGACAATCTTCGAAGATGAGCAATTTAAAGGAAACCCAGACAAAAATTGCATAGAGATTATCAAATGCATCAGATCTTCTTTTCACTCAACATTCACGACTTCATCAATTTCGAAAATCATTTTGATACTCCTTAAACAACATCATATGTTAAAATGGGTCATGCATTTATTGCCAGCAATTCCCAAAATAACTCATACATTTAATTGGATTTCCGATGTTTGTAAAAAGGAATCGCTACAAGATACAACAACTACATTCACGTGAATTCTTCAAGTCTCATGTTTAGCTTTGACGTGCATTTATGACAAGTCATAACAACGGTTTAGGAACGTCCTAAGCAAATACCATGAACATACGATATCGGTGCGGGCGAACAATCGCGAGCCCTCTAATAGACGTGTTCCGTCGACTATCACGGACATTACAAAAACTACCTAGTCAATTTGTTTCGTCGACTATCACGAGCAAATTAGATAATCTTTGTGATGTGTTCAGTCGACTATCACGGGCAATTAAAAAACCCTAGTCAATTTGTTTCGTCGTCTATCACAAGCAAATTAGACCCTTGCTAAACTTGTTCCGTCGACTATCACGGGCAAGGCAAAAATTACCTTGTCAATTTGCTTCGTCGGCTATCATGAGCAAATTTAAAACCTCCTTCCGAAGTTGTTCCGTCGGCTATCACGGCCAGTTTAGAAAACCAAGTCAATTTGTCTCGTCGACTATCACGAACAAATTGGATCCCCTGCTAAGATTGTTCCGTCGACTATCACGGGCAAGGTAGAAATCCTAGACAATTTGTTTCGTCGACTATCACGAGCAAATTAGACCATCTTTTTAAATTGTTCCGTCGACTATCACGGACAATTCAAAAATTACCTAGTCAATTTGTTACGTCGACTATCACGAACAAATTGGATCCCCTGCTAAACTTGTTCCGTCGACTATCACGGGCAATTTAGAAACTAACTAGTCAATTTGTTTTGTCGTCTATCACAAGCAAATTAGACCCTCTGCTAAACATGTTCCGTCGACTATCACGGGCAGTTTAGATAACTAAGTAAATTTGCTTCGTCGGCTTTCACGAGCAAATGAGATCCCTCCTTCTAAAACTTATTTCGTCGACTATCACGGACAATGTAGAAAACCTAACCCCACTCTGCATACCGCGAGGGGGCAACCAAATTTCCGAGTCAGCTTACCGTAACCGAAAGAAAAAAACCTTCACCCACTCTGCATACCGCAAGGGGGCAACCAAAATCCCAAGTCTGCTCTACCGCCACGGGAATAAATCTGCATCCACTTTGCTTACCACACCAGGCAACCAAACTCCAAAGTCTTCCCTACAGTCATGGGAACAAGTCAACATCTCACATAGCTACAATTCACGGGAGCTGAGGAGCGCCCCAACCATTCAAAACCTCACGGGAGCTGAGGAGCGCCCCTACCATTCAATACCGCACGGGAGCTGAGGAGCGCCCCAACCAATCAAAACCTCACAGGAGCTGGCGAGCCCCTCTATCAGTCAACAACGCACGGGAGCTGAGGAGCGCCCCAACCAATCAAAACCTCACAAGAGCTGGCGAACCCTCTATCAGTCAACAACGCATGGGAGCTGAGGAGCGCCCCAACCAATCAAAACCTCACAAGAGCTGGCGAGCCCTCTATCAGTCAACAACGCATGGGAGCTGAGGAGCGCCCCAACCAATCAAAACCTCACAGGAGCTGGCGAGCCCCTCTATCAGTCAACAACGCACGGGAGCTGAGGAGCGCCCCAACCAATCAAAACCTCACAGGAGCTGGCGAGCCCCTCTATCAGTCAACAACGCATGGGAGCTGAGGAGCGCCCCAACCAATCAAAACCTCACAGGAGCTGGCGAGCCCCTCTATCAGTCAACAACGCACGGGAGCTGAGGAGCGCCCCAACCAATCAAAACCTCACAAGAGCTGGCGAGCCCTCTATCAGTCAACAACGCATGGGAGCTGAGGAGCGCCCCAACCAATCAAAACCTCACAGGAGCTGGCGAGCCCCTCTATCAGTCAACAACGCACGGGAGCTGAGGAGCGCCCCAACCAAATCAATACCTCATAGGAGCTGGCGAGCCCCTCTATCATTCAATAACGCATAAGAGATAACGAGCGCCCCTACCAGTAAATACCTAACCGGAGCTGGCAAGCGCTAACGAAATATAGCAGAAGATGATTGACGGGCATCAGAAGAAACCGTCGACGCTGTCGAGCATCAAAGAAATACAATAAAGTGAGTATTAGAAAATTACTCGCGTTGGCGAACGCTATATAAAAACGTAAATTCTCCATCATTGACAAAGACTATCAAAGGAATTGAAGCCCTCTTAATCGGCGATCTTATGCCAACACACAAAACTAACAACAGTTCTCACATAAAAAATAAAAAAAACCCTACTCTCCTTGAAACTCTAACACAACTATCGAGACTACTCTCACAAAATGTGATGTCTTTATAGACACTTTGTATAACTCTTTATACAAAGAGATATACAAAGGGGGGCAACTGTAGACACCACATTTTGTCCGAGATAATTGTTTTATTGAAAATAATTTTGTCACGTCATACTACAATTATATTTAAATAGAAGTTGAAGATAGTTTGGTTGAGACTAGCAGTTGCAAGTCAATATGAATCAACAATTATCAAATTTGCTCCTAGTCGATTCTAGGGCCTAATTAGTTAAGATAGGACCGGTTTAAGTTAAGATTAGCAGTGGCAAATCTTACATATAAATTCTCAATTGGATGGAAGAAATGACTTTAGTGCAAATTTTGTTGCTCGAGTTTGGATTTGAATTCGGTATTTGAAATGGGACAAATTGAATAGTGGAATGAGCTTTATTATCAAAGATTGTACAACTTGGGTAATGACCTCTAAATGAAGCAAGAATTATAATTAACTACAATAACTAATGCTAACTCTACAAAATTTGGGGCACCAATCAGATCAAGACTAGGCCTCTTTGCTATTTCTTTTGGGCCCAAAGCAAACCCAACCTGCAGAAAAAAAGAAGACCAGTCAGTTCTCAAGTGAGAGTCCAAGTCCATAGATTAAGCCCAAATCAAAATAATTCAAGACTAGACAGAGCCCAGTATCGGCCCAGAAAATTTATGACAGGCCCAGCCCAGACAAACGTCCAACAAACAGGCCCAGCTCGGCCCATCGAAATCGGACCATAACCGAACCGGCCTGGTTCGGCCTGACCACATCCCATCCACAGCCGACCTCAACACCAGGCACACTCTTCAAAGTCATATTAAAAAAATGGACGAATTATATAGCGACACGTGGCCCTTTGGTTTGCTTTAAATGAGCTCCTTGAGCTCTTTGTTGTAGGGGGGACGAATGGAAAAAAGGAGAGAAACATACAGAAAATTCTAAAAAAAACAAGAGACTAATCTTTTCATTACAACAACTGAGCCCAGATCTGAAGGGTGGAGCACAAAGAAGTGTTCTTGGAGCAGAATTCCCAATCAGGTTGGTACTTTTGACTCTGCTTTAATGTTGATAGATAGCATTTTAGCTCGTTTCATCCAGTCTTGATCATTATACAGTTGCAATATCCATCAACTTGTATTGAAGCAATTTAATTTACAAACACTTCTGCATTCTTTACGTTCAAGAACTGTATTTACTTGTAATAAGATCTGCTCATAGCCATAGCAATTCCAATTCGGCATTAAGCTTCTTTCAATTGAGTATTTATTTACTTCTCCTATCAATTCATAGACTATTTTAAAGTTATGTTATGCTTTCCATTTCCTTGCAAGCAAATAGCTAGCCAATAGTCGATTTATCATATACAAGCAAATAGACAGAGGTCTTTAGAAACAAGCAAATAGATCCGGAGCAATCCAGATCTAGATACAACAAAAACACCCTAAATATGATAAAATTTCAGATTTCAAACTGTTGCAAAATCAAAAGCCGAGGCAGTGATTTGTAATTATCATTACCAAAAATATCAATTTTAGAGCATGTTAATTACTTTCCCATTACAGGAAATTATTTTCTTAGCAAATTCTAGCATGTCATGAGTTCCTTCTAAAACCACCCACCAAACCACCAAGCATAAAAAAATTCGAGATCATCAAACATATACACAACATATATAAAAATCACAGATCTGTAAACCGATTTAAAACTCGCAATTTATCATTTTTTTTTTTAGTTTAAGTTCCATAATCACTTTAACCATAGTTCAGGACGTCCTTACCCAAATCTGTTCACTCCCAAAACCTACCAAAGAGCCGAAAAGTAGAAATCAGAGCCTCGAATAAACAAAGAAAAAACCAAATAGCAAAAAGAAAAAAACCTACTTAGGTTAAACCCTCGCCGCCGGCTCTGGCGCAGGCCGCGCAACCGGCGACCGCCGCCCTTCCCTTCCTTCCCTCGGCAGAGATCCGAAACATAAACAATAAAAAAACACCAAAGCTCAAACAGGTTAAATCTCTATCTAATGCATAAATCGAACTAAAAGAGACATGCATGTAGAAAAATCTTACCAGAGGGTAAGAGTCACCCCTCGTCGCCATCGTTTTGGTGAGGAAGGTCGGGTTGAGATACTAGGCGAACAGGCGAGAGTCCCGCCTCGGTTCGAGTCGATTTCCGGAAAAACAAAAGAAAACGAAAAGAAACTTAGTAGAATCCATTTGAAAATCAGAAAATAGAAAGAAAAAAGGCCATGCATGTCTCGATCTTACCTAGATCGAAACCTTCTAGGCTGATTTAACTCGACGCAAGCGGTCTCCTTGGCTAACCGAGAGAAAGAAAGAGAGAGGGGCGGCGGTTGAAAGTCGAAGAGCGTTGTTTTAGGTTTTGATTTTGGTTTTTCTCTGGAAGGGAAGGAAGAAGAAGAGGCTGGCGGCGGTGAAAACCCAGAGGGGTTTTTGGTTCGAAGAAAAGAAGATGAGGGCGGCGCTGTTTTTGCTAGGGTTCTAGCTTGCTCTCTGGAAGAGAGACGAGAGATGGAGAGGCAGAAAGGTTTGAGAGATGGAGAGATAGAGAGTGGCGGCCGTTTTTGGTCTGATTGGATTAGGGTTTCCATTTTCGATTTAAGAGACAAATTTATACCCACCCGAAAACGACTAAACTACCCCTAGGGTTTATGGTTTATTACTTGGCCTTGCCACCGCGTTTTTGGTTATTTACGAAAATACCCTTTCCCCTTCTCTGAAGTAAAACGAAGGATCTATAAAAATTTGTTGCAAGGGGGTTTCGAACCCGTGTCCTCGCGCTCGAACAACGCGTTTAGGACTGACGTTTCGGCCAGTTGGGCTGCTGGCCCATCATGCACTGGCTTAATCATCTTGTTTAATTTTATTCTTATAAAATCCTTAGTACGAAATGAATTGCGGATTAAATTTATCTCGTTTCTTTTCAATACGTCACAATACTTCCTAATAACTAAAATACTTGCATTTGTTGTCATAACCTCATAATAATCTAAATGAATTTTTAATAACAATATTATAATACGAAATTCACGATCAGTGGAACGTGATTACGATTAAATTTTCAAAGTCCAAACGAACTACGTGGACTTTGATCCCGTCTAACGGGTACGTAGGCAACCGATAAGGTTCGAGTCCAACTAATCAACTAACTTTATCTTTAAATTTTTACGTCAGTGGGCGATAATTAAATTACAACTAATACGACTCAATCATTAAATGGTCCAGTGGGACCCTAAAATTACAAAATTATTACTAAAATACACCCAACTCGCATAAAAACTTATCGACTTAAGTAGTACCGATTTAGGGCGTTGTGGGGGTGTTGCTTAACTTCCCCACACGTAACCGTACTCCCGAACCCAGAACTTTATTTTCGCAGACCAGATCTCGGTTCTGACCCTAAGGTTAGAGCCGATCCTAAGAGTGTTCGATCCACTCCAAGTAAGATCGATGGCGACTCCCAAAAACGCCGACGCGACGACGTTCGGACCCCCGGACGGGACGGTTGCGACAGTAATCTACTAGAGTCTCTATGGAATACACTTTCTTTTGTCGGTCAAATTCGCCTTCCCAACTCCTAAATTCATACGACCTTTTAGGTGATATTAATTGCAAGAACATTTGTATTTTCGTTTTAGCTCTACAAGCTAACTTTATCATATTTAAAATTGAATTTTGGGGTTAGTCATGTAACAATTAATTTTGAAGATAATTTTTTGGAACTATGAGGAGTGAGACTCCTTGACATATCGTGGCAAGGAAGCAACAATTTTGTTTAATATGTTATCAAATTTTTCTCTGGATGCGAGGTCTCAAAAATCGGTCTTTTAGTCATCATGGAATCATAATCCTAAGATCTTCGTGATATTTAGTTTTCAATTTATTGAAGTACTTGATTCATGCCCCTAAACTTTTGTGTTTATTAAGTGTATTTGAAATTTACGAGACAAAATATCAAATATGGAACTAGCAATTTAGGTCCTTCATTGGTGACTATCAATCCACAATATGTCCTTTCAAATTATACAATTTCATATCTAAACTTGTATCGTGATCAACAAATATCATAAATACTGGAAAATATTTTCATTAATGTATTGGACTATATAAAAAATCAATCATAAAAGTTTTCTTCGTGTATATATATCTAACTTTTGCTATTTACCCACATTATAAGTAGCCGCAACACATATAAAATGCATAATAATCAAACACCCGCCTAGAGAGCAGGCTCGGTGCTAGTTTAGTTTGAGATAAAAGGGGGAAGAGATCCAATTGCTTTTCTAACCTTTTTTATTATTTTTTTTCTTTTGTTGAAAATCGTTCTTGGTGTTGTTTATTTATAATTATTTTAACTTTCAAATTTATATTAAAAATTATTTATTTATTGAATATCTTTCCTTTAGGATTTTTTTTCCATACTACCCAATTTATAAATAAAATTTATCAAATACTATGCTTCTAAAATAAAATAGTTTGGTGTTCGACTCGTTGGTCGGAATGGCATTTAAATATAATATATTTATGATGTGTATATTAAAGTATTCAAAATATTTTAAATGTGTATTTGTACTCAACAGTTAAATTAATTGTTAAAATTTAATTAAAATAATTAAATATGAAAAATAAAATATCAAACACCTAAGAAATACTTAGAGGAGTTAGTGAGCTAGCTAAACATAGTGGAAAAGTCATATGATTTTAAGATTTTAGGTTTCGATATGTTTTAGTTTAAGAAGCTGCACTAAATACGTTTAGTATAACTGGTAATTATTCATATCATTGTTTAAAGATGTCATGGTTCAAACCACATGATCGATTTTTTTTTTTTTTTGAGGAATAAGAAATAAATAATTGTGAAGATAAATCTACCCTTCCTACTTTCACTCTCATTAGAGGAAATTCGAAATGATGAAAAACTACTCCCAACTCTTCTATTATACATTCACTAGCTTGGTGTCTGCCCCGTTGGTCGGAATGTCTTTTGATTACAACGTATTTATGATGTGTATCTAAATTTATCAAATCATTTAAACGCTAAATTTCATATGAGTATGACATTGAGGTGGCCTCGAAATTATGTTTCCATTTTTTAAAGTCTTATTACTTTTCATCAATGATGAACACTACAATCTTAATGATTATAAACAAAGTTGTCAAACTGGTTTAAGTCGTTGAGCTAGTCAAACAAGTTGTTTGAAGTTTCATGGTTTGATTTGGGTCCAACTTGTTTGAGTCGTTTTACATCTTTTTATATATACCTATCTTAGTACCCGCCCACCATCCCATTCTCTTTCTCCCTCCCCCTGCCCCCTTCCAACAATCTGAACAGTGACTTTGTGTAGACCATTATAGAGCACGACTTTGGTCGGACCTGGTACAATCGGTCGACCAGTGATGGTTTAACAACCTTGGTTATAACACTCGCGAATAATTATTCATGACTTATCTATTTAAGATGTAGTCACTTAGTTGTCTATGGTTGAAAAGAAAATTAACATAATAAAAAAAGAGTTTGTCTTACAAAGCATAGTATAAATAGAAAATACATAATCATAACCTTTACCAATATTTCTTTCTTTTTCTTGAGAAATAATACACATTTATCAATATCTAAACCTCAAAGTATTCTACACAATAACAAAAATAGTGAGAAAATAACATTCTCCTACCATACTCTATGTAGTGAAAAAATGTTTATCAACTCAAATCTAGTTGAAGGACAATCTTATTCACTCAACAAAAATATTAAACCTATCTTGTGGTACCTACCTTGCTAATGCACATGATCACATCAATGCGTTTATGAAAACTCCAGCCTGACTTTCATGATTTATCTTGTACCGCGGTTATTTCGTATTAACTAAATAACTCTGAATGATACATATGGCAATTTCTCTATAAGATAAAAGATTTAAATAAGTGAAATCATCAACAAAATTAGTATTTAGAAATCGTGTTCTTTTAAACTCACTCATGGGTCCAATCATGTCGTTTTATCAAGAGATTTAGGATCTAACAATGAATCGAACTAAAACTTTTAAAGAACTAATCACTTATAGTTAGCATAATAATATCATGGGCTAATACCACTACAACACCCGAACTATCACGAAAATGCCACTTATGTCCTATTGTTTCCAATATTCCATCTGTGTCCTGAACTATGATTCCGTTAGTGTTGACTTTTGTTGACCGTTAGTTTTTAACATAAAATCTAGTCAGCACTGATGTGGCATCTGACGTGGAATTTTTAATATTAATTTTTTTTACATCCAATATTAATAAAATAAGAAAAAAGAAATAATTAAAATATAAAAGAAATAAAAACTTAACCCACTAATCCCTTCGTCCCACCCACACAAATCTCTACATTTTAACAGAAACGTAACCCACCAAACCCCCAATCCTCTTAAACAACCCCAATACCCTTGTCGATCTACTCCCTCCTCCACCCTATCTCCCTCACCGTCGATCTACTCCCCTCCTTCTTCCCCAATTATATGGCCTCTCAGATCCCTAATCCATGATTGAACAGAGAATCACCAGTCCCTCCAGTTAAATCCCAGTTGCAAAGATTCAAATCCTCTTTTCTAGTTAGGTGAGAACGAATGCCCCCTCAAGATGGAAATTAGGGGTTTCTTTTTGTAAAAGAAGTCGAATCAGCAAAATGAGAACAGGGGATTCGTGAGGTAATTGGTGATCATCGTGTCTCTGATCTCCTCCACCATCTTCGGCGGCACCCTCTTTCTTCCGCCGCCGAGATTCCCGAGACCCGCTGGCTGTGGCATCGCCGTACGGCATCCAATGGCTCCTATGCTTCCCCATCGACACGCGTCTTCTTCTGGGCCTACGCCTACTACCTCTCCCGGTTCCTCCACCTCTGTTGTATCTTCCTCAACGTTCTCCGTCGCCGTAAAAACACTAGGCCTGGGGATTCGACTGGTGCCTAGGTTATTTTTTTATCTTTGAAATTTGATCTGTTTTGCTACCAGACCAGATCCATCCTCCCCTATGTGAACGACAACAAGCTTCAGTTGCAATCATCTGTCGGATTCACGGGAGCGGGTCTCAACTGGTGGGCAGATTTTCTAGCTTGGGAGATTTTTTAGAGAGGGTGAATTGGTAGAGAAGAAGAATACCAAGAGTTTTTTTTTTTAATTTTTGGCTTAATAATAAAGTTAAATTTACAAAAAATTAATTTTCATTTAATTTAAATTAAAAATATGAGGTGTCAATGATGTGGCACCTATGTGGCAATCACAATTTTGCCACGTCAACAATAGTCAACTTTGCTTTGACCACCGTTTGGTACCGTTATTTTTAACGGTCAATGAAACAGTCAAGATACAAATGACACAAAGTATCATAGTTCAGGACATGAATGGAATATTTAATACAATAGGACACAAATGGCATTTTTTCGATAGTTTGGGTGTTGTAGTGGTATTTGCCCTAATATCATTGCTTTATGGTAGTTTTAAAAATTAATATGCAATATTAAGAATTATACAACACTTCTACACATTCACTACTGCAATTAATATGCAATATTTGAATACATTATATTTAAGTTGTAATTTAAAACTATTCTCCATATATAAGATAGAAATAAATTAAATTTATTATTAAACTCAAATTAAAATAATCAAAATCTAAAATTCAAATATTGAACACCAAGAAAAGTACTTAAGGGAGCAGTAGTGGCTAGCTAAAAATAGTGGAATAGTCATATGATTTTCATATTTTAGATTTTCTATTTTTATATTTGAAAAGATACAATACATTTCGTTAGTGTGATTGGTAATCATTGTTGTCTTCATTTGAAAAGATCATGGTTCAAATCTTGAGATTAATGTACTTTTTTATTCTTCTTATGAATAAAGAATATATAATAATTGTGAATACAAATCTACCCTTCTAACTTTCGCTCTCGTGACCGGAAATTTGAAATTTTGAAAAACTACCCCAACTCTGCTATAATATATTTGTAGAAGATTTCCAAAATAATTAAACTTTGACACATTCGTCGTGGTACACAATGATTTTATCAAAACTGTTGCCATCGAGGCACCAAGATGATGGTAAACAGCCGACGGATGGAGATTTCACGACAATGATGGGGGTGTAATGCCAAGAATATTTTGCCACACTAGTAAAGAAGTCAAATAACTAGTCCAAGCGTCCTTCAACGATCAAACGATTGAAAGATGCCCAAGGAAGGGAGGATGAAGTCGCCATTGTTTGTGCATATGAAGGAGCTGACCCAACAACTCAAGAAAGCTTTAATGAAGCCGGAAAATGGACGTGTGGCATCTTTGTTAATTTGTGAGCATGTGGTGAAAAAGATCATGAAGGGTTAGACAGGTATAGCCAAGGAGCTCAAGGACATATGATGATGTCAACTATATAAATCAATGCTATCAATCAAAGACCTCAACAAGGGAGCTATCCTCCTTATCAAATATTCAACCAACCTTGCATAATGCATACCGTATGGTCAATGTCTTCCTCGGAGGAAAGAGACCTGAGGACTACCCTAAAATCACCTCTACCAATGCACCTTATGAAGCACAATGGAAAAAGAAATCAAGTCTACATGGATTTGGCAATCGACCTCAATACAAGGCTCAAGGAGAAGGTGTCTCCAATCATCAACCCACCATATTTGAGAAGCTAAAGGCAACTATGATAGGATTACAAACGAGCTACAAGAACATCAAAAGATAACTTGCACTCCTAATCGATGCCTAACCTCAAAAGTTTCAAAAAAACCTCCCAAGCAATAAAGAATAATCCAAAGAACGAGGAAGAAAAAGTCATCTCGACAAGGATTGGAACAACCAAAAGTTTTCCAAGTATAAAAAAGGAAGAAAAGAAGAAAGGAGCTGAGTATCCATCCCTCTTCCAAAATCTGATAAATGGTTTGGAGGAGTAGAAGTGGCAGTGCCAATATTGGAGAACATGATTTCCATGGATGATCTTAAAGGAAAGCTCGAGATTTTCACGGAGGAAGATGAGATGGTCTAAGATAAAGATGCCACGATCAAGAAAACTCCTTGGGGTTACAAATAATTTGTCTTAGTCAATGAAGCAAAGGAGAATCTCGGACATTACAAAAGAAAGAAATGAAGAAAGGAGCTGAGTATCCATCCCTCTTCAGAAATCTGATAAAAGCTTTTGGAGGAGTAGAAGTGGCAGTGCCAATATTGGAGAACATGATTTCCATGGAAGATCTTAAAGGGAAGCTTGAGATTTTCATGGAGGAAGATGACATGGTTGAAGATAAAGAGGCAACGATCAAGAAAACCCCTTGGGGTTACAAATAATTTGTCTTAGTCAATGAAGCAAAGGAGAATCTCAGACATTGCATCATCAAATGTCTTCTCGATGACCATCACATGGAAAAAGGTCATGTTGAACTTGGCTCAGGTGTCAACATACTACCACTGCATCTATATAAAGAGATGATAATAGCTAACATGGAGTACGCTAACGTAGAGATCAAGCTAGCCAACAACACCACTTGCTGAGCTCTTTGAGTTATTCGTGTCTTACACACCCAAGTTGGCCCGATCATTTTCTTTCCCAACTACCTCATGATTGACATGGACACAAGCAAAGAGTATTCCTAATTGGAAGGTCATTCCTTGCCACTGATGGAGAAAGAATTGACGCTCTCAACAGATTAGTAACTTTATATGTGAGAAAGCTCCTCTACAAAGTGGAGAAGTTAAATCAAAAGAAGTATTCCTAATTGACATGGACACAAGCAAAGAGTATTCCTAAGTGGAAGGTCATTTCTTGCCACTGATGGAGAAAGAATTGATGCTCTCAACGGATTAGTAACTTTACATGTGAGAAAGCTCTTGTACAAAGTGGAAAAGTTAAATCAAAAGAAGTGACGAACTCGAGGAATATTCAAAGGATGATCTAGAGAATGAGATTAAATTTTGATTTGATTATCTATTTTAGGATTCAACAAACATAATAGTTCATCAAAATGATCAATACCCAAAGTATGGCGGCGAGTTGAAGGAGGTTCCCCCAATTCCTGATCTAAAGCTAGTTGAAATGGCACTCAGGATTGCCATTACAAGGCAAAAGACGACTCTTCAAAAAATCGATGAGCTAGAGTATGATACATGAAAAGAGTATCAAGAGTTCATCAATCTTCATCAAACTATCGGGATTAACAATGAACCGATCCTTGCAACGCGATGAGGAGATGAAGATGAAGTTAAAGCTTGATCTAAAATCAACTAAAAGGGAACCTCACTAAGCATAGCTCAAAGGCATAAAAGAAAGAGCGCTTAATGAGAGGCAACCCATTTCTGGCATCAAACTTAATGACCTAAACAAAAGTGCTACCAAGGAGACATCCCATATTTTTCTTTTCGTAGTTAATTTTTAAATATCAAAGTTATTTTGGCTTAAAATTTTGAGTTGCTCATTGGAGGAATTCAATGTATCCCTCGGATAAGTGTTACATTTGGAGCAAAGTTTTGAACTTATGACGAGAAATAAGGATTTGATGACGTGAGAATAATACAAAAATCAATATGTGTGCTGCTGAGTTAAGTGTTCTAACGAAAAAATACTAGAAAGCGACGCAAAACGCAAAGTGAAGCAGCATCGGCCACACCTGCCGTACCCCCGTCGCTGCCCTAGGGCCTATAAAATCCCCCGTTTCGGTCACCATCACCCCACATCCCCTCATTTTTTTACTTCACTTCCTCTCAGCCGAAAACCCTCTCCCTTCTCTCTAGGTATAAAATTTTCCCCCAAATCCATCAACTTTCAATCACTAATTCCACCTGCAATACTCAAATTTTACTCTCAATATCACTTACCCATCACCAATTAAACAAAGGCCTACCTACGAAAATCCAAAAACACTAACCTTAAAAGCTCTAGCGGTTTGATCTGCAGCGCCACACCATTGCTCTTTCTCTCTCTTCATTTTTGATTTTTCTTCCACTTTCTGCACTTCTCATCATTCCAGGTAAGTACCCATGCTCTTTAGATGAATTTGGGAGCTTGAAACACGAATTTAAGACTTCGATTGAAGATTTAAAGTTTAAAATTCCTTGAGAAATGGAGTGACTTCTCCTGTTAATTTTTTTGCCTACGCTAGGCACAATCGATGTTTTGAATGAATGATAATAGCTAGTATGCTTAGAAATGAGATAACATGGTGCTTATGATGATCTTAATTGAATGTATGCTTTGATGGATTGATGAGTTTTAGCCAAGGTCATGCCAAAATGTTCAAAATTCTAGCATAGTATCTTTCGAATTGAGCTTTAAACATCAAGCTATGCTAAGTTTCGAACTTGATGGTATAAGTTTTGAATTTTTTAGATTCAATGGAAGTAGGAAAGCACACTTAGTTAAATCTCTATTGCAAGAGGCGCATGCATGGGTAGAGAATGGTCTTAGTGGAAGAGATAGAGTTATGCTATAAATGAGTAATTGATGCATGATGTGATTGAGCTTTAGTATGCATGATACTATTCGAGATTCGCTTTCCTATATAGCAGCATATCTTTACTTTTATGCATCTATAAATCAAAAATCCTAAACAACTGTACTCTTCACGTTTACTTTTCATTCCTTGTTTTGAATAAAAACCCACAAATGTCTCTATCGTTTTCATGTGTTTCTAAGATGGTATGTTGTGAGTAGTTATGCATTCGAAGACCTTGTGGAAGACCTTGTGGAATATGACCCTATGATTATAACTTCAACTTTGCAAATCAGTAAACTCAACTGTATTGCTGGTGGAAGACCGTATATTGATGATGACTTGGAGAAGGTTGGACTGCTGATAATATAAGGAGATAGTAGAAAAAACAAGGTATAAATAGTAGGGTTGTAATAGTATAGTAGTGGATCTCGTCAACTTGTAAAGAGTCTCTTATTGTTTTTGACGCACGTTTTAATGAGATACATTTAATTCATCAAAAAATAAAAAGTTCTCATGTGACTAAATGAAATGAAAAAAGGAGAATAAATAAAAGGAAAAGGAAAATATGTGGCTTTTGGAGATTAAGTAAAATAGATATAATGTATCAATATGATTAAAGAAATAAAAAAAGAGAAAGAAAATAGTGTAATATTTATATATGTGGTCTCTTGATAAAATACCACTGAGGTTGATAATAATTATGGAAAATTCTTATTGGGGTCGTTTGGATTAAGAATTCAGCTAATGAGCGATTTGGCTCGGTTCACAATCACTCAATTAAAAACCTCAGTATTTTAAACCCAGGTTTTGGTTAAATCTTTTGTTTGTTTATGGATGAGAGATTTATTGTTAGAGAATTTAACAACAATTCTAGAAATTACAAATACACTCTTCACCGAATTTAGCTGACCTTCACCGGCTTCTTCACTCTGCAGTTGCTTTCTCCGATCTCCCTCACGCCACTCCCATTGAAAGTCTTCGTCTTCCCCAAACAAATTAGAGTTGCATCAGCCAACTTCAAATCGGGAGGACCTCCGTCGTCTCTTTCTCCACCTTCCTCGTATAACCTCCAACTGCGCTCCGTTGTCTCCGGCTCGTCTTGTTCGAATCACCGACCACCATCCCGTTTCTCTGTTCTGGCTAAAGTATTAGTTGTTTCTACGATCTCGTTTCTGGGCTTGACGATTTCCTCGATTTCTCTGCACTTTTCTGTTCTCCAAACAGTTCCATGAAAATGTTGCATAGATCTAGAGAAAAAACAAACGAAACCCATGGTGATTCAAAAGAAGAAAAACAGAAGAGAGAACCCACAAAAGAGAAACCCAGAAAAGCTATGTACTACCAATTCCTTCGCTAACCCCTAACCCCTCAATTCCTTCCCTAACCCCTCAAATCGAGCAACACAATCGGGCACCGTAGGAACCCTAGATAGGAACCAGACTCCAGAAGGTGAAGGTGACGAACCTGGTATCTTGTTGTAGTAGACCCGTCTGTTGAGGAAGTTCGAGTGAGCTCGCTCACTCTCGCTTTCTTCACCGTTAAGAGGCACAGTGCGTCCTCCTCTAGCCGAGATCTACAACTTCTTTCTATCTGGACTGTAGGTTTGGGGAGAGGCTTCTCACGGATGGGAAGAATGAGAGTTATGTCTGTAGAATTATGGTTAAGGGTATACAAGGAATAACAAAAAATAGCAGGGACACGTTTGGAAGAAACCCAAAACTTAAGGTTAGATTTTAAAATTTTGGCTCTGCTGTAGCTTTTGCAGAAGCAGCTTCTGGTTGGAGTTTTTAGATAAGTACTTTTCAAAAAAAGCAGTTGAGTGTTTGGCTGTAAAATGACTATAAATGATTTATAATATAACATATGAATAAAAATTATAAACAATAAAAAGTAGTCAAAATGGATCTTGTTAGATTTCTTTTATATTAAATAATATGATTTTATAATTTATTTTATTTTTCAAATGATATAAATAAAGGAAACTTATATTTTCTGAAATAAAATTAAAATATGGTAAGGATAATCTTGTATTTTTAAAAAGCTCCAAATCGGAGCTTATGCTTTTATGTTATAAAAAAGCGCTTTTCAGCTTTTTAAAAACCGAATTTAAAAAGTGTTTGGTCCAGTTTCAACTTTTGAAACCAAAAAGTACATCTAAAAGCTCGGTCAAATATAGAGAATATTTGGGACAGCTATTTTCAATTCCGGATTGAGCGGAATTTTAAATTTCCGGTGGCCCAAATCTATGTTATTTTTAGAGCAATCCAAACGTGGGAATTAATCAAATCTCTGCCCCCACTTTTCTTGATCCAAACTACCGATTAATACATAATATTAACACTCTGGAATTCATCATGGCTTGACGAGCGGGAAAGGCGGCGACATAGTTCCACGAAGCGAATGGGCGGCGGCGGCGAGGATTTCGGGGAGGAGAAGGATGTGACGAGCGAGGTGCATCTTGGGTGTCCATCTAATTCCTCTGGCCTTCATGTTACGCATTTCACAATCACAATCCCAATCCCGACCGGTAATTTCATTTCCTTCCCCCTTTCTTCCAAGCATTTCATCGAACGGGTTACAGGCAAGAAGGGATAAGGATTTTCTGATGAAAAAATCCAACTCCTCTTGGGGTATTCAGGTGTTGACTGCTGCAGATGTAGCGGTCTGTTCAAAAGAAGAGAGCAAGTTCCCATGGATAAGCCTTTGTACGTAGATGATGATGGTGATCTTGTTTTGACCAGACGTAGCAGCTATCAGGGTGGGTTTCCTTAATTTGGTTATAGTCTCGTTTTCGTTATGCCTTAGTCTTCATCTTGCTTGCATTTAACTGTGCAGATGGCGGGAATGTTAAACTCGCTATCCAGCATATTATCACGTCATCAATACGGGGTGTTGGTTTACAGGTGACCGAAATGTGTTAACACGAACTTGTTACGACGTTTGTTTGAATTGTTTCATTCAATCTGGTTCTTCGACTCTCAGGTTTGGAAGGCTGAGCTAGTATTGTCAGACTTCGTGCTGCATAAAATGCTTTTTTCGTCGGAATTCGATGGGATTATTTCGTTAGAACTTGGAGCTGGGACAGGTTCAATATTATTTGCTTATATCAGAACAGTTTGTTTATGGCTGTGATACTGATACTGCTTGACTATGTGAAGCCATAACTGCTGTGTAGCTCTGCCATCTTTCTCACTGGCCCCATGATCTCCTTTTTCCTATCCTGTTGTTTTTTGTTTGTTTGTTTTGTGAACAGATACCAAACTTTGATTGTTGATAAGTTGTGATGTCATATCTCTTAGGATTGGTTGGCCTGTAAGAAGCTACTCTCTTAGAAGAGGATTTAGGTCTTGTTTCGTGTATGATGCATGTCATCAGAACATGAAGCTATTGCAAGAAAATGGCAGTATGTAATAGGACAGGCAGGAGGCGAGCAACAATGAGTGTTGACTACCCAGTGAAATGAACTGTAGGAAAAATATATATAGGTTTTCCTTCCCCTGGAAGCTTATTCACGTGATTACCTGAAGTAGTTATCTTTCTTGAGTAGGTTTTGTCAGTCTTTTATGAACCGCATTAGAAACTCTGATGCTTGATGTGAAGCAGTATTCATTGTGAAAGGAGTTTCTTTCGCCTTCTGAAACAGGACTCGTAGGTATGCTGGTTGGACACGTGGCTAAAACAGTTTTCCTGACAGGTAAGGCTTGGTGGTCTTCCAATTGTGAATATTCTTTATGGTGATTCGTCTTTTGGTCTCTTTGTAAGGATATTGTTCTTAAGCAGATTCATGAAAATTACCTGGTTTGCTGTGTGTAATGTTGGTCACACTTTAGCTCGTCGCAATATGGAAGACAAGTGGATAACATGTGGATTATCCTAAATCTGTTCTAATTTTTGTATGTCTTCACCCCTATGTGCCAGTGGTATCCACGTCTGAGATTTTTTTAGGGAATTCTAGTCCATAGTAACTCTGTGTTTTCAATATTTTTGCCAACTTTGTTTCTTTAAATTTGCTTCTTCCTTTTCAAGAGTCTTTAAAAATGCTTGCTGATGCCAAAAATGTAGATTGTTAATGAACCACTGGACAGGAGCATCCTTAGCTGGTAGTCTGAAAGTCTTGTCCTTCTGTTGTTATAAATGTTGAGGAATGTTTGAGAAATAGGGAGTTCAGACATGTCCAATAGTTCTTCAACTACCCTCTGTCACTATGTGCAATTGCCTACAGATCGTGGTCATAAAATCCTAGCTAATTGTGGAAGGAATGTTCATCTTAATCGCAACGTGTTGCAGTATAAAGGTTCAATCAATGTACGCGAACTCGATTGGACAAATTCCTGGCCCCCCATTGTGAGACCGAGAAATGATTCCTTACATGAAAGGTAAAACTTCTTGGGCTTTTGTTATTTCCCATAAAGTTGTTGATGGAATTGGTTATTGACGAATCCAGTCATCACCCTTGCTGCATATATATTTATTAGCATGCCTATTGCCTCATTTGGATAAAGTTTAATCACTCTCTTTTATCTCGTCCACATAGGGTTTGGTGGACCTCATCCGAAGTTGAAGAAGCTGAGAATGCTTCTATCCTTCTAGCAGCAGATGTAATATACAGTGATGATCTGACTGATGCTCTTTTTGGCTTGCTGGAGACACTGATGTCATTGGGTTCAGAGAAGGTGAGCGGAATACTAACTAACATTCTAGGTAAAGATGAATGTGTAGAAAAGTGAAGTAGGACGGACATGGAACTCTCCCCTGATTTATGTTGATAAGTGATAACAGTTCAAACCTATGGGGCTTGACATTGAAGACATAATAGTCGGTACCAGTTTATACCACCCATTATGCAAGTTCATCAGGAAAATTGTGTTCGTGCTTAAGGACATGAAGTTTGTTATTTGCCGCTTACTTACAACGTCATTAATTTTCTCTATTCCTTGCGCTGCAGGTTTTATACTTGGCCTTGGAGAAGCGCTACAATTTCAGCCTCAGTGACCTTGATATCGTGGCGAATGGCTACTCTCATTTCCGGAGTTTTGTAAGGAGCGAAGAAGGTAATCATCAGCGAATATCTTCCCATTCTCTGATTGTGTCTACTTGTCCACCATTGCCACTTCATTAAATGCTCCGATATACTTGAACGATGCAGAATGTAAGGAGGAACTTGAGTCCTGCTCTCCATTTGTGGGCAGATGCATCGACCTGTCCCGAATTCCAAAGTACATCCGGGAGTACGAGAGAGGAAATGATTTAGAGCTGTGGGAAATTAAATATGATAAACAGACACATAAATCGCCCCGCTCTCAGAACTCTCAGCTCGAGTTTTCTTGAATTCATGCAAATGCATGCAGTTGGTAAGGTTCCTGAGTTGCTCTGTTGGCCTTGAACTGCCGTGAATCTGACAGTCTCTTCATGAAACAACAGGAAAAATTCTAAGAGGGAGCACATCTTTGGGTGGAGGGCCGGTGCTAAAGGCACTTTAAAACCTCTGCAAAAGAAGGGAAAATGGCAGAAACTGGGGAAAAGAAAGCAAAAGAAGAAAGTGCTGAAAAGGAAATGAAAAGAAAAGGGGACTTATTAGCTGTGGCCTGTGGGGAGCAGAGCCTAGCCAAGACAAAAGGGACATAGCTTCTAACCCATTATTCTTGGTTTGTCCATTTTGGTTGTTCAAGTCTATGTTGCTCAAATGGGTCCTCCTCAGCCAGCTGCAATTGTGTTTTACAGGTTTGAGTTTAGGCCCAACATGCTCATTTTCTATATGAATATAATGCAGTTTGTCAATAAAAACATCCTACAATAGATACTAAGTAGTTTGAAATGAAGAAGGTAGAAGAAGAATCATGAAAGTTGCAGCAAGGCAAAGAAAACATGTGCGGGTAAATATCGTCCTAATTTTATTATAACCGTCCTAATTTAAAAGTGCAAATTACTAGACTCAGAGATTGTCCTTCGTCAACTAAAAAAACCCTCCAAATTCGAAGACCTCTTCCCATTTTTTCTTTGTCGTGTCCATCCTTTTTCCTCTTTTTCCAAGCCACCATCACTGAAATACGAGCAGAATCGTAGCCATTCTTTTGCTTTCAGGTTTACTAGATCTGCCTTGTGAAATAAGTTTCCGGGTAGCTATCATCATCATATGAATAACAAAGCTAAAAAAGAGAGATTCTCGAAGAACAAGTTTGACTGACCTTCATTTTAAATACTACCCACTCTTTATCCTTTTCTAGGTTTTTGCTAATCATGTTGGATTAGGTAAGTGTCCGTGGATGCTGATTCATCATTTATGTGATGGCCTGTAAAATCATCAAAAACCCTGGTTGTATCATTGTATCACGATATCTTATTATCATATCATATATGTCGTGATACGATTATAAGATCAGATTTTACAGATTGGAGTTTTGTACCCTATTTGCTCACAATAAATAATGTGTATATGTTTAAATGGTTGAATTGTGAGTTGCATGATCGAACAATAATTCTTTTTTCATTCAACATATGAGTTGAATTGCATTTTCTATCTTTTTCATGTATATGTTTAAATGGTTGAATTGTGAGTTGCATGATCGAACAATAATTCTTTTTTCATTCAACATATGAGTTGAATGGCTTTTTCTATCTTTTTCATCCAAGTTTTAGCGCTAGTCGGATAGATTGTATGACTAGACATTTCTGATTAGTCTACCCCACTATTATGCTTAGGGGTGGAAGTTGGGCGGGTGTGGTTACCTGCCCATATTTTGCGGGTACCTGCACCTATAAATTTGAAATTATGCTATTCACAATCAACACCGCAGTGGTTCATGGGTAACCTGGGTAACCACTACCCACTGTGGGTGCGGGTTGGGTCATGGGTGTGGTTTAAAAATCCACATTTGTAAGTATGGAGTTGAGGCCACCACCAACGTATTTGTTATTCGTAGCAAGACTATGGAGATATACAATTGTGTCGTTCGTGGAGATATAGTTTTTTATATCGATCTTACTTAACGTGGAGATTTTTTCTTTTCGAGTTTGGTATTAACTTTGTGTCAGGGAGTTGTGATTTCATATATGATCTTGGATTTTCTTCCACACAAAAACAAAAACATACAGATAAAAGTTACTAAAGGTGCCAACTTTTAATAAGTCGATTATTTTCCACTCTCTCGATTATAGTGTTTTATAAACTAAAAAATTCTTACTTAAAACTACTTAGAAGCGTATTTGATTATGTGACTACTTTAGTTTTATGCCTCCCACTTTTCATATACTATTATATTATAAAGTATTATTAGTAAATAAATATAATTAGTGTGGTTATTATGAATTTGTGGGTTAATCGCGTTGGATAAAGGATAACCACTAACCACAAAATTTATTATTTTGCCACCCACATCCGACCCACTACCCATAACTTGTGGGTATGGTTACCCACAATGGGTGTGGGTTTGTGCGGTTTGCGGATTATCCCCAACCCGCAACTCAAACTTCCACCCCTAATTATGCTGATCCAGAGAGGGTGATTATAGTTTGATGATGTTGTTCAATAATTCTCTCGTACATTTCCATTTATTGAATTGAGCACGGAGGAAAATATGGGAAAGGATCTCATGCATAACTTTGTGATGAGTAATCATGCATAACCTAATCACCATCCGCTACATCAGCGCTCATTCTCTATCTTGTAAAGTCCTTAATTTCCCCCTTTAATTTTTAACGGACGATTTCTAACTCATTTTAAGTCGGAATTTTTTTTGCACAGTGAGATCATATTTTTTGTGGTTTTCAAAATGATATCCACTTTGAAATATTTTTGTAACAAAAAAAATTGAGTCATTTTTACCAGTCTATACTATATGGTATTGACTAGTATTAAATAAGAGCATAACACATGGTATGAAAAGCGTATTGTGCACCACAAGATACCTGATAGTCGGAATATACCAACTGTCATTTACGACTTTCAACATTGTGCACCACAAGATACCACCCGTACCAGGGTGGTATTGTGTGGTATTTTTTTGTCCTATATTTTGTTTATCCAGAAATTTGTAGATCCAATAGATCATGATGAACTCGTTTTTTCTGTGCAAAATTTTTCAAACATGACTTAAAAACGAAGAAGATACCATATGATATGAGGTTGGTAACAAGAGACATTGAATTTTTTCTCAAAAAATATTGAAAATAGATTTTATTTTGTAGAGCACAACGAACTCGTTCTGTCTGTGCAAAAATTTTGAAATCTGAATCAAACCAAAGAACCAATTAAGAAAACTAGAAAAAATAAAATATTTTTAATTTTCTACCCTTAGATCTGTAACCCACTTAAGAAGATGGGTTCAAATTTATTTACTAAGAGCATCTCCATCAATGCAATTGCAAAAGAAATTGCATTTGTGTTTTTTATTGTCAACTCAATTTTTTTGCAATCCACATCACATTCATTTCATTGACCAACATCAATGCAATTAACTTGCAATTGCAAATGTAATTAAATATTTTGTTTAAATTATAGAAAATTAAGTAAAAGAGAAAAGAAAATAATATAAAGTAAAAAATCCCCATTTTTTAGGCTTTTTTGACTTGCATATTGAATTGCATTTGTTGTAATCTTGCAAATATGCAATTGGTAGCCACATCAATGCAATTGGTTTTGCAATTGCAAACACCTATACTATGTCAATTTGCAATTGAGAATGCAATACCAATGTAGATGGTCTAATAGTTATACACTCTAACTAGAGCCAGAAAATATCTGACATTGTGTTTCACAATTAAGAATGTACAAAAATACTATTGAATAATGTCAACACGCACTGGTTTTACAATAGGTTATCATTCTTTTATCTTCTGAAATCAGAGGTTGCAAATGGATTGGTGGATTGGATTGGTGGATCCATGGATTAAATGGATTGGATCCAATGGATTGTTGGATTCATGGATTGGATCAAGTGGATTGGTGGATTATCCATGAATCCAAATGACATCCTTAACCAAGGACCAATATGTAAAATATGAAAAGTTTAGGTACTAAAATGTCATAATAAAAAATTTTGGTACCAAAATGTAATTTTCCAATGATATTTTTTTATAAAAATTAAATTTTAGGTACCAAAATGTAAAATATAAAAAGTATAGGTACCAAATTGTAATTTGAATTCATTGATGAATCCACCAATCCAATTGGATTTGGATCAAGTAGATTAAATTGAAAATTGTCACCTCTATATGAAATAATAAGAAGATGAAGATGATTAATCACCTTCAATCTATGACAAAAATATAATTGTTTTGTTTAGGGATCTGAGCACCCAAAAAATCACCGTTTCCAATCCCGACATATTTTCTCAATCCCGACGCCTTTGTCATTTCCCTTCTCGTTTGGTTGCATAAACCGACGCCTAATTCCCCTTAACACGGCAGTTCCTCCGAATTAGCAAATCATCACCAAGAGAATTAACTATTACTAAAAAGGAGCATAGTATTCCCCACAATTACATTTCACTCCCACAATTATTACTTGTGCTTTCGTCTCGATCACTTTCCTCTTTTTCTCCTTCCTCGCATCAATATCGAATCACACATCATCGCGATCACCGTCACCGCCATTCCAGGGAAACAACTAGTTTCCCCCAATTCTTCCGCCACAACCCGAATTTCCCCTCCTCTTCCTCGGCCGTCGCCTACACCGACACAATCGGCGCAATCGAAGTCAAATCGGAGTCGTCTCGCAGACGATGGGGTGCTCACAGTCCAAGATCGAGAACGAAGAAGCAGTCACCCGCTGCAAAGAGCGGAAGCAGTTCATGAAAGATGCCGTCTCTGCACGGAACGCCTTCGCCGCCGCCCACTCCGCCTACGCCATGTCTCTCAAGAACACCGGCGCCGCGCTCAGCGATTTCGCCCACGGCGAGGTCCCTCCGTCGTTATCCGCCCCTGCCGCCGCCGCGATCCCCTCTTCCTCCTCCTCTTCAGCTTTCCCCGTAGCAGCGCCTGCCCCACCTCCTCCGCAGGCTCCGTTCGACACGCTTCCCCCGCCTCCACCGCTGCCGACAGAGTATCAAGGGACTCCGAATTTCCAAGGAACTCCGCTGCAGCGGGCCGCGAGTATGCCGGAGATGAAGATCCTGAAGCCGGAGATGAAGCAGCCGGTTGGGCCGACTATAATTGAGGACGAGGAGATGGAATTCGAGCCGCCGGAGGAAGAGAAGTTGGTGAGGAAGCGAGGTGGGAGTAGTAGAAGTACTGGTAGTAGCAATCATTACATGGAGAAGGAACCGCCGATGCCGCCGCCGCAGCAGCAGGCGGTGCCCCAGAGGAGGAGGCAGGAAGAGGCGATGCGGCCGCCTCCTATTGCGCATCAGGAGACCACGTGGGACTACTTTTTCCCGCCCGTGGAAAGCATGCCTGGACCGACTCTGGCTGAGCCGGCGGAGGAGGAGGAGGAGGAGGAGGAAGAGATAAGGATGAAGGAAGAGATCGCAGCGCGTAAGGTGTTTGAAGAAAAGGCTAAGAGAGTGGCGGAGTTGGAAGAGGAACCGGTTGTAATGCCGGATATGGGTAAGGTCGAGAAGGCAGTGGAGGTGCCTGTGCCGATTCCAGTGGTAGAGAAGAAGCCCTCGAAGAAGGTCAGTGTGGGAGATGAAGCAGGGAGGAGAATGATGAAAGGATTGAGCTTAATGCAGATATTTGGGGAGCTGGACAATCATTTCTTAGCTGCTTACGAGAGTGCTCATGGGGTTTCCAAGATGCTCGAGGCCACGAGATTGCATTATCACTCCAATTTTGCTGATAATCGGGGTAAAAGTTTAACCTTCTTTGGGCCAATCCTTTGCTCATTACAAATCTGTGGATTAGCTTCTTATTGGTGTTTTCGGTGTTTACTTACTATGATAATATTGGCTGAAGTCATCTGTTTGTAGTGAACTTCTGTATCAATGCTGGACATTTTGCAGGCCATATTGATCACTCTGCCCGAGTGATGCGAGTCATTACATGGAATCGGTCATTTAAAGGCATTCCTAATGTATATGATGGGAATGACGATTTTGATTCAGAGGAGCATGAAACTCTTGCAACTGTCCTGGATAAGATGCTAGCTTGGGAGAAGAAGTTGTATGATGAAGTTAAGGTACAATTCCTTTTTTCCTAACAGTTCTTTGTTCTTCCATAATCTCTCTATTTAATTGTCTGCTGCCCAGTTAATTTGGTGCCCGAGTCCACCTTAACTGACGGCAAGAAGTCTCTTTTACCATGTTCTGTTCTTTGATAATTCTAGAGTGTCTGGACTTGGTGTCACTGATTCACTTCACAATTCACATTGTCCTTCTCTTAATTGTTTTTCCTCAGTAAGTTCAGAAGCTACTGCATATTTGAACTCTTTTTCTGGAGCCCCATCCAAAGGATTGTAATATTGTGTTAGGACTGTAGGTTTTTGCGAATTGGTTACTTAGAGTTCTGATGCATTGTTTCTAGTAGTGTAATGCATATGTTTAAGTATTTCATTACCATGCAAGACTAGTAAGGAGCAGGATTTCACGATAACAGAATTTCACTTTAAACTTGTTTTGTTGAATATGAAGTGGAAGTGTTAAATTGTGGTCTTTTTTCCTTGCGTCGTCATGGTAGACCGTTGTTTCTCTTCAAATTTGATTACTCTGCTATGCAACATTTTTTGCATTCCATGAGTTCTTAAAATATCGACATGGTTGATCTTGTCTTGCCGCTGAATAGGCAGGTGAAGTTATGAAGTTTGAGTACCAAAAGAAGGTAGCTTTACTGAATAAGCAGAAGAAACGGGGCTCCAATCCTGAGTCCCTTGAGAAATTAAAAGCAGCTGTGAGTCACCTGCACACAAGGTACATTGTAGATATGCAATCAATGGATTCCACAGTTTTGGAGATAAATCGCCTACGTGATGATCAGCTATACCCAAAACTTGTCCAGCTAGTTGATGGGTAAGTTACATACTGAAGCCTGTGTTTTTTTTTTTTTTATTGTGGAGATGCTGAATGCATAGATAATAAGTTATCTTGGTCAGAGAGGTGAACACTATGGGAATTGGTAGAGCTTGAGATGAATAACTAGCTAACTCTGTTCACCCACCATGTGGGTTGTAAATGCAGGATGGCAATAATGTGGGATGCTATGCGAGTCCATCACGAGGCACAGTCCAAGATAGTCTATGCGTTGAGATCTCTCGACATTTCCCAATCTCCGAAGGAAACCAGCGAGCACCACCACGACCGTACCTATCAACTATGGGCAGTTGTACGTGAATGGCACGCACAGTTCTGCGGCTTAATCGACAACCAGAAAGCATACATCAAGTCCCTCAACAGCTGGCTAAAGCAGAATCTCGTCCCTATTGAGAGCAGCCTGAAAGAAAAAGTATCTTCCCCACCAAGAATCCAAACCCCTCCAGTGCAACCCCTGCTCATGGCATGGCACGACTACATGGACAAGCTCCCCGACGAGGTGGCAAGAACAGCAATCAGCAACTTTGCCGCGGTGATAGAAACAATTATGCACCATCAGGAAGAAGAGATGAAGCTGAAGGAGAAGTGCGAAGAAACCCGGAAAGATCTTGCTAGGAAAACGAGGCAGTTTGAGGACTGGTACAATAAGTACATGCAGAAGAGAACTCCAGAGGAGCTGGACCCGGAGAGGCCCGAGAACAACATAAAGGAGGCGATTGCTGAGAGGCAGTTCACTGTGGACGCTGTTAAGAAGCAGCTGGAGGAAGAGGAAGAGGCATACCAGAGGCTGTGCCTTCAGGTGAGGGAGAAGTCGTTGGCGAGCTTGAAGACTCGTCTTCCCGAGTTGTTCAGGGCAATGTGCGATGTCTCTTTGGCTTGTTCGGAGATGTACAGGACTTTGAGGGCTATATCTCATCGCCAGAAGAGACCAAGCAACCAAAGCTAGCTATACCGAGTGTGATTGATATATATATACTTTGCGTATATATTGATTGATTTTGTTGTATAATGTTTTTTTGGTTAATGTATATCAGATATCTGGATAGACCACATATATAGCAAACCATATAGAATTTGGTGTTTGTTTGGTTGTTATAAATTATTAATTATTTTTGTCTTCCTCTGAATCCTCTCAAGGAGGAACATGTCTTATGGCGAAAGTAAATACTCCGTTTAATACACATATATGTATCTGTATGTATTTTATTTGTTTAAAACTTTCGTATTCATATTATTGTCTAACTGTTCCATCCTTTTCTGTTCATTTGATGACCCCGTACTAAACACGTATAAAATTCGTATAACATGTATAATATTCGTATTTAATGTATTAAATTGCTAACTTAACTATTATTTATACATTTATTTTTAAAATAATTATTTTTTATATTTTTATGACTATTTAACGTACTATTAAACGCAGTATTAGTTTCGGAACAAAATAAAATACCCGTACGAACTTACTTTAGTACTAGCTACTCACTTGATCTATGCTAAAAGATGGAAAAAGCCAAAAAGGTATGTTACTAGCTACTAGTTTGCTAATCTCGACACACTGGGCTGCGTCAGTTTTTTAATGGGCCTGTTAGAAAGACTCGATGAGAGATTTAATGGTATGACTGGACTGGAATAAGTAGGTTTAGATTTGGGACAAGTTGCACTTATATAGCCTTTAATCGTTTTTTAGTAAAATCTTTGATGAGCATGATACTATACACTATCTTTGATCAGTGAACCCTTAGTCTTGATTATCCAAATTATAGACCCTAAACACTTATGGGTCGTTTGGAAGTTAGGATTCTAGATGAAGGATTTAGCCAATACATGCATTGAGAAGATTAAGTCGTTTTTTTGGTCAAATTTGTAAAAGAATGCATGCATTACCTTTTTGGGGCCACTCACAATCCCTCAAAATGAATAATTGTGAATCTCTACCACTATGTTTGGGAAAGGGTGTAAATGGAAGGGGGTGCAAGTTTGGAGGGGTAAACACAAGTTCCAAGGTGTTTACCCCCGTTTGATTATTTTGTAACAGTAGGGGGGTGCAAAACGTGAGCGTAAATTCACTGTTTCGGCTTACCCCCCAAATTGGGGTGCAAGGGAAGGAAGGAAGGGAGGGGGAAGGGGGAGGAGGGGAATTATGAATTTTTAATTAGATTATAATTACATAATAATTAATATTATTAATTTTTTCTTATATCTATATTAGTGTAGAAGTTGTTTGGGGTTGACCGTTTGACTCAGAGAGCAAGTTTGTCAATGTTCGCCTCGTCAAATCGATATCTCTTAGTTGACCCGAATTTGCATTGAAAATTAGAGATAAGAAGCGTTTGTTGAAAAGATAGAGAGGAACAGTTTAGTTAACTCGATTTACTTTAATAAGTAGTTAAAACTTACAGATTTGAACGTGTTTGACTAAGTTTGACCATATTCAATTTAAAGTTAGGCACGAGAACCCCGTTAGGATGACTAGTTACGAGTTGGATTTCGAGTTTCGAGGTTGCTCGACCAATGATTATTATTGTTGTTATAAATAATTATATTTGAGCATTATTATATAATAATTATTTTTATTAAAATTATTTTTATTATTATATATTGAATTTTCATGTTATTATTTTGTGATAATATTTTATAAATTGATAAATTTATTTTATAATAATATAATTACTTACTTTTTACTCTATTTGCACCCCCCTACTTTTTCATCCAAACAACAATTTACCCCTCCACTTACACCCTCCACCAAGTTGCACCCCCCAACAATTTACCCCTCAACTTGTACCCCCCTCGAACTTGCACCCCCCTTGTTGCCAAACATAGTGTACCTAAAGTTGAGATTCTAAACAAAGGATTGTGTCATATCTTTTTATTCCATTTTTGTCCCTGCTATCTTTCTTTAGACCAACAATAACCTCTTCCTCCACTACTCTTCTATCCTTGTCATCAAAATTCTAGGAAAGCCAAAAAAGGGAGAAAACTTCCCTGCTCCTCCCTTGACGATAGTCGTCGGAAGTCCACCAAAAGAAAAATCATTGAACTCCCCTGCTCCTCAGTCCACGCTAATCCTTGAAGTCCCACAGGAATCGCTGCCTCCTCACCATCATAACGGAATCGGCTTGGTAGCTGTATCTCGCCATCGAAATTCGTCGGGAATCGAAGAAGAAGAGTCGGCTTCTGTTGCGAATTACTACCTCACAAACCCAGCACCATGCCCTCTCCTCTCTTTTTCTCTTCATATCTCTTAGGGTTTGAGTTGGGAGGGATATAAGCGAAAGTAATTAATTGTGATGGCTGGAGTTGATTTTTGAAATCGGGGAAGCTTTGAAGTTTCTGCAATCCTAGCGGCAACAACTTGGTAGCGACGAGACAACGATGATTCTTTGCTTTTTTTTCTTCTTCTTTCATTTGCAAGAACAAAAGTTTGAAGGGTAAATGTGTATTTTTCTTCAAAAAGGTGTGTTGCTTTTTAATTTATAAAAAAGTAGAATCATAGATACCAAATAATGTATTTGAGAAATACATTAATTTGCACAATACATATAATTACAATACACCAATTCATTGAATCCATCAATTTAGACAATCACAACCTCCAAACATGCCCTTAGATGGTGCATATAATTTGTTGGATGTATTTTGGCTAATCATGACCTTCGATTATTGTTTCCAGTGAAAATGATTTTATGTATGAGATTTATAAAACTAAGACCTAGATTTTAATCTTTAAGGGTTAAAGTATAGTACCATGCCCCAAATATCATTCAATTCAAGGTCTAACTATAATTTTCTTACTCAAAGTATGTCATACTTTTGATTTTACTCAATCAATGTATGGTAGAACCATTCATATGAATATATATATATATATATATATATATATATATGATAAGTTCATCTCCAACAGAGAGTCGAAGTGATAAATTTTTTTTTAAGGAAGGGTCTCCAAGGCAAGTGCCAAAATGTCAAAAATCAAAATTTTGGACCCAAATTTGGTTGCGAAAAAGACACGAGTGCTAAAATTTTGGCCCCCCTCTTTCCCTTTACGGCGGACGCGCCACTGAGGGACGGTGGGACCACACGCGAGAAGGGGCGCCCCTACCGTGCATGCGGATGGTCATCCTCCAGATGAAGCATTATTATTATCTCATAAATACCAAAACCCAATTAATAGTCTATTACAAAGCCTAATTAAATCCCATCTTGTTAGTCTATTGCATAGCCAAATAATCTTCATGAGATCTATTAATCCACCTACAATCAGTACATGCTCCAATCACCATTGAGCGAATGATGATGGTCTGGCAATCCCTTTCATTTCGGATGTGAGAAGGTGCTGCTTATCGTTGTGCATCTGACATGTGTGGGAGGTTTGCACTACTTCTATTGTGCCAGTTTTGAGTGCAGGCCAGTAGTATCCCTAAAGCATGTTGGTTCACTCCATCCCTCTTGGTCCTATGTGCATAGGACTTGTTCCCTGGTGGATTTTTTGCATTGCTCACTTAGCCTCTTCCCATCCCGAACACTTCAGATATAGGCTCGAGAAGGCTTCTTTGAATAGTTCTCATTTTACTATTGAATATTGTGTTGCCATGCGTGTTAATACAATGGCTTTCTTGGGATCTTCGGGCATGGCATCGTTGTTTAGGAATTTGGTTATAGAAGTTCTCCAATATTCTCATTTTTGTGCCAACTCCATGACTTCACTTGTCTCTGTCTACTCCATCATGATTGTGACATGTCGTTCGTCCTCGAAGTCAATAACGGTGGCCAATTTGGAAAAGGCGCGTGCATGGTGGTTCTCTTCCCACCTTTCATGCACATGTTCCAATTATCTAGTCATGCTAGGATATCGACGAGTGGGTTCTTCCTTGGCTTCAAAGTTTTCCTTCTCTTGGTTCACCACCAATGAATATGAGAATATTAAGACCTTTCTCGCTCCCATATTAATGACCACTCTTAATCCATTCAGAAGGGATTCTTCATTGTATTCAGGCTACTAAAATGTATGGAAATTTCATGGATGACCCCCTCTGGTGTTCCAATGACAATTCCTGCCCCTGCTCGCTTACAACTGCCCCATCCACGAACATTTTCCTTGAATGGTCTTTCGCCATGCATCTTCTTCAAGGACGAAACCTTCAGCTATGAAATTTGCCAAGACCTATTTGGGGTTGGCCTCCAAATCTGAAATAAAGCCTCTCCTCATATTAAGTTTCTAAGGGTGGCGATGATCAAATTATTAGTATGTATAACTTCCCATATTTGATACATTTCCTCTTGTGTCAATGCAGCTTTAGAAACTTTGATATATTGTATATGGATTTCATAACTATTTGATCATTGAGCTTATTGAAGACCTAATTGTGCTTTAGTATCTGGTATTATTTTGTGCTTCTCAAGGTAAAATGAAATCTAGGATTATTTGGATCACTTATTGGATCAAGCTGGAGGATCAAATGGGAAATACATGAAGATCAAGGAGGAATTCAGATATTAAGCTAGGTTCAATCGAGCCCTAACCTCTCAAGTCTTCATATGCACCCAAGAGGTGTCCAATGGAGAAGCTTTAGCCCAAACGGAGGAAAGAACCCACAACACCTCCAACTGCCGTCAGCCCATACTTCGCAAGTCGGGTGCAAATTTGATAAAGAGTTTACTTGTGGGCCAAGCAACCTAAAGGAGGAAGAAAACCCGTGGCGGTTCTACCTATCGTTGACCCAAGCCCATTAGAAGCTTTTGGAAACTTTTTACTTCGTCCCTAAGCCAAGGAATTTGAGTTGAAGTAGTGCTTATAGCCTAATCTTAGGATTAGAAAGCCTAACCACCCCCCCCCCCCCTCCCCTGCACTTATAAATAGATGCTTAGCTTAGAGCTCATGGTAGGCCTGACAAGCCCCAAACACTTTCTACAAAATTACTTTGTTGAGATTCTATTGGAGCCTGCGAATTGGAGATGCCTTTATCGAGCCAAGTGGATATGCCTTCATCATTGATGGTGCCATCTATTCCTTCTATGGCCAGCTAAGTCTCTTATTGTGTAGGGATATCAATTCTATGATGAATTATGCATCACTTTCAATGGTTTACTAAGATGCTTTAGTTGTCCAATGCTTTTATCTTCTATTATATGTTACCTTTGCTTTGATTATAACACCATCATAGGTTGCCTAGGAAACTCTTCCTATATGATACACTTTTACCTTATGCTTGTATAGATAGAATGTGCGTCCTCTCATGTATGTATGAGATAGATGCTTGATACATTAGATCACAAAGCTTAGCACCAATGATATGGTTCATAGAGACCCTAAATAGCAACGTGTTATCCTTACTTCCTTAAGGAAGGGGAGCATGGTAAATCATACAAAGGCATATTACAAGAAGTACTTTAAAGAACAGATGGGTACCCGATCACTCTTCGAGTAGTTGATCACATTGTAGAGTGTGGTCAAATTTACTTGGTCCAAGATCATGATTGTACTTCCCGAGGGTCTCTCACAACCACTTACTCAGGTAGTGAGGGACGAGTTCTATGGTTTAGAAAGAGCAACTGTGGAGGTTGAAGTGCCTCTGGGGTTGAAGTTTCCCATAGTTTTACAAAATCCAAAGTAAAAATCAACGTGGAAATTAAAACTATACTATTGGCTGGTGAACGAAGCAGAAGGATGAGGCGTTGCACATGCAAGCTTCCTCGAGAGTTCCATAGACTCATACGTCGATTCTAGCAACATATGAGCTGCTTGATCTTTGTTAGGTTTACTCCTACCATATGTTGGACAAATTTAAGGTCTACTAGGCAACGATATGGACCCTACAGATTTCTCCCGTGAGTAAGTCGATGCAGTGTGATCGATTGAGGATCAATCTTGAGAGGAACGCTGTGTCCAGTCTAATCCTACCCACAAAGTTTGGTTTGTGGATATTAACTTTGAAGTCAATCCTCGTGTTAGAAATGAACCAAACATAAGAACAAAGCACAGAGAATAAGAATCAAATCATATATATATATATATATATATATATATATATATATATATATATATATATATATGCCAAAATGAATCGTTACAAAGTTTAGAACCTCTAGGGTTCGCCGACCTACGAAACTAAGGGAACTAGCCAGCCATGGGGATGAGATCCAAAGGGTACATCATTTGAAAAGTGATCCCCCAAGGAGGTCTCCAAATCGACAAGAACACAGATTTGAGGACTAGGCCGCCGATCCTAGCACCGATCTAGGCCTCTAATACCTCATATCACTCGCTAGTGAACTCCTCCCTAGAAGTCTATTTATAAATTTTCTATCAAGGTTTTATGGAGAGAGGATGGTCATTTAGCGTGTCTTTCGAGTCCCAGTCAGCTTCCCCCAGATTGGTCCCATGAAAAGCATATTCTTGAAGGATTTGGGAGATTTCTGGATAAGCCCCAAGACGGAGGTTTGAGCTCTATTTTGGACATTAGGCTTCTAAATCCAGTGCCATTTTTAGTCCCCTCTTTAATCCCTATTATGAGTCCTTAGTAAATCTGGTGCCATTTTCGAGTGTAGATGTCCCTCAACATGTGCAAAGTGGTCCACTAGGATGCTATGCCCTGAAAAACACACGAAACACTACCAAGAGTGCATCAAATTTGTAAAAGCAAGCCTACCGCTACTAAAACACACGTTGTGTGAGTATGTAGCAAACTCAATATATTATGACGATAAATGTGTGAAAATTATGAGGTTCTTATCATAATATGGGGTCTAAAAGGGTAATTTCTATGTGCACCTATACACTCAACCGACAGGATAAGATCTCGTGTTTGGAAGCATCTAGTCTAATGGTGCAAGACGCAAGGCATTTCTCAAGAGAAGATGATGAAGACCCTATGTTACACATTAGGGATTTCCTTGATGTTTTCACCCGGAGAAGAAGACAAAGTACACTCATGAATCTTTGCTTTTCCATTTATTGGGAAAGAAAGAGATTGGCTCGATGGTCAACCAACAAGCATGTTTAGAACGTGGGAAGCTTTGTCACATGCCTTTTCAGAAGAGTACTATCCACAATGGAGGACGGGCGAGCCCAATTTTGTTGGATTCTACCAGAAGGAAGGAGAGCTATTCTACAAGACGTTGGATCGATTCAATGGCTTACTACTCAATTTCCCTCACCATGTGTACAAAAAGGAGCAACTCACAGAGACTCTATACAAAGGATTGAATGGCCAATGGTCCTACACATCAACCGATTGATAGGAGGAAACATACTTAACATAGTGCAACTAAAACAATGAAGATATATGAGACACTAGTGTGTGGCACCAATAACCTTACAATAGGGAGATCACCTCAATGCAATGCACATAATTCAAGATCCCATATAAGCATTGGTAAGGTGAGTAGCTACCTTGGAAGCATAGCTTGCAAAGAGAGATAAAGAGAAGAATCAAGTAGAAGAAGTATATAGACAAATACTCTCAATAAGCAATCCAACCCTTCAAAGCTATTGGAAGAGAAGTGTGGACTTGACATAAATATGGTGGAGATGCGGATAGCATTCAATAGAAACGAAGGAAGAACCCAAAAGAATGAAGTGCGCATTCTTAATCTTATCAACCAGGTTGAAGCTAGCCAGTCATAGATTAATCCAAGATTTTCTTAAATTTTGAAGATCTGATAACACTCTATATATAGTGTTTATCACACCCATATTTGATACATTTCCCCCTTATATCAATGCATTATTTAGTAGATGTCATTACATTTCATATAAATATCATAACTATGTGAATTATGTGCTTAAGATAGACCTTAAGTGTGTTTTGTACTATTTTACGCCTTTTGGTATTGTTTTGTGCTTTTCAAGGATATAATCACTTAAGATGAATATGGATAATCAATGGATCAGAAGTAGGACGAGATAACAAGCATTTGGGCTCAATTGGAGATGGATTTGGATATCAGATGCTCATTTTATGGGCTAGACAAGCTAACTCGGTATTGTAGTAGGCTTATCATTGATTGAGGTCAAACAAGTTCAGTCAACACCAACTGCGTTATTTAAATTGCATGAAAAAGGTTATTTGGCACACAAGAAACCCAACCCATGAAGAAAATAGGCAACGGTGGGTACCTCCATTGGGCCGTGATGGGTCCAAATCCTAGAAGATTCTAGAAGCTTCTACTTTATCCCCAAGTAAAAGGAATCGGAGCTCAAGTCACACAATGAAGGTTTTAGGCCGACTTAGAGGAGAAAAGACTAGAAAACCCCTTCCTGTAACTAGTATAAATAGGGGCTTAGGTTAGAGGTTTTAGACACAATTTTACATACACAAACACTCTTCCCTAGGGCACTAGTTGGTGAGGTATATAGACGAGGCAAAGTATTGGAGTTTGACGAGGAGGTCTTCACCATTGATGTTCTTCATTATTGGTGTTGTCTTTCTATTCTCCTATGTCCAGCTAGCTCAAAGTTGTTTATGGATACAATTCTATGTTATTAATGTATTTTCCATTTTTCAACGAATTGCTATTTCTATTCTATGCATATGATTCTATTATTGTTTACTATATACATTCTTCATAGTATCATATAGGATGTTAGGAAACTAATTTCTTATGATATCCCATTGACCTATGCGAGTATGAAGGGCCGGTACACCCCTTCATGCAAGTATAGGATATCATAGTAAACTAGTTGGTGCCCGGCCCGTTGGCCGGAATGTTATATTATTATATATGGGGATTGAATAGAAATGGAAATGGAAAGTGATAGACGAAATTTCATAGCAGGTAGTGAGGATAAAGTTTTCATCAATTTTCTCATTTTCTAATTGTGACAAACAAATAACAATCCATTAATCAAAACTAACCGTTTTAAGCTCCTAAATCCTAATCTTTCACGGCAAGACATAGTGGAATTGTCATATTTTAAATCCAAATAGTTTTTACTATCTTCTCCATCCTAATTAAAGTCACTTTATTTATATTTTGATTTTATAAATCATAGTTAGTAAATACTCCGTTTAATAAATGTATATGTATCTGGGGACCGGTTATTGTAACAACACCCATTATGTTGTTATTGTAACAACACTAGTCCCCAATCAATAGGAAGCTAGGGATGTGATGACTTTTTATTAGTTGAGTTGACCTAGTGTAAAATCAAAACAGGGGTATAATTGTCATTATGAAAAATATGTTTAAATAATAAAAAATAAAAAAAATAAAAATATATTTTTTATTTTCTGCCCAAAAATTTGGTCGCCGGAATTCTGCCATCGGTCGCCGGAAAATGGTCGCCGGTCACCGGAATATGCTTTTTGTCGCCGGAATATACTATTTTGTGGCCGGAATATGCTTACCGGAGTCGGAATATGCTTACCGGCGTCGGAATCTAGTCACCGGGGCCGGAATATGCCTATCGCCGTCGGAATCTGCTCACTGACGGTCACCGGAGTTCGGTCAACGGTCAACGATCACCGGATGTTATGGTCTGCATTGTGAGATTTATGGTTTGGTTTCTCATATTTTTGTACACCTTTTGTGGTTTGCTTTATCGTGTTTGTGGTTTGCATTGAGAAGTTTCTGGTTTGCTTTATCGTGTTTGTGGTTTGCATTGTGAGGTTTCTGGTTTGTTTTAATATATTTGTGGTCTGCATTAGGACGTTTATGGTTTGCATTGAGAAGTTTCTGGTTTGCTTTATCGTCTTTGTGGTTTGCATTGTGAGGTTTCTGGTTTGTTTTAATATATTTGTGGTTTGTATTAGAAGGTTTCTGGTTTGTTTTTGTGGTTTGTTTTACCGTGCTTGTGGTTTGCATTAGGAGGTTTCTGGTGTGCTTTCGCAAATGTCGTGGTTTGCTTTGTGGGGTTTGTGGTTTGTTTTAGTCTTTTAGAGGATTTGTGGTCTCCATTAAGAGGTTTCTGGTTTGCTTTTTTGTGGTTTTTTATCACGTGTGTGGTCTGCATTAGGAGGTTTCTGGTGTGTTTTCGCAAATGTTGTGATTTGCTTTATAAGGCTTGTGGTTTATTTTAGAGAATTTGTGGTATGCATTAGAAGGTTTTTGGTTTGCTTTTTTGTGGTTTTTTTTATCACGTTTGTGGTCTGCATTAGGAGGTTTCTGGTGTGTTTATTAAAGACTAGTGATCTGCATACCGATAACTCCTAAATGCATACGATAGACACAACAATACACTATAATACATTAAAAACACAATCAATTCAATCTGCAATTTGACCTGGTGTTCTATGACTATATCATTCAAATGGGAAGTCTTCATTGATTAATTCATCCAAGACTTATTAGTCATTTACCTTACGAAAATTCTGAATTTGGGAAGTAGGGTTACGTTGTTGGGGCTTGTCCAATTTGTTGCACTTTCCAGTTACGATTTGTAGTCCAAAGCCAATAATCGAAAAGGATTCAATATTCATTCAAAAGCTTAACACGACAAATCATGAGTCAGAGAGGAAGGAACCACAGCAAAAGAGTACAAACCCCCCTCCACTCCCTATTTAATTATGACAGAATCATTCACATAAAGAGAAGAGAGAACAGTTACCAATATATATGTTGCATACCATCATCACCATAAAATAACTTCTTATTGCTGCCTGCCTGCCCACAATATGCTCCAATCCCAATGGACACACAGACCACTACTGCGTTTTCTCCTCATTGTACACACACCAAACCTTAAATGCATCGAGTATGGAGAACCTGTACTTGCTCGATATATATACCCTAGAAGAGAGTGAGACCAGCAGCGGTGTTGCTTTTCCCTGCCTGCCTGACAGAATCAGCCGTTCGCGAAGAAACCCGGGTCGGGTTTCAATTGGATGGAGGAAGAAGGGGTCCGGCTCATCTCCACCACTTCCCCTAACCCGCCGTCACCACCGTCGCCGTGAAACCCGTTCAAAACGCAGCCCATATAATCGTCGCCTAAGGAGCCCACTTCTTGCTGCTGCTGATGGAAATTGTACTTTAATCGTTGTTGTTGTTCCGCGTCGTGATAGTGGTAGGGATGATAATGCCATTTCGCCGCCGCCGGGTCCAGCAGTGCGGCGGAGTCGGCGTAGTGGAAATCGGGCGGTGGAGCAGCTAGGAAGGTGCGGCCTCCGCCGACTGAGATGTAGGAGGAAGGTGCTGCGGTGGCGGAGATGAGGTCTGCTGCGAGATTAAAGCGACCTTGAATTTTAATCAAATTTATTTTATTATTTTCAGGATAAGTTTACCCTTTTACCCTTAATGAATCAGGTTGTTATTATAACAACACAAAGGGTGTTGTTATTCTATCCGGGCCCATGTATCTGTACGTATTTTATTCATTTAAAACTTCTGTATCTATTGTCAAGCCTTTTTATTTTTTATGTTCATTTGATGACTCGCGTACTAAACACGTATAAAATCCGTATAACACGTTTAATATCCGTATTTAATGAATTAAATTATTAAATTAACTATTATTTTTTATATTTAATTATTTTTTAAATAATTAATTTATATTTTTATGACTATTAACGTACTATTAAACGTAACATTAGCTTAGAGGCGAAGTAATATAACGGTACATATTTTATACGTAACTTTCCCGTACCATATTTTACAAACTATTATACAAATTTTCTACTTTGATTGATCTTGGTGTAGCTCATATTTTTTTTTCGATTTTCATTATATTCTTATTAATATTAGGGGTGAGAAACGGTGCGGTGCTGTCCGGTCCAGACCAGACCATAGATATGGTCTGTGGTCCAGACCGAGAGGTTGGAACACTGACCATGGACCAGACCATATACTATATGGTCCAGACCAGACCACACCTGTGCGGTGCGGTCCGGTATGGTCTGGACCAGACAGACCATGTTAAAAAAAAAACTTAACTCTTGTTCGCCCTCCAACCCTTCACCGGTATCTATAAAAAAAATCTAGTAACCAATATGCTAGTGAAACAAAAAAATTGTGATCGTATTAAATGAGAAGAAATATGAGGATAGAAGTGGGTTTATTCAATTTTCAAATAGCCTTATTTCCCTATTCCTCTTTGTGCTACCGCTTCTCTCCTCTCTCGAGTGATCCGAAGGTTCTCCCAGTTGATAACCTTTTTGATGATGTCGAAGAATTTCGAACCACTAAGATGGTCACATATCTCTCGATAATTTTCATTATCTCATCAAGGTGAACGAATTTTTTTGTAGTGTTTAATTTTTATCGACTCCATAGTCTAGATATTATCTGTGAATATTATTTATGAGTCTTTCTAATTTTTGTGTGGTACTTTGATAAGGAGATAACATATAAGCGATCATTTTGCAATTTGTTGGCTCTCAACTAGATGAAGAATCAACTAACTTTGTTCTTCAAATACACATATGGAGGTTCAATTTAGTGTTATTTTTGTCCAAGATAGTAGGTAGTGTGTCGCGGTCTGTTACGGTTTACTGCGGTAGACCGCGGTCCAAACCACTTCAGACCACGCACTAAAGGAGGAGACCGCAGACCAGACCAGACCATAGTTATGGTCTCACGGTCCAGACCAAACCATACGATACGGTCTAGACCGCGATTTCCCATACGGTTTGGTCTGGATTCCCAGCCCTAATTAATATAGCTCTTCCTATTATTGAATTTTTGGATAATTCTCTCTCAGGTTATTTAGGGAGGGGGGATTGTAAGTGTACCGCCAAAAAACATTAAGCATAACCGAAATATGAGGAATGGAGAGGAGTGGCAGATATGGCCGAAATTATTTGTAAATTTATATAAAACCAAGGTTGTCAATTCGCGGGTCGACCCAGACCCGGATGAGCTAGTGGGTCAAGAATTAATGGGTCACCGGATTTGCTCGGATTAGCCCAGATTAGTCCAGAAATATGAAAAAAGTCAATGTATTGTACACAGAAATTGTTGTCAATTATTACTATAACTTACACAAATATTGGGGTTTGAATTTGACGAAATTCATGTGGCTCCCAAAAGTGAACCACCCACCAAAGTTTCCCCCTTAATTTCACCCAAAAATTTCTCCCTTTATTTTTATTCTTTCCCAACAGACCATCTCTCTCTTTCTTGCCTCTCACCCCTTTTCCCCTCTCTTTCCTTTACTTCTTCCTCTTCTCCGAACAGAGAAAAACACCGCCCCCAGCCCAGCTTCTTCCATTGTCACGAGTCTCTCCATAAATCCTAACCAAACCTCCCTTTGTTCTCCGCGATTATCAAACAGGTCCAGATGGATCGTTGGCGGAAACTCGGAGATCTGGTGACGACCTGACTTGCAAAGATTCGGTGACCACCTGGCTTGCTTTCTAGCGAAGATCGACGAGTCTAGGAAGGGAGGTCGTTTGCGGCTGGCGCGCGATCGTCGATTGCTGGGAGGAAGACTCCGACGACCTGGGGCGGCGGTCTATGCTGGGGAGGACACTCCAAAATCGAAACGGCGCCGCACAGGAAGGAGACCCGCTAACCCTCTCCCTCGGTCAAACCGCCCGGGTTCGTCGGGATTGTCCGGGTTTGACTGGGTTTGATTGGATCCGGGCTGATTGTTCACTGGGCAGCTGTAGCCCGTTTTTAGGGACGAGTCCGGGTTAATCCGGGTCAACCCGCGGGTCGAACCTTGGATAAAACAAACTAATGAAAGCAAAAAACAGAAAATGAAAATTGTATACAATATGAAATCTCAATTGTCCTCAATCAGAATATTGATAGAGCTGAATATGAAAATTATTTATAATATGAAAACTATCTAATTTGCCATTTTAGCTTAGATTTATGCAAGGCGATGGGTAGCTTACCCATCAATCTTGAATCGTAGAAATGTGACAATAACAAATATTGGAGGTGTGTGAGATTTCAGTTTCAAATTTTTATAATAACAAAAT